TCCGGTTTACTTTCCGGTTATGTCAAATATTAATTTGCATCAAGAGTTTTTATTATGACGTCATGCTGACATCAGCTATAACCCTTTGTTATAAAGATTCTTACAAGATTCTGTCAAGATTCCTGAGAAGATAACATTTCACCATTTTGGATATAGGATATGATAAGGATTATGATAGATAGATTTGAAGATTAAATGCATATCATTACCTTATTTGGTCCAGATAAGAAATAAATGTGCAGGAGTTCCCAAAATTGGTTTCTGATTTGCACAGGTTAATTTGGAAAGCTTACTTGGCTGGATAAGATGGATTTACACTTACCCAAAAGTCAAGAGCTAAATCAAAATAAGTGAGACGACTCCCCCAATCAGACAGCGACACGTAAGTTATATGAAAGATTTGTCGGTTCATTGGAAATCCTTTTTGGTATTTATATGTCGGTGGATATTGGTTGATTTCTGAGCCTAACCAACCAAAACAAATAAAAAAATATCAAACCCCATAAAAGCTAATTTATTCCATTTTCTTTATTCCCCCTTTCTTCTATTTTATCCACTTTCCTCCTCCCATTTAGGATTCCTCAGAAGAGTGAAGATAAGAAGAGAGATTCTGATCGGAAGAGGAGATGGAGGAGATCATCGTCGACGATACGGAGATGTACGGAGCCCTCGTGACGGCGAAATACCTACGGATGCATCATCGACACCGTTGCAGTGAGAAACAGTGTACCTCTGTTCTCGTCAAATACATCAAAGCCCCTGTTCATCTCGTAAGCGCTTCAATCCTCTCAGATTCGTATTCCAGACTCGTCATTTTGTTAAATTCTAATCCGATTCGCCGTTGATTTGAAGTTTTATCGGATTTTGGCTGTTTCTGTTTGCCGATTTCAACGGATTTAGGGTTCTCTTGCTAACGATGATACATGATTCAGGTTTGGTCACTTGTGAGAAGATTCGATCAGCCGCAGAAATACAAACCATTTGTAAGCAGATGTACTGTTGATGGTGATCCTGAGATCGGCAGTCTCAGAGAAGTCAACGTCAAGTCTGGTCTTCCGGCGACCACTAGTACAGAGAGGCTCGAGCAGCTTGATGATGAAGAACACATACTCGGCATCAACATCATTGGTGGTGATCACAGACTCAGGGTAAGTTAATAAATCTTTAGTTTTTAGTTTTTTACAGATTCAGAAAAAAAGAAAAAAGTGTTTATATATGATTATATGAATGATTGTTATGCTGCAGAATTACTCTTCGATTCTGACTCTACATCCTGAGATGATCGATGGGAGGTCAGGAACTATGGTGATTGAATCTTTCGTTGTGGATGTTCCTGAAGGCAACACCAAAGACGACACATGCTATTTCGTGGAGTCACTCATCAAATGTAACCTCAAATCCTTGGCTTGTGTCTCTGAAAGATTGGCTGCTCAGGACTTGACCAATTCCATCGCCACTTTCTGAAAAAAACTTCCAACGGATACAGAGAGAAGAGGCATAATGATGAAGCAACCATTGAAGATATGAAGGCAAGATCCAGTGTAGAAATTATTTAGTCTTGTCATATATATGTATGTAGAAGCACTTTGTTGTTGTCTCTCTGCTTCTTTGCTCAGATCAGCCATTTTCGAGCCTGCTGTGAAAGTTTTGTTGTAATTTGCTTTCTGGTGTCTGTATTTAAGAACCATTGTAAGATATGAAAAAACAGAGCTAGTTTGTATCTTATATTATATCACCAAGAGTCATTGCAGGAACATTTTCCGTCTTTAAAATGATGAATTCGAAACCCTTCGTGTAAAACAATCTCGCGGTTTCTCAAAGCCGATATGTGTTTAGCCACGGTGTGACAATCGGAACATATACTTGTGTTCTTGACCACTCTTATAGGAGCTAAGCCTTTCTTCTTGATGAGACCATATGTTATTGCTAACTTCTCTGTATGTCCCATAAGCAGCTTCTCTTTCTCTGTCTCACTTACGTTTCTGTGTATACATCTCGTCTCTGGCACATAACCTGATTTCTTCATCTCAGAGACTAACTTGTACAGCTCAAAGTAGATCTCTCCTTCATCAGGATGTGCTTTTCCTTCTGCGTAGAAGACGTGAACCTTGTGATCTATCTGAATCCAACTCCAGAGATCCTGGACTCTCACCATTTGATCCTTCATCAAGTCCTTTACGCGTTCAACATCTTCCCATCTGTTCAAGTTACTGTACAAGTTGATCATCGTCATGTAGTTAGCTGAATTGTTTGGTTCCAGCACTTGAAGCTTCTTCCAAGCGACTTCCGCGAGCTCTATGTCTCTGTGGATCTTACAAGATGAAAGAAACGCACCCCAAGTAGTTGCGTCGGGTTTAAACGGCATCGTTTGAATGAAGTCTAACGCTTCATCAAGATAACCTGACCTCCCGAGCAAATCCACCATGCAAGAGCAGTGTTCGATACTCGGAGTTACACCATAACGAGACCTCATAAGATCAAAGTATCTCCACCCTTCACTGACGAGACCTGAGCTCTTGCAAACAGACAAGACGGAGGTAAACGTTATAGCATCCGGCTCCACGCCTGCTTCAAGCATCCTATCGAAAACCGCAATCCCTTCTTCTCCTTGCCCGAACATGGCGTAACCCATGATCATACAGTTCCAAGAAGCTACCGTTTTGTTCTCAATTCCCCGGAAAACCTCAGACGCGCTTCTCAGATCCCCTGATTTTGTGTACATGTCTACTAATGCAGTTGCAACATAAGCGTCACGGATTAAATTGTTCCTCAAACAGAAGCTGTGAGCCTCTTTGCCACTGTGTAGTAGACTCAAGCAACCTAATATGCTAAGCAAGCTTGAAATTGTAGCTGAGTTTGGAGAGACATCTTCTTCCTGCATTTGAATAAAGACTTTGAGAGCATTCCTAAAGTTTCCAGTTTTCGAACATCCCGACAAGATAGCAGTCCATGAGACCACATTAGGCTCCACCCCGTTCCTTTTCATCTTCTCAACCACAGCCAAAGCTTTCTCTGTTTTCCCCCAAGTAGCATATCCAGAAACCATACTGTTCCATGTAACAGCATCAGGTTTGATCCCTTCTTTCTCCATTCTACTCATCAAAGCTTCAGCATCCTTTAGCAAACCCGCGTACGAAAGTCCAGAGATGAGTGAATTCCAAGCAACAATGTTCTTCTTCTCATTCATCATATCAAAAACCATCCCAGCGTAAGGCAAGCAGCCAGTTTTAACATACATGTCGATCAATGTGGTTTCTACGAACACATCGTACCAAAGCTGATTTCTTATGACATATCCGTGGATTGCTTTTCCAACTTTAAGAAGTCCTGGTTCAGCAGCAGCTTGAAGAAGACTACTTATGGAGCTCGCATTTGGCTTCAAACCAGCAATTTGCATTCTCTTCAATATCTCAATGGTACCTTTGTACAACCCCTTAAAAGCGTGGCCTGACAAAAGAGAGTTCCATGTCACTATATCTGGTTTCACACCACATCTCTCCATCTTCTCGACGAGAGCCATAGCATCTTCTACACAACCAAATGCAGTATAACTCGATATAATCGAGTTCCACGAAGACATGTCTCGTTCTTTCATCGAATCGAAAACTTTCCTGGAGGTTTCAAGCTTACCATTCCTTGAGTACATGATAATCAAGGAATTACACATTGACACGTTTGATTCAAACCCAAGTCTCAGAACGTACCCATGAATCTTTCTCCCTTCTGCTAAACCTTCTTTGTTGCTACAAACTTGTAAAAGCTTAACCATTGTTCCATCATAAGCTTTTGCAGCAGAAAACTGCATCTCTCTGAACAGTTTCACAGCCTTTTCCCATTTCCCACTCCGCAAATTCACCATCGTGATCTCGTTCCACGCGAGATCATCTCTTTTAGGCATTTCATCGAATATCTTGTTCGCGATATCCGAACTCACACATCTTCCATAGAAACTCATCAATGCAGAAACCAAACGAGTGTCAGAATCATCAAGCCCTCTCTTTATCAAACCGCCATGGATAGTGAAACCCAGCAACGGAGTCATCAGAAGATTCAGAACAGTACAGATTCTCAAAACCATTGCGAGAACGATTCCATCGAAATTTACTCCTCTGTTCTGTAGCTGAACAAAATGCTCTAAGACCATACCCTTCTCTAATCCGAAACTCTCGACCTCTTCTAAGAATTCTCTCCATGAAACTTGATTCCGAGGAAATCCCAGGAAGAAAACAGCACTAGCATACCCAAATTCTCCGAATTCAAGGTAACGAGAGATCAAGCACCTGCCAATGAACTCCAAGTCGAATCGATCGAACAGCTTTATCATCCGAGCATGAGTAGCTTTAACAGAAACCAAATTATCGCATCCATATAGCTCCTTCAACGGATGAACACCCCCGTGGGACGAAAGTTCCCAGCTTGAAGATGACGGTGCCAGAGAAACCGAGACTGGAACAGATTCAAACGACGCATGCTTGATGCCCAGAGACAAACAAGCCGAAGAATAATGATATCTTCGCTGTGACTGATGAAGAAACAAGGAGCTGTAACAATGGCGGAAAGTTACAGAGACGTTCTCCATTTTATTCACTCACACTTTCCCGGATAAGACGGATCTATCCGTTTTATTTAATTTCTCTATGAGCTTAAAACGCAGCGTTTTTATGTTTAAAGATTCACTGCAGAAGAAGAAGAAAGCAAATCCACTCCAGTCTCAAAAATGTTCTTACAACAAAGCAACAACATACATAAACATATGATTTTCCAAAGCTAATTGTGTTCATCTTCAAGAATGATACAACACAAAGTAAACATTTTTCCATACAACTACCACTTTTCTCTTGGAGTACCATCAGGGAACACAGGAGTAAGCACTTTCTCTTCCTTCTTTCTAGGACTACTTGAAGGACTCAGCCCAATCTTCACACCTTCTTCGTCTTCATCATCATCAAAGTTAGGAGGCACATCTTCTTCATCACTCCAATCACCATCATTGTCACCACCTCCACCTTCCAAGTAACCATCAACATCAGACCATTCTTCATCATCACTCTCTTCTCCTTCTTCTTCCTCCTCACCCTCTCCCTCGCTTCCTTCTTCGTCTCTCTTTGGTCCTCCCCTCCTTGGGAACCTCTGTACAGAAACAAGCGCCCGCATCTTCTCCTTCACCAGAGTCAAAGGATCTTTATCAATCAGCTCAGAGTTCCTGTAAGCTTCTCTCAAGAAAACCGAATCTCTTTCCCCTTTCAACGACACGTAGAACAGATCAGGATGTCTTATAAGCATTCCTCTTAGCTGCTGCGAGAACCTGAACTCCTCACGGAAATGAGTCAAGTGATCCACCAACGTTCTCTTCTCAGTCGTCAAGCTCAGAAGCTCATGAATAACCCCACAAGCATGCTTCTCCTTCTCCAGTGTTCCTGACCTCAAGTGAGCGAAGTCCTTGTAAGGAGACACATAAACCATGTCACGGAACTGACTTATCTTCCTCGTCTCACTCTTTGATAGATTGAGACCTCTCGGAAGCTTAACTCTATTGAACTTTGGCGGTCTATCAATAATCAAATTCCTCTCTTCATAATCTCTAGACTGAATATCTTCCTCAGATAACTCAGCAGCTGACACTGCAAGCTCAGGATCCCAATGAGTCAGCTCTAAAGCTGGACCTCTCTGAGTAGGAACTACACGGAAGTACTGCGGATAACGCTGACAAATCGTGTCCCGGAACTCCAAAGGAAGCCCTAAATCAGTCCTCAAATGAGAGATCTTCTCCAGTAGTATCCGCTTATCGATCGACATCATCACCAATTTCCTTAACTTAACAACTAACACATCTTCAAACTCATTCTTAATCTTCATCTCCTCAAGGTAAAGCCTTTCAGCCTCTGCTGTCATCTTGAACCTCAGTGAGTAAGCTCCTTCTTCAACTATCTCAAACACACCTGGGTATTTCCTAAGCAGAGCTATAAACCGACGACGTTTCTTCAACCCTAGATCTCTCCTGTACTTACCTAAACCCCTAAGAGACATCGTCCTATCGGGCTGGCTCACGAGAATCTTCCTAATGTTCAACACCAGTTTCAACTTCTTATCTCTTTGAACAACGTTATCGAAAGTAAGCTCTTTCCTTCTCTTCACAGCAGCTCTCACCGGCTCGACAACGACACGGGGCTTCTTAGAAGCGCTCCAAAACCCGTACTTGTTCCCCAAAATCAATCCTTCCCCCAAAAACTGAGACCTCGCAGCTCGAATTGTGGACATGGGTAAATGGGATTTGACGGAAAGGTGAGGTTTTTCATTGAACGGAGAGTTGCAAGAGACGAACAAGGGTTTGTGAGCAGAAAGCAGAAGCTTAGTCTCCATTTGTGAGACTCAAAGACTGTGAATTTCACCGGAGAAATGTTTTAATCTCTACGACGGAAAACATAAAAATGAGATTCGAATTTCAGATGATGCGTAGGAAAACAAAAATCTCACCTTATCGCTTCGTTTCAGTCTCTTCTTCGAAAGAATTGGTTTCCGGTGGATTGGGGTTTAACGATAAAAATCATAAAACCCTTCTCTTTTTCCAATTTTTCATCTTGAAGCATCTCTCTGTCTCTGATATCTTCTTATAGGTCTTGAACGTAATATTAGACGAGAAGAAAGGGTAAATATGGAATTACACTACACCAAAAGCAAATCTCCTGTCTTATCAGAAAACGATGTCGTTTCTTCACTAGTTCTTACCACCGCCGTGAGGAGCTCAATGGCGAGGAGGCGCGAGCGACGTTCACCGGCGACGGAGGATTCGGAACGGCGGAAGAACCGAGACGAGACGAAATCGCGAGATGGTCAGGTCGGAGAGCCAGAATCCGATCGGAGGCTCATCGCCATTTTCGTGATCTTCTTCATCGCTATTCCCGCTGTTTCGATGGTCGTATACAAAGTCAAATTCGCTGATCGAGTCGTCGTCCAAACGGAATCAACAATACGTCACAAGGGACTCGTTAAAACCGATATTCATTTCCAAGAAATCCTCACTGTGAGTACAATGTTGGGAATCCATTTACGAAAGCTGAAAACTTTTTAGGATGAATTTGAATCAAGTTTGCTATCAATTTGTGTTCAGGAACATTCCAAGGCTTCAGAGAATTCGTCAACTAGACACTATGATTATCCAGTGTTAGCTTACATTACGCCATGGTAGGTTTCAGATGTTAGATACTGAAATTTGAAATCTTTACTGGATTCATATGCTACCAATGCTGTGCAGGAACTCTAAAGGCTATGATATCGCAAAGACATTCAACTCCAAGTTTACGCATTTATCACCGGTATGGTACGATCTCAAGAGGTATATATCAGTTCCAAATGCTTACATTATCTCCGTGTTTCCAGAGAAAGTCTGTGACATTTCCGGTTTCTCGATTGTCTAATAGCCAAGGGAATGGATTGGTTTTGGAAGGGAGACATAATGCTGATAAGGGATGGATCCAAGAGCTTCGATCAAGAGGAAATGCGATGGTAGCGTAACAAATGCGGTCGCTTCTCTGTATTTATTTGTCCTTCTTTGATGGTTTGAATTTTGATTCTCTGTCATGTAGATATTGCCAAGAGTTGTTTTAGAAGCTATTCCTGGGGAGCTGCTTAGAAAAAAGAAACTAAGGGCAAAAGCTATCAACCTTATTGTCACTGAGTGCAAGTAAGTGTCTCTCAAAGTCTAAAGATGAAAGTTTTGAACTTAGAGCTTGTCATCATAATTGCCTTGTGCTCTAGGGAATTAGAATATGATGGTATCGTGCTAGAGTCTTGGTCAAGGTGGGCAGCTTATGGCGTTTTGCATGACCCGGACATGAGGAAAATGGTATTACAAGCATAAACCCTCATGGTCATAACTCACAAGTCTTTAGCCTTACATGGGATTTGTGTATTCATTTCTTCTAGGCACTGCAATTCGTTAAACAACTTGGAGATGCTCTTCACTCCACGAGCTCACCGAGGAATAACCAGCAACATATGCAGTTCATGTATGTGGTTGGTCCACCTCGTTCAGAGAAGCTTCAAATGTACGATTTTGGACCTGAAGATCTTCATTTCTTGAAAGATTCGGTCGACGGGTTCTCTCTAATGACCTACGATTTCTCAAGCTCCCAGAACCCTGGCCCTAATGCTCCTCTCAAGTGGATAGATCTCACCCTCAAGCTCCTACTTGGTTCATCCAACAACATAGACACAAACCTGGCAAGAAAAGTTCTTCTTGGTATCAACTTCTACGGCAACGATTTTGTAATCTCTGGAGGTATATGTTTATGATTATAAACCATCCAAGCTTTGTTCTCTTCCCGCCTTTTTTTTTTCAAAACTAACTGAAACAAGACTGTTTTCTTGTGATCAAGATTCAGGAGGCGGAGGAGCAATCACCGGAAGGGATTACCTCTCGCTGCTCGAGAAACACAAGCCAGCTATACACTGGGATAAAGAGAGCGGCGAGCATCTTTTCATGTATAGAGATGATAAGAAGATGAAGCATGCTGTCTTCTATCCTACACTGATCTCAATCCTTGTACGCCTTGAGAATGCTCGTCTCTGGGGTATCGGCATTTCCATCTGGGAAATCGGACAAGGTTTAGATTATTTCTTTGATCTTTTGTAAGTTTCTTACTTTGCACACACTCTTCTGTTTTCTTAATGTTTTACTATAAATCAAATGCTGAGGAACCTTTTGTAGCTAGTCTAGTCTCTCTAGATAAAGGGCGTTTTGGTAAATATGCAGAACCTTAATGTTCTGTGGCCACACATTTGACATGCAATTTTGGTACTAATAAGTATGTCACTCTGCTCTCCTCCTCCCACCAAAACATGATCAAGAGACATCTCATCCAATATGCCACGTGTCGAGCAAGCGGTGGCTAGGATTGATTACACAGTCCACGTCAGCTTACTAGAAACAGCTTCAGGCTAGTTCTCACACTTTCTTCTTCCACTTCTTCTTCTTCTTCTTTGATCTTTCTTAAAAGTTTGATGATTCGGAGAGGCCAGTAGAAAGAGAAAGAGTGAGAGAGAGAGAGACATGGAAGCTCTGAAAACCGCTAGCTTTAGCCCTATGTCGGTTTTATCCGAGAAAAGATCAGAACCACGAAAGCCTTTCTCGCTCCCTAATCTCTTTCCACCGAAATCACCGAAACCAATCTCACAAGAAAGCTTGTTTAAGAGCTTCAATGGCGGACTCGCTCTTCTAACCTCTGTTCTCAGCAGTGCAACAGCTCCTGCTAAGTCTCTGACGTACGAAGAAGCTCTGCAACAATCTATGACCTCTCCGTCATCTTTTGATTCTGACGGCTTTATCGATGGGATATCAAGTTTCGTCACGGACAATCCTCTGGTCATTGCCGGTGGATTTGCTGCATTGGCTGTTCCGTTTGTTCTGTCTCAGGTTCTGAACAAAAAGCCGAAATCTTTTGGAGTTGAGTCTGCTAAGAGTGCTTATACCAAGTTGGGTACTGATGAAAATGCTCAGTTGCTTGACATAAGAGCCACTGCTGATTTCAGACAAGTGGGGAGTCCCAACATTAAAGGTTTAGGTAAGAAAACGGTTACGACTGTTTATAACGGAGAAGACAAGCCTGGTTTTCTGAAGAAGCTTGCCTTGAAGTTTAAGGATCCTGAGAACACCACATTGTACATTCTGGACAAGTAAGGCTCTTGGACTCTCAAAGTTTTTCTCTTTTTATTGGATGAAAGTTACAAATATTGTTCATTAGCTGTTTAAATATCTGTATAACGTTGTAGTTGGAGAGAAACAGAGTAGCATTTTAGATGTTACACATTGTTGCTGTCAATAGTTAGTTTAATACAGTCTAATTGTGTGAATGGAAAGCCAGGTTTGATGGAAACGCCGAGCTTGTTGCAGAACTAGTGGCTCTAAATGGATTCAAATCAGCTTACGCCATTAAAGATGGTGCAGAGGGACCTAGAGGCTGGTTGGTATGTGTTCCTCTTCCTCTCTTCCCACATTGCTTTGCTCCTTCAAGTCAAAATTGTGATTTTCTTTTCTTTTTTCTGGTTTTGCAGAATAGCGGCTTGCCTTGGATAGAGCCAAAGAAGAATCTCAGTCTTGATTTGAGCAGTTTGTCAGATGGTATCAGCGGTGTATTTGGCGTGAGTATACACAGTTTTACATTCATTTAAGTTCCGTAATGAACATTTTGGGAAATGGTTTCAAAAGAGGAGAAACGTAAATGTATACAGGAGAGTTCTGGTGGCGTCTCTGTTGCTCTTGGAGTAGCTGCTGCTGCTGGATTAAGTGTTTTAGCATTTACAGAGGTCTGTTTTATCTCTCTTTCTCCATCTTCTTGGAGTAACTTCTAAAATCTCATCTCTGTCATCATCCCAACAGGTTGAAACTATACTCCAACTACTAGGATCAGCGGCGCTTGTTCAGCTTGCAGGCAAGAAGCTCCTATTCGCTGAGGCAAGTTCTTCTTACGCCGAGATTCGGTTTAAGTTTTGTTTCTTGGAATTGGTGATGTGTTGATGGTACTTTCTTTATATCCTCTACAGGACCGGAAGCAAACTCTAAAACAAGTGGATGAGTTCTTGAACACAAAAGTTGCTCCTAAAGAACTTGTTGATGAGTTAAAGGTAAAGTAACTTTTTAGATATCTCCATTGATTAGTGATGAAACAGTCAATAATTCAACATTGAGTAACAGGAAATTGGAAAGGCTCTTCTTCCTGCATCAACAAGCAGCAAAGCTCTTCCCGCACCAGCAGCAGCAGTAGCAGAAGAAGCAGCTACAACCACCACCACCACCATCGCTAAACCAGAACCTGAGCCAGAGACAAAGCCAGAGGAGATAAAACTAGAGCCAGAGCCGAAGCTAGAGCCAGAGCCAGCGATCAAAGCAGCCGCCACTGCACAAGTAATCTCAGAGCCAGAGCCAGCGGTTGAAGCCGCCACTGCACAAGTAATCACAGAAGCAGCCAAAACAGAAGCGAAACCAATATCTCATTCAAGACCTCTCTCTCCATATGCATCGGTGATGTTTCTACTCTTCTCCTGAAACCTTTTTTCACAGAATATCACATGAATAGGCTCATTTTAGTGGAAAAGGATGAAACTTTTTAAATCTGATGTATGTCTTTCTTGGCTCTTTTGCAGTACCCTGACTTGAAGCCTCCAACATCTCCGACACCATCGCAGCCTTGAAAAGCCCTTATAAAAAAACAGCCACCTTTGTACTTATTCTGGTTTTCCCTCCTTTTCTTTTCGCTTTTTTTTTTTTTAACTTCGAGAAACCTTGTGTCGAATCTGAGCTATGTGTACTCTGTTTTTTTGTTTCATTTTATACTGCCATTGTTGATACTGTGGTCTTAAGAATTGCCAGTTCCAATAAAATAATCGTTGACTAAGAAAACGTCAAATATATTAATTGTGCGCTAACAAGGAAGGGCCGGCCCATCTTTGGCCCAGTTCTGAATGAAAAATTCTTGTCGGCAGGGAAAGTTTGTATCTTAAAAAATTAAATTGATTCGAGCGGGAAAAGTGGAGAATAAAAACTTGGTTACGACATGATCAAATCAACTTCTTTTGTTTTTGGTCGAAATCACATCAACCATGAGCCGAAAATTCCCTAATCAAAGAAGTAACTAGAACTGAAAATGATTTTCGATACAAGACAAATACCTAATCACCAAACATAAGAGATCCCTTTGGATTTTGCATCACCAGAATGTGTAGTAAAGAGCTTGTAAAGTTAGCTAAAAAATTCTTTCTTTTTCTTTGCATTTAGCTAAGAGTGCTTTTCTTCTTTCTTCTTATTCACGATTGTTTTTCAATCGTGGTTCTTTTTCAAGTTGGATCTTATTCTCATAATCTTGTTATTAAGAAATCCATATCTAAACCGACTCGTCTTTTGGTTGATTGTTTGATCATCGAGAAGTCGCTTAAAAATATGTATCGTAAGCTAAAGTTTCACAAATATATTGGGAGTTAACACATGGGACGGGACATTAATCAAAGCTTCTGATAGTCAAAAGGAGGGGTTAAGGATAGATATATATGGTCCTTTAGGCTTTATTGGACGAGCTAAAACTTGGGTGGAAGGTTTTCAAAAATCTTGTAATTACAGGAGATTTATTCAACGATCTCTTTCTCTCTCTTAGTCGGGATTCCCTTAACCAAAAGGTTATAAAGGCTTCGTGAAAAGTTTGACATATACTTGAGCATAAACATATCCGTCAGGAATCAATGTTGTGTTCTTATAATGATGCATAGACCCTTTAGCCGATTATGTAGACGTTTAATGAATTATTTAAACTATTAGTTGAAACATCTCTAGCCTTTTAGTTTATTGTTTGACTGAATAATTAGTTCGTTTTGTGTAACAATCAACCAATCTACTTATCTCACGATCATAGTGATTAGAAGCTATTTGTCAAAATTCTATGTGTCATTTAATTAGGTTTTTTCACCATGTAGCTTATTTATTAAGATGGTTAGCAACATCTAATCATTTCAGTAAATTGGACAATGAATACCTTCAAACATAAAGTACATAAATCATTTATAAAAGTAAGGTTTACATCATTTCGAATTATGATTCCCCCAATCATGTCTCTTCAAAATTTGAGATAGGTTCCATCACCACAACTAGATGAATGTCAGTAGTACTTGTTCGTGGATCATGCAAAAATGGTCCTAATTTTGGCTTTAAGCCAAAATATAGTGGTCCTAACAACAAGCCACGTGTCGTGAATTCGCTACAACTGCTTTATTAGTTCAGTTTTTTGTTCACCACCATTATCTTGCTTATATCTAAGACTGACCTATACAAACCATAAATATTTCATTTAATTACAAGTATACGAAGGAATTAAATGGGAATATCCACAACGGAAAAAACTATTTTTAATCCCAAGCAAACTTTCAACTTAACTTTTCTTTTCAGTGCTAACAATATATTCTCAATAAATTCGGAATTTAATTGTGAAAGGCAGAAAGAGAAAAGTTATTTTTTGTGGGTTTGATAATCCCATAAAGTGGTCCTGTTCGTTAATGATGAATGACTCTAACTGTAGTCTGTAAGACTGTAACGTTGCATTATGTAGATTTTTAACTTTTTTCAATTAACTGAGGTAGTTCGTTCCATTAAATATCAAAAATATATATGGATGATATATTGACGTTTCTTAGATCACGGTCTTATCTATTAGATTTCGAATTCACATAATTTTTTTGTTTTGACTTTTGTCACATGATAACGATAATTTTTTAAATAATGATGAGTAAATCGTTATAAATAAACTGATAATTTTAGCTGATAACGGAGGAGTAAATGAAGTCACGGTACATGTGATTTTTATTGGTGTCAAGGTACGAACAATAATGATTTAACTAATGAAAACAGAAACCAATTTAGTAAATTAAGATTCCTCTACGTACAGATAAACCGACCAAACCCGTTAGTTACCTGATTCGGTTGCTATAAATAGCAAGGTTGGTTCGTGTGCTTCCTCTGAAAAAACGCACTTCTTCTTCTTTTTCTCACGTCAATATATAACGTTAATACGGTGCGTTTGATATGGATAAGCATCTCAGGACGAAGCAACCCAAGACCAACCCCATTGTTGCTTATTCTTCCTCTGCATCTGAGGGTAAGCAAAAGCAACCCAAGATCGACTAACCCCATCATGTTTAATTTTTTTTTTTTTTTTAACGTTTGTATATGTTGAGAAATGTTAACTTACGTGGAGCAGAAGTGAGTAGTCTTGAGTGGGAAGCTGTGAAGATGAATCAAGATGAAGAAGATTTGGTCTATAGAATGCATAAGCTTGTCGGTGACAGGTTTGATCCTTTAAATTAGTTAATAAGTTATTACCGACTACAATTGTTGCATTACTTTGTATGTAAAATAATTAATACTTAAAAGTGTTTTTTCCCCCTTTTTTTGATGAAAGGTGGGATTTGATAGCTGGGAGGATTCCAGGAAGAACTGCTGAAGAAATTGAGAGGTTTTGGGTCATGAAGTATGGTAACTGAATTCTCTGAAGATTCACTGATTGCATAAGATAATTTACCAGCTTTTGTAACTGTAATAAGAACATTTCTTAAATATTCAAAGTTTTGAACCACTTGTTTATTAGTATGGTCTATGGAATATTTGGGCCTTTCAAGAGAAGAAAGAAACATTGCTGGACTTCATATACCAATCATCGCCTAGCGAATTTCCTTGGCCCAAAATTTACATCTAACTAAATTTTCTCCTGATAAAGTTGGTTATACAAATATGAATAGATCAAAAAAAGAGGTGTTGATAATAGAAAGTATTGAAGTAATAAATATTACTTACTTACTTCTCATTCTAGAAGGAAAGAATGTGTGCAGTATTTCCATTTTCCACCACATGCTTAAACGCTTGACACGTAGGAAAGTGGCAAAATAATAACCTACTTCAAAACAAAAGTGGACGTCGTTTTACGAGTTATAAAATGACATGCTGTCTTTAGGTCCCACTCATGTTTATGTTTCTTGTCACTTAACGCTATTTCACCTACTCCACACACTCTTATTCTCTCTTCTTCATCCACCTCTTGATTTTGTATCTTAAGTTTGATCGGTAACCACTAAACGGACTTTATCAAGTCAAAACGCATCTCTGATTACAAAGCAAAGTAATTTATTGTTTTGTAAGTTTGTAACTGAAGACATTAGTGTTTGCCATTTTGCTCCAACTCTCTTTGGTGGGCTTTCAACTTTGAGACCACAAGACTAAGTGCCTTTCTTGAAGACCCATCATCCTTCAGCACCCTACAAGCTCCTTCCTTCATTTCCTTCATCCTATTCCTCACTCCTTTACCTTCTTTCCCTTCTATCAATCCTTTCACCGCTCGAGCCACCTCTTCTCTTCTCACTATCCCATCATCCCCAGCACGTGCCCTTAGCGCCACATGGATATCTTCGGTCAGCAAAACCGCATTCATCTTTTGCTCAGCATACAATGGCCATGCTATGAGTGGAACACCACTTACTATACTTTCTAGAGTCGAGTTCCATCCACAATGAGTCAAAAACCCTCCGGTGGATGGATGGGCTAGGATTTGGGCTTGTGGAGCCCATAAAGGGATAACAAAACCTCTGCCTTTGGTTCGTTCTAAGAACATCGGTGGTAAAAATGTTAATGGTTCGGTTTGACCATGTGAATCCAAATACCAAGCATCAGCGATCCCACTCGGACTCCGTATGACCCAAAGAAACCGTTGCTCGCTCTCCGCAAGACCATGAGCAAGCTCATTGAACTGCTCACGTGTGAGGGTACCGCCACTACCAAAAGATACATACAAAACCGAACCGAGCGGTTGTTTATCTAACCACTTTAAACAATCTGATTCTTCGATCGGATTAGCCTCTTGCTTTCCAATGTTAACCAACGGTCCAACCGGATAAACTGATGGTTTATCAAGACCCGGTTCTTGCAAAGCCTTCAAAACATTTGGCTCTAGCTCGGAGAAGGAATTCACAAGAATCCCTTGGGCTTCTTTGTACCTCTTGGTGTTATGGAGAAGCCATTTGTATGCGTCATCTTTCCGGTCTTGGGCCGGGTCAAGAACATCTTTCCCCATTAACGGTACACACCCAGGGAGCTTAACCGGTTCGGTTAATTCCTTAAACTCACAAGACATCGTTTCGTCGAGTTTAGGCAAATGAAGATAAAACGACAGAGTGTTGGCCGCTGATGGGTAGAAAATATACGGTGAAACGTGGAACTCTACGGCCACGTCGAAAGCGTCCGTACCGAAGAGATCGACGACGAGCCCCGTCGGCAAGCGACCTTCCGCCTCAAAGGTGTCAAAGACTCGGCGGAGTTCCGGGATTGAACGAGAGACGGTGAGCGAGATCCGAGTTTCGACGCGAGTTGACGACGGGAGATCGGTAAGATCGGCAGGAGGGAGGAAGACGGAGGAGATTGATGAAGGGAGAGATTCGACGATGGTTCTTTGAGCTTTTGACGGCGGACCTTCTCCGCTGATGACCAAGGTTACGGTGAAGCCGTGGCAGTTAACGAGTCGTTTGGCGAACTCGACGAGTGGGATGAGGTGACCCATTCCGGGACTCTGTATGATCGCAATATGAGGCGCTTTTGATTCCTCCATTGATGAAATGCTTCAAGAATTTCTTCTTTTTGACTCCTTTTTATATTTTTCTTTTGTAATTTATATGAGGTATTGAGCAATGGCTTTATATAGAGAGTTCGGGTCGTGTGTATCAATGAAGGGCACACCAAACCACAAACATTTATTTATGGTCCCACGTTGATAATATAAGTAAATGACACCATAAATTGTACGGGCCACTGGGGAGAGCCAATTGAGACATGGAACTCTATTAGCAGATTACGAAATTCTAATAGAGTACATCGAAATCTCCATCGACAGGAACGGACGAATTCGAGGAGGACAAAATACAAACGATTAAGCATTTACTTATTGAAAGCAATCGGAAAAGAAGGAAATCTGTGAGCATCTTCGCCGTGAGAACTGAGAGGTTTCTAGATGGTCTTAATTGAAAAAAATTAAACAATACAGTATAATTTTTTTGTTATATAAAAATAAACAATTCGAGCTACTTCCTTCTCCTTGAAGGGCACACCAAACCACAATATACTGCAAACATTTATTTTTGGGATGGGTTCCCATCACCCACAAGTAAATGAATGTCAGTAGTACAAAACATGAAAATGGCTTGGATACTTTTTTTTTCTTTTTTTTTTTATGGCTTGGATACTTTGTATGAGAAAAACAATTAATAACTTAACTATATCATATGTGTTTATTCTTCCCCTTTTTTTTTATGAAAGGTGGTAACTGATAGCTGGGATGATTCCCGGAAGAACGGCTGAAGAAATTGAGAGGTTTTGGGTCATGAAGAATGGTAACTGAATTCTCTGAAGATTCACTGATTGCATATTATAATTTACCAACTTTCATAACTGTAATAAGAACATTTCTTAAATATTTGAACCACTTGCTTATTTGTATGGTCTATGGGAATATCTAGGCCTTTCAAGAGAAGAAAGAAACACTGTTGGACTTCATTTACCAATTATCGCCAAGCGAATTTCCTTGGCCCAAATTGAACATTTTATTAATTCTTCTCGAAAAAGGTTGGTAACTTGATACAAATATGAAAAGGTCAGAGAGTGGTTGATAATAGGAAGTATTGAAGTAGAGCATGTTTATCGGCATATCTTAGAGGTGTCTCTTAGTTAAATTGGGCAATTTTTTAAATCAAAAAGAAAAGAAAACAAAGAAAAACGTAGCTTATATAAGGGACAATGAGCAACAATAAGCGACGCTTGACACGTAGGAAAGTTGTAAAATTGTGTAGTGTGTACAGTACAGTATTTCCATTTTCCACCACATGCTTAAACGCTTGACACGTAGGAAAGTGGCAAAATAACCTACTTCAAAACAAAAGTGGACGTCATTGTACAAGTCATAAAAAGACATGCTGTCTTTAGGTCCCACTCATGTTTTGTGTTTGATGTCTTCTAACGCTATTTCACCTACTCCACAAACACACTTATTCTCTATTCTTCATCCACTTCCGAGTTTTTTCCCCTCTTAGAGTTTGATCGGTTACTACTAAACGGACTTTATAAAGTCAAAACACATCACTGATAACAAAGCGAAGTAATCAATGGGTTAATTTGTAACTGACACACTAGTGTTTGAAGTGGTTCAATACTCATCACTTAACCATCTACTTTCAGCTTTTAACCAAACTTTGAACCAATTGGACTTTTACAAAGTGTACATCATAACGATCATATTAATTGAAGGTGTCTAATTCAGTTTGAAACTTTTTTTTGAACAACATTTCACTAGATTAAACAAAAAAATCAAAAAGTGCGCCATCTTCTTCAAACGGATCGTAATTGCACCAACTAACCACCAACTAATGAAAAGGCAAAATCATTTACAAAGGGAAAAGTATGACATTATTACACAAAGACAGTTGCACATATCCCACCGTTGGTTTATACAAATCATATCACACATAAATACTTAGTGTTTGCCATTTTGTTCCAACTCTCTTTGGTGGGCTTTCCACTTTGAGACCACAAGACTAAGTGCTTTAGCAGAGGACCCATCATCCTTCAACACCCTACAAGCTCCTTCCTTCATTTCCTTCATCCTATTCCTCACTCCTTTACCTTCTTCACCTTCCATCAATCCTTTCACCACTCGAGCCACCTCTTCTCTTCTCACCATCCCATCATCCCCCACACGTGCCCTTAGCGCCACGTGGACATCTTCCGTCAGCAAAACCGCATTCATCTTTTGCTCAGCATACAATGGCCATGCTATGAGTGGAACACCACTTACTATACTTTCTAGAGTGGAATTCCAACCACAATGAGTCAAAAACCCTCCGGTGGATGGATGGGCTAGGATCTGGGCTTGTGGAGCCCATGACGGGATCACAAAACCTCTACCTTTGGTTTGTTCTAGGAACAACGGTGGTAAAAATGTTAATGGATCGGTTTGACCATGCGAATCAAAATACGAAGCATTAGCGATCCCACTCGGACTCCGTATGACCCAAAGAAACCGTTGCTCGCTCTCCGCAAGACCATGAGCAAGCTCATCGAACTGCTCACGCGTGAGTGTACCGCCACTACCGAAAGATACATACAAAACCGAACCTAGTGGTTGTTTATCTAACCACTTTAAACATTCTGATTGTTCGACTGAGTTAGCCTCTTCCTTACCAATGTTAACCAATGGTCCAACCGGATAAACTGATATTTTTTCAAGACCCGGTTCTTGCAAAGCCTTTAACGCATTTGGCTCTAGCTCGAAGAAGGAATTCACAAGAATCCCTTGGGCTTCTTTGTACCTCTTGGTGTTATGGAGAAGCCATTTGTATGCGTCATCTTTCCGGTCTTGAGCCGGGTCAAGAACATCTTTCCCCATTAACGGTACACACCCAGGGAGCTTAACCGGTTCGGTTAATTCCTTAAACTCACACGACATCGTTTCGTTGAGTTTAGGGAAATGGAGAAAAAACGACAAAACGTTGGCCGTTGATGGGTAGAAAATATACGGTGAAACGTGGAACTCTACTGCCACGTCGAAAGCGTCGGTGCCGAAGAGATCGACGACGAGGGCCGTCGGCAAGCGACCCTCCGCCTGAAAGGTATCAAAGACTCGGCGGAGCCCCGGGTTCGAACGAGAGACGGTGAGCGAGATCCGAGTTTCGATGCGAGTTGACGACGGGAGATCGGTAAGATCGGCAGGAGGTAGGAAGACGGAGGAGATTGATGAAGGGAGAGATTCGAGGACGGTTCTTTGAGCTTTTGACGGTGGACCTTCGCCGCCGATGACAAAGGTTACGGTGAAGCCGTGGCAGTTAACGAGTCTTTTAGCGAACTCGACGAGTGGGATGAGGTGACCCATTCCGGGACTCGGTATGATCGCGACATGAGGCGCTTTTGATTCCTCCATTGATGCAAAGCTTCAAGAATGTTTTCTTTTTGTAGTAGTTTGTGATTGTCTAACTTTTTTATATTTTTCTTTTGTAATTTATGAGGTATTGAGTAATGGCTTTATATAGAGAGTTCGTGTCGTGTGTATCATTAGCAGGAGAAAATAGATTTTTTTCTCCTATTTATTTATTTTTAGTGTTTGTAGAATGCTCGTTGTCGTGACCATGATCGTATATATATAAATGTATTTATAATAACTATTACATAGGGAAAAAGATAATTCATATATTGTGATTTTCATGTAAGTAGAGAATAAAACCTTCAATTGTGGAGGTTTTCATATAGATATATTTTTAGCAAACAAAAAAATGGGTTTGATATTTATTTCAATTACAAAATGGGATTGATATTTTATACGTGACGCATATAAATTCATAATGATATAATTATATGTTCAATTATTGGATAGGGGTTGGGAAATTGTTGAAAATCAGGAGGACCAGCCTTTTGTGATTGTGGGTCAAAATATGTGTGCGTGTGAAATGTGATGAGCATACGTGTGTGACTATGATGAAATGCAAACGTAATGCTGCTGCAATGATTTTTTTGTTTTTCCTTTTCTCCACAAAACTGAATATATTTTTCTTTCGCTTCTTTTATAGCAACTGCGTTCTCCTCCTCTTTGTCAGACATTTATTCTACGCTTTTTTTTCTTGGCTAAAGTTTACTAAACTGTATACATATTAAAAATGGCTTCTTCAANAGCGATCCCACTCGGACTCCGTATGACCCAAAGAAACCGTTGCTCGCTCTCCGCAAGACCATGAGCAAGCTCATCGAACTGCTCACGCGTGAGTGTACCGCCACTACCGAAAGATACATACAAAACCGAACCTAGTGGTTGTTTATCTAACCACTTTAAACATTCTGATTGTTCGACTGAGTTAGCCTCTTCCTTACCAATGTTAACCAATGGTCCAACCGGATAAACTGATATTTTTTCAAGACCCGGTTCTTGCAAAGCCTTTAACGCATTTGGCTCTAGCTCGAAGAAGGAATTCACAAGAATCCCTTGGGCTTCTTTGTACCTCTTGGTGTTATGGAGAAGCCATTTGTATGCGTCATCTTTCCGGTCTTGAGCCGGGTCAAGAACATCTTTCCCCATTAACGGTACACACCCAGGGAGCTTAACCGGTTCGGTTAATTCCTTAAACTCACACGACATCGTTTCGTTGAGTTTAGGGAAATGGAGAAAAAACGACAAAACGTTGGCCGTTGATGGGTAGAAAATATACGGTGAAACGTGGAACTCTACTGCCACGTCGAAAGCGTCGGTGCCGAAGAGATCGACGACGAGGGCCGTCGGCAAGCGACCCTCCGCCTGAAAGGTATCAAAGACTCGGCGGAGCCCCGGGTTCGAACGAGAGACGGTGAGCGAGATCCGAGTTTCGATGCGAGTTGACGACGGGAGATCGGTAAGATCGGCAGGAGGTAGGAAGACGGAGGAGATTGATGAAGGGAGAGATTCGAGGACGGTTCTTTGAGCTTTTGACGGTGGACCTTCGCCGCCGATGACAAAGGTTACGGTGAAGCCGTGGCAGTTAACGAGTCTTTTAGCGAACTCGACGAGTGGGATGAGGTGACCCATTCCGGGACTCGGTATGATCGCGACATGAGGCGCTTTTGATTCCTCCATTGATGCAAAGCTTCAAGAATGTTTTCTTTTTGTAGTAGTTTGTGATTGTCTAACTTTTTTATATTTTTCTTTTGTAATTTATGAGGTATTGAGTAATGGCTTTATATAGAGAGTTCGTGTCGTGTGTATCATTAGCAGGAGAAAATAGATTTTTTTCTCCTATTTATTTATTTTTAGTGTTTGTAGAATGCTCGTTGTCGTGACCATGATCGTATATATATAAATGTATTTATAATAACTATTACATAGGGAAAAAGATAATTCATATATTGTGATTTTCATGTAAGTAGAGAATAAAACCTTCAATTGTGGAGGTTTTCATATAGATATATTTTTAGCAAACAAAAAAATGGGTTTGATATTTATTTCAATTACAAAATGGGATTGATATTTTATACGTGACGCATATAAATTCATAATGATATAATTATATGTTCAATTATTGGATAGGGGTTGGGAAATTGTTGAAAATCAGGAGGACCAGCCTTTTGTGATTGTGGGTCAAAATATGTGTGCGTGTGAAATGTGATGAGCATACGTGTGTGACTATGATGAAATGCAAACGTAATGCTGCTGCAATGATTTTTTTGTTTTTCCTTTTCTCCACAAAACTGAATATATTTTTCTTTCGCTTCTTTTATAGCAACTGCGTTCTCCTCCTCTTTGTCAGACATTTATTCTACGCTTTTTTTTCTTGGCTAAAGTTTACTAAACTGTATACATATTAAAAATGGCTTCTTCAAATATCCTGGGACATCATGGCGACGATAAAAAGGCATATAATCATTCATCGTTAGATTAGACTTTGCATTTGTTTGAGTGAAGAAAGGTGAAAGTGGGAATTATCTCAAAGCTCATAATTATTGTAATCATTTACTGAATTGAATATGTCCCGCCAAATCGTAATCAACAAAAAAACCTATCAAAACAATATTTGTGGACGATGATAATTGCCAATTCGACTTGTGCATCAACAGTTTGTCGATTTGTAATGAAATAATATTGTTATTTGCCGAGCTAAAAATTATAGTCACATGAAAGAAGAGTGGTGACGAGTGGTTGGAATTTGACAATTTATTCTTCTTATTTTAAAAACCAAATTTGTTAATGTGTCAGTTTGAACGAGTATATAGGTAGCACTAACTCAAAAGAACTACGAAGTCTATAAAGCTGTCGCATCAATACAACTTTTAAACAGATATGTTATAATAACCTCATGCATAAATATAAAACTGTATATGTATTATTCATTCATTTATATATTTCAGCGAGTTATACAAATAATACAGTTGTTATCGCTACCGAGTGAGCCAAAATAAATCTATAATCAATTTTAGAAGACGAATAAATCAACATTATTAAATTATGCATTATTCCTTTGGAAGATATCTGGCAAAAGATTCTGAAATCGAAATCGAATGTTTTTATTAAAAAATAAAAATAAATTACCGAATATTTGTCGTATGGCATATGTCATTCGTGACGACTGACGGAGGAACGATCCCCACACTAGCTATAAAACAAAAACGGCACGAGAGTGTCAGCTGAAGAAATTGAATGGCATGGTGTTTTTTAACGGAACCGGGAATACTACAAAACGGCATCTTAATGGAAGGCCCAATAGGTTGGCTTTTTAAAGACCTTGAGCCCACCGCAATAAAACGTCGTCGTATGAATGAAAATTTTAATATTACACTGCGACCAGACACGCACCGTATTATTTAATACTGAAGACCGTTACAAAATTACAATATACAGAAATAGCTAGCTGGAAGATGATTGGCTACAAACGGTTTTCAATCGTAGAGGCTACTTTTCGACATTTGGTTTGCTTTCATACCGTTCCCGGTTAAGAATGGTTTCCACCACAATATCATTCCACGAATCGATTGGACCGGGTAAGCACCAATGCAGACAATCATTCTGAACAGAGCTCTTATCCTTCACTCCATCAAAAGGATTCGGATGCCGGTACGGTCCCGGATGGCCGTCTGGTCGGAGAAGAGACATCGCCGTCGTGTCTAACAGTCTCAAATTCGAACCTAAACCGAAACCTCCTTCACCTAACTTCTCAAACACGTCAAGCTCAACCTCACGCATCACATCATCAACGGTTTTCAACTTGGCCTCGTCTTGTTTAAACGGCATCGTTCTGTTGCAGTACCCACCGGTGTTCCACTCTCCGTTTTCGAAATGGTCAGGTGTCGTGGTCCGGAACAGAACCATCGGTTTGTGCGGCGAGCTAAGGACGAAGTCACGGAGAAGGGTTAGGGTTTTGCGGTAGGAGTAATCGTAGCCGAGATCGGTGAGGTTGTTCTGGCCTTGGCAGTAATGGCAGCCTGTGACTGTGTTGTTCTCATGGAAGATGGTGGTTTTGAGGAACCATTTGCCTCCAGAGATGACAACATAATCGAATTTCGCATATTGGTCGGTCCATTTGCGGTCGAGCTGGTCTAGGTAAAGCTGGATATCGGAGCTTCCAAGCGTTTCTGATCTGAGAAGAAACGGAGACCAAACGACAGAGAGTGTGAAGTTGTGAGAAGGGAATCTCCAAATCTTGGATCTAAACTCTTTATCGTGATAGATCTCAACCACTTCTTCTACCTGCAAACTCAAAGAAAGAATCAAAACCGTTAAGTAGTAGATTTCTTGGAGTGTAAGGAAACGTTTGATTGATACAGAACCTGAGAGAGGATGCAGATGAGAGACTGGACGTGGTTACGAGCGATGGAATCGCCGATGAGAGCTAACCATTTGTTCCTCACTGTGTGGAGAAACTGCGATGGAGTGAACCTAGGAAGATCACAGTCGCGAGGCTTCCATCTCCAGAAGAGATAGTTCACATCTGGCCGTCCATTCATGAGACAGTTCTGGAAATCTTGGATGTGGTGACATGAGAGGTTTGTGTAGAGAGGACCTGATGGATCTGGAATCCAATCTCCAGTGAAAAGATCACACTTTGCTGATGAAACTGCGAACAATGTTCACACAGGCATTTGATCAAACACATTGTAAACACAACAACGTAACCCTAAATTAGAAGTTTATTTCCAAAATTAAACACCAAAAAAACCCTAAAACTACGTAATTCTTCTCATGTTTTCATAATTCTTTGTTCGTTAATTCGTTATCTTCTCCAGAGTCCATAATTCACTGGAAATTGAAGCTGGGAAACAAGAATTACCGTTTCCGGAAGCAGAGTCTGGCGAATTTGGGGAAGTTGGAGAAATGGTGAAACTGGAGATGATGAAATAGTAAGCGAAAAAGATGAGAACGAAGTAAACGAAGAATTTGACGAAGGGTCGATGGCTATGAGAGGAGGTGGAGGAGGAGGAAGAGGAGGAGGAGGAGGAGGAGGAGGAAGAGGGAAGAGAAGAGTATTCTATGATTTCGAGATTGTTGGCGCCTTTTGGGCTATTAGGCAGTAACAATGTTAATTGCTGTTCCATTGAAGAAGAAGAGAATAGTGAATCTGTGTTCGCTGGTTGGCGTATTGAATGGTTTTATATTTAGGCTTGAGAGATGATGATGATGATTAGGTTTGAGATGAAAAACGCACAGGATCTTTGTGGTCAAGATTCAAGAAGAAGCAGATGATTTTCGCTTTTTTATTTTCTTTTAAGTTTGTAAATACTTAATACTTGTACACGTCATACTATACACGCTAAAGTATAATTTTGGTTTTGGCATGATTCTCTTATATTAGATTAAAAAAATCAAGTACGAGGAAAAGTAATATTCTTTTGTTAAATCATTACATGTGAAATTCATTTTAGTTGAAAACTAGTATAATCTAACACGTATAGTTTCTATTTAAGGAATAAGTAAGGATTTGCACCCAAAAACAAAAAAGAATAAGTATATATATATTTTTTTTCACTATTTCTTTATGCACATGCATTTGCTTATGGTCCTCACGCCTTTTATCATCTTTGGTTGTATCTCGCGACTGCCATTCGATACAACAATATTCTCAACAAGCAAGCAACACATATTTTCGATATCTTATTCTTGGGGGTTTCAACGTTATGTATTTCATCCATCTTGTTTATGTTCTCATCTAGTGATTCCAAATCCCTTACGCCAATGGTTACACTGCATATATTTGTTAGGTTATGCGTATTTTACTGCTTAAGGAATAAAAAGAGAGATTCGAGAATAAGGAATCTAGAAATTGTATAGATAATTAATTTTGTGATTCTACGTTGCAAGGAAACTCTAATCACTTGGCGTTTCAACTCGAAACGTTTCGGAAACGGAACAAGATGGAAACGCGACGGAAACGCATGGAAACAAGTCTCTTGAAATTCTCTATTTGGAAACTCGGTGGAAACGTCTCCATGGTTTCGATTCTACATGGTCTCCTTGTCCTTTTGTCTTTCCAATTTAAGGAATAAGTACAGATTTGTTTAGCTATTATTTATGTGAAGCACATGCATAGCTTTTGGTCCTCACGCTTCTTATCTCATATTTGGTTGTATCTGAGTATCTCCACAGACTCCACTGCCCTCCGATACAACAATCTCAAACCATTCCTCTAAACTGGAACTTGTGTAGCAAAAAGCAGCACATATTATAATATTTGGGGGGTTTCAATGTTATGTTTGTGAATCGTGAGGCTTTTTTTTTTTGTTAGGTCGATTAGTTGTTTTAATTTTTATATCTAAGGAAATAATATAACTTTTTTGCTTTGGTTTCAGTATTTGATACTGTTGATTATTGGACAGTGTGGCTCGTTTTTTTCTCCCCTGCTTTCTCATGCTCGATACTAGTTCTAGTTGTGATTTTGTTCTTTCTCTACTTTTGTAAGGAGAAATGAACGGACCACGAGACCCGTTAAGAACATATTATCTATCTTGTTTGCTATCGATACTGGACCCATGGGTGTACACTCTGTTTGTCATATAGTGCCCACTAAAAAAAACGTGCAGAACTAGTCTATAACAATAAGAGGAAGTGTACAAATTCAGCAAAAATAATAAAAGATTACTGAAAAAGAAAAGAGTTTAAATAGATGAGAAGTCATAATTGTCATTAGAAAAAGTTCGTAATCAAACTTCACATAATAAGAAAACCAAACAACGGTATAGATTGGATTTTTTTAATACTACTATCTAACAGTATGATCCAAACAATATAATCCAAGGGAAACAGTGTGATAAAATGTATTTTTTGTTTAATCTATTTTTGGCTTACCAACGTCAGCAAACCCAACTCGTATTTTACACGAGTGAACAACACCCCCAAGCCAGTCTCTAACAGCCTTGGTGTCCTTTTTCAGCTCAGCTAACATTGACTTGGTGTCCTTATTCAGTTCAGCTACTATTTCCTTGATGGATAGATCACCTTCTTGGACAGTGGTCGCCTTTTTCATCTCAGCTACTAATAACTTGGTCTCTCTACTCAGTTCAACTATTATTTCCCTGAAGGATAACTCACATTGTTGGACTCCAATATCATCAACAGTTGGTTTCTTTATCTCTTCATGCTTCTCCTTCAAGCACTCTAGTTTGAAGCCTGCTTCTTTGCGCTCGGTCAAATTGTGTAGCTCAGGCTCGGAAAAGCTATATATGGAATCATAACAAATAAGATGTTTATTGCATTTATCCGATGAGTCAAGAAGAAACACAAGCACACTTTGAATTTATATCTATTTACCGTGTTAAGAATTTTGCTGATGAATCTTTCTCCGAGTAGTTATCAATCTCAAGCGTTAAACTTGTTGTACGTTTTTGATCCTCCATTTGCTTTGTCTCACACAAACTTGTATTTGATATATATAAAATTCATAAACCTGAAAAATAAAATCCAAAAATCTAATCAGCTTTCTTTAAATGGGGAATGTAACAAGAACTATGCGTTTCCAATTAGAAAGCCAACCTATCTGTATGTATATATATACTTGTTGGAGAAGACAAATCAACACAAATATGAAGAAGGAAACAAGATCTAACAAGAAACTTTTGTGTATTTGGTTCCAGATCAAATTCCGATTGTAAAGGACTAAAATTATAAAGAGAAAGAATCAAGCCATCATATATATTAGATGATTAACAACAGCGATGAACAAGCAATTCTAGACCTAATTAATTATAACGCATTCAGATTCTAAGACCTAGAAGCCAATGATCGACGTTGTTAAGATCGAGCTTTTTTTTAGTTTGATTAATTGTATACCAGAAACTGAAGGGCAAACCAGATTGATTATTGTACACCCGTATAGTTTTGATGTAAAAGCACTACAAACAAAGCACAAAAACAGTTTAGTATCTCTTCTTTGATCAAATGAAAGAAAATATTGGGAATTATTTGAAAGTCTGAGTTTTTAAGGATGGTAGTGAAACCTGTTGATGCAAAATCGTTTTCCGGTTGGGCGTGGACCGTCATCAAAGACATGACCAAGATGGGCGTTACAAACAGCGCAGACAACTTCTTGTCTAGGCATGAAGATGATAGATAGGTCAAGCTTCGTCTTCACATTGTTTCCAATTGTTTTGTAATAAGATGGCCACCCTGTTCCACTATCAAACTTCGTCGATGAGCTGCAAGAAAATTATCACATTCATCATCATCAGGGGCACAAATTCAAGAAAATTAGCTTCCTATGTTCAACTAGAAGGAACTTACTCAAAGAGAGGTGTGTCACAACATACACAATTGTATACTCCTGGGGTCTTTGTGTTACAATACACTCTGAAAAAAACAAAAGATGTTAATTAACTTCAAAAATGTTGACTACAGGATTTGAGACAATTTAAAAGGTCATTGTGATGATGTTTAAAAGGACCAAAACTTGGATTAGGAATGATTACATACCCAGTGAAAGCTCTCTCTGTTCCCTTTTGTCTGGTGACGTAATATTGTTCTGGTGTGAGCCGTTTCTTCCATTCGTCTTCGCTTAGAGAAGTAAAGCCACTCTTCTCAGCTTCTGCACATCAAAGAGTTCTCTTTAACCAAATTTGTCATAATCAAATGAGTGACACAAATGTAAATTTAGCTGATCTAAGCTCTCTTCCAAACATCAAAATCATCAAACATAACTCAATTTGTGGTCTCAAAACTCGTTTACTTTACGAAATGCATAGTTAACCTAAACCCAGAACGAAAGAAACCATTTTTCGATAACTACATTAGCTAAGACAACGTGAATTGAATCGACATAAAAATTGGGACTTTGGTATGATTATCGGCGAAATTGAATCAATAGAAATGAAAGTAGAGAAAAAGACGAGGATGACCTTGCAGGTTGTCTGGTTTCTGAGAAGAAGCAGAGGAACCCATGGAACAACAAACAGAGAGACTCGAGTTTCTAGGTCTTGAAAGAGAAGGACAAGAGAACTGAGATTTTCTGGGCCTGGAGACGGAATCGAGTCTTGCTCTCGCTGAGACAAAGCTTGATTGTAAAGTTAATCCACTAGAAGAAGCCATCACACATATCACCTTAATGGTTTCGCCGAAACTTGTTCAAAAGTAGACAATTTTGAATTGTTCTTTCTTCTATTCTCTGACATCCACGAAATGAGAAGTAACAGAAGTTGAACACGTGGCACATCGAGGATGCGATGTGAGATCTGGAACACTAGCTGCCACGTCGACGTTTTTTTGGGTTAATCGCTATTGGGCTTTTGTAGCATAGCTGTTGTAAGCCCGTTATAAATTCGGGAACATGAATTTTGGATTTACATTACTTTTGTTTTGTTTTTTAAAGGGTTTAATCAAATTTTCATCTTCATTATGAAAATGAAAAATTCATGTTCCAAATCCAATCCATGGTATTCAGAACATTCCCAATCATTAAGATGACGTATAAAAATGTCAACGTGTGGAAAGATAGCTAGATATGAGATACATCATACATCAGTGATCAGTCTACTTTTAACTTTTAAGGTTTAGACTTTTAGTTCAGAGTTCAGACCAGAAAAAGTAGACAAAAGTACACACTTTTGTTCCAAGTGAGTGATTTGCGGAACTAGTACAAATTTTCCATAGTACACGTGACACGTCGTACCGTAAATTAAAGAAAATCACAGACGAAACAAATAATTTTCAATCAAATAAACAAACCGAAAAATTCAACAAATATAAGAAGACCTAAAATTATCACAGAAATCAATTTTTAGTTTCCCGGTATAATATTCCTCGGTCTAGTCAAGATTTAATTTCTCGTGTTATAAACAATTATGGATTTGGACCTTGGTAATAAAAGTATCTATTTCCAGTGACAAAAAAACTATGATGACTCGCCGGATTCTTTGCCGGGCGCTATCGGAGATTGAGAAGCCAACGTTTTGCCTTCTCCTTCAATGGGTTTCTTCACCTTATGCTTGTTATACGAAGCTACACCGACGATGGCTGCATTTGAAACATTTCACAATATATATCACATTCATAACACTTACGTCTTAATCCTATCCTCAGTTTGCTTGTAATGAAAATAAAAAGAGTTTTTGGTATTTACCAACGGCGTAACCGAATAGATTGATCATTGTAAGTTTTGTTTCAGCAAAGAGAAGAGCTGAGACCAAAACAACGATCCAATCTTTAACCACACCAGCAACTCGGATAGTGAGAGCACTTGTGTGAGATATCACAAGAAAAACCGACAAATTGAGAGCAAATGTACATAGCGAATTAAGACTCAACACAAGAACATGAAAGTCCCATGTGCTACTATTAGCATCCATCTTCGGTTTTTCAAGAAATATCCACGGTATGAACAAACAAATAGCACTGCAACACACACACATTAAGAAAGTTCAAAGAAAAATTGAATATGAAAAACATCTTCGTCTTATAAGGAAATATAAAATTTTCGTTACTATTTATGCAAAACTCAAAAACCCTAGAATAGAAACAAATTTTAATACAAATTTTGAAAAGTACTTGAATTTTGGTTTAGAAAAAGTGTGAAATATTTATCTTAATAATGTTTTTTATGAACTTGGGATTATTTTAAAAGTTAAAAAACATGAGACTAGATAATTAATTCGAATTCATCACAATACCTGCAAGGGCTCATGTAGTACATAAGAGAGATGGGATTTAATTTGATTCCTTTCCTCTTAACAAGAATTTCCATTAATATTAGCCTCAAAGCTTCTGCAACAATACCACCCATTTGGTAAACAACTCCAATCCAGATGATGTTTAATTCTCCATAAGAGGCGATTAAAACGCCAAAACTTATGACTGACATTATCAAAAGCATCCTCGAGCTCATTATTTCAAGCCCAACAGAAACTCCAAGTATAAACACAGCAACAGGCACTGCAAAATATAACTCTTGTTAAGATCATTTTAAAGTAAAAATGTTCAAATGAGATTAGAAAACAAGTAGGGTAAATTGTTTACTAATGGCCTTCAACATTTGGGAAAATGCGACCGTTATGTAGAGATAAGCAGTGTTCCCCAACCATAGAGTCATTGCAAACATTGCACCTATTGGAATAACTGATGTGACATATCTGAGTTCATAGAGTACTCTTAGTTAAAAATGTATTTACAACTCCAAAATAAAATAAAATTTGCTAATTTCTTCCTTACATGTCTAATGTCATTCCTTCCTCAACCTTTATGACCTTTATGGGGAAGACTAACATTAGAATTTAAACGTTTTGACTTAAGAGCATTAAAGAAAACGTCATAATAACCAATGAGAAGATACCTTAAAAACCTTCGTGAGGAGAAAACACAAAACAGAGGAAAAGGTCATGTGAAGTAAAGTCAATCCAAGTGGATATGGGAAGTTTATTTCCTTAGATGACAATACCCACTGCATTACAAGAAGTCAGAAATATAATTATGGCAGGGAAAAAAAACTGAACTGAACTGATAAATAAAGAACATAAGCAAACTGAAGTTCATCAATCTGAAACCAAGTAATAGAAATTTTCTTTTACTGAATAAAGCGAATCCAAATTTTGTAAATCTAACCAACCAAACTGAAATTAATTAAAAAATGAATACTTTTAATTTGCAGGAATACATTCAAACCCACTACAAAATATATATATATATATATATATATATATATATATATATATTTTTTTGCTATTTTTTCCCAAATCCGAAATGAACAATATAAAAATTCTAACTGAACAACAAGAAATAAAAATTCGGTTTCATATGAAACATAATTCCCTAAAAGAGCTCCAAAACGAATGCCCTGATCTAACTGAAATCTTGAGAAGAAAGAATGCAATCAGGAAACGTAGATCCAAGAACACCAGAGCTTAAGATTTGATTTAAACCTTATTGAAGAAGATTTGACCGCTAGAGAGAATGATGTAGAGAAGAATGGAAGCATACGTTACGTATTCATCTCTAAGAAAGCTTCTGCTCCTATTTCGATCCGCCATTGAAGTCAACGTTTTTTTCCTGTTTTGGTTCTCCCTCTTTCCTCTTCTTCAATCTTCAGTAGTACTTCAGTTTCCCATTTTCTAAGCATCACTTCATTAAACAATAATAGCTTTGACTTTGACAGGAAATAAACGGGTCCCGCTTACAAAAGCTTTAATCTTACGAAATCCGTTTTTGTTAGTTTAGTCGGGTCGGGTATCTGGGTCGGAATATAATTGTGGGCTTTGTCCCCCAAGCCCAGTAAAATAACTGTACTACTTCAACCAATGAACAATCTAGAGCACAAGATTTGTTATTCTCCTAATTCATAGCTTTGATATCATCAGACTGGCTCTCTAGTCTCTATGGCGAGAAGCCGTTCAATTCTTAGCATTTACAAGAAAAAGGCTCATGAAGTATCGAATATAAAGGTGGATAGGACCACCAAAATAAACTCATAGTTTATGGTCGTGGCCATATGTTAGATAATACCTTTGATATATAAAAAACATATTTGTTCAGGATATGGCTATCAACCAATTAAATATTTCATTTTTAATATACACCACGTGTTTAATTGTTAAACGGCATGAGCAGATAATTATGCAAAATAAATAAAGGATATTGCGAACCGATTCCGTGAACGAATTGCAAGACTGTGTCAAGTCAACTTGCCAACTATTTTTAGCTGTTTGTTTATACGTGAAACTATTAAAAAGGGTATCGAAAGAACAACTTTTTTTTGTTACTTCTACTACGTATATCATACTATGTATAGTCTATTACAATGGATAAAAAACCAATTGATATCGAATACTATTATGGAAAGAAAAGAAAATACGACATTGTTCTGAATTTGCTGATGTTTATCTTTTTGTTTGGTTAGCATCTTTCAGGAAACCGCAGCTGTAGTTACATTGCATCATATCTTTTGCCAATTTTCTGAACCAATTAACCTTTTTCTCATATTTTAATAGACGGCACACAAATTTTTCCATATATAAATATTATAGCAGCATATATTAAACTAGTGAAAAGAATATAGGAAGATAAACATGTTTCATGTAATCAAAATTTTAGACTTTTAGTTCGTTTACATTTTCTTTACTTGCACTAGAAAAAAAAAGTTAACAAGTTGTTGTATGGTTACTGTTTTTTGTTAACAACTGTTTATCATTAAACTTGTCCATTTGTGAATTTGTGATCATCATGTAGCAATGGAGAGATACAAGAAGGAACATAGAGTTATGAAGAAATTATTCCTTTTCCCACTTTATTCCCACTTCTTGGTTTCCATTTGAGTGGGTAGTCTTCAAACTTTTGCCTCCAAGCTATGATGATTTCATGAAAATGAAAACCAAATTTAAGAAGAAACGGAAAATAATATAAAAAGTAACAAAATAGGAATAAAGCAGATAAAAAAAAAAAGTGAAATAAGCATCCCTGCAATTTGCCTTTTTATTTCTTTTTCTTTTCTTGTCAAGAATCCCATCAGTAATTAAATAGTAGAATGAAAAATCCCAACAAATCCAAAGATTTATGGAGCAGAAACAACGGACGTATTATGAAATTATTATGTTGAAAATGAAAGTTCAAAGAAAGCAACTGTTTTTTGTTGATGCTAAATGATAAAACATTTTAAGAAACACATTTCAATGCATTCCGTGTGAAAGAGAAATAAGGTATCCACAAAAAAAAAATACAAATTATAATAGTGGTATGTAATAAATTTAAAATTCTAGTCCTTCAGGGTTGAGAAAAATAGTATTCTTTTATTTTTGTGAAGAATGTTGTTATTTTATTTTGGTGGTGTGTAAAGAATTCCTTCCATTTTTTTTCCCTTAACAGGATCCCGTTGGATTGAAAAGTTCGAAATCTAAAATCGGGGCAATTATGGAGAAAATAAATAAATATTGAGGCTTATATGTAATTATCTAAAGCACCATAAGAGGAATAAGGAAACAATAAAGAAATATTTATTTCTCTTTGTTTATTTTGTTTCTTTGACGTAATTTTTCTTTAAAAATAATTATTTCCCCGGAAAAGAAGAGAAGCACTCTTGTGAGAGTCTGCGTCGCGTCCATTTGAGTAAGAAAAGGCCAAAAAGGAAGCCAAAACCAAAATCAAAACCCATCATTCCTTCTTCTCCTTCTTCTTCGTCGTCTTCTTCTTCGCCACCGTCTGAAACCACCGTATCAGATTTCTCTCTCTCATAGAACATTAGATTCCAAATCATATATCTACGATCAGGCATTCTCATCTGCTTTGGTTGGAATTCTGAAATGGGTGTTCCTTAATACTCTCATTTCTGGATTTAAAGCCAAATACTTTATATCACATCTTGCATTTCTAATAAAATACGAACGAAAGAGAGAATAAAAAGCTCACAACTTTTCTATTTCCGTCTCCTGTTTTTGGTTGAATTGTGATCTTTTGTTGCTGTTGTGGGTTTTCTAATTTATTTGGAATCTCTGATCTAATGGCTGCGATCACTGAAATTCCCACTGACGTCGATTCCGTTCATGACAACGTCATCGCCGGCGGAATTGAGAAGAGTCTGATGCCAGATTCTAAACCGGAAATCGAATCGGACCTCAAACCCAAATCCGAACCGGAGTTTGATCAAATGAAGAAGCTTGTGGCGATGTTTAAGAAGCTGAATCCGGAAGCTAAGGAGTTTTTCCCTTCTTACAAGAAGAACAACCACTCTCTGTCTTCTGACGAATTTGTAATCTCTAAGAAGCCATCTGCTGAAGAATTTGACGGTGACAACAAAAAGGATGGCTTTAACCGGAGGGTAACAATTTCTGACTAAATTTGGATTCTCACAGCTGAAAAGTTTGGATTTTTGGTTGTTTTGGGTTTGATTCTGAGTGGGTTTGGGTTCTTGTGCTGGAAAGTCTCTAGCTTGGAGGTTTCAATTGATGACTGAGATAGAAAGTTTTGGTTTTTTTTTTTATTAATTTGGTTTACATGGTCAAGTTTTGCAACACTTATATGATCTTTACTTAACATTTGGTCAACTGAATTTTGTTAAATTGTCTGTTTTTGTTTTTGGTTTGTGGATGACAGAGAAGAAACGGCGTTGGCTATAACCAAGGGAGGAGGGTGAGGTTAACTGGAAGAGCTTCAAAGGCTCAAAGAGAAGATAGTATTAGAAGAACAGTATATGTCTCTGACATTGATCAGAGTGTAAGTCATTACTTAAGTCTCTCTTCAGGTTTTTCAGACAAGGAATTTTCAGTTTTGCATCATTTTGTTATTCTTCATTTGAATTTAGGTGACTGAGGAAGTCCTCGCTGGCTTGTTCAGCGGTTGTGGACAAGTAAGTTGAAAACTCGAAATCCATTAGCTTTCTTATTTTCAGTTAGCTGTCAAGTAACATAGCATTATCTTCTTCTGAAGGTTGTTGATTGTCGAATCTGTGGGGATCCAAATTCGGTTCTTCGGTTTGCGTTTGTTGAGTTTTCTGATGACCGTAAGTTAAACATGTCGATCGTCTTTAGTAAAAAAACTCAGTGCCAAATTTGACTTACATAAGTTAGATCTTGTTTCAAACAGAAGGTGCACGAGCGGCTTTGAGTCTCGGTGGAACGATGATCGGATATTATCCTGTTAGAGTCTTACCTTCAAAAACTGCTATTCTTCCCGTGAATCCCACATTTCTCCCCAGGGTAATATAAGAAACAAGAACTTCCATTTTTATCAATTTGGTTTTAGATTTTTGAGTATAAAAACTTCTATTTATGGTTGTCTATTTTATTCAGTCAGAAGATGAGAGAGAGATGTGCACAAGAACCATCTACTGCACAAATGTCGACAAGAATGTAAACAAACACTTGTTCCCAGTTTATGTTTATGTCTTTCTGCATTTTGGTGTACTTGTTCTCTGTTCTAAGATACTTCTTCAATAAATTTGCAGGCCACTGAAGATGATGTCAAAATCTTCTTTGAGTCTGCCTGCGGTGAGGTCAGTCTTGAACCTGAAAAATACTCTTTTTGTTTTTCAATCTTTCTCCAAGAAATGGGTAAATGAAGCAGTAGCACGTCTTTGGTTATACAGGTCACTCGCATAAGGCTTCTTGGTGATCAAATGCATTCTACTCGCATAGCTTTTGTTGAATTTGCCATGGTAAAGCTCCCTCAGATTCTGTTTTAAATACTGCAGCTTTTGTGTCCTCTTCCATTTCAAAGGCTTAGTTTTACTGAATAAAACTGAATGTGTTTATGCTTGTGGGATGAAATAGGCAGAGAGTGCAGTTGCGGCGCTCAACTGCAGTGGAATAGTGTTAGGATCTCAGCCGATAAGGTACATTTGTTTCTCCTCTTTTGTAACAAATCTTTCGTTGGATATCGAAAATTTGTTATGAAACCTTTCTTTGATCTCTCTCTTCAGGGTAAGTCCTTCGAAGACACCAGTGAGGTCACGAGTCACTCGTCCACCATCAACAAACTAGGAGAAGACAGAGACAGAACTGGCTTTTTGCTGGTGAAGGAGAGTGATGATGCAACATTTCGTTTTTCCTTCAGTAATTTTTATTTTTATATTTTTCAGTAGAGATTGTTATTTTTCCAGTTCTGTAGTATCTGGAAAGCAACATCAACCGTGAACATGCTTCTGAATTTTGGAGTTCTTGTTCTGAGTTCTGAAACTCGATTTTAGACAATTAGACTGAGAGATACTATTACGGTTTTATTGCATTTCTGAAACGAATTTTTGGAGCATTTTGGAGGGAGTTCTTGAGTGATGTTTTAAACTTGAATGTGACGAAATTGCTGCCAAACATAACTGTCGTAGTAATGTAAGAGACTCATATTAAATCAAAAACAAATTACAATGAACAAATCACACAGTCACACACTCAACAAATGATAGAAGAAAAGAGAAACGGGTAGCAAACACAAACAGTATTTTCAAAAATCACAATGTCGTGTGTATCAAGTCATAGTGGGTACAAGACATTGTATCTGTATCTCTGCAAATATAAATGTTCTCTCAACTTTATTTTCTCTACCTTCGGCTTTGAAGATTCTTTGCCAATCTCCTTCAGTTTAAGCAATGTTGATCTTTTCAGAAGAGATGTTCAGTTTTCTTCCTGCAAGAAACCAAAGCAAAAGTATGATATGAATGTTTACTGAGTATGATAGTTACATTGTAAATTTCACTCTTTTCAGCAGCAAAAAAAGATTAGTGGTTATAGATACCTTCCACGGAGGAGTTGTTCACCATCGATCTCCACCAGCTGGATATCCTTGATCTTGAACCATTCCATATCTCTTTTACATATCTTGTCTTTCAAAACAGGACAGCCATTGATACGCAGGAGAGACAGTGAGGAAGGAAGTCCTTCATCTGGCAGTGATGCTAACTTATCACATCCGCTGATTTCAAGTATCCCCAGAGCTCGTAAGCCTTGAGTTCCTTGGTAATTCAGAGTCTGCAGATTCTTGAAATCCCTTATGCGTAGAGAGTAAAGGCTCCGAGGCAGGAGGTCTTTATCAGGGAATGATTCAGTGTCGACATCATTTCCTCCATCGATCTCAAGATCACGCAAGTTACCAAGACGAGACATGAACCACTCCACTTTTGGTCTGAGCTTTTGACAGCGACTGATGCAAAGCGTCATAAGACTTTTGGGGAAACCCTGGTCCGGAATGTCTTCAAGTTTAGGACAATCGTTTATATGAATCGACATAAGAGAAGTGAATGTAGACAAATCTGCAGGAAGTTCTTTGAGATTCCTACAGTTTGAGAGTAGCATTGATGTGAGTTTCAGGGTTAGCAATCCTTCTTTTGGGAAACGTTCCAGGTTTGGACAATCCGTAATCTCCAAGGACTCAAGAGCTAAACCAACATCACCACTATCCAAGGTGACGGTGAAACAGATGAATGTCTCACACTGTCTTATTGAAAGGCTTTTGAGTTTCGGAAACAAGGCTAAGGGGAATGAGCAGAGAGTGCTGCAACTACTGCCTATGAAGAGATCCTCGAGCTCTTGGAATATGAAACTTTCTCCAAGTTCCAGCTTCATGCAATCTCTTATGTACAGAGTCTTCAAAGTGGATGAAGGGTATCCTTCAAGAAAGGTAAAGCCCTTCAGGGAATGGCAACCAACGACTAAAAGTTCTTGGAGATTAGGACAGTCTTGCAACAAGCTCTCTGGCAGAGATTCTAGTCCGGGGCATCCTTCAATCTGTAGTCTGTTCAGATTCGTAGGAAGTTTTTCCAGCTCATGAACTTCTGTCGCTTTAAAACTCTCGAAAGCTGTGTCATCTTCATCTTCATCTTGCTGAGTCATCATTTCCTCAGAAGTGCTGTCATCATCACTAGAGAGTGTAGTAGTCACATCATCTTCCCATAAGCCATCACGTTTCTGACATGGCTCCGAGGCTACGGCTATGTCTTCATAGTTCTGTGCCGAGCTTTCGGGTTGATCAGGCATATGTATCTCCTTGTGTTTAGACAAAGATGGTTCTGAGATGTTTACAGAATCATCCTCGTCCTCACAACTTGAAGCGGAATCCGAGATAGTAACTTGAGTGAAATATGGGAGATTCTTTGGCAACTTCTTGAGGCCGGGGCAACATTTTATGGTGAGCTTATTAAGCCGTGGAAAGATCTTTCCTTCTACTTCAGGACAACGCCATTCTTCCCATCTTGGCATGTCGTAGAAGCTTAGATTCTGAAGGTATGGAAATGGCTGTAGGGACGAGGCATTGCCCTTGTCACCATAGAAAAATTCGTAACCAACCTCCTGAAGTATCTTGAACTTCTCAATGCTGAGGGACCTGAGGTGAGGCAGCTGTCCCAGTGGAGGCAGTGAAGTGCAGAGATTGCAGCTACTCAAGGACACAGACGTCATGTTGATGAATGAAGTATCACCCAACCAGTTAGGAAATGTCTCACCTCCATAAGAGATTATGCTAACCTTTTCCAAGTAAGGATGAGGTTGCAGCATTTTAAGCACCTCGCCTTGGTCACACGCTACTGTATTGGAACCAGAAGTTTCCACACTGCTCCATGTGAGAACCAGCTTTTTGAGGAGTGGCTTCTCCATCAGACCAGGGTCACTTGCTTCTGTTAGGGAGACAACATTTTGCAGCTCAGAGATGTGAAGTGTCCCACGAAGTTGAGAAAGTTCTCTAAGTTCTTGCAGCCCTGCACCACTCAGATTTCCTATAACAAAATTTGACAGCCTCTGCAAGCTTATAAGCTTACTAATTCCTTGTGGCAACTCTACCAATGGAGTATGCTTAAGGACGAGATGACGCAGGTTGATGAGCTGTATTATGTATTCTGTCAGTTTTCTGAGTCGACGACAGTTTGACAATAGAAGCGTCTGTAGATTACGGAGGGTGAAAACAAACTCTGGCATTTCTTGCACGTCGGTGTTGGAAAGATCTAGATACCGTAGCTGCTTCAATCCCATGAATGATTCAGGAACTTTGGAGACAGTGTAATGAGACAAGCTTAGAATTCGTAGACAACTCAATGCCTTTTCTGAGAAGTTTGGCAATGGGTCAAGAACAGAGGACGGCGAGACAAGTAGCGGAAGAAAGGTTCTCAGATACTCCGCTCCGGAGGCTACAGAAGAATCACATTGCTTTCCACACAATGATAAATGTCGGACCCTCTCTGGTATCTGCCGCACCAAGTTTTCATCTTCCAGTCTGAAGCAAAGATCTCCCGCAACAGTTACAGCTAAATCATTCATGAGATCGTGCATTTTAAACCTTTTCTTAGAGTCCAATGTCTGAAGAAAAGATCTAGCAACTAGTTCATCTAGGTACTTGTTACCAATGTCTTCCAATCTTCGGTTGCTCCCTGGTTGGTATAAGAGGTCAAGTGCCATCCATAGAAGCACCAAGCTCTTCCTATCAAACTCGTAACCCTTTGGGAATATCGAACAGAACGCAAAACATCTCTTAAGGTGACTAGGGAGAGAATCATAGCTTCGCCTGAAAACTTCAAGGACACCGGAAGTGTAGTGTAAGAAATTGTTTGATACAACATTCCATTCCAATTGGTCTTGCTTGGTCCGAAGATGAGATGCGATAGTTGTGGCGGCTAATGGCAAGCCCTTACATTGTTCTGCAATATTTTTGCCAACTCTTTCTAGTTCTTCGCTTATAGAGTTTACTGAGTTATACTCACAAAAAGAACCGCAGATCAACTCCCAGCATTCTGTATCTGGCATCAGCCTCAGTTGGTAGGTTCGAGCTGCCTGCGTGATAGAAGTGACAATATGACTTTGAGTAGTTAAAACAATCTTGCTTCCTTTAGATCCTCCAGTGAAAGGAGTGAGGAAAAGGTTCCAATCTTCACTACGCTCAGACCAAAAATCATCAAGAACAAGTAGAAACCTCTTCCTCTGCAGTGTTTCCATCAGTTGTACTTGAAGTGAAGGTAGATCCTCATCGTTACTCGCAGCAGATGTGATTTGGTGGAGCACGTCTTTTGTCACCCTCAAGACATCAAAGTCTTGCCCAACATATACCCACACCTTAAAATCAAAATGTCTGGTCATACTCTTGTCATTGTAAATGACTTCCACCAGTGTAGTCTTGCCAATCCCTGGCATACCGTTCACTGAGATAACATTTAGGGTCCCACATGAAGGTATATCATCAGAGAGTAGCAAACTGGTAAATGCTAACTTATCTGCCTCTCGCCCAAAATATTTGGCAAGAGAGAAAGGATTCCTGGGTGAATTTGGCTTCCACCGTGCTTCTGTTGACCTCCCACATGAAGCTATGTCATCAGAAAGTAGCAAACTGGTAAATGCTAACTTATCTGCCTCTCGCCCAAAATATCTGTCATGAGAAAGAGGTCTCATGTGTGACCTTGGCTTCCACTGTGCTTCTGTAGACTGAGAGCTCCCACAGTCTCTCAGACTTAGCACTTTTATTTGACCCACAAGATGTTCCAGTCGTGAAACTACGCCATCTAGCTTTTTCCGGAGCTTATTTGTAAGATTCCAATTTGACATCCTGATTTCAGGGCTTTGTGAAGGTATGCATCTTCCCGAAACTTCTAATATGTCTTGGAGAATATTGTCTGCCTGGAATGAAGCATCTTGGAATTTGGTGAGCCACCTCTTAACTTCTTGAACATCATGTGCTTTATGATCCGCATCAGCAAGCACCTTAGCTATAGCCCGCCAAGACACCTCTAATTTTCCCAGCAATTCGCTAAAGGGCTTTTCACTGAACACCGTTTTCAGCTCCGGAGGCGTAGCAGCAACACGGCGAAGCGTCAATTCCAAACAATCTGATAGATGTGGGTTTTCCATGTCATCTCGTCGAATCTTGTTGAAGCCAAATATGAATGCGACACTGACCCCGAGCTGATGGAGCTTGTGACTAGATTTTCCATGGAATCCTACGATTTTGTGACCTTCCTTCTCGAGTACGAAGCTTGAGGTAGAATCGACTCCAAAAGCCGGAGAAGTTCTTAAATTGGTCTTGAACTTAAGCATGGTTATTACTGTGGATTTATTTCCAGATAGTTTATCGTAACAACCCTCCACCGCCGTGATGTATTCATTCGGGTACTCCAACTCGAACTGCATGCGAATGAGGTTCATAAAAAAACAGTAATAAAATTTTATAGCAAGTGTGGAAATAACAACTGAATTAGTATGATCACCTCTTCGTATCCAGGCATAGTCTTCTTTCCATGATCTTCTCCTACCACCACGTGGTTGTTCTTGCCATACACAAACTTGACGGATGCAACACCATTTTGACCCTGTCCCACGTATATCTTTCTCACACTGTCAAAAGCACCATCGTCCCATAAGGCTCCTCTGTCACCACCTTTTCCTTGTAGTTTCTCCACAGGAGGAGGAGGAGGACCAAAATATGCCCCGATAGCATTAATTTCCAAACTAGCCCTTCCATGCAACCCGACAAGAGCCTTACCTTTGCTCTCCAATACGAAGCTCTTCGATACGAAAGCTTGCATATTCACAAAGCCATATGTGGGAGAAGTTCTCCCTTTTGATGTCTTGAAACTCAAGGACCTAACTCTTGCTTCGTCACGGGTCCCCTCTACAGATGTAATATATTCATTTGGATAGTCAAGTACAAACTGCACTAAACAAAGAAAAGGTTTCTAAGAAGCTATAAAGTTAAAGGCTATACAAAAATAAAAAACTTCAGAAACGTTTAAATTACGACCTTCTCTTCTTCTCGGTACAGATTTTCTACTTTTATATCCCCGCTTACAAGCGTTTCCACTTCGCCGGCTTTGTCGTAGTCAACTACGATATGCGATAGCCAAAAGAGAAACGTCGTAACAGACACATTTCTTACACCGGTGTAAGCACCATGGTCCCATTCCTTGCCATCAGAACCACCTTGACATTCCACCCTGATTACACCATCGTCGAGTTCTCCTCTGGAGCTGCCACCCATCATCGAGGGACTAAACAGTATTTTGGACGCAGACGCCATCTTCAAACTTTAGAGAAATCCTAAAAGATTGAAACTCCTTTTCTCAATATCACTAAGAAATAAGAAACAACAAACATAATGGTTTATTGGTAAATATAAACGGAGGGAGAAGTATCAGAAACTCTATTTTTTAGCAAACTATACGAGAAACACTTACACTAATATTACACATTAAAACTCTGGAAATTATCGGTCATATTTAAATTAAAGACCTGAAGTCCTATGACTTTCGTTCAGTTGGGAACCTTCTTCGTCTGACTGCAAGCTACGATCCGCCTTTCCTCCTTTCTTCTCTTTCTTAACTTAATGAAGAGAAGAGTTTCTCGATGTCAACTATAATGACCAAGTCATTCTCAATAATAATAATAAAAAACAATAATGGCCAACTGAATACTTCTTACACGCTATGTGAATATAATAATATATGCACGACGTTACGTGCAATTATTAGTCATTTTATTATTCATATGGCTACAACAAATTGGCCCTCTTGTGTTTTCTAAATGTTTATGTTAAGTCAATGGAGTGGCCAAGTGGATCTCTCATCAGATCTCTGAAAAATCAAGAAATGCCGTAAAGAAGTTGATCAGAAAGATTCGATTTCTTGTTTGGCAAGCTTTTTAAGGCACTCCACAAAGACTGAAAGCATGGAGATTGCGATTCTCTCGGGTATCGTCCAAGGTCTGGTGAGGTTTTTAACGACTCTCCTTTCGGAGGACTTTTTCAAGGGGCGGGGAAATGATGAGACCTTACCTGGGAGGCTGAAATCCGCACTTTTGACAATAAATTCAGTGCTTACTGATGCAGAAGAGAAGCAAATGACGATGGCGCCAGTCAAATCTTGGGTCAATCAGGTGAAAGATGCCGTTTACGAGGCTGAGGATGCTCTTGATGACATTACTACAGAAGCTTCACGTCGCAAAGAAACTATCAATTGGCTTTGGCTTGACAATTTTCCCTCCCTTTCGAAGTCCAAACTTAAGAAGGTGACGGAGACGCTCGAGTCTCTAGACGTAAAAAGAGGTGGACTCAACTTGAAAGTGGACACAAGGATGAAACACATAGAAAGAAAGAGGACAACATCTCAAATAGGCATACAAGAAGTGCGTGGCAGAGAAACAGAAAAGAAAGATATCATGAGATTCTTGATGGCGGATGTTGAAGACAATAACAAGATATCCGTGGTAGCCATTGTGGGCATTGGAGGAGTTGGAAAAACCGCACTTGCACAACTCTTGTTCAACGATGAGCGCTTTGACAAGTATTTTCCAAAAGCCTGGATTCACGTGTCAGAGAAGGTTGATGTTTTAAGCATTACCAAGACGGTTTACCAGTCGGTCACTCGAGGACCATGTTCTTTTACTGACTTAAATCAACTCCAGGATGAGTTGAAAAATATATTAGCAGGAAACAAATTTCTACTCGTTCTTGATGATCTGTGGGCGTGGAGTGAAACTTTTGAGGACTGGAATCTGCTATGCAAACCATTTGCATCTGCTGCTAAGGAGAGCCACATTATTGTGACAACAAGAAGTCACCATGTCGCCACAAACGTGCATGCTAACTATACACACACACTTCAGCCTCTATCACTTGGAGACTGCTGGAGGCTGATCGAGGAACTGCCACAAGGTGCTAAGAAGCAGGATCTAAACCGAGAATTCGGAATCCTTGCAGAAAAGGTACTGCCCAAGTGCAAAGGTCTGCCTTTGGCTGCGGAAGCATTTGGTCGTTTGTTATGGTCTAAAAGAGAAGTTGGTTATTGGAATAGAATCATAACCAGCAAGATTTGGACTGCTCCAACTGATTCGACCAACATACTCTCTGTTTTACGAGTCAGCTATCATTACCTTCCGCCTCACTTGAAACCATGTTTTGCCTACTGCTCTATATTTCCAAAAGGTTATGCCTTCGATAAGAAAAGGGTAATTCTTTTCTGGATGGCAGAGGGACTCTTGCAGCAGGACGCAAGCACAGGTCTAAGGATGGAAGATATTGGAGATGAATACTTTTCAGAACTAGTTTCAATGTCGCTTTTCCAACGAGTCAGTAGAACAACAAAGTTCATAATGCATGATCTTATCAACGAGTTGGCTCAATTTGCAGCGGGGGAATTCTGCTTCAAGTATGAGAATAAAGTTGAAGGAATAACAGGGAAAACAAGACACTTATCGTACTTACGGGACCAATATAGTGGTGAGGCTAATAAGTTTGAGGAAGTGGGCAATGCAAAGTTTTTGCGAACATTTCTTCCTTTGAGCCTTGAAGATCCTTCTCCATCCTGCTCCTTAAATAAAACGGTAAGCAACAAGTTACTTCCGAAGCTTACTTGCCTGCGTCTATTGTCTTTGTCAAATTATTGCATCATGACGCTGCCCTCAGACATTTTCAAGAGTATGAGACATGTCCGGTACTTAGACCTCTCTAAAACTAATATCAAGAGGCTTCCTACATCTGTTCGTTATCTGTATAATCTTCAGACTCTTCTACTATCCCATTGTCCCTATCTGATCCAACTGGATAAAGCTATCTGCAATCTTATCAGGCTGCAACATCTAGGCCTGATTGCAACGGGTCTGCAACAGATGCCAAAAAACTTTGGTAGATTGAAAAGGCTCCAAACTCTTACCACTTTCGTTGTTGGTGCTGGTAAAGGGGTAACGATTTCTGAACTCAAAGATCTCACAGAGCTTCGAGGCAAACTTACAATTCTTGAGCTGCATAGAGTTGGGGATATCAGGGATGCAGAACAAGCAAATTTGGAGAGCAAGACCAATCTGAAAGAGATAGATTTTACTTGGAGAGCAGAGCATATTATCACAGACGATGTCTCAGCGACGCCTAATGAAGTGGAGATCTTTGAGAAGTTACGTCCACCTAGTCAGATAGAGGAACTCGTCATCAGAAGATACTATGGAAATAGTTTCCCGGCATGGATGAGTGACCCTTCATTCTCTAGCGTTGTACACTTACGTCTCACAGAATGTACAAAATGTACGTCTTTGCCATTTCTTGGGCGATTATCAGGTCTTAAGGACCTCCACCTTTCAAAACTGACGTCTGTGACAAGCATAGGTTCAGAATTTTACACCAGCCATCCTGAATCACGTGATCAAGATCAGCAGCCGTTTAGGTCACTTGAGATGTTGACATTTGGAGACATGCCAAATTGGAAAGAGTGGGTAGATGTAAAGGTCTATGGAGGAACGTTGTTCCCTAAGCTCCAAGAACTTTTCATAGTAAGATGCCCACAATTGGCCAGTGAACTACCAGGCTGTTTCCCATATCTGGTTTCTCTTAAAATTTATCTTAGTGAAAGCTTAGTTTTCAACCAGGATTCGGAAAAGTTCCCAAAGCTTGAACCACTTAACTAACCCGTGATTCTCAAGGTACTTCCTTTAAACTCCAAAAAGTTTAAAAAGTTTTGAATCACTACATCTCTTAGATGATGGTTTTATCTAGTTTTCAGGTCCAAAAAAAGGTTGAGAATATGCACCAACATTGAACATTCACAACCTGGAACTTACAGTCTCAAACTGCAGGAATCTCGTGGTTTGATTTATGCTCAAGAAATTGTTTTCAGTCCGACGAATGTCAAACACTCTATCTAAATTGGATTTGATTTGAACTCTTATTTGTAATAAATGCATAGAACTGGAGTGTGTGCTTTGAACCAACATTTCTTATATTTGGCCATGGATTTTCAGAATCTGTCACTCTTCTTTACAATCTGCTCTGCTTATTCAAATGTTCTTAAACCGGGTGAGCTTTTATAGGGGTGGTTTCCTGAGAGAACGAAAATATCAATCTTTCTTAGAAAATAATAAAAGTACAGGGACTAATTTTGGTACTATTCAAAGTGACGTCGTTTTGCTTAAATCGAGAAAACCCCCTGACTGGTAAACTCAAAACCCTCGATCGCCAGTGTCTCCTTCGTTTTAACATTTCCGATTCTTGCTTGAAGAAATTCACCAGATGAGAGGTACTATAGGAAGAAGATTGACAAACCCTAACAATGGCTTCACTCTTGCATCCGTAGTCAAGCATACCCCATTTCTCATCCAACCCACATCTCATTTCTCCTCCTCCTCCTCCGACGGCGCTGGCCGTGGCCGTGGACGCGGTTCCGGATTCGCCGGTGGAGATGGAGGATTTCCAGCAGCTGGAAGGGGACAATTCGGTATCAATCGCGAATCGGAAAAGGCTAACAACGAACCGGTCGGTCATGGACGTGGCTCGTCGGAATCGCAATCTCCCGGCGGATTTGGTCATGGTCGCGGCCGTCCGATCCAATCTGATTCGATTCCTCCTGCGTTTTCCTCTTTTGTTAGACCGGATTCTCCTAGCGTTGGCCGTGGTAGAGGATCCGTCGGATCCGACCCTGTTACACCTTTCGCTTCTGAACCTCCTCGCCATCCATCGCCTCCACCACCGCAACAGTCTCAGCAGCCGCATTCACAACCTCCGCCCAGGGATGAATCTCAGGGAAGTCCCCGTCCCCAATTTAGTGGAGAAGAGCAACCGCAACCGCACTCGCCGACGCCGCCTGTGTTTGTGAAGCTTCAGGAGATTAAGGAAGAAACTTCGGTACCACCATCAGAGTTTGGATCTGGACAAGCCGCTCCGCCTAAGATTATATTCAATTCGTTGGGAAACGAATTTCAATCCAATCCAGGAAGTGGAGCTGGACGAGGAAAGCCTCCTGTGGAATCTGCTCCAATCCAACATGGAGAAAACCGCCACATTCGACGCCCTCAGCCACCGCAATATCAGCGATCACAACCGCAGCAGCAGCAGCGGGCTCAACCACCAAGAGATGAAACTCCTCGGCCTCAGTTGAGTCAGGAAGAGGCTGGGAGAAGAGCAAGGAGCGAGCTTTCACGCGGTGAAGCTGAAGGAGGAGGAGGAGGAGGAGGAGGAGGTGTTAGAGGGAGAGGAGGAGGGAGAGGAAGAGGTAGAGGAGCAAGAGGCAGAGGTAGAGGAAGAGGTGGTGATGGATGGAGAGATGATAAGAAAGAAGGTGAAGCTGAACAAGAGGCTTTAAGTGTGTTCGTTGGTGATTCTGCTGATGGAGAGAAGTTTGCTCAGAAAATGGGAGCCGTGATGATGAAGACGTTAGCAGAAGAATTTGAAGATGTCTGCGAAAAGTCTTTGCCTTCTACTGCTAATGATGCCATTTTGGATGCCTATGATACCAATATGATGGTAATGTTTCTCTGTTCTTCTTCTCTAATGATTTTCTAGAACAGTTCACAACTTGATGCAGAGAATGCTAAAACTGAAACTTTGAAATAGTATTAGGAATAGTGAATCTACTGGAAGCAATGTCGTTAGTATTGATAAGCTATATAGTGATAGAACATATGATACATTGTTTGACTTGATAGGGCCTTTGAGGTTTTGGCTTTGCACGAAAAATGGATGTTGAGTCTCTTTTGGCTTTGTAGATTGAGTGTGAGCCAGAGTACCTGATGCCGGACTTTGGATCGAATCCGGACATTGATGAGAAGCCACCAATGTCTCTGCGTGAGTGCCTTGAGAAGGTGAAGCCTTTCATAGTGGCTTACGAGGGAATCAAGGATCAAGCAGAATGGGAGGTAAAAATAATATTCAATCTGCGATATTTTTGTATCATTTGGTCACTCGATTGATTTTTTATCACTTTTTTTGCAGGAAGCAATTGATGAAGTGATGACGCAAGCTCCCCTTATAAAAGAGATTGTTGATCACTACAGTGGTCCTGATAGAGTAACTGCCAAGACACAGAACGAAGAGCTCGACAGAATTGCTATGACGATTCCCAAGAGCGCACCTGATTCCGTGAAACGATTTGCAGATCGTGCAGCTCTTTCTCTTAAGGTTTGATTTCTGTAACCATCATCTAACGTCACTCTGTTTTATCAGATAACAAACATCTCTAGAGAGCTATGTATTGATATGTTTTTTTCTTTGAAACTTGGTGGCGATGCAGAGTAATCCTGGTTGGGGATTTGACAAGAAGTACCAATTCATGGACAAGCTCGTTTCAGAGGCGTCGCAGAGCTACAAATAGAGAAACTCTGGTTTCGAACTTTTTTGAAAAGCTTCATCACCGTGTTTTGAGTTTAGATCTCATTCTTGATCTTGCCATTACTTAAAAACGGTACCCATTTTCTTCTAAAATCATACGTTTGTCAGGGTTTCGGTAATAACGGCATTGTTCTTTGCAACCCAGAGATTATGTTGTGTGCCAATTTGTAATGGGTTTTAAAGCCTGTTTTTTGGATCTTTGTAATCGGGAAAAAGAATGATTCTTGATTCGTGACTAATACATCATCTATCAGAAAAGGAACAAGCGAACGAAAAATCTCTTAACTCAGTCGAAACATGGTGTAACTTTTATATTGTTGTTTGTTCATTGAAAATCTCTTAACTCAGTCGAAACATGGTGTAACTTTTTTTTTTTGAACAACTAAACATGGTGTAACTAAATGGTCTAAAATGTGTGATTATCTTCATTTTCGTCTTACTGACCACGAGACGAACAAGATTTGGTGGTACGAGTTCTATTACCACATGTAATTTGTCTGATTAATAGATTAGTAGCAATTAGCTTTAAATTATTGTAGATACTATAGTCAAAGAGAATTAATCTAGTCTAGTAGCAATTTGCTTGAATGACCTCCTATGAATTTCAGCGAATAAACGGTTACATTCGTTGAGAGAATTAAAATTTCTTCTGAAACTTCTTGTATTGTATAAAAACAAATAGGTTTTGAATATGTCGTAAGCTTATATAAATAAAAAGTCAACGGATATTTAAGGATATCTATATATAAAGGACATTTAATCGTATTTGTATCGTTATAGATACAGACTTTGTTCTTAAACAAGGACCAAGGATCAAGTTATTGCACCTCCTTTATCTATTAACCTGTGACTGAGTTTTGGCTTATAAGATCCTCGGATATGGTTCGAATGTTTTGCGGTTTCCTCAGCCGGAAGAAGAAAAAGACGAAGTCGTCGTCCTCGTCGTCTTCTCCGTCTCAAGATGTGAAAAAGGATAAAAAGGGAAAGAAAGATGGAAGGCTTCGCGTGATGACATCAGGTAGTAAGACCACCACTAGCAGGGCTTTTGGCCGCGGCGGCAAAGGCTGTATTTGTAGTGATGGCGGCGGTTGTGGAGGCTGCGGCGGTTGTGGTGGTTAAAACGTTTCGTGGTTATGTAATGGTTTCTTGTTCGCGTGTGATCGTAATTTACTAATATTTTTATAAATCTAATGTGATCATCTTTCGTGTAAGTGGAAAGTGAATGTATATAGTGAAAAATTACTATTATGTTATTGTGAAATCTCAAAATGATAGTTAATACGCTTTTTTCTTTTTTTCTACATTTCTTATAATATTTCATTCAGAAAGAGAAGGTGTAAATATATACCAAGTTTCGTTGTTAACCTTTTACACATGATATATATCTAATGAATATACAACCCATATAAATCTATAGTGTCATATTTCCATGGACTTTCAACTGTGATCAATGGATCTATTACATGGATCTCATTTTAGATTTGACCCAATAAGATACAGTTTCTTTCTTGAAAAGTTAATCATCAAAGAACATTTCCATAAGTGTGCAAGTATTAATCAGAAAATAAGAACATGACAGCAATTGTATACGTCAGAAAATAATTAAATATGCTATGTTGTAATTTGTAAGTTGTAACAACTTGCGAAGGGACGATTTACAAGCTTTATATTACAACTTACAACTTACAAGCTTTATATTCAAAGTCAACAGAAATATGGGCCTATCTATACTATATGCGAAGGGACGATTTATCATATTTACATCATTATATTTTCAATATAAAATTTGCTTAGGGTTAACTATTGTTGGCAAGACCTCATTTGCACATATGATGTACAATGACCAGTGCATTAAGGAAGTGCCAAGGTCTGCCTTTAGCTGCCAAAGCATTTGGTAAGCTGTTATGGTCTAAGATAGAAGTGGATCATTGGAAGAGAATCATATCAAGCAAGATATTTTGTATAAAGTGTATGTTTTTGCCATATCTTGGGCGACTATCAGGTCTCAAGGAACTCCACATTTCAAAAATGAGAGCAGTGACAAGCATACGCTCAATATGCTGCAGGGGACTTCTGCTTCAAGTATGAAAATCAGCTTCACGGACTAACACCGAGAACAAGACATTTATCATATTTACAGCAGCAATGCGAGGATTAAACTTTCAAGACAACAAAGACATCGTTATGAGTCAATATTTTCTGTCATACGTTTTATCATGATTCTTTTGTTTTGTTTTGTTTTGATAAATAACTTTTTACCATGCATGATTGTAATCATGAATTTGTAGTAAAACTATTTGGATAATGGATAAAAGATTGAAATGCATTTTGTTTTGTAGTGTGTGGTTTAGACTCTTTCCAACAGACGACAAGAGAAGGAGAAGAAGAAGAAGAAAAATGCTTCCAACATTCCCCGAATGCGTGTGACTCATGTTCAAGTACAAAATGGGCAAGTCACGCGCTTTCTATTTGCTTTGTAATCTCACGGAAAAAGGTTGATGGTCTTTGCTCTGTAATCATATAAATTCATTAAAATATTCCATTGAAGAAAGAGAATGTATAATGTATAGAATGTATGTATTATATTATATCCAGTGTAGTTGTTGCACACATATGATACACATAACTGGATTATTGAATCCACAAATCCATAGTGTATTGTTTCCAAATTTCAACTATTCAATCTCTTACTAAATCTCACTTTATATTTGACCCTCTATTATATATCTTTTTTTTTCTTTAAATGTTAATCAACAAGAAAAATTCCATTTATTTGCTACTAGATTGAAATTTACACTCCAGCTACTTGTAAAAGTCTGAAAATAATAGGTTATGTTGTAGCTTATATTCAAAGTCAACAGAATTTTGGAGCTATCTTTATGACTATATATATGAAATGATCACTGATCATATTTCTCACAATAACTTTCTTAAAACAGAGCCTTACAAATATTGTAGCCATTTGTTAACCATCACGATGTGTATTCATCTCTTATGCTACATGTGTCGCAAGAAAGAGAAGGTGACGTCATCCCCGCCAAGGAATGACGTCAAAAAGGGTGAAACAACGTTGGAAGCGAAAGATGGAGGTCTTGTTGTTATGTCGTCGTCGGGAAAGACCAAGACCAGCAGAGGCTGTCGTTGCGGGGGAGGAGGTGGTTGTGGTGGTGGTTGCGGTGGCGGTTGCGGAGGTGGAGGTGGATGTGGAGGCGGTTAAAATTTGAAAATGAGAGGTCGCTATAATTTTATTAATGTAATTTTATGATTTTTGGTGCGTGTGATTTATTAATTTGCACGTGTAAGATATCAAGGTGTGAAGTGTGATATATATGATCTCTCGTGAGAAAGAAAGTTGAATGTATGTGTATATGATATATCTATCAAGAAATGGATCATAAAATGGAACTTTTTAACGAAAAAAAAAAAGAAATGTTGATTTGGTACGACTTATGAGATTCTTTTTCTCGTTATGCAATACGTGCTATAGTTTACGTGATTTTTTTGGCTAAAATGTTGTATGACTTAATTATGATCAATCAATTCTCATTTGTTACTGGTCGACTTCTTCGACCTCCAACAAATATTTTTGTTTGTTTTCTGAATATAGAGACTCGACATTCATATCTACAATCAATTAGGACCCCATATAAGCATTTTCTTGAAAGCTTGAATCAACTGCCCTATTAAACGCTCGTTAATATCTCATTATCAGCATATCTTCCTGTTTAGTTCTCAAAAAAAAACATTTCTTCCTCTTTACTGCTTTAACTCTGATAAGTCCTATATATTCTTCCTCATTAACTCAAACATTTCTTCCTCATTAACTCTTTGCCCGGAGAAGCTACTGGATCACAAACGATGCGGCGAGATTCTCCAGAAGCATCAGGAGTCTACTTCAGTTAAAGCCTCTGCTTTCTACGTTCTTAAAATGTGAGATAAAGAATGGAAGGATGGCTTCTTTCTGGTTTGACAATTGGACGGAGCATGGCCCTGTTATTGACTTTGTGGGACAAGCAGGACCGCGCCTGTTTAGAGTCAGTTTGGACGCGAAGGTAAAGGATGCAGTCTTAAATGGTGCGTGGAATTTGCCGAGTGCAAGGTCAGAGAGAAGCGAAGAACTTCAGATCACTCTGACAACAATAGTGCCGCCAGATCCGGAGAGAGGGGATGATGTTTTCCTTTGGCGCTTGCCGAGCGACAGTTACTCTACCACTTTCTCCTCCAAGGGAACGTGGGAGCAGCTCAGAATTCAGTCACAGCGTGTAAACTGGGCACCTTTGGTTTGGTTCAAGGAGGCAGTTCCACGCTGCTCATTCATTCTCTGGTTGGTATTTCTTGGCCGACTACCGACTAAGGATAGATTGATTAGATGGGGTATGTCGGTCTCAGCTATTTGCCCGTTATGTTCCGTGGCACAGGAAACTCACGACCACCTCTTCTTCTCGTGCGACTACTCCAAAGAGGTGTGGCTCTCTCTGGCATCAAGAGTAGATGGCCCAAATTTACCCCTCTCCCTTCCGGAAGTTACAGAGAGCATCTGCTTCAGCCTTCAAACCCGGGTTCAAGACCTAAGAGGGTCATCATGAAGCTCCTTCTACAACAGACTGCTTATGCAATTTGGCGTGAAAGGAACGCAAGGATTTTTACGCCGATTTCCACTCCGGCGGCAGCTCTGAAGAATGCGGTGGACCGATCAATCCGTGATCGACTCTTATCCTACCCGGCAACGGATAGCAATCCTTCTCTCCTCGAAATTTATTTCAGTTGTATTTCATATCCGTTATAGTAGTTTTTGGGCAGCGTTCCATGGGTAAGTTGTACAGAGTAAGCTTTCTTATTAGCTTTTGTAATTCGTAGTAGTGCTCCTTTTGGTAATAAAATATTAACCTTAAAACCAAGAAAAAAGTCCTATATATTCGTCGCATGCGTTTTTGCGTTTGCGTCATTGGGTTTTATAATGTTTTCTTGTTGCAGAAACAAGAAAAACCTTCGGCTATCGGAGCCGCCACTGTGGCAGCCAAGGAACATTGTAGCTGCTCCTACAAATCAGCCAAGGAAAATTGATGATGTAGATCAACATGGTAACATAATTTTTTTTTTTTCTGTACATATATGAATGTAACTATAATTCGGTTTGTAACTAGTTGTAATTTTTTTACTTAACCACCAGTGAACGTTTTCTTGTCAAGAAAGTAAGGTTTGGTTCAAAACCAAGTGAACGAATTTAGCAATTAGATCACTGAAAAACCTTTTCTTTTTTTTGTTTCTTTGATGGCCATTAAGGTGTCGCGGATTTGACGTTAGAATCTTCTAAAGATCGCTTGCGGAGAAGAGGTCTCGCTTTGAAACCCGTTGTTGAGCGCATGCCAGACACTGTAGACAATAGCTTGCGCTACCAGACGCCTAAAAAGTCTGGGAGGCTTCTGAGTAAGAGAGTTGATGGAGGGTTTACGACTGCAACTTCTACTTCATCATTTGGTGGTGGTTGTGGCGGCAGCGGAGATAGTGGTTGTGGTGGAGGAGGTGGAGGCAGTGGTGGTGGTGGCGGTGGTGATAGTGGTGGAGGAGGTGGTGGTGGTGGTTGTGGGAGCTGTTACAAATATAGTGGTTTTCTTAGTTATATACTTATATTGTAATTAATGATGCCACCTATTTATAGTTTTTGCTTAGATATGTAGATTCTTGGCTATCCAATGGATTCAATAACATTCACGAATGTATTAGTTCATATTATTTCCATTAACTTAACGTAAATTCATCTTCCATGAACTTTCTGATGAAACAATATTATATTTCCACATACATACATATATGAATATGATAATTACTGATGAACTCATTGTGTATATGAATAGAATCCGTACATCTAGTCTTCAAAATTGATCAAACCAACAAATTGTTACAATATTCCCAGTTGATATATCTTGAATATGTCTGGTAATAATTACAAAATTTGAAGTATATAGTATCAAATCAACTGTTAGCTAAACAAAGAATTCAATGCATAGTACTACTAATTACTGACTAGTGAGATATAATAATAGCGTGGACTGTTTTATTCAATATCTGCAACTTGGTTAGTTGGTTGTCATCCACAACTTTTCTTTCCATTCATGCTATAACGGCCAAATAGCCTTAATTAAAATCGATTGGTGGCTTACTGCCTTACTCTGTTCATGTATATTATAGTATCCTAAAAGGACTATATGTCAGAAATGAAAATATAGATGATTAAAATTCTAAACAAAGACTTATACAAGCAATCTGGTCAATCACAAGTCTCAATAATTCGGTTGGCGAAACAATTTGTACACGATTTGGGTTTCGATTGTTCTAAAAGACCGGATAATTTTTTCATTTGGGAACTATAACGAATTGAATACCAACTAAGTAGATACATAGTTCATACATTGTTTCTTATCTTGTACTTTGATTCCATTTGTTTGTTTATGTTTCCACAAAAGAAGTCAAAGATTACTACGATTATTTGCAAATAAATTGACAATTCCTGTGCAATTTCTTGCAGCTTTCAAAAAGATAATATTTTACGCCATGTGGCCCATGTCGGCAAGTCAACGGAAAATTTGGGTTGGCTATATATAAAAGGTCAATTTATCATTTATACGAATCACTATAGTTTCACATCGAATCACTATAGTTTCACATTTTGTTTTGGCTATAACGATGGTGATGTTTCGTGTCTTATGCTGTTTTATCAGCTGCACCAAAATAAGACCGTCCTCAACTCCGTCGCAAGTTGTTGAAACAGGCAAGAAAAGTCCACCGTCTCCTCCGCCGGAAGTGGCCAAAACGGATAAGAAAAAGCTTCCACAGCCTCCGTCGCAAATGCTCAAAACGGAGAAGAAAAAGCCGCCTCCTCCACGACCAGCAGTCAAAAAGAATACAGACCGTCGAAGATGCTATGCTAATGACGTCGGCGGTGTCGGTGGTGGATGTGGCGGCGGCTGTTAACAGATGCGGACATGAGGTTTTCTTTCGTATGATAATTGATATGATTATTTCTTGTGCGTAGTGTGATTGCTTTATCTGTTCTTACTTCTTTAATTTAAGAGGTTGGATCTTGAAAATTGATCTTATGTAAATCTATATAAATGGATCATATATAGGTCAATGAACGATTGTGTAAATGGGAAACTTTTGCTTTGCTCGACACATATGTGTATGATATACCGAAATACAAGAGAATGCTAATATCCTTGTAGTTAAATAAATTTTTCTTAGGTCCACACAATTACTTTTAAGCATTTTTAATAGCTGTAAGAGATTCAAGAAATCATTATTTTCATATAGAATCAATTGATCTTTGGTTGTAGTTGCACGTCGGATATGAATATTAAACTCATAAAATTAACTGCAAATTGCAATGTGCTGTTTCCTTGGAATATCAACTATTCAACCTATATTTATATATAACGAAGATCTCACTCTATTTGACCGTATATATTATTAGCTGAACAAGAAGAAAATTTCTTGTATCTTCCGAAAGTAAAAGGCTATGTCGTTGAAAAAAAAGGCTATGTGATCTTGTATTATAGACAGATATGTTCGTATACTTTTCAAAGTGTACGGCAATACGGGACTACGTTATATAAAAGCCTAAAAGGGGATAATATTATACTTGTATCCGTATTCAGAAAATCAGAAAACAAAATACTCGACAAAAGCTTATATCGTTGACGGTGGATCTTAATCATAAATTGTGATCGTATATTCGTATTGCTTAATACAATCGCGATGATTCCAACGTTATGCTGTTTCCTCAAAAAGAAAGAGCCACGAGATGTGAAAAAGGGTAAAAAGGTAAAGAAAGATGGATCGCTTGTTGTTTTGAAGCCGAGTAAGAAGCATTCCCGCGACGGCAAAGGAGGAGGAGGAGGAGGAGGAGGAGGAGGCTGTTGTTGTGGCGGCGGAGACGGTGGTTGTGGCGGTTGCGGTGGTGGTTGTGGAGGTGGTGGAGACTGAATAGTTAAAAATAATTCATTCCCGCAGTTATGTAATGATTTCTTGTGTGTGATAATTTATTTATTTGTGCTTGTAAGATTTTGAACGTGTGATCGATATTGTGAGAGAATGGAAACTGAATGTATGATGGATGAGTTGACTTGTGTATCATTTTCGTTAATTAAAGACATTGACTTGTATACCAAGCTATTTAACTTGGAATTTTCTTTAGCAATTTCTTGTGTACTTCATAAACCAACTAAAATAAATAGCTTTTTGTTTTTAAGCTTCTATACAACTTCAAAGTGTACGACATATTGAGCCTCTATAAAAGGACATTGAAGTCATAATTTTTGTATCACTTTTGTTTCAAGAAAAGAAAAAACTAAAAGTCTAAAAGAAACAATGAAAGGTTAAGATACCAAAAAAAAAAAAAAAAAAAAAAAAAAAAACAATGAAAGGTTATGTTATTGCTCTTATAGTATTCGGTTGTGTTGCTGCAGTTGCTGTGGTTCTTATCTTATGCTGTCTTCACAGCCGCAAGAAGAAAAAGACGTCGTCTCCACCGCTTCCGTCGCAGTCAAGAGACTTGGAAAGCGCTACTAGAAGTGGCGGTACAAGAGATGGCGGTCTTGTTGTTTTGACTGCGACTCCTGTCACTACTACAGTTGCTAAACCTGTGGCTGTAACCACCAAAACTTTCGGTGTTGGTGCTACTCGAAGTTCAGGTGGTGGAGACGGTGACAGTGGTGGGGATGGCGGCGGATGTGGAGGTTGTGGCGGTTGCGGTGGTTGCGGCGGCTGTGGGGGCTAAGAGTTTCGTAGCTATCATCAGTTATGTAATGATTGTATTTGTACATGAATAAGTTAATGTGTGATCTCTCTAACGAGAATGTCAAATTGAAGTTGGTTTGTATAGTATTAAATTCTGTAACATCCTCTAGTTTCGGTTTGTGCTGGTTTAACTCAGATTCATTGATCTGGTTTAGTTATGGTTTCCTCAAATGTACTTTGGGCTGTATTAGAAAGATATTTGGCTACTTAAAATGGGTGATTATAATTAAATACTTTAAACTGGCTCGTGTATTTTCTTTCCAGTTTAGGTTTATTAAAAGAGTGAAATTCGAATATTTCGCTCATGTCTGATGTAGTGATGTGTGTGACACGCTTTCGTATTGACCAAAAGTACGTAAATCACTAAATAATGTGTAGAATGATGTTTCAAATATTCAACCTATTATGGTGATCTCATTTTATACTTGACCAGAATATATATGCACTAACCGTTGAAGTGAACATGCTATATCCTTATCCAGTTATCCTTATATAACTGAAAAATATTGAAGTATGATCATATTTTTCCTTCAAAACTATTTTATTAAGAAACTTATACGAAAACTTAGAAAAACTATAATCATACTTCTTATTAATATTTTAGCATGACAAATAGTAATATTTTTCTCTGTTTGAGCAGAAACATCTACTAAGTTGTGTAAGCGAAAACAAAAACAAAAAGCAAGTTGTAATAACTTATGAAATTTTATTGAAAGAAAAGTAATCAAGAAGAAAATGTCTTGGCCGGTTTTTGCTAGTAAAATTGGAAATTCTTTTGCAATTTCGTGTATCTTAAGAAACTATATTGGTTATATGTCATACACTTTCTATATAAAAAGGACATTATTGTCTCACATTTGTGTATCAATTTAGTTTTTTTTAAAAATGGATACTTTTGTTATTGTCATTATTATAGTATGTGCGGGTATTGTTTTACCGGCTCTTGTCTTATGCTGTTTCCTCACCCACCGGAAGGAAAAGCCTTTGTCTCACCCGCGAGATTTGGAAATGGGTAAAACGGGAACAAAAGATGGAGGCCTTGTTGTTTTGACAAGGAATGTTTCCACTACAGCTGCGGCTGTAACCATAGCAGATTCTGATGGTGGCGGCGGTTGTTGTTGTGGAGGCGGTGATGGTGGAGGAGACGGCGGTGATGATGGTGGGGGAGACGGAGACGGAGGCGGTTGTGGAGGTTGCGGCGGCCGTGGAGGTTAAGGGTTCCGTATATAGTTATGTACTATATTTAGTTATTGTGGTAATTATATAACTCTTATATATATATATATATATATATTTTACGCTTGGTCAAGTGATTTCTTATCTAATTTAGTTTCAGTAAATTATGACATTGATCGATAAGTTACATAATAATTTGAGAAAACACTATAATGCGAAATGTAATGTAAGATTTAAACTCTCGTGAGGATGCAAGTTGTATCATAAAGTGAAGAAATGATTGTGGAAATGTATATTGCTGTTTAAGAACAAATTAGTTTTCTTATAAATCTTGTTGTTCCTCTTGTATAATACATTTGATGAAGAACGCGTGCCCATGCAAGCTTAAATGCGTATCGCACAACGAAAAAAGGAATGCGTTATACCCATGTGATGTGTAGTTTTTTTTATGCTACTAACATGTAAATGGTCAAACACTCATATAAATAACATTTATTTACTTATCATAATCGGCTTAAACTTCCTGTGATTTGCTAGCTAGAAGGATTATGTCAAACAATCAAACCAAATAATTTTACAGGCAAAACGGCTTAATTAGCGGTTATCACACGTCTGACCTAATTTGGTAGATGCTTAACCGGAAGAATTTCACTACAACAGAAAACTACATGGTTCAGTTTGAAATACAAAAGAAATCACCAAGACATATTCAATGGTCAACAAGATGAATTTTGAATATAGGTATCCAAGAGGTTTACATTTTTTTTAACCCAAGTAGTCGTTATCTAGGTATTTATATATGTCTAAATCTTGTTTCCTCCTAAGAATCAAAGCATAAACAAAATCTAATCAAGAGAAATACTCAATCGATGAGCGTGATTATGGTTATGGTGTTTGGAGCGTTTCTCTTGCTAATGTTCATCTTGTGGCTCATCCATTTTCTCTACCATAAAGGTAAACTCGATGTAGCAAGGGAAGCAGCGATTGTTTTGGAAGCCGCTAAAGCGGCAAAGTTAATGGTTTGACTGATCTTGACGACATGCAATTTTGAAACTTCTGTTGAGACTTGAGATGTATAAAGTGTTTGTGGTTTGTCTATTGTCGTTCGTTGCTCTAATTTTATGTATATATATTTGCGTATAGACATGTTTAATTTGTTTCTTTATATTATTTGTTATTAGGAAAAACTTTCGATTGATTATGAAGACAATAAATTTGAAAAATATGGAAGATATCATATACGTAGATAGATTTAGATATTACTGTATAAATGATATATATATATATGCAAGATACCAATTTTCAATCCATGGGGATTTTCTTACCAATTAAACATTTCTAAATGTTGGTTGACTTCATGTTTTTATCACTTTGTCAAACCTTGAAAATATTCCAAAAAATTGTATTTTAACAAAGAGAAACATACAAGCCAAAGACTGAATCAAGCAAATTGGTTAAATCACAATTCTCAACAAGCTTAATTGGCATATTCTACCCAAGCTAAATTCTATATAATAAAAGTCAACTGTGAACGAAACAACTTCCAAATACAAAGTCTCAGAAATGGCTCCACTCGGAAAACCTTTTTGTGTTGGTATATTATTAGAGAAAGTACACGTATCTATAAAAAGAAAGAGAGATTATAGTTTCTCTCTAGTGAATCAAAATCATAATTTAGAAACTAAGTAAAAGAAAAACCGATGACTCCTTTGAAGATTGTGGACATAGTGGTTGGAGTAATATTTGTGATAATATTTATCTTATGTCTCTTCTACTTTCGTTACAGCAAGAGTAAGAAGGATGGCCGGAAAGAGAACACATCCGGCTCTGGCTGCTGCTGAACCGGCATCTACCACCGGTTGTGCGGCTTTTCTTACATTTCGGTTGGCCGGAAACTGAACACCTCCGGCTTTTTTTCTTGTCATTTCTGTTATATATTTCGTGATAAATCTTCTTTTGAAATATGAATGATGCTACAATTGGGGTTCGTGTATGCGACCCATAGAGATGTAAACGTATATCTTTACATGAATCATCATTTTTTGTTTTACTGGTTTTTCTTCGACCTGTAATTATTGCAACAAGGTTGTTCAAATATTTTTCTTTCAGGATATCCGAAAAGTTTAGCTTGTTATTGAAAAATGTATTCATCACGAAGTCCTCTAGAAAAATTGACACCTTCAATCTAAATAATGAAAAGAATATCCTAAGATGGTTTTTTGATATCTTAAGTTTTATATAATTTTAATTTAATTTGAAGACATATATACACGAACTAACAAATTATGGAAAGTTTGAATTGTCATTTTTACAAATACTTAAAACAAATTTAACTAAACAGGAATATATTGTAGATGATATCTAACTTTACAACCTAATATTTTTTTTACATATTTAAAAAAAATTGATAAAGGATATAATTCTCATTATATATAGAATTAGTTTGATTAAAGATAATTAATACTTTTTATTAGAGTAAATTTTACAACTTCTTAATTCCAATCCAACCGAATCGAATAAAAAAGAAAGTAAATCCAATATAAAATAAAAATAAAAAAATCTAATTGAAATAATAACTACAAACCCAAATTATAGCAGCATCACGGCATCACCTAACTACATAACTAACTGCAGCCTCCACCTCCTCCTCCTCCACATCCTCCTCCTCCTCCGCCACCTCCATCACCACCACCACCACCATCACCTCCACCGCCGCCACACCCTGCTCCTCCACCATGACCGTGATGTCCGCCGCCTCCTCCACCATGACCGTGATGTCCACCACCACTGTGATGGTGGCCTTTATAGCTAGAACCAGAGACAGTAGGGAGAGATGCAGCGGCTGGAAAAAACATGACGCTACCATCGCTTGTTGCTACAGCTCTGCTTCTCAGGTTGTTTGGCTTCTGCGCAGCCCCATTAGTAACTGCTTCCTTCTTCTGCCTCCCCATAGTCAAACAACAAATTAATAAAATAAACGCAACAATGAAACCACAAAGGGATATGACGACAATGAGATTAGTGTCCATGATCTCTCTCTGTCTCTGCAAAAAGAAGCCAGAATCGTATAAACTTAAAAAAAAAAAAAAACCACGTTTTGTTTCTTTACCAATGCAACCGTATTTATAGTCAATATCTATTTTCTATTTGGACTAGGATTAAGTTAAGTAAAATTCAAACAGTTATCCAGAAAGAATAAATAACAAAACAATTAATTATCATATTAAGATGTGTAAATCCAATTAGTAAGTAATGCTGTTTTTGGTCTGTATAAATCCAATCAAAAAACATAAAATTGATTCATAGAAAGAGGATTAGGAGCTCACAGTTCATATTTGGTCTGTGCTACGAGGACAAACTTTTGAGGCAATTAGGGTGGCCAAGTGGCTAGTTGGGGACAGTTTACAACATAAAGTAGCTCCAGCTTAGGGAATAGAGATCCACCATGCACCTTTACATTCTCCCAAACTTTCCAGTTTGGCATATCCTCAAAACTCAAAGTCAGAAGTGCCTTAAATGGCTGTTGGTCCTGATGAGTAGATTCAGGGTTACTAGTGTAAAAGTCTGAACTGATGATGGTGACTGACCTCATTTGTGAAATGTAAAGCTTCCTCAGACGTGATAGTTGACCAAGCATTCCCAAGGATGTGCAGTTTCTACAACCAGTGAGACGTAATTGTACCACGCGATCAAATGATTTGTCATTCATCCATGATAGAAATTTACTTCCATGATATGCTCTGATGGTCACTTCCTCTATCTTCTCAGAAGGACGTAGCTTCTCAAAAGTCTGAACTGATGATGGTGACTTACCTCATTTGTGAAATGTAAAGCTCCTGATAGTTGACCAAGCGTTCCCAAAGATTTTACGTGGTGTTCATATCCCTAAGAAGGTTGAGGATCTGCGCTTCTTCCGCGGAGCGTACACCAACTGGGCAACATTCACAACTTGGAACTTATGATCTTGAATTGCAGTAATCTTGTGGTTTGACTTATGCACAAGAAACTGTTTTCAGTCTGACAACAAATGTCATACCTTTTATCTTAATTTCCTTGATTTGAACTCTTATTTGTAATGCGATAATAAATGCATAGAACTTGAGTGTTTTTTTGTGATGGTGTAAATGTTACAAAGAACTTGAGTTTGTACTTGAACCTATATAACTCCTATTTCGCCATAGATTTGCAGATTTTGTAACTCTCATTCAAATGTTCTGTGCGATAATATATTCATCACGAAGTCCTCTAAATAAATTTTGACACCTTCAATCTAAATAATGAAAAGAATATCCTAAGATGGTTTTTTATATCATAAGTTTTATATAATTTTGATTTGAAGACATATACACGAACTAACAAACTATTGAAGTGTCATTTTTTATAAATACTGAAAAAATGATAAACTTTGCACGGTGCTTCACTGAAAACTACTTCCATGGCTGAGAGAGATCAAATTCCATTTCCTTTTCAATCATCTTCAGTGTGAAAGTTATCTCTTCCAGATTCAGATGAGATTCATCACCTGCGAGAAAATTATGCACTTCACCCTTTAAGATGATCCAGCTAGACCCAGGATCCTTCTTTATTCTTTTAGATTTCTTGATATTCCTTATCCGATCACCATCTCTGTTATTTCCAACCAGTGAATATAGCTGAGACAATACCACATAAGGTGTTGCACTATCAGGCTCAAGTTCAATTAGTTTCTTTGCAGATATCTCTGCTAGATCAACACGTAGATAAGTCTTGCTTGCACCAAGAAGGCTGCCCCAAATCCCAGAATGAGGCTCACAAGGCATTGAAGAGATCAAGTGATATGCTTCATCAAGCAATCCACTTCTGCCTAGGAGATCAACCATGCAAGCATAATGATCAGGTCCTGGTTCAATGCCGTACGAAGATTTCATTGATCTGAAGTACTTCCATCCTAACTCTACATATCCAACATGAACACAAGCTGATAACAGAGCAAGAAAGGTAACACCATTTGGCTCTTTCCCTGTGCTTTCCAACACGGAGAACAGTTTTAGAGCGTCCTTCCCGAAACCATTATAAGAAAACCCACTGATCATCGTGTTATAAGAGACAATATTTGGCTCACTGATGCATGAGAAGATCTTGTAAGCATCATTCGTGTTCCCGCATTTGGAATACATCGAAACCAATGAATTCTGAACTGACAAGTCATACACCATGTTCATCTTCAGAGCTCTAGCGTGGATCTGTAGTCCTTCAACCAACGCTGCCAAACTAGCCGTTGCGCTGAGCACACTACTGAAAGTGAAGGAATTTGGACAAACTTCTTCCCGAAGCATATTATGAAACCAGCAAAGCGCCTTCTCGTAGCATCCATTGCTCACAAAAGCAGATATCATAGCAGTCCATGTCACACCATCCTTCTCAGGCATCATCCTAAACAGCTCTACACATTTAGAGATCTCTCCTCTTCCAGAGAATCCCTTGATCATATCGGTCCAAGAAACAATGTCTTTGTTAGGCATCTTCTCGAAAAGTTCATAAGCTTCAGAAACAAGTCCTCGCTGAACAAGGCCCGTGATCAATGAATTCCAAGAAACACTGTCTTTACTTCTCATCACGCCAAAAACTGCTTTGGCCTCGCCCATATAGCCAAGCTTAGAGTACATCGAAATCAACGAATTCCCTAGAAACAGATCAAACTCAAGAGGCAACCTTGAAACCAACCCATGAATCTGACTTCCCTCTCTGTATCTAACAAAATCTCCACAAGCTTTAAACATGACAGCCAAAGTATTAGCATTAACCTTAACATCTCCTTCCCCTCTCATTCTCAGAAACAGAGCAAACCCATCCTCAAAAAACCCAGCTTTAAAATACCCATCAATCATAGCAGTCCAAGTAATCACATTTCTCTCAGTCATTCCATCAAACAGACTTCTAGCGTCAAAAAGTTTCCCCATTTTGCAAAACCCATCAACCATTGAGCTACATGATACCACTTCTTTCACCACCATACCTTCAAAAACACGAACAGCCTCCTTGAATCTCCCTGCTCTCAAGTACCCACTCAACAACACGTTCGAAGCAACAGGATCACGAAACTTCGCCGGCGTCTCAGCATACAAAAGCTCCGCCTTTTCAAACATCCCTGCCTTGACAAAACCAGTAATCATCGTCGCGTAAGACACAGCGTTCTTCTCAGGAATAGCACAGAAAAAGTCATAAGCTTTTCCCAAATCACACTTGTTCTTAATCATAGCCGTAACCATCGCGTTATAAGAACTTGTTTCTCTCACAGGCATTTCATCAAACATTTGCAGTGCTTTACTTATTTCACCATTCTCCGCGTAAGCCGAAATCATAGCATTCCAAGAGACGATACTTCTCTGTGGCATTTGCCTGAAAATAGCTTCGGCTTCTTGGAGATTCCCGTTTCTCGCGAGCTTCGAAATCCGAGAATTGCATTGGAAGATAGCATTGCTCGTCGTCGTCGTCTCCAGAAAGTTTCGTGCTTTCTTCTGGGTAATGGGATCGTAGCTAGAGAGAGCAAGTGTCGTACAGTTACATCTGAGACAAAGGCTGTGTCTGTAGATTAAGCCATTGTTCGAAATCAGTCTCATCATCACCATTGACTAGCGATTCTAACAGAAAAGGAACGAAGAAGAAGACTGGGGAACACAAAACAGCAAACCTTCTTTGCCACGTAGAGACTTCTCTCTTTATGTACCCACCTTTGACTTAAACCGGACCATCCAATGGTCGAATTAATTATTATTCTTCCAACAAAAAAATTTAAGCCTAACTTTGAAGCATACAAATGTGTTGGTTGACTTCGTTTTTTTCATGATAAATCTTATCCTTTAATACATTTACAAAAGAATATACTTCAAAACTGGAGATTATGAGTAAACAATCAAACTAGAGACAGCTCAACAAGTAGAATGGGTTAATTAGTCACACATTTCAATTAGCATAGTTGACACATTATAGTATAAAAAAAATCAAAGGTCAGAAACCAGCTAATGTCCAGAAGATTACTGAAAAAAATCAAAAAAGTTTTTTTTTTGGGTTAAAGAAATCAAGAGCTTTATATATACGATATAGGAATTCATTTGTTTCTACCCAAGAATTGAATCATTATATAGAAATTCATTCAAAGAAAAACCGATGGATTTGATCGTCAGAATAGTGGTTTCGCTTTTGTCCATCCTAGTTGCCATTGTAGGTATCATATGCTATTGTCTCAAAAGTGACGCAGAAGACGAAGCGAATGTTGTTGCGACGGATACCACCGTGGCTCGAACAGTTTAAGTAATGAGTACTACTTGCTTTGCTCCTTTTTTTGGTTTTCTATTAATCTCGTTGTCATCCTTCACAATATTCTTCTTGTGAAATATGAATGTTACTACAAATTGTGTTTGTGTGGTGTGAGAGATGTACATATATACATCCAAATCAATATTTGTTTCTCTTTTAACCAGTCGGAATCAAGATTTTCCATCGATGAATATAAAGAGATTTGAAGCCCTCCCTATAGCACTCTTATCACGTAAGAATGAAAGAAAAATACAAGAACCAAGCCTTGGTGAACCTTAAAAAAAAAGTCAAGATAATAACTACAAAGTAGTAAAATCAATATTTGTTTTAAACAGATTTGTAGCATCAACGAAATTTCAAATTTTATAATAATATAAGTGATCACATATTCTCAAAGATATTTTGTAGCATCAACAATATAAAGAGAACTTGTTTGTCCAAATAATTGTTTGTAGTTGGGCCGAGACTTGTCGGAACAGTGACGCCGCCTTGAGCCACACGATAATAAAGTAAAAATAAGGGCAAATATTTTGCTCCTTCGTCTAAGGCTTTAAAGCGATTGTAGGGTCGCCATGAAAACTCGAAGGCAGCTGTTCTTAGAAGCTCAAGAAACACAACTTAGAGAAATACCAATCGATCTCCTCGTGGAAATCTTTTCCCGAGTTCCTGCAACGACAGTAGCAACTTGTCGTTTCGTATCCAAACTATGGAGATCCATAATTGACCGTCCGGATTTCACCGAGTTGTTCTTGACTATGTCTTGGACTCGTCCACGCCTGCTCTTGTTCTCCTTCCAAATTGAGGGATATATATTCTTCTTCTCTTCACCTCAGCCTCAGAATCCAGATGAAAACTCTTGTCTTGTGGCCACTTGTTATCATGTTCACCATATTCATTCCCCCTCAGATTATTCAACTGGATTTGGTTCTCCTCTTGGTGGATTCATCTGTCTTCAAGAAAGGAGAGTGTCCATGGTTATTTGTAACCCCGTCACGGGAGTATCCGTGTCCTTACCCAAAATGGAGTCCAAGAGTGTTAATACTTACGCAAAACCTTTTTTAGGATATGATCCTATCGACAAACAGTTCAAAGTATTGTGCACCAAGGTCGATACAAAACACACTAGTTATGAGCAGCATGAAATTATGACACTGGAGAATGGAAAATATCTGTGGAGAAAAATCCAATGCGAACCCCATTATCCTAGATCTAATGGAATATGCATAGATGGTATTTTGTATTATACAGCTAGCGTGAATCCTTGGATGGAGGTTTCCATGGTAGTACTCTGCTTTGATGTTAGGTCCGAGAGGTTTAGATTTATCAACATAGATGGAGGAGCCTCATGGATGTTTTCTCCTTTCACTCTAATCAACTACAAGGGTAAACTAGGTGCGGCTCGCATTACCGTTTCGAATCTGAAACGTCAACTTGAGTTATGGGTTCTTGAAGATGCTATGAAATGTAAATGGTACAAAAACATCTACACAGTTCCTCCTCGGTTGCAAAATTTCAGGTTAACTGTAGTTGGAATGACTGGAAGTGGTGAAGTTGTGTTGTCGCCGCTCCGTTTCTCAGACCCATTTTACATATATTACTACAACCTCGAGAGGAACAGTTTCACTAAATTTCGTATTCAAGGTTTTGAACGTTGCGAGCCTACGGAAGTTTACACCTCTCTAGACTATGCTGAGAATTTGAAACTTATGTAAGTGATCTAACTCTTATGCTAAAGCTTTGTCTTGTTCGGTATTTAATTCCAACTGATTAGTGTATATTCTGTTTTCTTGTTCCAAGGACTGAGTATGGCAAAGGAGTCAATAATACATTTTCTCCAAGGGAGGCTATTTCAAGTCGAGTACGCCCATGAAGCTAGCTATAGGTAACTTTTCTTTTAATTTCCCTAGAAAACAGATAGCGTCAGGTTAGAGAAAAGTTGAAGAAAGGGTTTTTCCATTGAAATCCAACGACTAGGAGACGACTTACATTATCAGTTCAAATTTTTAAATTTTGTTATACAACTCTATGAATGGTTTAAAACTGTCACATGGGTTGGTCCATTTCCGAGCTTGCTTACATTGTTGAGTTTTTTTTCATAGAAGGACAAATCTAACTTGGTGAAACAAAGAGGAAAATAGCAATACACATATGATATCTATGGCTTATCTTGAGGTGTACGCATCAAGACAAATGCCTTGCACTGGCTTGAGAAAGAACAATTGATGAGTAATATAATTTCTATATTCCTGTTTAATCAATATTATCGTGGGAAATCTTTGTTTCAAAATATAATCAACAAAAGACAAAACCAAAATGGAATTATAAAAATCATCAAAAGGGAATCAATGTGGCAGAGTCAAAGAAACACCATTTGATTATATAGGGTTTCAAATTTCATAGCATACAAACAGATACAAGATTTACGTTTTTCACTTTGAAGATGCTCCCTTTTCTTCCTCTTCTTGGATATTCTTCTTTGGCGACTCTACTTTCTCATCATCTTCAGTTTTAATGTTCACAGTGTTGTCCACATCAGTAGTTTCCAAGTCTGCTTCCTCTAGTTTCTCCTCTTTGGCTTCAGCATCCGTTGACATTTCTGCAATATCACCACTTACAGCTTCCTTAGTGTCTGCTAAGGTCGCATCCACATGATCATTACCATCATCTCCTGTTCTACCAATATTCCCATCGCGTGTAAGAAGAGCTTCTCTCGGTGTTCCTGTTCCTTCTCCAATGTTCTGTACACAAGTAAACTCACCATCATCAACGTCGTCAGAAGAAGATTCAGAATCAGTTCCAGAATCAGACTCAGGAACGATTTCTTGGTGCCAGTCTCTTGCTTTCTTGGATCCTTTACGCGAGAACACCTGCTTCAACTGTTTTGCAGATTTCATAAAGCTCTTTGCAACATCCTTCATGTGACCTTTACCTGAATTCTCATCTCCATCCAAGCTCTCACCGTCTACACTCTTCCCTGAGAGATTGTCATCGACCACGTACTTAACTCCAACATCCTTTTGGTTTATCGCTTTCACATTGATCCGAGGAGACTCATGAGGCTGTGACTCCTCCTCGTCAATGCTTCCTATCAAAAACTCTTTCTCTTTGCCATTCCTATGAAACACTGACCCAAGTTTCTTCAATCCCCTGCCAACAGACTTCATTGGGTTTCTTGATCCCTCATGACTCTCATCTGTGCTGCTGCTTTCGTTGTTTGGTGGTGATCCATTTTGTAGTACTTGGTTATCAAGACGTCTGCTCTTGCCTTTCCTCGGTTCCCAAATCTGTGACACTTCAGGTCCTGGTCTTTGAACCCAAATCCCAGTCTCGTCTTTCCCTCCAATGCTGATTGGCTCAACGTTATCCGCAACACTTGCAGATGTTTCGGAATCAACCGACGTGAAAGAGCCTTTGTTTGTAGCATCAGAGGCAAAAGATGTTTGCAAGTCTTCCTTCTTCATCTTCTTCACCCCTTTGAATGGATCCTCACTCCACTGTTTTTCAAGAACAAGAAAGTGTTTTCATAAAACTAATCTTGAAAAAGTTTCAAATCTTGAGAAAGTGTGTTCAGAGAGAAAAAAGTTTAAACCTTTGCACTGTCCTCGATCACGGTTATGGCAAGATGCAGCCTTCCCATTTTGATGTTCTGAAGAGACAACCACATATCGTTTCTTTGACCACCTCTGTAATCTCCAATGTTCACTGAGGTTTCACTGCCACAAAAACAAGAAGCTATTAGCATTTCAAACTAACGAAATCGGTGTTTCAGGAAGACAGGAACAAACCCAAGTGTATCATCAACGAAACGATCTTTGTCTTTAACTTCAATGGTAAGTATACTTGGAGAGTCCCAAGTAAAGACTGGTATCTTAAACTCCTCTTGCCAAGATGGGTTTAAAGTTTTTCTCTTTATGTTGGTTTTGAATCGGTAAGCACCAAGCTTCCCTTTCACATAAGGATCAGCCAAACCTGAAACCAAAACACCCAAAGTTATTTCAAACCATAAAAAAAAACAATTCTAAAACGGTTGTGGTAATATCCAAAACTGACCATTTGAATCGGATGGTTTAACGTCTGATGCTTCAACAACTTCAACTAAGATGTGTGCAACTGGTTCCTTCTCATCAACAAAGAACCAAGTTTCTGAAGACCAACACAGCAAAAAAATTGCAAAGTTAATGAAAGTTTAAGAGATGCTGATGACTGTAGACAAACTGTTACAAGCGAGTAGTTAACAAAGCTAAAAGGAGAACCTGGCTTTGGGCTAACAAATTTCTCCATGTCAACAACCAACATATTTGGCTGCAGAGAAAACAAAATATAGTCAAACAATTTCTTTAGCCTGAGCCATTTGTTGCTTAAATGCAAGAAGGGATGCATAAAACCAGCAGAGAGAAGAAAACCAAATTACAAACCTGAACAAGGGTCTGTTCAAATGCAATAGAAAGAAGTTTGTCCTGATTAAGAAATTTAAGGAAATGGGGTTAACAAAAGTACGAAGAAGATTAAAAAACTCTTGTTAAGACTAGATAAGGCTATGTAGTGCTTACTAGCCAACCAGCAATGCCTGGAAGTACAGCAACATCAAGACCGTGAGTGAAGATTGGTTTGACAGTCATCTGGAAATACGGAGGCTCAGCAAAACACACACGTAAACGCCCCAAGAAAGGCCATCGACGAAGGAACTTCACTCCGATCAACACCTTTACAAGAGTAGAAGCCAAAAATGTGTTTACAATAATGTGAAAAAAAAAAGAAGATAACACTCAGATAAAGCAAAAGCTTGCACTACCTTTCCTTCAACGTGCATTCCCGTCAAATGCAGCTTTGTCCACATGCCAAAACCAAGCCTTTTCCTTAACTTCACAGCAAGTATCGCACTCATATCATCTGCCGCTAGAAAATTCATTCCAAGCTCCATTACCTATATAAATTCCACCATAAGTTCTAGATAATTGAAGGGAAAGAGGTCAAAGTATGATGCTTTATGAGGCGTTGCCACTATACCAAATGATCATCACCCGTAGATTGGCGAAGGACCCTAATATCAGTCAACAGAGGAGGTTTTTTCCCCATGTAAAGGTGTTGTATCACAGCTTTTTTCTGCACATCAACATTGTACAAGATTTCAATAAACAACAAGTGGCTTCTTAACAACTTGCAATGTGATAAAATTACATATGTTAGAAGTTGATACCGCTGTCCAAGGTCTGTACTTGTCCAAGAACCAAGGTATGATTGGACCAAGAATTTTCTCAGAGGTAATCTGTTCCATGCATATTGGCCATATCATCTCCACCGCATGATTCAACCACCTCACAGATTCTGAATCAGTCAGAACCTGAAAGATGCATAGGAATTGTGGACGAATCCAAATGAAGCTAATCAGTGAACTAATACATAAAGCAACCTAGAAGATTTGATAGTTATAAAGTTCCAACATTTTGTTTAGTTGAATCTCTAAGATCCTCTATGTCTCAACCAAGCTAAAATCTTTCCAGCTAAAGAACAGTAACAAACATAGGAAGATTCAAAAAATTACCCTTCTCTGATTAGCTTGCTTCCTCTCTTCGAATTGCAATTGTCTCTTCAGTCTCATCACATACCGTTCGTGAACCTGAACAAACCAACCAAAAACAAAGCAAGACTTTTTTATATACCCATTTCATCAAAATCTAGACACAATTACCCAAACCAAAAAGGAAGGAAACAAAAACACAGTACCAGGTAGAGATAAATCAGAGACAGGAAATAGAAGACGAGGTGGGATCGGTTCCAGGAAGAGAGGAACCAGAGGAACAGCAACACAATCACGACATGATGGATCAGCGAAGACTCCATCGTATCCTTTTCCTAAGAGATCAATTACCCAGAAGGGAAGAGTCGACAAGATTCCCAAAGCTTAATCCTTTTTTCTCTGAAGACCCATCTTAGAAAAGGGGAATCGATTCGGACATGGAAGTGTTTGTGTTTAGAAAGATCGAAAAAACCAAGAAGCGTCAACAGTTACGCTAGCGCGGAAGAAAACAAAAAGAAACGATATTTGTAAATCGACTAGTTTGGATTTAGATTTACTCATTTACTGAAGTCTTAAATGAACAAATATCCTCCTCGTTGACTAAAAAATTAAATCACAAATGTTGAGATTTGTTCGTTTTTATATTTTGCTAGTTCCTAGATAAAACGACATTTTAATTCCCCATCAAATCAAATCCTGTAATGAATTGGAAATTATAGGGTTAGAGATCGATTAGTTCAAATCTAGAAAATTTGATTATATCTTTGTTTATTTTCTATTCGAATGGTATGTAATTTTTCTTTTATATTAAACATGATCATGTTATTTTTTACTACATTCATCAAATTTTCATTTTGAAATGTAATTCTACTATATACAACTACCATGTTAAAAAAAATATACCTAGAAAATGAATAAACTATGTTTCATAGTTTTGTAAATTTGTAATTACTTTACCAAGATTTCGGTTTATTCTGCAAATAATTAGAGAAATTTTATGAAATACACTTCTTGAGGTGCAAATTTTCAAAACTACACCTATAGTTGTGGAAATTTTCAAAAATACACATTTCCCCAATTTTAATATATATGTTTGGGTTCACTAATCCTATATTAGGGTTTAAATTTTGGGGTTTAGGGTTCAGATTTAAGGGTTCAATGTTAGATTTTAGGGTTTTGGATTTATATTTTAGGGTTTAGAGTTCTTTTACTAAATGAAAAAAGTGTAGTTTTGAAAATTGGCACCATAAAGGTGTATTTTTGAAAATTTACACCTCAAGAGGTGTAGTTTTGAAATTTCTATGCAGTTATTTTCGTATTCGTCAGATCTTTTTTATCATTTGGTGGCGCATACAACTAAAAGCAAATAAACACAATGTCCAAAAACTATACAGATGCTATATTGAACCGCAGTAGACATTATTGGTATATAAGTAGACAATTAGTATTTTAACCGTATTAACTTCAACAGAAGCATCTACAACAACTTATCTTTCTTCCTCTTCTGAATTTTAGCTACTCAAACTCTAATCATTGTGAAATCGGTTCTGTCATGGACCTACATACAAAAGAAGTTCATGTCACGATGAATTATGAAAGAAGATCCTGACCGTTAACACTTTAAAACTGAGGTCGAGCGGATGAAACTTGTCGGCAATACCTTCTTGGGCCTATTATTGGAGGCCCAATATTAAAGAGCAAGGCCTATAGTATAAACTGAAGAGTGTCTCGAATATTTCTCTCACTCCAGCTCTTCATCTTCATGAATCTCTCTCTCTGGGATCACTTTTTAATTTTACATGATTTTTCATCTTATCTGATTAAAAACCAATTCCATTCCATTATTGTTTTGTTAACTCAGTCACTGTTCTGATCCATCGTGGTCCCACAATTTTGGGTTTTTCAAAACGCTGACGCGACACTTTCGTGATAAACTAAAAAAGGAAGCTTTATATAACAATGGCGATGACACATTTCTCACGATTCCAACGTCTTCTTCCTCAACCCAGATTCCTCTTTACTCAATCTCGCGTTCTCCAACAACCTCTAATCAGAGCTCGAACAGTCGTTAGATCGACGATGGGCTCGTCTTCTTCTTTCTCCTCGAAGCTTCTCTTTCGCCAGCTGTTCGAGAAAGAGTCTTCGACTTATACTTATCTTCTCGCCGACGTTTCTCACCCGGATAAACCGGCTCTGGTAAGTTTGCTTATCAAAGATTGGATTTTTCGATATGGGTTTTGAGAATTTCGTGTCTGATCGCTGTTTAGTTCTCAGAATTTGTTGAATGTGATCGGATCGTTTTGTTGGGAACTTGAAATCATTTAGCTTAGGTTGGTGGATTATCCAGATTAGTCAATCAGCCGATGTGATTGTGTATCTGCTTTGCAGCTGAATTGTTTTCGAAAAGATCACAAATTTGGGATCAATTCTTAAAATTGTGCTAAACTTTTGATCATCTCTTTATATGATTTTGCAGTTGATTGATCCTGTGGACAAGACGGTTGATAGAGACTTGAAATTGATAAATGAATTAGGCTTAAAGCTTATTTATGCTATGAACACTCATGTTCATGCTGATCATGTCACTGGAACTGGACTTCTTAAGGTCTGTTTCTGTTGATTGACATCTAATTGGTTTTCAATAGAAAATTCATTGATCTCACTTTGTTTGCTTTACACAGACGAAGCTCCCAGGTGTGAAATCAGTCATTTCGAAAGCAAGTGGTTCCAAAGCTGATATGTTTGTTGGACCTGGTGATAAAGTATCTATTGGTGACATATACCTTGAGGTATGATAAACCAAATTTCAAACCGGTGCAATCTCTAGAAAGTGAAGAGAGTAAGTAATGATCATTTCGTTTTGTTGTTTGCAGGTTCGTGCTACACCTGGACATACAGCAGGATGTGTTACATATGTGACTGGAGAAGAAGCAGATCAGCCCCAACCAAGAATGGCCTTTACCGGAGATGCTGTACTCATCCGAGGTTGTGGGAGAACCGACTTTCAGGTACACAAAAACCGCAATGTCGAATCACAGATGCATGAGATCAGTTGAGACATTGGTTTAACTTTACAATGATGTTTTCAGGGTGGAAGCTCGGACCAATTGTATGAGTCTGTACACTCACAGGCAAGTTTCTTTCACACTTTCATGTCAGTCCACAAGCAAAGGGACTCATGATATTTATTGAAGGACTATGTTTAAATTGCTTTTGGTTTTTGATCTTTGACCAGATATTTACATTGCCAAAGGACACATTGATCTATCCAGCTCATGACTACAAAGGTTATGAGGTAATGCAAACACACAAAAAGGTTTCATTTTCAATATGGAAATGTGATTCATCCAACACTATCTTTATGTTAAAATGTATTCAGGTAAGTACAGTTGGAGAAGAGATGCAACACAACCCACGTTTAACTAAAGATAAAGAAACATTCAAAACCATCATGTCAAGTAAGTCTCTTTCTTTCTGCTTAGTACTATATGCTTTAACTCTTTCAGCTCATAGTTACTGCTTTTTTTTCCTATTACAGATCTGAATCTGGCGTATCCGAAGATGATTGATGTTGCAGTACCAGCAAACATGGTGTGTGGATTACAAGATTTGCCTTCTCAAGCCAACTAAAAAACGTTTACACAGATTGTTTCTCTCTTTTCACTTCTCCTTCGTTTGGTATTTTACCACAAGCCAATAATTGTTTGTCCAATAAGCGTCATTAGAAGATTGTGGAAGTTAGATTTGAACATATGGGATTTGTAATGAAGATTAAAAAAAAAACATAATTGCGTGTTCAACTTGTGTTTGGTTTGCTAATGTCGACTGTCGACTACTTCAATAATTGTATCAACGGAATTTAGGTTTTTTGAACAGCAACCACTCGTCCATGTTTAGCCACGTGTTAAAACCGCTAAAACCTTAAAGTTAAAATCCAATCAAACGACAATGAGATAGAGAGAGAGAGTGTGTGTGTGTAAAGAATTTGAGAGAGAGAGAGAGAGAATGAGCAAAGAAAAGGACAAAAACAGAGCAAATTCTTACGGCACGTTTCAAGGTGTCCCTACTTATCCGCCACCATCGCATCATCGCCCGCCGTCGCATCATCGTCCGCCGTTGCATCCTCCGGTCTCCGGAGTTCCTCAGTCGACCCCGTCTCACGGAGCAGCTCATCACGACATTTCCGTTCATCAGTACATTCAAGAACATCAAACCGTTCCTGGTAAGTAACTCTTAAGCCGTCCTTTGAATCTCAGATTCTTGGGACGAAAACTAAAACTTTGCTTCATCTTTCGACGACCCTTTTGATAAAATCCCCTCAGGTTTCTTCACTAATGTTACCTTTAAAGATATTCCAACTTTAAACATACTAAAGATGGGAGACTTAAGCCTGTAAATCGAATCTATTGTGTGGTCTTTATAATCCAACTGAGTGAAAACAAGTCACAATTTATAGATGGGTGACTCCAGCTGCATCTTATGAATCAATAGTTGTGAGTTTTAGCTTGATATCAGAGCTTCTTTCTTACATTAAGCAAAAACCTGTGACTCAATTTGAATGTTTGTGAAGCTCTCTCTCTCTCTCTCTCTCTCAATTTCTATAAAGCACTAAATGCAACTAAATCTCAGGATACCCTGTTGTTGCTGGACCTGTAAAAGAAGACCCTCTTCCTTGTTGTGGTCTTGGAATCGGCTGGTTCTTGTAAGTTTCTGTTGTTTCTTTAGCATTTCATATTAGTTCTCTAGTTACAATCACTTGGTTTTCAATACACGGAGGACCATGAAAAAATAGTTTTTTTTTTAATGTTTTCTTGAAGGTTCATAACCGGTTTCCTCCTTGCTGCAATCCCATGGTACGTAGCCGTATTCATTCAAGTATGTGCTAAAATCAATCCTCGAGAGAAACATGGATATGTAGCATGTACCATCGCGGTGAGTCTTTCACTAAACAATCACCGCATTATCATTGTGTATAGTGTGCAGATCAAAATAATCTTGGTGATTTGATTGGTGTTAGTCACATTGCTTTCACAGGCTATTATTGCTACAATTGCCATTGTTTACGTCTTCATGGGAGGAAGAGGAGCCTGGTCGTGAAGTGTTGTCGACTATGAGATCAAATCATTGTTCATCAAGTATCTTGATTGTTATATTTTGTGAAAATAATAATATGATTCAAGCCAGTGTGTTCGTAGTATTGTCAGAATAGTAAGCTGTGTTTGCAATAGAATCAAAAGCTTTTTGAATTAAACAATCTTTTGATACCTCTATGAATCATTCAAACTTTCTTTACCACGGCCAAATTTCCCATTTTAGATCCTTCAAGCATGTTCATACGGAAATATATTGTTCTTACAGTTTCTTTTATCCACATACCATCGTGAAAGTTTTGCAGTTAGAGAATGGCAAAACACAGAACTCGCTCTGTTTTATCCTCTTCTTCAGGGTTTTTATAAAGAAAGACCAAAGGAATCCTTGAAAAACAAGACTGCAGGCATCAAAACCAAACTTGTACATATAAAACAAAATCAAAACACCGAAAGTTTCAAACTTTGACTGTTCTTAGATCTCTGTTTTAGACCAAAAACCAAACAAGACAAACAAAATTTAGGGCAGACTCTCTGATTTAAGACATGACATGATAAACATGTAAGAAATCATCTGTAAGAGAAACTGCTCCAAAACATTACGTTACATATAGGCCGGGTGAAATTGGGAACTCGCATCAGATTAAAAAACAAGAACCCATTTGGATCGGCCGAATAACAACCAAAACACAACAACAGAAAACAAAAACAACAGCGATTAAAAGAGTTGGATTTATGATTTATCAAAAGACAATGTTCAATCTCTTCTTCCAGTTTGCAGTAATGATTACTTGCAAGGGGAAATAAAGAAAAGATAATTGGAATTGGATGTCTGCCCGCAACGGAACAAGAACAGTATTGATTCTCTGTTCTGATCTCTCATAGGCATTTTGAATTTAACCTAAGTGCGGCGATGTTTACTTATAAGCGCGACAAGAAGACCTTCGGTGTTGTAATTGTCATTTTTACCCCTGCTCGCGTCACGGCGGATTTAACCTATTTACATTTCTTAGTATTGTTTGAAAATAACCCTGTACTTTGGAAAATCTTTAAACGGCACCTAAAGTTTTTAAAATAACTATTTAGCTCTACTTGGTAGTGTATATCACAAAATTGAAAACTATAAACACAATTTTGACATTCTAAACACCACCAAACATCTTCAAAAACTGGTCAATAGACCATGTCGGTTTGATGTAGACTCTTTGGTTGGTTAGAGTTAAAACTGTCGAATGTCAAAATTGTGTTAAGTTAAAATGCTCTTCATCGATATTTGGATGAGTGTAAACAAACTACGCAAGAATAAATGTTAGAGTAATCTTTTGACATATCTTTCTCCAAAAGGAAATTGTTGGGTGAAATAAATTCACTAGCCGGTCGCTCCTTAAACTCTATTACAAGCTGGAGATATGATCGACTGACGACCATGATGACCACCGGTCGATCTTACTTCTTAGTGTCTAAAAGGCCTTAGCATCGACATGACGAGGCAGCGACCAACGATGTTAATTAATGGTTTAGCAATGACCGATGGTTTGTACAATTTCCTAAATCTATTAGAGTTGTGCAGAGAACCGACGTGCATATCTAATTAAAAGGAAATTAGGAATGACGACCGACGTAGGAAATGGAATATTACGACCGACGTCAAAGCCCAACTCAACAAGGATTAGGATCGACAAGCACCTATAAATAAGAGGTCCCATAACAAGAACAAGGGGACATTCAGAAAAACACACAAAAACCCTAATAGCTACTTGTTCTTCGCCTCTCGACGAGCAAGCGACGAACAACCTAGATACGACGAACTACGATCTACGACGAGCGACAGACGAGATTCTCTTAGTTTAATCTTTGATATTGACTTGTTGTAGCTCGATATTCAATTGATTAATAAGATATCTTCTCCTGCGTCATTCCGTTTATTGTACTTGCGAACCGGTTAAATTTTGCCCAAACAGAAACTTATACTGTAGAGGAACACAATTAGAATGCGTTATGCATGATCATCATTTCAGTGACAAAAGCAATCAGATGTTACTGAGAAAATAATGGCTGTTGTTTCATAACTTCATAGCTAGAAATTTGACCACATATAGTTACCAGCAAAAGAACATATCCTTCCTTCGAAATGTCCAAAACGATGTGAATAAGTTGAAGCATACCAAAACAAAAAAAGTTTGAAGCATACAAGTTATATATCGGCTACCCAATGGATCCAAACATATCATTTTTAGATATTGGGTTTAACCATTCCAAAGATATCTGAAAAAAGTACAGTATAACGACAAGTTGATAACGTTAATTAGTTGAGATTTTGTTTTCTATATATAATCTCTACATAATTTGTTGTACTTTATTTAAAATCTTTTAATCTTTGGAAAAATATTGTAAAACTAACCAACATAACAAGTAATGAATTTCTAGAAAATAAAAATATCTTTAAGCAATATACACATTTGGTTTGGGCTCAAAAAAATATCAACCAAATTACATTGTTTTCCACCGATCGATGTTAGTAACCTAATAATTTTATAGATACCGACCACAGAATAAAAAGGAAAATGTTTAGCCAACCGAAAAAGAAAAGTGTTAAAAAAAAAAAAAAGAAAAAAGAAAGTCGAAGAAAATTCGAGACGAACCCTGCTCGCTCCTTATTAAACCCCTCTCTTGTTGTCTCCTTACTTTGCTCTTTCCAGATTTTTCGACTGCGACGATAAATCTCACCTCCTTCGCAGAAGAAGCTTCCAGAAACCCAAACCCTTCTCTCGCGATCCAGGTACGATTCCGATTCAGTCTCCTCTCTAAATCCTTAAGCTTCGTATAGATCTTATAGATCTGAATCTCATCTTTCTCGTAGATGTCACTTTTTAGGTTTGATCTATTCGTATCAATGGCGGATCACTTTTTTCCCTGCTCATCTTTGAATTTGACTCCCTGTTTAACCAATATCCGTTGCTGGGAGATTCCCAGCTTCTGGGAATTTAATTAGCTCACGAGCTCCTCGTAGATTTCCCAATTTATTTAGGGTTTTAGATTAGTTTCTCACACATTGAAACTTCGTTGGATTCATTCAGTAACCTAATTTCTAATCTGATTTTCCCCTTTGTTGTTTTGAAGATAGCAAAGGGCGAAGATGAGCGTTGTCGGGTTTGATTTCGGAAACGAGAATTGTCTTGTAGCTGTTGCAAGGCAAAGAGGTATCGACGTTGTGCTTAACGATGAGTCAAATCGCGAGACTCCGGCGATTGTATGTTTCGGCGAGAAGCAACGTTTCATCGGGACTGCTGGAGCTGCTTCGACTATGATGAACCCTAAAAACTCCATATCTCAGATCAAGCGTCTAGTCGGCCGCCAATTCTCCGATCCTGAGCTGCAGAGAGATATCAAATCTATGCCCTTCTCCGTTACCGAAGGCCCCGATGGATACCCTTTGATCCATGCCAATTATTTGGGAGAGAAGAGAGCTTTCACTCCCACTCAGGTCATGGGGATGATGTTGGCTAACTTGAAAGGTATTGCTGAGAAGAACTTGAATGCTGCGGTGGTGGATTGCTGTATCGGTATTCCGGTTTACTTCACCGACCTCCAGCGGAGAGCTGTTTTGGATGCTGCGACGATCGCTGGCTTGCATCCGTTGCACTTGATCCACGAGACTACAGCGACGGCTTTGGCGTATGGTATTTACAAGACCGATTTGCCAGAGAGTGAGCCGCTCAATGTCGCTTTCATTGACGTTGGGCACTCGAGCATGCAAGTGTGCATTGCTGGATTCAAGAAGGGACAGCTCAAGGTCTTGTCTCACGCTTTTGACCGCTCGCTGGGAGGAAGGGACTTTGATGAGGCTCTTTTCAATCACTTTGCTGCTAAGTTCAAGGAGGAGTACAAGATTGATGTCTACCAGAACGCCAAGGCTAGTCTCAGGCTGAGAGCTGCGTGCGAGAAGGTGAAGAAGGTTCTAAGCGCGAATCCTGTGGCGCCATTGAACATCGAGTGTTTGATGGATGAGAAGGACGTTAGGGGTGTCATGAAGAGGGATGAGTTTGAAGAGATCAGCATTCCGATTTTGGAGCGTGTTAAGAGGCCTCTAGAGAAAGCTCTAGCTGATGCGGGACTCGGAATTGAAGATGTACATATGGTCGAGGTCGTTGGCTCTGGCTCTCGTGTCCCTGCTATTATCAAGATCCTGACTGAGTTTTTCGGTAAGGAGCCGAGGCGTACGATGAATGCAAGTGAGTGTGTGTCCAGGGGATGCGCCTTGCAGTGTGCTATTCTCAGTCCGACCTTTAAAGTTCGTGAATTCCAGGTAATGGACACGCATCTAAGCTTATGAAAATGTGATTTGTTCGTCTACTGTTGTACTCCAGGTTATCTAACAAGTCTTATTCTTTAATTTTTCTCTCTTAAGGTTCATGAGAGCTTCCCTTTCTCGATCTCTCTGGCATGGAAAGGAGCAGCTTCTGAGGCTCAAAATGGAGGAGCTGAGAATCAGCAGAGCACCGTTGTTTTCCCCAAAGGAAATACCATTCCTAGCGTCAAGGCTCTAACGTTTTATCGCTCTGGGACATTCTCTGTTGATGTGCAGTACAGTGATGTGTCGGAGTTGCAAGCACCTGCAAAAATCAGCACATACACGGTTTGATATTCCCCAAAATTTCTTGACTAGTTAATACCATAGCGATCTTGTTTCTAATGGCTGATCTCTTTTTTTTCTGTAGATTGGTCCCTTCCAGTCATCAAAAGGCGAGAGGGCAAAGCTTAAAGTGAAAGTGAGATTGACCCTGCACGGAATTGTCTCAGTTGAATCAGCAACTGTAAGTATTTGTTGATACATTGATCATTTAGAGTAGTGCTTTCCTTACGAACTTGAGATCTTATAATTTATGCCTAATATTTTATCTCTCTCTTCATTGCAGCTTTTGGAAGAGGAGGAAGTCGAAGTTCCAGTCGCAGAGGAATTCACTAAGATGGACACTGACGCAACACCTGCTTCTGGTGACGCTGATGCTGACATGCAGGACGCCAAGGAAACCAGTGATGCAGCTGGTGCTGACAATGGTGTTCCCGAGTCTGCTGATAAGCCGGTGCAAATGGAAACTGACTCAAAGGTTAGTTTCTCTCTTACTAAACTGAAGGTGTTTGCTCTACTCATTCGCTTGTGAACTTGAATTAATAGACTTTTTTGTTAATGGGATGTGCAGGCTGGGGCTCCGAAGAAGAAAGTGAAGAAAACCAATGTACCTCTGTCAGAAATCGTGTACGGTGCGTTGCAAACTGTGGATGTCCAAAAGGCTGTGGAGAAAGAATACGAGATGGCTTTGCAGGACAGAGTTATGGAGGAGACCAAGGACAAGAAGAATGCTGTTGAGTCCTATGTTTATGACATGAGAAACAAAGTGAGAATCTTTTCCTTCTTTCTTTTTATGCGTTGAGTATTCATTTATAAGGGTTTTTAGGCACTGACGTGTTTTGTATTTCCAGCTGAGCGACAAATTCCATGATTATATCATCGACTCAGAGAGGGAAGCATTCCTGGCGAAGCTTCAGGAAGTTGAGGATTGGTTGTATGAAGATGGTGAAGATGAGACTAAAGGTGTTTACGTTGCAAAGCTCGAGGAGCTCAAGAAGGTATTATGATACGCATGATGATGGCTACTATATTGTGTTTTAAAGAATCCTTTTGTTGTTGTTGAATGCTTTGTTTTAACAAAGCTTTTGTTAATGGTCTTATTGTAGGTTGGTGACCCTGTTGAAATGCGTTTCAAGGAGTCGCAAGAAAGAGGAACGGTCATCAATCAGCTTGGTTACTGTATCAACAGCTACAGAGAGGCAGCTGCGTCTAACGATGCCAAGTTTGACCACATTGATTTGGCAGAGAAGGAAAAGGTAATAATAAACAAATTCGAAACGCTAAGATTCTCGTGATTTTTGGCCGGCATGAATGTTGAGACATGCGTGTTCTTTTGTTGTTGTTATTGTTCAGGTTTTGAAGGAGTGTGTGGAAGCAGAAGCATGGCTGAGAGAGAAGCAGCAGCAACAGGAGGCTCTTCCCAAGTACGCAACACCAGCTTTCTTGTCTGCTGACGTTACAAGCAAGGCTGATGCATTGGACAAGTAAGCAAAAGCTTCCGCATTTGTTTCTTCCTATACATTTGTATATGGCATAGAAGTGAATGATGAACCAATTTTTGTATGTGTTGGCAGGTTTTGCAGGCCTGTAATGACCAAACCAAAGCCGGCGGCTAAACCGGCGGAGGCTCCACAAGCCAAGGCGGCTGATGAGGAAAGGAGTGAGCCAGAGCCAGCGGCGGCCTCCGGTGAAGAGCCAATGGACACAGAGAAGCCTACTCAAGATAGTGCCTAAGAATGTTGTATCGATTTTGTTTCTACCTTTTCTTTTTAGTTGTGGTGGATTCGGTATTATTATTCACTGAAAACTGAAGATTTCTATGATTTTAATTCTTCCTTCGGATAACAATTTTCAGGAAGTCTTGTTTCCCTTTGTGTTTTCTTTATAGTTTTTTATTTATCTTTGTGTGATGCGGATTTGTGGTCTACCCTTTAGTTGTTTTACATCTTTCTGAAGTTTTTTCTTTGCAACAAATGAAATGTTTTGTGTTCCTCCTCAAACTTTATCGAATGAAGAGCAAGAAGATGATTCCTTACTTGTACAGTTGTACCGAAAAAACTGGTTAACAAAATCCATTGTCGTCGAAGAGCTAAACTCAGAATTAGGTTTAAGATTATCAGAGTTGCAAGTTGCAACAATTGACACCGTTAATCTTCTGAAGAAATTTTAAGAACAATTTTCGCGAATTCAACACCAATTCAACGTATTAAAGTTTGATGTACACTACGGAACTCGATGGATTACCATTTCATACAAAATTTTGGGGCATTTCTTCGCGGTGATTCTTCCAACACTTGAATTGCGATTCTAATAAACAGAAGCAAATGGATCAAAAATGTGGAAGAACAGAAGAATTCGAGCTGGAAAAAATTTGGCAAAAAAAATTTGGACCATTTCTCGATTTGTGCGTGTCATCCTTGCGCAGGGGCCATGCTAATCTTCTCTGTATCGTTCCAATTTTATCGGATGTCCCCGAAGGGACAATCATCTTTGTCACTCCATCCATATATAAACACTCGCTTCTCTGCTCTGATAAACGATGTGGGACAAAAAGAGAACTTGGGAAGAAGATGACTTCACATTGGGCCTATTTAATGAATTGAACAAGCCCATATATGAATTTTAAATGCAAAAACTGCATGTCGCCTAAACAGAGAAAACGACAGGTATTCTTCATCAATACCAACGCCACAACGAACAACAAGTGTAATAGTGAATGGCCCGCTAATTGAATTGCAAGACTCGAGAGTACTTCTTGGAAAGATCGAACACTTGGGATTCATCGCCGGAGATTTGAACATGGACGGGATTCTTACAGCAGTTCCATCCGTAATGTGTGGTGTCTCTCTGCGCAGTTCTTGTCGGAACAGGGTTAATGCTGAATCCAGACACCATTTCGCAGGCAATTCCCCGAATCCAGTAGTTTCTCTACTTCAAACTCGGAACTGCGTTTCTTCTCTCTCGATTCAACCTTCTCGAAAAGGCAATTCGTTGCGTAGAAAGCGACTTTGTTGTGGAATCGTAAAATCCGCCGCTTCAACAGGTAAAAAGGTTGAACCTTTTCTTCTCGTATCAAGAACAATGAAACATACATTTGATTTGAACAAAGAAAAGACAAGATCTTTGTGTTTCTTTCTTTTAGAGCTGAAGAAACAGTGTTAGCATTTGGCAATGAATCTTTTTGTCGAACAAAACTGAAATGCGTTTTGAGTATCAATCGAATTTCATTTTGGTCGGTCTGTGTTGTTTAATGTAGTTGGGAATGCAGAGGAGTACGTGGAAGAAGCAGCTACAAGCGTCAAGTTTCAGAGATCAGTGACATTACCGGGTTGCTCAAAACCACTCTCATTGCTTGGCACTGGTCAGTTTCGGCCATATCTTCACTCTTTAGCTTCAAAGTTTTCATTTTTACACTTGCTCTGAAGCTAAGACCAATAATTTTAAAACAGAACTTTCTTCAAATGAGTCTCATTTCAGGGTTTAGGGAGAAAAAGTTTGCTATCATTGGTGTCAAAGTCTATGCTGCTGGTTTATACGCGAATGAAACTATCCTGAGCGGGTTAAGCGCGTGGAAAGGGAGATCTGCTGATGAAATCCAAATAGATTCATCACTGTTTAGTTCCATTTTTCAAGGTAATGAAATGCTAAAGATGGTAGCTTTCATCGTCCACATTTTGAAATTCTCTCTGTCTCACTTAAGAGTCTTCTTCCCTCTTATTGATTGCAGCTGAAGCAGAGAAATCGCTGCAGATTGTTCTTGTGAGAGATGTTGATGGGAAAACCTTTTGGGATGCATTGGACGAAGCCATATCACCGAGAATCAAATCTCAGTCTTCTGATGATAAAACCGCTCTCGCCACATTCCGTGGGATCTTCCAAAACAGAGCTCTCAACAAAGGAAGTGTCATACTCTTGACTTGGATCAATCCTTCTAAAATGCTTGTAAGCACAAATTTTTCATGCTTTTGGCGTGTATTCAATTGTTGTTACACATGATCTTTTATATTTTTTTCGACATTTTTGGTTAGGTTTCTGTTTCATCAGGAGGATTGCCAACGGATGTGGATGCTGCGATCGAGTCTGGTAACGTTACATCTGCTCTGTTTGATGTGTTCTTTGGGGAGAATCCAGTTTCTCCTACTTTGAAATCCTCAGTGGCTAACCAATTAGCTATGAGCCTTGTGTAAAAGTAAATACCACTGTAATTGTATATCATGGATCTTGCAATGTGTTAATCTTTGTTTATCAGATAAGGTAACCAACTCAAAAAGAAGCAAACTTGAATCTTAACATGGTCTCCAAGCAAACGAAACTCAAAATGGGTTTTGATCCCTGGATTTTTTTCTACATGTAGTGCAAAATAATGAGTCAAACAGCCAATTAAAATGAATGTAAAGTAAGTCGAAATCAATGTTTCTACTATGGGAAATAAAGTTGATCGTTGAAGACAAAAAATGATGAATGAGATTTTATGGTTTGGGCCAAGTTGAGCAGGTGAGACCTAGACCACATGCAACTTCCTATGTCACTCTCACTGGACCACACTTTATATTGTATTTTGATTTGTCATATGATGCATTATGATACCTGTCACAGCTTGTTACAGGAGAGCACTGTTACATATTTTGCAAATATATTTTGGTTTGTAGATTTTGTAATAGTATAATAACAAAACAAATGTGCTTGGTGGGGATATATGTGGTGAATGGTTGTTATGTCTCCTCTGTTGAATTGTGACTCATGGATCTTCTTCCTTCTTTAATACTATTTGACTCATTACTAAATGTTGATGCTTTTAAAAAATTTCAAACTACTAGGGTAGTTAGAATTTAAATAGATAACGTGATATGTATGCTGATAAACAGTAACATATATTTTAATGGATAGGGCCAGCACTGATTTTTAATCTTTGGCCGATCATATCTTACGACACATGCATTTCAAATGCTCTATTCGGTTAAATACAGTAAACTATGATATTTGTACCTAAAAAAGGAAGAAAATGAATAACAATAACCAAGCACAAAATATCAACTTTAGTTTTAACCCCTTTGAATATGTGGTCCTTTTTCTATACCTTACATCGTATATAGTATGAAGTTATAATATTTGTTCGGCTTATGAATCGAGTTTCGATTCTTTTTATGAAACCGAATAAAATAGTCTTTTTTTTATGTGTGGAACTGTCTTTTTCATGCTTTAAGTAATGGACCAACATTGCAAATTTGCAACTCATTTGTATGTTTGAATGCCTCAAATACAACAAAAACAATAATGTCGATATTTTTCATATCAAATCTAGATCAGATAATATAATAATAACATAGTCTTAACCTTTTTTTGAATTGCCCCCTTGCGAGATCAACTTTTAATTTAAGCCAGACACTAAAAGTTGGTCTTTTCAATAGTTACAAACGCCAATTTGTGTAAATTGACATGTGAGTATCAACAACATCACCGTTAGTTTCACACAAATGACAAAAAATAATCTTATCTTTACATTTCCTTTTGAACAAAAAAAAAAAAATCTTTACATTTCCTCTTCTTGCAAGAGCGAGACTAACACAACTTGATAGTTAGAGGGTATTTTCCTCAAATAACGGTTTGAATTATATGAAAATGAAATGTTGACCTTTCAAGCATAAGATTATCTTATCCTGTCACTTGATCATATATGTAAACTTCTTAAAAAGTAAAAATCTGATAAACATATCTTCTAAAAATGATTTGTTACATATGAACTAGTCAACTGGATTGGTGATTTGGTTCTTCCTTTGAAAATATATAATTTGTTTTATAAGTGTTATTAATTTATTATGATGATAAAATCGATTAATGTTTTCGTATCATCACGTGTGGGTTAAATTGACAGCTTGGCAAAAAGAGGGGCTATAATTTGAATTAAAATTTCGGATAGGGGCCAAAACTGGAAGTAGAGGATTATATAAACGGTCCAAGTCCAGCAACAGTTGGCTTAAACCAAATGGGTCTATTTCCAAAAAAGATCGTCAACAATGAGAATAACTATAAAAACATTACCCTCAAGACTTGTTAATAATAACGATACTGCCACTTATCTGGGATTTGTGTTTACCCGTACGCAATAAGTACCAAGCGAATTGCTACAAGTAGAAATGATTTTTATTCAAATTCATTAAACAAAAAAAAACTCAAATTCGGTATTTTCTTTTAAAAAATTCGGATTTTCTCTCGTCTTCTTCTCCGATCGCTGGATCTAGGTTTCTTTTTTGTTCTCTCTCTCTCGCCTTCTTCACAAACTGGGCTGAGTAGTGTTCATCTGGTTTCGGGAATTTTTTGGAATCTAGGGTTTTGTTTTCGAAAAGTCGATTAAATTTTTGGTTTTTGAATCATTTTTCACTCTGAGATTCAAAGCTTTTTCGAATTTCTTTCATTTTTCCTGTAATTTCAGAGATATTTGAGTTTCCTGAGTTTGTTCGTGTCGATTGGCGTTTTCTATTCATTTCGTCTGAGTAAATAAGTGAAGATTTCAAGTTGATAAATTCGAAGAAGATGCAACAAAATCAAGTGAAGAAGGTTACTCTCTCTCTCTCTCTCTCTCTCTCGCTCGCTCTTAATCTAATTTGTTTCAAAGATAATCATAAATGTGCTAAATCGAGTATAAAAAACTTTCCTTTTCCGAATCAACAACAAAAAAAAACTCAGCTTTCCTATTTCAATTAGAGTAAGGTTCCTAGTACCGTTTGGTTTCATAAAGTTACGAACTTTGGTTGCATGAGCAATATTTATATGGACTCTCTTTAATTCTGTGATTCACCAGGATACGAAAGAGATGGAGTTTTTCACAGAGTACGGTGATGCAAACCGTTACCGGATTCTCGAAGTTATCGGCAAAGGAAGCTACGGAGTTGTGTGTGCGGCGATTGACACACACACCGGAGAGAAAGTTGCTATCAAGAAGATTAATGATGTCTTTGAACACATCTCTGACGCGCTTCGAATCCTCCGTGAGGTTAAGCTTCTAAGGCTTCTAAGGCATCCGGATATAGTGGAGATCAAAAGCATTATGCTGCCTCCTTCCAAGAGGGAGTTTAAAGACATTTACGTTGTGTTTGAGCTCATGGAATCGGATCTTCACCAAGTTATTAAAGCTAATGATGATTTGACTCGTGAGCACCATCAGTTTTTCCTCTACCAGATGCTTCGTGCCTTGAAGTTCATGCATACAGGTCCAATTTCTATTCCTTTTGTTTCAGACGTGAGATTGGCTTTTTCATGGTTTGGAACTAACTGTAACTTTTGTTTTACTTGGTTGCAGCTGATGTTTATCATCGTGATCTTAAGCCAAAGAACATACTGGCGAATGCAAACTGCAAGTTGAAAGTTTGTGACTTTGGATTGGCTCGAGTATCGTTCAATGATACGCCTACAACAGTCTTTTGGACGGTTCGTTAGCCTTGTGTCAACTGTAATATTCTGGTTTTGTTACTGTCTCCAGTTTTTGTGTTTTGACTTTTCCTCTTGCGATGCAGGACTATGTAGCGACAAGATGGTACAGAGCACCTGAGCTTTGTGGATCATTCTTCTCTAAGGTATGTGTTACAATGGACTTATACGTTCCTCTGTACTTGTCTTGTGTATCTGAAATGTTTGGTGTAGAAATATGTAAAGAATACTGTTAATAGACTTAGCTAGTATTTGATATTGCTTGTATAAGTAAAGAGCTATTCCCCAGTGGGATAGTATGAACAAGCAACATATTAAAATAGTTCTTGTTCAGGGATGACTTTGAACTCTCCCGGAAGTTGAAAATCTTTGAATCAGGTAACCTTGTATCAGGTTATGTTCATTGAGTGTTCTTTTGCATCTGCAACTTTATATTTTTGATATTTTTTTTCTGTTCTCATAGTCTGATTTTAAAGTTACTATCTTTTTTGCAGTACACTCCAGCTATCGACATTTGGAGCATTGGTTGCATCTTTGCGGAGGTACTAATAGGGAAGCCATTGTTTCCGGGAAAAAGTGTTGTTCATCAGTTGGACTTGATTACTGATCTTCTTGGCACACCAAAATCAGAGACAATTTCTGGGGTAATGATTGTCTCTGTCTTCTTCATAGTCACTTTGCAACATATATGTTTGTATTGAATTGTATATCTAAAAAAATATGTTTCTCTGATACAGGTTCGAAATGACAAAGCTAGAAAATACTTGACTGAAATGAGGAAGAAAAGTCCTGTCACCTTCTCTCAGAAATTCTCCAAAGCAGATCCTTTAGCAGTCCGGCTTTTGCAGAAGCTGTTGGCTTTCGATCCGAAGGATAGACCGACTGCTGCAGAGGTCTCTCTTCTGTTACTATATTCTTGTTCTTTCCTATTTGAAAAACCGCCTTGCTTCTTGTGTGTATCTCCCTACTTACTTGGCCATCTTGTTTTTGTTTTTCTCTACAGGCACTGGCTGATCCTTACTTTAAGGGTCTTTCTAAGGTTGAAAGAGAACCTTCATGTCAGCCAATCTCGAAGATGGAGTTTGAATTTGAGAGACGAAGGCTGACAAAGGAGGACATTAGAGAACTGATTTACAGGGAAATACTGGAATACCATCCTCAGTTGCTCAAGGACTATATGAGCGGATCTGAGGGGTCCAATTTTGTATATCCTAGGTTTGTGCTTCTTCCTACTTTTGACTTTCAGTCGCCAAATGAAACATACAACTTCGTATCTTTCTCTCCTCTGCTGCTTTTTCCATCTGTTTTACTGATTTCTCGACTATTTTCATTGCAGCGCCATCGGACATCTTAGAAAGCAGTTCACTTACTTAGAGGAAAATAGCAGCAGAAATGGGCCGGTCATACCTCTCGAGAGGAAGCACGCATCACTTCCTCGGTATGTTTTCTCATTGTTTTGCTCTTTCTTCTGTTGCTTCATAGCATTTGTTGTAAAGCATGCCTGAGTTTCATCTGTTCTCTCTACCTCTTAATATCCTCCACAGGTCTACAGTTCACGCCAGTGTAGTCCATTCCACCGTTCAACCCAACTTGTGTGCGACAGAGAGTAGACGTGTTCCTACTGGACTTCCATCAACTTCCGCATTCCCAACTAAATCTTTAGGACCTCCACCAAGAGTACCATCTGGTAAATAAAAAAACCTCCATCGCATCACCAAATTGTAACTCATGAACCAGTTTTGACCATCGTGTGTTTTTACAGGTAGACCAGGCCGTGTGTTGGAATCATCTCTAACTTATGAGAATGGTAAGAGCCTCAAAGAAGCTTATTTCAGAAGTGCGGTATCTTCTCCTCACTGCTACTTCCGAGCAAACACCAACGTAGAAGCTTCTTCTCAGCCAAAACCGCAAGAATTTGTCCACCCATTCAGTCCCACCGTGCCTCCAGCTGCTGCTACTACTACTAACCAAACAAACGTCGAGATCATCAACCAGCACCCAAACCCTTACTTCCAGTCACAGCTCCCCAAGATTGATCAATTGAGCAACAGCAACAACACACACATGGCCATTGATGCTACGCTGTTGCAGGCACAATCACAGTTTGGTCCAGCTGGAGCCGCAGCGGTTGCAGTTGCAGCACACAGGAACATAGGCACACCAATTAGTTACGGCACCATCGTAGACTAATCTTTAACCACATCCTCCTCCAAATCCAGGTGATTCCGGTCTCAGGTTTTTATGTAAGTATTTTTCAGTCCAGGCTCTGATTTGAACCAACTTTGCAAGGATTATAATAAAGACTTTTAGTTGTAACTCACCAGAACAAGATCGGTTAGATCATAATTCAGTCTGATCCAGGGTTATTACCGGTGACTGTTTCGGTTATCTTGCTTGCTCCATAATCTTTGAATTTGTTATAAGCGTAGTTCATTGAAGAGAAGAAGACCGTTGTGATTATATACTTCTTAAACTTCAAAATCGGATGCGGTCCCATTACTCTTTGTAGATTCTTTAACAGTGAGCAATCTATTTGAATATCGGATTAAAAAATTGATCTAAATGGCTATATAGAGAATCATTAGGTCGACAAATGTGGAAGCAACAAAAGTCATTGGTCCTTAGATCTTTCTCCTCCGTAAATCAATCATTTTCACATTATAATTAGTCGTTTCATTCAATGGTTAGTTACAAAAGAGATTAGAAAAACGAATGCTCATGACCTCTGGTTCTGGACTCTGCTTATTTCCTCTCTCACCTTAATTTCAAAATTTGTGACGCCATTAGATGTTTAGAATTTACCCGCCATTTTTAGAAAACCGGTTTAGTGGGCTGTGACCTTAACCTATATGGGCCTGTATTTACTAGTAACGCATTTATCTCTTTCTTAATGTTTTTTTTTTCTGTCGGCATCACTTTCTTTAATGAATATAGACATGAAAAAGTGTATTTTAGTTTATTTAATGTTGTTAACTCGGAAATCAGTAATTCCGTTACGTAACATTAACCATCATGATCCGTTACGTTTAATCTCAGGTTTTTCCTTGTTGAAGTGTTGACATGTGGGTTGTTTTCCATCTAAAATTAAAATATTTAACCGACATATGTACGTTATATCATAAACAAATCAGGGAATTTAATTAAATCCCAAGATTAAACTTCTGATTTACAGAAAACCTATTTTTGTTCGTTAAATCACACAATTCACTTATTTATTCTCATTAAAAAATTCGGAAATGTAGTGAGAAAATATTTTCCTTTACTTCTTTCTTTTTTAGTAAGAATAAATTAATTATAGAAGTTTTGTTCTATTTTTAATTTTTCAAATTTCTTATTTTAGATCTGTGTGGGAAAATAAATAAAAGAAAAAGACATCAGTTTTTATGTCGGACGCTTGGTTCACGTGAAATCCGTAATATCTAAGACAAGGCAAGGTTAAATTCGTTAATTTGCTCATACGGTTCTCCGCAACTGTCTCAGAATATAAGAGGCGCAGTGCTCAGACACGCTCCGTAGACCGTAGATTCCCTCTCTTCTTCTTCCTCTTCTTCTCCTTCCTCTGTACTCTTCTTTCTTTTAATCCCTCTCACTATCGCTCTTAAGATCTTCTTCCTAGGTTGTCCGAATTGTGTCGGTACGTGAAAATGTTTCTCTCTTTCTGATCCTGCTTAAGTTTCTATAATGCTTTAAGCTAAATTTTGTGTAAATGTTGCAACGTGAACAACGTATAACGTATGATAATTGATCTGTTTTTCTAGATTTATGGTGTGTTTATGATCCCATTCGAAAAGTGACTCATTTTGTTCGTATAAGATCTGTTGCTAAAATTGATTCGGTTTTCAGTCGATTGGATCTGGATCTGCTCTTTTTTTTATTTTTCTGATTTAGTTTTATATGATCCGTTCTTCGATTTAACAAAAAAAAATGATCCGTTCTTCGTTTCTTGCAGATATTTGATTTCTGAAAATGGCTACTTCATATAAGCCCAAGAACATTCTCATTACTGGAGCTGCTGGATTCATTGCTTCCCACGTTGCCAACAGACTAATCCGTAGCTATCCAGATTACAAGATCGTCGTGTTGGACAAGCTTGATTACTGTTCAGATCTGAAGAATCTCGATCCTTCGTTTTCTTCACCAAACTTCAAGTTTGTGAAAGGAGACATCGCGAGCGATGACCTCGTGAACTACCTTCTCATCACCGAAAACATCGACACCATAATGCATTTCGCTGCTCAGACTCACGTAGACAACTCTTTCGGTAACAGCTTTGAGTTTACCAAGAACAACATCTATGGTACTCATGTGCTTTTGGAAGCCTGTAAAGTAACAGGACAGATCAGGAGGTTTATCCACGTGAGCACCGATGAAGTCTATGGAGAAACCGATGAGGATGCTGCTGTAGGAAACCATGAAGCGTCTCAGCTGCTACCGACAAATCCATACTCAGCCACGAAAGCTGGTGCTGAGATGCTCGTGATGGCGTACGGTAGATCGTATGGTTTACCGGTTATCACAACTCGTGGGAACAATGTTTATGGGCCTAACCAGTTTCCTGAAAAACTGATTCCTAAGTTTATCTTATTGGCTATGAGTGGGAAGCCGCTTCCGATCCATGGAGATGGATCTAACGTCAGGAGTTACTTATACTGTGAAGACGTTGCTGAAGCGTTTGAGGTTGTTCTTCACAAAGGAGAAGTCGGCCACGTCTACAATATCGGAACAAAGAGAGAAAGGAGAGTGACTGATGTGGCGACAGACATCTGCAAACTCTTCGGGAAAGATCCTGAGTCAAGCATTCAGTTTGTGGAGAATCGTCCGTTTAACGATCAGAGGTACTTCCTTGATGATCAGAAGCTGAAGAAACTGGGTTGGTCAGAGAGAACCACATGGGAAGATGGATTGAAGAAGACAATGGAATGGTACACTCAGAATCCAGAGTGGTGGGGTGATGTCTCTGGAGCTTTGCTTCCTCATCCGAGAATGCTTATGATGCCCGGAGGAAGACTTTCCGATGGATCTGAGGAGAAGAAAGACGCCACAAGCAACACCGTGCAGACATTTACGGTTGTGACACCTAACAGCAAGACTAATGGTGGTTCTAGTGACAAAGCTTTCTTGAAGTTTTTGATCTATGGTAAGACTGGTTGGATTGGTGGTCTTTTAGGGAAGCTATGTGAGAAGCAAGGGATTGCGTATGAGTATGGGAAAGGGCGTTTGGAGGATAGAGCTTCTCTAGTGGCTGATATTCGTAGTGTCAAACCTACTCATGTGTTTAACGCTGCTGGTTTAACTGGGAGACCTAATGTCGACTGGTGTGAGTCTCACAAACCGGAGACGATTCGTGTCAATGTCGCTGGGACTTTGACTCTAGCTGATGTTTGCAGAGAGAATGATCTCTTGATGGTGAACTTCGCCACCGGTTGCATATTTGAGTATGACGCTGCACATCCCGAGGGCTCAGGTATTGGCTTCAAGGAAGAGGACACGCCTAATTTCGCCGGATCTTTCTACTCAAAAACTAAAGCCATGGTAACATCTATATCTAACAGACTCACGGCATTCTCAAAAGCCAAAACCAAGAAGTTTCTTTCTTTGTTTATCACAGCTATGTTTTGTTTTGTTTTCCTTCTTCTTGTCATCACCAGGTTGAGGAGCTTTTAAGAGAGTTTGACAATGTGTGTACATTGAGAGTGCGTATGCCGATCTCATCAGACCTAAGCAACCCAAGAAACTTCATCACGAAGATCTCTCGCTACAACAAAGTGGTGGACATCCCGAACAGCATGACCATACTGGACGAGCTTCTCCCAATCTCAATCGAGATGGCGAAGAGAAACCTAAGAGGGATATGGAACTTCACCAACCCAGGGGTGGTGAGCCACAATGAGATACTGGAGATGTACAGAACTTACATCGAGCCAGGTTTTAAGTGGTCCAACTTCACAGTGGAAGAACAAGCAAAGGTCATTGTTGCTGCTAGAAGCAACAACGAAATGTGTGGGGCTAAACTAAGCAAGGAGTTCCCAGAGATGCTACCCATTAAAGAGGCACTCATCAAATACGTCTTTGAACCAAACAAGAAAACCTGAGACCTCAATGAAGAAAACAACACTCTTTGCCACAATTGCTTACCTATAAGGCTATAATTGATTTCCTTTTTTTTTTCTTTCTTTTTTGCCTTCTCTTTCAGCAAAAAAATGTTTTTTTTGTGTTTACACATTGTCTTATGATCCTTGTAGGTAGTTTCACTATATTGATTCTACTAAAATATGATTTATCATTATTATTTATAGAGGCGAGAGTTTTTCTTTTTTCTCAGATCCTACACTTCCATCAGATTTTACTTACCAAGACAGTAAGCTTATAAACATGAAGAGTCACTTACTGGTTGTGACCATTAGAGCTTCCACCAAGGCTGGTTCAAAACACTTGAACTTGATCCTTAAGCTATAGCCTGAGAAGAGAAGCAACGATAGTTATTTTCTTAAAACAAAACCTGATGTGGATTTAGTCAATTTTTCAGAGTTATAGTTTGCTTACGTGAACAGTTGAGGGCGGGAACGAGAGAGCTGAGAGCGTTTAATTGGGGAGAGAATAAGGTTTCGTAGAGTTGATTGGGGATTAGACGCGCCACCACCACCAAATGCAGGATGTCCTCCTCCTGCTCTTCTGTTTCCAAGGTCTGTTGGAATTGCTGGTGAGTCGCCGGAGATGTCAAATGGACCACCAGAGTTTGAACTGTTCGGTCTTGCTGGCCATATTTCGTCTTTAGGTCCTGGTGTTGCAGGAGAGTAAAATGACCGGTCTGCACCAAATAAGTCAACTTGATTTGGAGATATTAACCAGCAATAGACTTGGAATCATTAAGAAGCACTCAAGGTAGTAAATTAACCTTTGCGAGTTGGCTCTCTGTTCTCCATCATGTTAACTGGTGGGTTTGAGAAAAAGTCAGGCTCGTGGTGTGACTGGTGTCGCGGGTAGTAATTGTTTGCTGGCTGGATGGCTGTACGTTTGACTGACTCGTACTCACTTCTTAGCTGGTCATACATCTCATCAAGCTTCCTCTTCTGTCTGGTGTTTAAACACAATTATGGTAGCTTGTTATTACGGTTGAGTTCAAGGTAAGGAACAAAAACGTATGTTAAATTACTGACCTTGATTTCTCGGAGAACTTCTCTTGCAGCTCTTGTTTATCCTTGGTCAAGTTTTCCACCTCTTGCTCCATCATCTGACACCTCTTACCCATCTTCTGGTATGCTGTATGCACCTGCTCCATTTTCTCGCTAAACTTTGCTTGCATACCCTCGCATTTCTGACGACACTGTGCAACAACTCTGTTCATCTTGTACTGCATCTCTAAGTCTCTTTGCGAAATGTAAAACATTACGCTTCGGTATGCACTCTTCATCACTAATATCAATTAAGGAAAACAGAAGGAGGTTCGCTGAACCTTAAATCATTGTTTTACTAACTTTGACAAATGCAAAAAAAGACACAGTCAGTTGATGGAAAAAGCAATAGCACTTGAGTTATATTTCAGATACAGAGGGACATTTTTCAACTGAAAAATTCTACCAAGAGTGAAAAGGATACGTATTTGTGGAGAAATTGCAGCCATCGCCATCTGATAACAAAGGCAAGCAATGAGAAGATGTCAGATGGAAATTTTGGAAAAATGGAAAAGAAACAAAAGCTATAGCATCCTTGCGTACTCCAGCTCAACCACTTACATTTATCCATTCTTCATTTGGATTGGTATCCACAGGTTTCATAAGACTGAGATAGATAACAAAGAAAAACTGTGAGTAGAAAATAAGTCGAGTAGGGATAAACTGAAGCTAAGCAAGTGGCTTAGGGAACTTTTTACCTCTTGGAGAGTACTTGATCACAAATGGGACATGCCCCATCATTACTGAGAATCTTGGTGGCATCTTCAGTACCTTCTCATGATGTTAAGGTCATCGTAGTCAAGCTCACAAGTACATTATTCATCAAGATAACGCTTAAGGAACGATGAAGAGTACAAAAGAAAAGTAGAAGTCTAAAGTGCATACATAATAAGTGACCGCAAGTTGTGGAAATGGCCCGGCCCTCCAATTCCCTCCAGCAGGCGTTGCACCTCATGTCGAGCTCTAATATAAGTATCTCAAGCTGCTACGCACCTGCAAATCAAACTGATATCAAACTAGATGAAGTATCATGCTCTAATTGAAACTCGCATCTCCATAGTCCTCTCGATTTTCAATTCCGTCTTTCAATACATCTACATGACGACTCAGAAGCCAAAGCTAAGCGTTTAGACAACTATGGACTAAGAGCCAAACTCACTGAGATCAACCAATGAAATAGCATTAAGAGCACAGATTTTCATTAACCAATATTCGATCAAAATGCTGCAAATTGTTAATTGCAAACACGAACTGGTACTACAGGTTACTGGAAATACAAGCTAGGCAATCAAATCTGTCGAACTTCAGTAGGATTCAGCTCAGTTTATAGTAATCGGAAAGGTATAAAACTTACGGTTACTGTGATAATGGTAGAAATTCAGGATTTCAGGACGACGCAAAGCTAATTTCAGGATGGAAACCCTAGAAATTCTGGATAAACAGCACGGACTCCAGAGATCTGCAAAAACATCGCGAAGTAGAGATTACGGGGCCGATTCTGAGAATACGCACGCAAGCTGTTCGACTGCACAGGGACCGAAATTAGAGTTTCAACATCACAGCGATAGACTCAACGTAACAATTAGATGCACGAATCTAAGGTAAGGTTTCCGAAGAACGGAGACAAATTGGTTAGCTAATCTCTGTAAATTGAAAATGACGCAAACCTTAGAAATTGGGGAAAATCCTTAGGTCTAGAAACGAAATTACAGCAGGAATGCGAAGATCTAAAATGGAGATTGTAGAACCTTACCTGCGATTTTGAGAGAGAGAGCGCGACGCGGAGAACGAGGAAGAACAACAAACGGCGTTTAAGCTAGTCGATCTGCCGGAATCTGAAGGCGGCCACGAAAATAACCAGCGCAGATTCTCCAAAATCATGAATCGAAGAAGAAGCAGATACGAATTCGAGAGAAAATACACGAATTACAAGGATCGTTTACCTCTCGCTGATTTCAATGTCGGCGCGAGAAACGAAGATTTGAAATTTTCAGAAATAATGAGCGGCAGAAAATATTTTAGTCGTTTAGCGCCAGGAGTGAGCAATTATATTCGTCGATAAATAATTAAAAAGAAAATCAGGGGAGCCGTTATGTTCACGATTTAACGACGTCGCTTCGATGTTGAAGGTTACTAAACGAAAGTACAATACGTATATGCCCAAACGACGTCGTTGAACCTAAACGACGGCGTTGAACTTAAAAGGCTTCAACACAAGGAAATGGTTATGTAAATTACTGAACGACGACGTTCTCGTGTTCAAGGCTTTGTTCATTGTTCATTGTTGTCAAGTGTCAACAACACTCAAAATACACCACACTATGAATCAAAATTCAAACGATGTAGGCTTTTATTTCATGATGACTATAACAACTCAAATTACACCAAAACAGATTCCGGCTTCACATTTCAAATATGAAGAATCTTCTCAAGGTCTCAAAACAAGAAAGAGAGAGGGAAAAAGCAAGAAGAAGAAAAAAAATCTCTCTCTTTCACTCTCTAGTCTCTACAAATACAAACAATACAAAAACTCATACTTTTTCCAATCTTAAGCATTGCGTTGTTGGTTCCAGCTCGGAGGAATCCGGTCAGAAATGATCGGAGTAGCAGCCGGAGGAATGCTTTTGACGTTAATATTAAGAGGATATAACCGATATTCAATATCCAAATCTCTGCAAGCTCTACCAATCTCTTCAAGCAATTGACTTCTCCTCACAAATCTCTCTCCCATGTCTTGATGATTCATCTTATGCGTCGGCCACATCGCGATCTTCACACTGTTCAGTCCACACATATCTCTAAACACAATCATCGGCGATGGATGCCAATGATCCTTCTTGTTATCTACGTAACTGCATAAAACAAAAACCATGTGTTAGGTTATTTTTTTCTTCAAGTTTAGTCTAAAGGTTTGGAGTTTTAGATTCTAACCTGAGTATCCTCTGTTTCAAGGCGGTTATCTTTTCCGGTGGAGTTACTATATGGACAAAGAACTCAATGGTATCTTGCATATCGGGACTACGGTAATAGTTAGCAATCGGTTTGTTTCCGAGAAGACTGTTGGGATATACAATCTTCTGATTATCAAACCGAAGAAATACAGTAGTCAAAATGTTCATCTCTTCCACAACCATCTATACATACCAAGAAAAAACAGAGGATTAGCTTTTATTTGTATAGTAATGAAGTTTATGTAAATGCAGAAACAGGGTTTCAAGAGACAAACCTGGACGCCGTCTATTTCACACCTGTCACCGACATCAAATGGATGCATAACGAAGACGAAGATGACAGCTTCGAATATGGTTTTGCATGAATTTCCAAACACAAAGACTACAAGAAGAAGCTGAGAGCTTAGGACAAGCAAGAACTTTGTCGTTGCGATTCCAAGAATGAGAAGCCAGATGATTATGATCACAATGCTGACCAACACATCGATGATTCGATGAAGCCTGTTCACTGCTGTTTTTGTATCGTTTAATGTTAAAGCCAGTGCTCTTCGTTCTCTAAAGGCATTAACCTAGAGAAAAGATTTCAAGAATTTAGCATTACTTGTGTCACACGAAAGAAAGCTTTTCAGATGTAAATCTAACACAAACACTTACCACCCAATTCTTCAGACAAGATTTGCTGATTTTGTGACTCTCAGAAGCTCCTTCAAAGAGACTCATGGCTCTTTCAGATTCATCTTCACTCAGAAAACGCATAAAGTCTTCCATATATATATACCTAAAACCCCAAAAAAATTCTCTTGATCTTTAACAAACATCAAGTCAAAGTTGTTAATAAGGTCATAATATATGTACATACCTGGATCCAGGCTCAGCAACATTCTGAAAAATCTTCCTGGCTGCAAGTTTTGCTTCAAACTCACTTCGTATCTGCGTGGCTTTGTCATCTTCGTGAGTCGTCGTGTCTTGTATCTGTTCATCCAAAGTAGAAAGAGTTCCTTTCCTTATCACATTCATCAGTCTCTTCATTTTCCAAGCCGATACGTTTTTAGTGTTCATTCTCTGCAAATGATCGATCCTTATCCCTTCGTCTCCTCCTTCTTTCTTCGAACCAGACCGTGAGAGCACCGGACTTTTCCCAACTCTGCTCGGACTCTTCTGCAGCGTTCCACTTCCATTGGTCACTTTTGGCGATGGAGAAACCGCCATTGGACCCGGAGGAGAAAGCTTAGCTCCAGCCATCTCTAACGTCTTTACATCGTTCGCTACTTTCTCCTCTTCCATATGAATCTCAACTCGAGGAGGTCCCGAGAGCGTCTCAATCACGTATTGAGTAAACAACGATTCTTGAATCCGATCGAAGTAAGTACTCATGTGGAACGATGAAGCAAGAACTTTAACCAGCAAGGTCTTTATGAGCCAGAAGATGACAGCAACGAGTAAACAAACTAAAACTTTCGTCACGTACATAAGCACTGCGCTTTTAGTCTCTCTTTCGATTTTCTTGTCGAACAAGAAATGCCAAGCGATCAACACAAGCCCTAGCCAGATACAGTTTTGCACAGCTTTTCGAATCCCGTAGACGAAATACAAAACTCTCTTTCTTAAAAGGAAGTTGCTTTCGACGAAGTAGACGAAAAGCTTCACTATCCAGCTAGAGACCAATCTTCCACATATCAACACAAGAACCATCACTTCCCATTTCCACAAAGCTAGGTTCCATAGTTTCTTGCCACGCAAGAAAGGTATCACAAGGCTACAAATCAAACCGGCGATGATCAGAATCAGAAAAATCCACTCCATGATAACCCAAAGTGAAAGTTTATCTCTCTTGTAACCTTCCGGAAAATCCTCCTCGGAGAAAGGATCTTCCTCTTCTTCCAAATCCATAGCTCCTCCTTGGTTTGGAGTTCCTGTTTTAGGGCTTTTCCCTGTAAACCCGGGTTTTAAATTCCCGGATCTTGGAGTCCGACCCGAAGCCATCTCCGGATACGACGGAGTTGGAGGATCCATCAGTCTAGATCTAGTCTTCATCTTCATCAAAGTCTTAGTCCTCAGCGATCTATTGGAGCTACACTTCACAACCTCTGACTCATCTACTCTGTTCTCGTCCTCGCCGCTACTATCACTATCTTTAACAGACGGAGATAACGTGACTCTGTTATGTCTCCGTCTAACAGCGTCGACGGTTTCGTTACGGTAACCCGTCGTAGCCGTTACCGGTGAAGCATTACCGGAAACACCCGTTACCGGTGAAGGAGACACCGTGTTGCTTTGGAGCTCCGGCATGTTAGGTTCCATGTCGAGAGAGATTTCACCACCGGAAGCTTTTTGTTTGTTGAGGAAATGATGTATAAGCTTTGACGGTGGATCTGGCGCCTCCGCTTTCTCATTTCTCCGCCGCGTGAATTCAAAACTTCCGTCGTCTTCACCACCGGCTTTACCTCCGTTGTTATCTTTCTGATCACCTTGCCAAAAACTATAACTTGAGTCTCTCCAAAACTTTCCTCCATCGCCATTGTTGCTTGACTCATTCTCTTCACCGTCGATCTTGACGACGAAATCTCGCCGATTATCAGTCGAATCAACGGCCATGTTTGAAACAGTGAAACCTTTTGTGGTTTTGCACTTTCTAGTAGAAAAGTATGGTTTTTGTTTTTCTAGATGAGGAAGAAGAAAAGTTGATTCTTGATTTCAACATGTAAAGACTAACTAAAGAGTTGATATTTATGTCATTTAAATTAGGAGTTGATAATGGTGGAACCATGTGAAATGTTATGATCTTGCTGGGTGCTAAAAGACAATGAATCAACCTAAATAAGAAAAAAATGTATTAGTATATTTCTTTTCTTTTTTTTTGTGCAAACATGGAAGCATGGACCAGGTGATGCTTATCATTTCGTGTTTTCTTTTTTCCGCTTCTGCATCATTTTAAAAACATTACACTAATACCAACTCATTTGTCTAATACCTATACAGAGACTCGTGTCTTGCTCTCGCTAAAGTGTAAGAAAATACACAATTAAAAGTCAAAAGTACACCATTTAAAAAAAAGAAAATGGTAAACACGCACTGCTCAAGAAAAATGGAGGCCATGTTCAAATTGTCCATAAACGAAGCAGTTGAAGAAGTAATAAAAATTGTTGTACATAGTAATTATCATTATCTGACTTGTGACGTGGTGCGATCTAACTGGGCGGAGCTTGATATGTGTTTAGTTAATGGTATATGAGTCAGACACGTGGTTGGCTAAGGTTTGGTCTGCTTAATAGTTATGTATTTTTTTGTTTTCGGCGTATATACGAATTAAAAAAAGCCGACCTAATTCAAAACAAATAGATAGCGACAGGAAAGTCGAAAGTGTGACACGTTATTGATGGAAAACGGCACGACGAGTAGAATACAAAATGCAGCTAGAGCTAGCTAACATGAACGGACATGGTTCAACCAGATTGGTCACAGAAGAATTTGTTTTTATATATCTTATATTTGTCTAATAAAAAAAAATTACGTAACTTTTACTGGCCAGATAAAAGAATATAAATGCATATTATGCATTACTAGTTTTGATCTTTGAAATTATATATTGCATGATCAGAAGAAAAGAAAACAGTTGATACATGTGACCAAAAAATAAATAAAAGAAAGCTGTTTGATGCATGCATGTGATATTTTGTTTTGAAGAAGTGAAAAAACCATTAATTGTTTTCGTCCAACAAACTAAATCTTGGTAATGAAGACGGTTCACTTCGGTATATGGTAAACCGAAAATAAGATTTCGGTATATGGTAATATCTAAACGGGCCTTTTAACGAATCTGAGAAGTACCCCGACTTGTTATTTTACGGGCTTATTAAATTCATTAAATAGGCCTAACTTTAAATCTTCTTCTTTCCCAAGTTCTCTTTTTATCCCACATCGTTTATCAGAGCAGAAAAACTAGTGTTTATATAGCGTTGGAGTGACAAAGATGATTGTCCCTTCGGGGACATCCGATAAAATTGGAACGATACAGAGAAGATTAGCATGGCCCCTGCGCAAGGATGACACGCACAAATCGAGAAATGGTCCAAATTTTTTTTGCCAAATTTTTTCCAACTCGATTTCCTTTCTTCTTCATCTCTTATTCCATATTTTGTTTTTCTCGACTTGTGGTTAAGTTATGGACAAACATGCGCGCAAAATAGCGCCATTTTTAATCATGAGACTCAGTAAACTTTTTGTTTTCTTCAATCGTAATTTGAGCTATAAGAGATCCAGTGCCAAAAAGGCTCCGAGATTTTGAAACCATAATTTTTTCCAGTTAATGTGAATCGATAATCGAACTCTCATAATTTGACTTGATGAGACTTGTAATCCTTGGTTTGATTTTGACGATATATAACGGCGAAAGTGACGGCGTTCAGGATTGCAACACCGATGATCGGAAAAATCCAATTCCCAATTTTGGTTCTACTCGCCGAGAAAAATGGATTCTAAACCGGCGTTCATTAAACTAGTTTTCCGGTACAAATCTATTTTAACCGGCTACCGGTCTGGTTTTGGAGAATCATTTCCTCTCTTCCGTCTCCTTCTAAGACCCTCTTTAAACCATTTCGCTCTCTTATTGATTACTGTTAGTCAGTGAAGCTTAGCCTCTGAAGCCATGGCGATTCTACTGAAATCAGTTCTCCAAAATCAAACCTTTTTCAAGTCTCTCCTGAAGCCTTCAATTACTTGCAGAAACCTAACTTCGTCATCGGAGCCTTATAAGAAGCCACTCTCTGTTTTATTCGAAGAGGTCGTGGGATTGAGACCTAAATCAGAAACTAACGAAATCGTAGAAGAAGAGGGCAACGAATTGAAGAGAAAGCTTTCGGAATTGGAGAGGAAACTCATAGAACTGAAGCAATCCGAACCTGTGAGAAGGAAGAAGCAGAAGGAGAAGGTTGTTGTTGCGATACCAGATCAAACCGAGAAAAGTCATAATCTTTCCACGTTGTTTAAGAGCGATGAAGAGAAGGATATGAAGAAGAACATTCGGGAACGAGAGGACGATGTGATTAGAGTTTATAAGGAGCTTCCTTTAGAGATGGTTTCGTTTGTGAAGCTTCTGCATAAAGAAGGGTACTTGAACAATGCTAATTTCATCCCTGGAGAGAAGTTGGATTTGGGGAGTCTTGATGAAGAGTATGCTAGAACTTTTGTTAAGTTTGCTGCGGAGAAATTTGGAAAAGATCACCAGGAAATAGCAAAGTAAGAATCTTTACTTGCATACTGATCATATACTGTGTTTTGTTCTGTTTTGGTTGTTAAAAATTTGGATAATTGATGCTCCCTTAGGTTTCAGTGTTTAGAGATATTGTTTGTTGAAATGTTCATTTCTACAAAGTGCGACACTTTTTAGAGTTTGCGTTGCATTATATGTGAACATTTCTGTGATGAATTTAGGTTTTGTGGTTGGATCAGAGACTAGTTGTAGTAGTAGTGATAGAGAAATTCTGAAGTAAGAAGTGGCTAATAGATTTGTAGATGCTTCAAATGGAACCATTTTGTCGATTGTCTTTAAGGAGTCTCTTGTATGGTCTTGAATTGCATTTTATTCACCCCTTAGCTTATGTTGCAGCTAGGGACTTTAAAACTGATTTGATCATCTTGTTTCCCTCTACTGGATTTCCATAACCTCAGATTTCAAATTACAGGTGGTTATCAGGTAGTGACCTGAAGAACATTGTGCTTTTTGGTTGTCCGAGTTTGGAAAAAAGAGCAATCTTCGCTGCTAAAACGTTGCGGAACTTTTTCTCCATCCCAGAGAACAGTGTAAGTAAGCTGTTCTCTACACTGTCTTTATATCTCATTTTACGTGTTCCACAACCGTATCTAACCAAAAGTCTTTTTTGGCATGATAGGTGTGTGATAGATGCGTGTTAAAAGACAAGTGCAAGTTCCCAAACCAGAGTGTATGGGATGGCAAGGCAAAGATCTTACATTTATCTGTTGTGATGAAAGTCATCACACTATATCCATTGGACTTGACTCATCCCAAGCTACAAGTTCCTCAAGAGGTACAAGACTCGGTCTCAAGAGTGATGACAGAGATTCAGAACCTAAGCCGAACTATCTGTACTCCTCTCCGGTGATTTAACCTTATAAGATCGTTTTCTAGGGTTCTTGGCAAGACTTCTCAGTGAAGTAGAATTTTCAACTTCACTTTTAATAGTACGGATTGTGTTTTGATATTTTATCTTGAATTTGTGACGTTATTGATCCGTTTTAGACTATCTTTGTTCATTGAGAACACAAAATATCTTAACTCTATTGAGTTCACTTGTGGTATTTTTGGAACCCTCTGGCTGAGACAGAAACTTTCTGGATAACTATCAACGAAGAGAGACAAAGTCACAACACAACCTGAAAAACAAAGCCTATCATCAAAGGAGTGATTGATTTGTGTGCCTCTTTCAAAGCTCTTTCTCTTCGCTTAGATTCCATGGCATCCCCGTAGATTCGATTTCCGTTAACTTCCTCCAGAAAAAATAAAAAAAATTTCCATCTTTTTTTGTGTGTGGACTCTCAGCTTCGAACCTCTGTTGAACCCTAATTTCGATTACAGTGAGGATATCTTAAATTTGTGGCTTTTCTCCTCTCACTCGTCAATTTGGAGCTTACTGCTAAAACGTCAAGTTCTCACCTTTTAACTCTTTGCAAAGTTTTATCCTTTGAAGAAAAATCAAAATGTCAGTGGAAAGATCTTTGGAAGCGTGGGAAGAGGTTCAGCGACATGGACAAGACTTAGCTGATCGACTAGCTCAGGGCTTTACGGGTTTGATTCAAATCAACCCACCTTCATTTCCATGGCCGAATCATCAGAAACTGAAGCTGTTCGATCTCGAATTCCCCAGTCAGCAATTCGGAATCCGAGACTCTAGGTTTTCCATCGACCATCCAATCAACGGCGTCTCTGCTATTCTCGACATCGGGAACAAGATTGGTCAAGCTGGAGTCGATTTCGGCGCTGGCTTGAACGTGATGGTTCAGCAATTCTTCAGGATGTTGCCTATGCCGTTTCGTCACGACGAGAACTCGTCTGTTTCCATGGAGAGAGACGCGATCACGAGGAGCCATATGGTTTATGTAGACGCAAGAGAGGACTCGAGGCTTTCAAAGTCTGATACTGCTTCCTCTGTTGCTGTTTCAGAGGAGAAAGTTACAGACTTTGATTTGAGGACTGCAGGATTACTTGGGAGACCAAAGGTGCTTACTTTTTGCTCTGCAATTTAAAGCTTTTACTTTGTCTACATAACTAGCTGCAGAGATAGATTGGATTGGAATGTTAAGAGATTTCTTAGAGATTTGAATAGTTTGAGGTTTTGGAACTGAGATGCTTGTTGACTGAGATATTGTGAGCTACGGCTTATTGATTACAGTTTCTGTTAACTGTAGGGAACGGTTGAGATATCTTCAAGTTATGAAACTAGGACAAGTGGTATGGAACATTCATTAGCAGCAAGGGGAGATCTTTGGAGAGTAGAAGCTTCTACATCAAGTTCAAATGCAAGAGACGATAGTTCTTCGTCTCTCTTTCTTCTCCAGCTTGGTCCGTTGCTATTCCTGCGAGATTCAACTCTTCTTTTGCCTGTTCATTTATCAAAGCAACACTTGCTCTGGTATGGATATGACAGAAAGGTACTGATTATCTTCTTTCTCAATGCGGAAATAAGATTCGGTTTGCTTGTGTTAGTCTTGGCATTTCAAGTGGTAATCTCTTTTTCAGAAAGGTATGCATTCGCTATGTCCAGCTTTGTGGTCAAAACATCGAAGATGGCTTATGATGTCAATGCTTTGCCTGAATCCTGTAGCTTGCGTGAGTGTCTCAGTCACGTGTATTCATTTCCTTTATGTTGTCACATAGTGAGAGACTAATTCTGTCGCATGGAACAGTCATTTGTAGACTTGCAGTTCCCGAATGGGCAATTAACATATGTATCTGGTGAGGGATTGACAACAAGTGTGTTTGTTCCTTTATGTGGTGGTCTTCTTCAAGCGCAAGGCCAATATCCAGGAGATATGAGATTTAGTTTCTCTTGCAAGGTTGGTTTATTATAACTTGATCAGGTATAGTCACATACACAGATCATATCTTCAAGAGCTTGAGAATCTGTTTTTTTACTTGGAACAGACTAAACAAGGAACAAGAATCACACCGATGGTGAATTGGCCTGATAAATCATTCGGGATCGGTGTTTCTCAAGCCTTGGCTTGGCGTAAGTCCGGTCTCATGATGAAACCTGCAATTCAACTTAGGTAACAAAAGCTTCTCTCTCTTTTGCTATCAAAATGCTTCCTTTCTGTTCTTTCTCACTCACGAAACTTTGGAAACACAGTGTGTGCTCTACATTTGGTGGAAGCAATCCCGGGATGAAAACCGAAGTGATTCACTCGTTGAACGATAACATCAATATGATCTGTGGCTGCGCAATGACTGCTCATCCTTCAGCATTTGCATCTCTTTCCGTAAGCCAATCTCTCTCTTCCTCTCTTTCTGTAACCATTCTCATTTTGATGCTCATCGACTCTTATTGTGTTTTTTTTATCCGCAGTTTGGTCGGTCCAAGTGGAATGGGAACATCGGACGAAGTGGCATAGTTGTGAGAGCTGATACTCCTCTTTCAAGCGTTGCTCAACCTTCTTTCTCCATCCAGCTTAACAATGCTTTCGAGTTCTGAAACAGACTCTGTAAAATACATGTTTTGCCTTCACGATCCTAAAGTTGTATATAGTAGTAAAATCCAACAGTAAATTTTCACAAACCTGAAAGCAGTTTTCTAATGCAAGTGAATTGTGAAAATCCTAGAGTAAGCCATAAAAGAGAACCGAAAACAGTTAAAATTGCAGTGATTAGCTTCTTGAAATTTGAGTTATGTGTTTCTAAAGATTCAAGAAGATGTACAATGATTTACTCATCGGTTGTAAAGTTTGAATAAAAGAATCTTAAGGATATACTACAATTCTTTACTCAATCTTCACATCGGTAAGATCATCTAAAAGTCCCCTAGACGAAGATGAAGATCGTCCTTCATCTTCTTCTTCTTGTTGTTGTTTCTGGTTAACATCTTTGCCCTTGGCAGAGGAGGAAGAGTCAATCCAAGGAGCATCCACTGAAGATGAGCTTTTGTGATCTCTGTCTCTTTCAAAGGTCGAGACTTGTGACTCACTGTCTTGTGATAAAAGTTCAAAGGCCTTAAACCTCATTGCAGCTGCACCACTTGGATCAACTTCACGTTTCACCAATGGTGGTTGGACTTTGCTTTTACCTTGTAACATACTTACAACAGATGACATTGGTGGTCTCAATGTTGGAGATGGGTTTGTGCAGAGTAAAGCAATGTTCAACATTCTCTTTGCTTCTTTCTTCGAAAAGTTTGTACCTAGATCAAGATCCACAAGCTCTAGAAGATTCCCTTGTTCTTGCAAAACGTAAGCCCAATCAAGGAGGTAAACAAACTCTTCCTTTGGTCTGTAATTCGTGTTGCTCTTTCCGCTAACAATCTCTAAACAGACAACACCGAAGCTGTAAACATCTGCCTTGTCTGTTAAGTAACCTCTCATTGCATACTCTGGAGCCATGTAACCTCTGCATCATCAATGACATTAAATGTTCAATCCTTTGCGATGAATTTAAGAAAAAGCTTGAGACTTTATAAGTTTTAGAACACTCACATTGTTCCTGCAATCCTTGTGCTGATATGTGTATTCTCTTCTTCATCGAGTTTAGCTAGACCAAAATCAGAGATCTTAGCATTTAGAGACTGGTCAAGAAGCACATTCGTCGCTTTTATGTCTCTGTGAACAATCTTCAGCCTCGATTCCTCGTGTAGATAAGCTAACCCTTTAGCAATCCCTATGCATATCTTGTTCCTTGTTGGCCAATCCAAGTGAAGTCTCTGTTTCTCCGAGCCTGTTAAAGAAACAACCACACAAGAGACATACATTAGGAGAAAAGATCAAGAACTTGAATCTATGTTTCCTCAGATGGATAATAGACTAACCAAAGAGCGCGCGAGCGAGACTGTTGTTCACTAAGTACTCATACACAAGCAAAAGCTCTTTCCCTTCAATGCAACAACCATAAAGCTTCACAAGATTAGGGTGTTGCAACGCATATATCATCATCCCTGTCTCAGTCACAAACTCTCTGTTCCCTTGCTTTGATTTCGACGAAAGCTGCTTCACCGCGATGGTCATTCCATCAGCTAGTACACCCTGATTAACCAAAACCTATCAGTACTTATAATCCAATCTCACAAAACTTGTGAAAATGAAAAGAGAAAAAACCAAAGCAATCATCATTACCTTATAAACCGGTCCAAAGCCTCCTTCACCAATCTTGTTTTCTGGATCAAAGTTATTTGTGGCACGTTTGATTTGTTTCAATGTGAACGACCCTGTCTGCAGATCAAGTCCCCTAAGCTCTTCTGATAAAGTCAAAAAGTTAAACAATCAAGATCTTGAAAATGGCTCAGATCATTTCTTGAACAAGAGAATGATGTTTCTTTCTTTTTACCATTTGCATCCTCTTATTTTCCACCTAAGTAACCTGCAAGCCTGAGGAGTAAAACAATAAGCATCGCGCACGCTGCAATTACAATCCCTGCAACAGCTCCATTCGAAAATGGTTTTCCTGTATCAACCTTGAAATCTACAACAACAGAGAAAGAACATTCATGATTCATTCACTCACCCCAAAAAATTGGTTTAAAAGAGATTGAAAAAAAAAACTTACTTGGTGTAATGGTTATGGCGGATATGAGAGGCCCATAAACACCTCTTTTTGGTATCACAATTGAGCCTTTGCCTGACCACTGCAGATGAATCTCCAGTGTACTTCCATTCACTTGAACTTCATCAAGCTGCCTAGTGAATGGTTTACCAACTCCACCTGCTCTCTCTGCTATATTAAAGTCCCTCTGGAACAAATTCCCCTGCAAAAACATTCATTATACTTCTCAAAAAAAAGTTTGTGATTTTGAAAAAAGGTTTTCATCTTTGTTGTTCTGCAAAACTCACTTGAACATAAATGTCGTCTCCCTAAGCTGTTATAAGCCTGGTCATTTGAGAACATTATCTCTGCAAAATGGAGCTGCACTTTGTAAGTTCCTTTTCCTCTTCTCATGCATAGTCCATAGTACTTGAGTGACTGTGGAGCGAGACGAGCTGTTTTGTAGTACTCTGGAACCGATTCATTGATCAGATTAAATTTGTCTGTTGCTGAAAAGAGAGCAGAGTCATTGCCTACCCAAATTCCAGAGCTGCTATATCCCGACCTTTCAGCTACAGGAAAAAATGATGATGCTCCTCTACCGTTCAAGTCTTCCTCATACTTGTCTTTTTTTATCTTGATTCCACTTCCTCCACAGTTGATGAACAGAGAAGAATCTGCAAGAAACCCGGATCAAGAGGATCAACAATGTTACACATTCGGTTCTTGATCCAGAAAATTTTGAATCTTTAAGGTGTAGATGTGAGTATACAGATTGAAAGTTGGAATCTTTAAGATGTAAATGTTAACTGTTAAGTATAAACTCACGTTGTGCATCTCGGGGACATGGAAGATCCTCTCTTAAGCACCATTGAGCACTACACACGAAGAGATATTTTCTCATTGGTTAAGCGGGTTTTGTGAAACCGAAAGGAAGGAAGAAAGGAGACTCACGAGTTATCGGTTACTGAAGGGTAGCTGGAGATCAAGTTCCTGAAAGTTTATATACCAATAAAGCTGATTGGAGAACAAATGTAAACAAGTAACGTAGACAATGTTAAGCCCACGATCATGATAGAATATTATATTCCTTGTGTAAACTATATTAAGTCATACATCAATTTCAAAAGTCTCAATATGAAACAACAAAAAGAATGCTTACACATCAAGCTGAGTACAGCCTAAAGTAGGTGGCTGAGTGAAATTGTTGTAAGACAAATCCCTGAAACAGAGAAATGAATGATCCGATAAGACAGATGAGACCTCAATGTTCGGTCTTATACAAAGGCAATTTAGTTTTTCGCTTACATGCTTCGTTTAGTGTCTAGGATGAATTGAGGAACTTGACCTGTTAATGAGTTATTACTCAGAAACCTAAAGCACCAAAAGAAAAAGAATTAGTTTTTGAGTCACGGGTTAATCATCATCTAAGATTTTGATGATTTGAAAACTTACATGAAATCATATTTAATCAGACTCCTAAATGTGTCTGGAATTGTACCAGTTAACATGTTTGAGCTCAAATCTCTGCACAAACATACTTATAGGTGTGAGATCTTAATCAAAATCATCAGTCTTTAAAGAATAGATTAAGCAAACTTACAGTAACTTCAGCTCACTCATGGAACCAATGTAATCAGGGATAGGTCCCCTTATCAAACAGTTTCTTAGTACCCTAATGAAGTTAATAAAAGAATACAAAAAAAGATTGTTAAATACTGTTTTTGATGATGAAACATAGTATATAACTCAGACTCAAACTTAAACTTAAACTTACAATCGTTCCATATTAGTCATATTTCGCAGGTCTGGAAAAGAAGAGGCCGGTCCATCTAAATCGGTTATCCTCCTAATAAAACAGAGCTTTTTTAGGCACACAGATTTGGTAACAATGGTATTGCTAAGCTCTTTTTCTTACTTACAATTCAGTCAAGTTCTTTAAGTTTGATATTGAAGCTGGAATTGGACCTTCCATTGACGTGCCTTGAAGATCTCTGCAAATTAACATTTTGGTCACTACTAATTACTCAGTGTTCTTGATAAGAATTAATCGGTGAAATGGTGAATAATCACTCACAGCCTTTGGAGCAGAGTCCAGTTTCCTATAAAATCCGGTATCTTCCCAGATAGAGAGTTCCCATCAATCCGACTACAAGAAAAAAACAGAAGAATCTTTTAGAGTCATTCCAAAGAAACGAACATTGTTGAAATCTTCACAAATTATATACTTACAAATCAGTTAAGTTCTTGAGATTGCTTAATGACTCAGGGATTGGACCGGTGATATTGTTTGCAGAGAGAAGCCTGTAACATTAAAATATAGATCAAATCACTAAGTAAAACTATAACAACATCATTTTCTTAAGGAAATAACAAGTATGCATAATAAAGGATCTTACAATCTTCTTAAGCTTCTTAAGCTCCCTAGGTTTGAAGGGAGTGGTCCTGTGAATAAATTATCTTCCAAGAGCCTGCAATTTGTTTTTTTTTTCTTTTCACATATTAGAATCTCTTCGATTTTGGTTTGAAGAAAAGAAATTTAGATCTGTAACATTACAACTCAGTAAGTGTAGAAATTGCTCCGAGGTGAGAAGGAACTGGTCCAGAGAGACGGCTTCCTATTACAGACCTGTTATAAACACAAGAATCAGTACAAATAAACAAAAAAAAGAGATGCTGTAATTCAAAAAAAAGGAAATTGCAAGGATGGTTACAAGATTTCAAGAGGAATTCGAGACAAAGTCGTAGGTATTGTTCCACTGAGATAGTTCAGAGAAAGATCTCTGCAAGAAAAATAAACACAAACGAAGATTGCTTGAGTTCCAAGTTTCAAAAACGGAAAAACCCAAGAAACAGAAATCCTACGATGAGTAAAGTGGTAAACGTACATCTCTACCAGACGCGTGAGGTTCCCGAATTCAGGCGGGATAATCCCAGGCAAACTGAAACCTTTAAACTCACTGTATTTTCATGAAATCAAGAAAGAAATAACCCTAAGTCAGTTTCTTGTTTGGCAAGTTATAGAATAAAAACAAACACATTCAAGGGAAGGAGTGTTTTTTAACTTACATGTTAGTGACATGACAAGTAGAGTTTACAGTACAGTTGCAGACGATGGAACTGTTTACTGAGTCGGAATTGAAGTTCCATTTGTTGTCCGAACAAGAATTTCTTTCGATGTTCACTGTTCGGTTTTGAAGCTTTCTGAAGATCGTGCGCAATGTTTCAACTGTAAAAAAAAGGTCAAACATTTGACGGTTTGAGATTTAAAGTCAAACTTTGATATAAATGAGGAAAGTCCAATTAATGAACAAGAATGGCTTGGAGATAAGAACTAAATATTAAATATACATCTCAACGTCTCTCCCATTGACCCAACTAACTTGCACAGTTGAAATATAATTCGTACTAAATCAAGCGTATACAAATTGATCTGCTAATAATATAAATGGACGGTTTTGTATCTTATGAAGTAGTATTTTTTATTTGGCTCTACGATCGTAATCACTTTGGATTATTAGATGTTGTCAGAACTCTAGTCATTGAGATAATAAACGAGATCAGAATGTGAGATGGAAATCGAAAAACGTGTAGGTTCTTTTAGCCAAGTAATTATATGTACAGTGTGTTTCTTTTGCTTTTGAATCGTACAATAACAATAGTGAAGACGATTCAATTATTGAGGTAGGTTCCACAAAAACGAATAGTTCTAATATTTTCCAATTTTCATTTGTCACATTAGAAGACCATATGACCAAAAAAACAGTTCCAAGTTTTTGTTTTTACTTTTATCGGATGTTTAGTTTCAAGCTTTCTTGATTACTAATTAGGAAAAGTTCATAATGGAAACCCTTTTGACAATTTCACGATTTGTTCTGGGATATAGTTACTCGAGAACAGAAAAGATAGGAATTATGTTATAGAAAAAAAAAAGAAAAAAAGACAACAAAGGTTTAGTTATGTCCCTAATTAGGTACATATAAAAGAAACCACTCGAGAGATTTGAAATTAAACAAACTAATTTGAAATGTAAATTAAAAAAAAAAAAAGTGATACGCACCTTCATCCACAGGCAAAAGTTGAGCATTTGATCCGAAGATTTCAAAGAAGATACTGATGAAGAGAAGAGCATACACAACTTTCTCAGCCGAGAAGATGAAACCCATCTCCCGTTTTTTGTGGAGACTCTCAATCCTTAAAGAGGTGAGACGAATAAGAGAGAAAGAGAGAGGAAGAGAAATAGAGAGGAGAGAGAGAGAGATAGTTGGGAAAAGCTTATCGTGTTCACATATACTTATACTAAAATCTCATAAAACTACGTATTTAAGAAATTCTACGCCGCCGGAAATTATTTTCTTATGTGGGGTTGACTACTTTACACTGTTAATTGTAGTATATTTATACTCTCTCTCTCTCTCTCTCTCTCCCTCTCTCTCTCTCTCCATAAAAGAGAACCGAAAACTGATACAATTGTAGTGATTTAACTTCTTGAAATATGAGTTACATGTTGGGTGGGGTTCTATATATATAGATTGAATATGAAATTCAAGTAAGATATCTGTACAAATAATTTACTCATCGCAAGAACAACTTTCCTTTGTGTAATAAAGATATAAAATATATTATGTTGTAATTGTAAAGTTTGAATAAAAGAATCTTAAGGATATACAACAATTCTTTACTCAATCTTCACATCGGTAAGATCATCTAACAGTTTCCTCGACGAAGATGATGATCGTCCTTCATCTTCTTCTTCTTGTTGTTGTTTCTGGTTAACATCTTTGCCCTTGGCAGAGGAGGAAGAGTCAATCCAAGGAGCATCCACTGAAGATGAGCTTTTGTGATCTCTGTCTCTTTCAAAGGTCGAGACTTGTGACTCACTGTCTTGTGATAAAAGTTCAAAGGCCTTAAACCTCATTGCAGCTGCACCACTTGGATCAACTTCACGTTTCACCAATGGTGGTTGGACTTTACTTTTACCTTCTAACATACTTACAACAGATGACATCGGTGGTCTCAATGTTGGAGATGGATTTGTGCAGAGTAAAGCAATGTTCAACATTCTCTTTGCTTCTTTCTTCGAAAAGTTTGTACCTAGATCAAGATCCACAAGCTCTAGAAGATTCCCTTGTTCTTGCAAAACGTAAGCCCAATCAAGGAGGTAAACAAACTCTTCCTTTGGTCTGTAATTCGTGTTGCTCTTTCCGCTAACAATCTCTAAACAGACAACACCGAAGCTGTAAACATCTGCCTTGTCTGTTAAGTAACCTCTCATTGCATACTCTGGAGCCATGTAACCTCTGCATCATCAATGACATTAAATGTTCAATCCTTTGCGATGAATTTAAGAAAAAGCTTGAGACTTTATAAGTTTTAGAACACTCACATTGTTCCTGCAATCCTTGTGCTGATATGTGTATTCTCTTCTTCATCGAGTTTAGCTAGACCAAAATCAGAGATCTTAGCATTTAGAGACTGGTCAAGAAGCACATTCGTAGCTTTTATGTCTCTGTGAACAATCTTCAGCCTCGATTCCTCGTGTAGATAAGCTAACCCTTTAGCAATCCCTATGCATATCTTGTTCCTTGTTGGCCAATCCAAGTGAAGTCTCTGTTTCTCCGAGCCTGTTAAAGAAACAACCACACAAGAGACATACATTAGGAGAAAAGATCAAGAACTTGAATCTATGTTTCCTCAGATGGATAATAGACTAACCAAAGAGCGCGCGAGCGAGACTGTTGTTCACTAAGTACTCATACACAAGCAAAAGCTCTTTCCCTTCAATGCAACAACCATAAAGCTTCACAAGATTAGGGTGTTGCAACGCATATATCATCATCCCTGTCTCAGTCACAAACTCTCTGTTCCCTTGCTTTGATTTCGACGAAAGCTGCTTCACCGCGATGGTCATTCCATCAGCTAGTACACCCTGATTAACCAAAACCTATCAGTACTTATAATCCAATCTCACAAAACTTGTGAAAATGAAAAGAGAAAAAACCAAAGCAATCATCATTACCTTATAAACCGGTCCAAAGCCTCCTTCACCAATCTTGTTTTCTGGATCAAAGTTATTTGTGGCACGTTTGATTTGTTTCAATGTGAACGACCCTGTCTGCAGATCAAGTCCCCTAAGCTCTTCTGATAAAGTCAAAAAGTTAAACAATCAAGATCTTGAAAATGGCTCAGATCATTTCTTGAACAAGAGAATGATGTTTCTTTCTTTTTACCATTTGCATCCTCTTATTTTCCACCTAAGTAACCTGCAAGCCTGAGGAGTAAAACAATAAGCATCGCGCACGCTGCAATTACAATCCCTGCAACAGCTCCATTCGAAAATGGTTTTCCTGTATCAACCTTGAAATCTACAACAACAGAGAAAGAACATTCATGATTCATTCACTCACCCCAAAAAATTGGTTTAAAAGAGATTGAAAAAAAAAACTTACTTGGTGTAATGGTTATGGCGGATATGAGAGGCCCATAAACACCTCTTTTTGGTATCACAATTGAGCCTTTGCCTGACCACTGCAGATGAATCTCCAGTGTACTTCCATTCACTTGAACTTCATCAAGCTGCCTAGTGAATGGTTTACCAACTCCACCTGCTCTCTCTGCTATATTAAAGTCCCTCTGGAACAAATTCCCCTGCAAAAACATCATTATACTTCTCAAAAAAAAGTTTGTGATTTTGAAAAAAGGTTTTCATCTTTGTTGTTCTGCAAAACTCACTTGAACATAAATGTCGTCTCCCTAAGCTGTTATAAGCCTGGTCATTTGAGAACATTATCTCTGCAAAATGGAGCTGCACTTTGTAAGTTCCTTTTCCTCTTCTCATGCATAGTCCATAGTACTTGAGTGACTGTGGAGCGAGACGAGCTGTTTTGTAGTACTCTGGAACCGATTCATTGATCAGATTAAATTTGTCTGTTGCTGAAAAGAGAGCAGAGTCATTGCCTACCCAAATTCCAGAGCTGCTATATCCCGACCTTTCAGCTACAGGAAAAAATGATGATGCTCCTCTACCGTTCAAGTCTTCCTCATACTTGTCTTTTTTTATCTTGATTCCACTTCCTCCACAGTTGATGAACAGAGAAGAATCTGCAAGAAACCCGGATCAAGAGGATCAACAATGTTACACATTCGGTTCTTGATCCAGAAAATTTTGAATCTTTAAGGTGTAGATGTGAGTATACAGATTGAAAGTTGGAATCTTTAAGATGTAAATGTTAACTGTTAAGTATAAACTCACGTTGTGCATCTCGGGGACATGGAAGATCCTCTCTTAAGCACCATTGAGCACTACACACGAAGAGATATTTTCTCATTGGTTAAGCGGGTTTTGTGAAACCGAAAGGAAGGAAGAAAGGAGACTCACGAGTTATCGGTTACTGAAGGGTAGCTGGAGATCAAGTTCCTGAAAGTTTATATACCAATAAAGCTGATTGGAGAACAAATGTAAACAAGTAACGTAGACAATGTTAAGCCCACGATCATGATAGAATATTATATTCCTTGTGTAAACTATATTAAGTCATACATCAATTTCAAAAGTCTCAATATGAAACAACAAAAAGAATGCTTACACATCAAGCTGAGTACAGCCTAAAGTAGGTGGCTGAGTGAAATTGTTGTAAGACAAATCCCTGAAACAGAGAAATGAATGATCCGATAAGACAGATGAGACCTCAATGTTCGGTCTTATACAAAGGCAATTTAGTTTTTCGCTTACATGCTTCGTTTAGTGTCTAGGATGAATTGAGGAACTTGACCTGTTAATGAGTTATTACTCAGAAACCTAAAGCACCAAAAGAAAAAGAATTAGTTTTTGAGTCACGGGTTAATCATCATCTAAGATTTTGATGATTTGAAAACTTACATGAAATCATATTTAATCAGACTCCTAAATGTGTCTGGAATTGTACCAGTTAACATGTTTGAGCTCAAATCTCTGCACAAACATACTTATAGGTGTGAGATCTTAATCAAAATCATCAGTCTTTAAAGAATAGATTAAGCAAACTTACAGTAACTTCAGCTCACTCATGGAACCAATGTACTCAGGGATAGGTCCCCTTATCAGACAATTTCTTAGTATCCTAATGAAGTTCACAAAACAAAATTGTTGAATACTGTTTGATGATGAAGCATAGTATATAACTCAAACTCATAGTTAAACTTACAATCGTCTCATATTAGTCATACTTAGCAGGTCTGGAAAAGAAGAGGCCGGTCCATCCAAATCGGTTATCCTCCTGATAAAGAAGAGAGTTTCTTTTTTAAGCTAAAAGAGTTTGTAAAATGATATTGGTAAGCTCTTTTGGTTACTTACAATTCAGTCAAGTTCTTTAAGTTTGATATTGAAGCTGGAATTGGACCTTTCATTGATGTGCCTTGAAGATCTCTGCATATTAACAGAAATAATTCACTACTAACTCCACAATGTTCATAAGAAGGTGTGAATGATTTACTCACAGCCTATTGAGCTGAGTCCAGTTTCCTATGAAATCAGGTATCTTCCCAGATAGAGAGTTTCCATCAATCCGACTACAAGAAAAAAAAAAAAGAGTCATTTCTTGTAGAATCATTTCCAAAGAATCAGAATAACTGAATTCCTCACTGAATCTGTACTTACAATTCAGTCAAGTTCTTGAGATTGCTCAAGGACTCAGGGATTTGACCGGTGAAGTTGTTTGCAGAGAGAAGCCTTTGATATCACAATATAACTTAAATCACTTAGTAAAACTGTATGTAGCAGCAACAAAGTTTAAAAACAAAAAATAAAGGAACTTACAATCTTACTAAGCTTCGTAAGTTCCCTAAGTTTGAAGGGAGTGATCCTGTGAGTAAATTATCTTCCAAATTCCTGCAATTTTTTTGTTTCACATATTACTGTATTAGAATCTCTTTAATTTTGGTTTGGAGAATTTTTTTTTAGGTTTGTGACATTACACATCAGCAAGTGTGGAAATTGCTCCGAATTGAGGAGGAATTGGTCCAGAGAGACGGTTTCCTGTTACAGACCTGTTCATTGCAGAAAACAAAACGCAATAATAAGTAAAACTTTATCGTCACAAGAAACAAAACAAAAGGTTGCAGAGGATGGTTACAGGATTTTAAGCGGAATTCGAGACAAAGTCGTAGGTATTGATCCACTGATATAGTTCCGAGGAAGATCTCTGTAAAGAAAAAATACAAACAAAGATTGCTTGAGTTCCAAGTTTCAGAAACCATGAAAGAAACATCAAGCAGAGATGTTTTAGATAAATAAAGTGGTTAAACGTACATCTCTTGCAGACGCGTGAGGTTACCGAACTCAGGCGGGAAAATTCCAGGCAAACTGAAACTTTCAAGATGTCTGTGTTTATATGAAATCAAGAAAGAAATATAACCATAAGTCAGTTTCTTGTCTCTCAAGTTACATAGTCGAAACAAAATAGTGAAAAAAACAAGAGAAGGAGGTTTTTTTTTTATACTTACATTTCAGTGACATGACAAGTGGAGTTTACAGTACAGTCACAGACGATGGTACTGTTTGCTCCGTCGGTAATGAAGTTCCAGTTTCCGTCCGAACAAGAAGTCCTTCCGATGGTCACTGTTCGGTTTTGAAGCTTTCTAAAGATCGTGCGCAATGTTTCAACTGTAAAAAAAAGGTCAAACATTTGACGGTGGAGATTTAAAGTCAAACTTTGATATAAATGAGGAAAGTCCAATTAATGAACAAGAATGGTTTGGAGATAAGTATTAAATATTAAATATACATCTCAACGTCTCTCCCATTGACCCAACTTGCACATTTGAAATAGAACTCGTACTAAATCAAGCATATAATAAACTAATGGTTTGGACGGTTTTTGGATCTTATGGTATATTTTATTTAGCTCGACAAACGTTATCAGTTTATTTGATTTGAGATAATAAACGAAATCAGAATTTTCAAGATGGAAATCGAAAAACGTGTAGGTTCTTTTAGCCAAGTAAAGTATATATGTACAGTGTTTCTTTTACTTTTGAATCTTACAATAGTGACGACGATTCAATTATTGAGGTAGGTTCCACAAAAACGAATAGTTCTAAATTCTAACATTTTCCAGTTTTCATTTGTCACATTAGAAGACCATATGACCAAAAAACCAGTTCCAAGTTTTTGTTTTTATTTTTATCGGATGTTAAGTTTTCAAGCATTCTTGATAACTAAATGTGTAAACGAATTACGAAAAGTTCATAATGGAAAACATTTTGACAGTTTCACGGTTTCTTATGGGATTCAATTACTCCAAAACAGAAAAAAAAAATGAAATTAAAAGACAATAAAGGTTTAGTTATGTCCCTAATATAAAGAACCACTCGAGATTTGAAATTAAAAAAAACTAATTTGAAATGTAAATTAGTGATACGAACCTTCATCCACGGGCAAAAATTGAGCATTTGATCCGAAGAATTCAAAGAAGATACTGATGAAGACAAGAGCATACACAACTTTCTCAGCCGAGAAGATGAAACCCATCTCCAGTTTTTTTTTTCAGAGACTCTCAATCCACAAAGAGGTGAGTGAGACGATTGAGGGAGAGAGGAAGAGAAAGAGAAAAGAGATACAGAGAGAACCAGTTGGGAAATATCGTGTTCACATAATATATATACACTAAATCTCATAAAAAAATATTTAAGAAAACCTAAGCCGCCAGAAATGATTTTCTTACGTGTGGTTGACTACTTTACACTTCATTTTATCTTTAAAATCATTAAAAAAAACTATGTCGTCAATTTCGTCAATTTCTGATGGGTTTATATTAGTACTGTTAATCGTAGTATATTTATATATTCTTACTGCTTCCACATTCCAATTTTGTTTGTTTGTTTTAATACAGTGTTTTGAATTTCTTTAATTGAATGCGTGTGTAAATTGTAATTAAATTGAACAAAAACAAAAAGTATACTGTTAATATCATAATCAGGATTTTAAACCTGATATATAGTTTGTAAGTATGAATACAATAGAAAATTTACTTATTAATGAATAGTTAGTTTTATTTGAATCGTATATGAAGAGTTAACACATGTGTAGATAAACCTTTCGTCCCCATTAAACGATCCACGTTCGGCTTCCACACTGTTTCTGACTAACATTAATTAATTAACCCAGCCAGATATTCTTTTAATATAATTTTGTGACAAGGAATCAATTATTGTCTAAGACCGTATCTTTCTCACCATGCAAAAAATGTAATCTTGTTTTATTTTTTACGTGTAAAATATATAACTAATGACTAACATAATTATGCTTTTCTTGACTGCGATTTAGTCTTTTTGTTTTGGTCAACGGCGATTTAGTCTATAAGCAGCCAGACTTGCCTAATCTTGATTCTTCACAATTAATACAGGTATTTGGAGGTACCGAGAAGAGTCTACCTTAAAATTTATACTGCTAATTAGATATACGTACCCGTAATACAAACAGTGTAATTTAAATTTGTGATAAACGATTTCATGAAAAGAATTGTCAACTGTCTACATTTTCTTCTTGGACTGGAAAAATATGGTCGCTGTTTATGACTTTTATTTTGGTTTTAATTGTTTATGACATTTTGTTATAGTTTTAATTTCTTCTGACTTTTGTTTTCTCTATAGGAATAACTAACATAATTCCATTATAATTTGATAATTCGGTCAACTGAGTCGATTTTGATTAGTGGATTAAAATTATAGTGCTATAGTCATGTATTGTTTCGTTTCAAAACCTTAGTTTTTTCATATTATATAAACAAATTAATGGGTTAAAAATATATTTTACAAAATGTCAGAACTGAACGTGGCCGTTGTTGCAAAATAGATGTAATTCTATACTTTTGTCATAGTTTCTTTTGTATATATTTGAGAAAATTACATTCAGGTGTACTTTTTGAGTATGGGTTTACAATAAGAGTGACTTATTGAAAGTGGTGGAGTACTTTTTGAGTATGGGTTTACAATAAGAGTGACTTATTGAAAGTGGTGGACTTTCGTTATGTAATTTTACTCTCTTGTCTTCGTTTTCTCTCTCACCCTCAAGCGGTAACTTTTATTTTATTTCTATTTTTACATCTCCTTCTTCCCGACCAACGCCAAAACGCCGGCGATCCACATTCTCAGATCCGACCATCTTCCCTAATTTCGGATCTCTTTCTCGCTTCCGCTCCAAATTGTAACGATTTGGGTCTGTAATCCAGCAACATCTCGAAATACAGAAATCAGAGAGAATCAATAAATTCATAGGTGGGAAATGAATCTGAGACGACAAGGATCCATCTCAATCCAGACAGGATAATCGGCGTTACCGGTGGAGAAACCGGTGTTTGTGAGGGAGGACAGAGTGGCGAAGGCAGAAGAGCTGAAACAAAGCGAGAATAAGCAATCCCTTCATCAGGTGATTATGTACGAGTTTAGGCATGATCTTTGTTGCTTCTGTGGATGACATTATCATGGATAGTAACATTTAATCTCTCAATTTGTCAGATTTTTATATCTCAGAATTGTCAAAAACTCGAGAATTCTTGGGTTTTTTCTTGTTAATTAATCGCTTCAGAGTTTCTTTGGTTTGTATTTCTTTTAGCTGTTTACCTTTGATTTGGCTCCATAGATGCGTAGTCTTTGTTGTTGTTTTAGTTGGATAAGACTACTTGGTGTATTTGGTGGTAAGGACTAAGGACTGGATGCTTTTACTATGTGTACTTGGATTGTTTCTTCGTAGATACTTGCAATACACACTTCAATGCTTACCTTGACTCTTTTTTTGTGCATTTTTTAAAACTCTGCTTGCCTGCTTTGATCTCTGCATATTTTTTTATTGTGGATGATCTTTTTGGATAGATATTGATTGGATGTCTTTTTACTCGTGGATGCTTTTAGAGTGCACCTTTTGTGATCCCTGCTCTTGAGTCTTGATGATATTGATATGGAACAGTTTGATCATTTCTTCTTCATGAGTTTTTGGATTCGCTTCTAGCTTTTGTTTGTTTGGTTTCATTGTATGATTTTAGCTTGATGCATTTTTTTATGCTAGTTTCATATGCTGTAATTGTTTCCTCTACAATCATAAACGGATTTGAGTGGCCAAATTGACCATTTCATAGATTTTATTTGTAAATGTGAATTGTTCCCTGAAAATATTTTGTACAATTCAAGGTATGTGTGCTTGACTCTGTAAGTTTGGTTTCTATGTTCTGAACATAACTTTGGTTTTCTCAATGCAAATATGCTCTTTTTTCAGGCATAATTTTCCTGTCATTGTTGATGATGGGTCAAGATACAATTGAGAGAGATCGAGTTTCATCAGATGCGACATGGTCTGTTGCAGGATCAAGTCCAATTAGATATGTGGAAAAAGTAAGGAGATTGATGCAAAGCATGGACAAGAAATAAGTAACAAGATGGATAGTCTTGGCTATTTATCTAATTTTTCCTCTAGTTGTACAATGCATTTTAAAGTATGTTGTTCAGGCATAGTTGTAAGCATAATCAGATTCAGATTCTATTACTCAAATCATATTTTCGATAATCCAACTTCTAGTTACAAGATATATGACCAACTTGTAGTTACAAGATATATGTTTCACAAGGTCATTAGAACAAAGATAGTGCACCACTATCAGTTCTCCAAATCTCAACCGAATCAAAAATAAAACTATTGTCCACAATCAAATTTGTAGCCACATGCTTTGGTGTCTGTGTGAGTAGCCAATCGTACACTATGCTTTTGTCCATGGTATATTTGGTGCTACTAAAACAGAGTTCAGATTCGTACACGCCCAATAAATCATCCACAAACACAAAAGCAAGTGAACACAGTTCAGATTCGTTCCCCTAGCCGACAAATATAAAATTTCGTAATAACAAAACCCAATAACAAATCCCCCTAATCTTATGCTGAAGAACAAGAGAAACATTTTCGTTTCTGTGAGAACCAAGGAAAGTGTCGCACTTTCAATCGTCCATAGCTCAACCGTAAATCATCCAAAAGCAACTATCATCTTCTCTCATGGATAGTTTTTGGTGGATGGTTACACATGGATAGGTTCTAGTGGATGGTTTAATTTGGATGATTTGAGTTTATGGACATGTTTATGTGAATGATTTAGTGACGACTTTGGATGATTTACGGATGCAATTCCAATTGTGATTTCCAACTGTGATTGTGTCGTCAATTGTGATTGTGTGGAGCTGTGATGGATACTAGCTTATGTATAGAAGTATAACCTGCAGATTCATAGTTTATATGGGTTCAGACAAAGTGAAAACAAAAGAAATTTCCAATTCTCCAGGTCCGTAACTGTCTTTTTTGGAATCTTTAATCTCTGGATTTCCCTTCTCTTCCATCTCTCCCATCCATCCAATTAACTTGATTCACTAATCTTTCCCTCCTAAATATAAACCACTCCAGTATTCCAACAATATATAAGTTTCGGTAAAAACAAGGCACACAATCAAAATCAAATCTAAACATAACATTTCAATTTTTCTATCATTCCAACAATATATGAGTTTCGGTACTCGCGAACGTCGTACAACCAAGAACATGGTAAATCAAGTTTTCACCTCAAGATTCGTTAAGGGCAAGATTGAATTTTTCTCCCACTAAAATCCAAAAAAAAGTGCACCACTTTCAAAAAGTCCCTCTTTGTGTAAAGAAACTAAAAAAAGTCCCTCATAGTGTAAATCACTCGTATATATTTACATCAATAATTCAATCAAGTACGTAGTTGTGTACTTGTGTGTCTTGTGGCTTGTGACCGTCCATTTTCATTCATACTTAGGGGAAGAAGCCATACTATAATTATGGTTCTTTCAATATGCAAGCCTACATTCAAAGAGTAAAACTACTCCTATAAAACTAAAAGGAATTTTAGTTTTCTACACACTAAAAGGAAAATAATTTCAATGATTAAATAATGTTGTATTTGTTTCGTTTTTCCCTTATATTTCTTTCTTATTGTTTTGCCAACTTGATATGATGACACGATGATATCTAAGATATGTAACTGCATCGCCATGTGTAATGAACTGAAATGTGTTTATTTAGTCAAGTGAATTCTGTCTAATGCTGTTTTGTTACTAATCCATTATATATCTAGACAAAATGAAAGTAATCTAGATGAGATACTTAAGATTTAATAATATGTACATACATTAAAGAGTAGTAGATCTATACCATGTAAAGACAGTAAAAATAACAAATCTGTTTCTTATGATAATTATTAGTTGTGTCAGCAAGGTCCATAATTATTATGAACTTCCAAAAAACAAAAAATAACGATCACTTTACGAAGGGAAATATATTTTTCTTAGATATGTTACGTACTCTCATAAAAAATACTTATTGCATGCTACTTTTTATACTTGATTAGCTGATTTTAGTCTATTTAATCTCTCATTTACTGATTCACTCGTAAATCTCCCAAGTTATCAACACGAAGCAACAATCTAAATTCTAATGTAAGAAAGTCAAAAGAAAAAAATGCTGTTCAATCGGTTTCTCTGCACTTCCTTCTTACTCTTTCTCTTCTTCCTCTTTGGTTGCGCATCATCTGCAACTCTGCCCACCCAAGAAGGTAGATATATGTTCTTTTCAAGTGTCATCATTTGTATAATCATATGATCTATCATCTATGTGTGTGAATTATTTTGTAGTGGAGGCCTTTAAAGTTGCACTAACCACATTAAAAAAGACCAACGTTGCTTTCAATGAGGATCCATGCGAAGGTTCATCTTCTGGAAGTGAATCGTCAACCATCAACAGATGGAAAGACGTTGTTACTTGTGACTGCTCTTTCGCTAGCGGAACCATTTGCCATGTTACCAAAATGTGCGAGTTTGTCTCTCTTGATCTTACCAATTTATGAAAATGTGATTAGCTTGTTGAGTATTTTTTTGGGATATTTATTTTCTGAGACAGACGTTTGAAGGAAAATAATCTACAAGGGTCTCTTCCTAAAGAGTTTGTGGGACTTACTTTTCTGCAAGAGATGTAAGCAAGAACTCTACGAAATGATCAAAAAAATCACGATTTTACCCTATTAGAACTAATTTAACCCTCATTCATTTTTGTTGTTGTTGTTGTTGTAGTGATCTCTCTAGAAACTATCTCAATGGTTCCATTCCTCCTGAATGGGGAGTCTTGCCACTCGTCAACATGTACATATACATATCTCCATAACTGTTCATATATATAAGCTCATTTAATGATATTGGAGTAACTATGTTGATGAAATTAAAATGTAGATCGCTTCTTGGAAACCGATTAACGGGTCCAATCCCTAAGGAGATTGGAAACATTAAAACTCTTACTAGCCTGTAAGTTCAACTCTTTCAGTCTATTATAACGAAATGTTTTATAGCTTATGTTTTGTACTTGTAGTAATTTATTCATTCATATTTTGAAATTTCTGTTTCTAGTGTTTTGGAAGCCAATGAACTTTCAGGAGAGTTACCTTCGGAGCTTGGGAATCTACCAAATATTAAACAAATGTAAGAATATTCGTGAAGTTTGAGTTTAAGTCCTTGTATTGTTGAAACATGAAAGGCTCTATATGCTTTCTTTGTTTTCGTGTAGAATTCTTAGCTCAAACAACTTCAATGGAGAAATTCCAACTTCATTTGCAAAACTAACCACCTTGAGAGATTTGTAAGTATCATTCTTTGATTTGTAAGTTTTCTTGTTGTTTAATCTATATGAAGATTCTGACATAATTATTCTTTTTTTTTCGTTAATGGATAATTTTGTTAATAGTCGTGTGAGTGACAACCAATTGACAGGAAAAATTCCAGATTTCATCCAAATTTGGATTAAACTCGAGAGACTGTAAGATATTTTCTTAGGGTTTTTAGATCTTTACATTCTTTAAACGTTCTTGATTTGGTAGTTATAATGTTGTTGTGGTTACCTCAGGTTTATTCAAGCAAGTGGTTTAGTCGGACCAATTCCCATTTCCATTGATTCTCTCGCAGAGTTAAAGGACTTGTATGTATCAACTATCCACATAGGCTTCATCATCGTTACATTATACAGCATATCTTCAATATGTATTTAATTTTTTATGTTTCTTTTTTTTTCTTAGGAGAATCAGCGATTTGAATGGACCCGAATCTTCATTTCCACCGCTAAAGAACATGAAAAAGATGGAGACATTGTGAGTCTTAAGATTAGAACTACATTTTGGAACAATATTTGGGACACTAAAAGCTAATATTCACTAAATATTTACTCTTTTGTCATTGTAGAATTCTTAGAAACTGCAATCTCACAGGAGAACTACCCTCATACCTTGGAAATATTATCTCCTTAAAGCTCCTGTTAGTACTTAGTACATCTCTACAAGTATAACTAATCTATACGAGGATGGAATAAAAACTAAGAGTTATCTTTATAAAAATCTTACAGAGATCTTAGCTTCAACAAACTGAATGGAGCCATCCCTAACACATTTTCTAATATAAGTGACGATGGTTACATGTATGATTACATATTTACATCCCTAATATCTTCTCTTCTTTCTCTATATCTTTGTGTAATATACCAGAGAATTTTGGTCTGAATTATTTATTTCTTACAGATATTTTACAGGAAACAATTTAAACGGATCAATCCCACTTTGGATGGTAAACAAAGGATACAGAACGTGAGTTTTCATACTTCTTCAATAGGATGCATATTGTGAAAATATAATACGTTCATATATGCATGTTGTTTAATTTATTTGATTACTTGATTTTATGTGTGTAGTGATCTTAGTCACAACCATTTCTCAGTAGATCCAACCAATGCAATATGCGAGTACAATGATGTGTAAGAAATATTACGTATACCTTCATAAGGTATAGATTTTTCTTTCCATAATTTAAGAGACTAAAAGATTTTGTTTGATACAGATTCTCATGTATGAAAAACTACAAATGCCCTAAAAGTAAGCATATATGCAATTATGCATGCATATTATTCCGTCACTTGAAATTTTAATCGAATTTGTGACTCTGATTCTTGCTCGATATTTTATCTTATGTTTAAAGCTGCTCTCAACGGTCTTCACATAAACTGTGGTGGTGATCAAGTGTCTATAGACGGGACAACATACGAAGCTGATAAATACGACAGACTAGAGAGTTTATACGAAAGTCAAAACGGATGGTTCTCAAGCAACATAGGAGTCTTCTTAGACGACAAACATGTTCCCGATGAGAGAGTAACCATCGCTTCTAACTCATCCGAGCTCCATGCTCTAGACTCTGAGCTCTATACGCAAGCTCGCCTCTCAGCCATCTCACTCACTTACTATGCATTGTGTCTTCAAAATGGAAACTACGACGTTAATCTCCATTTCTCCGAGATTATGTTCACCAGTAACAACACTTATCAAAGCTTGGGTAGACGATTCTTCGACATATACATTCAGGTAAATTAAATAACATGTACATGAAGTGGCACATTTGAGACGGAACTAATATCACATGTTATGGTTTCGGGATTGAGTACGCAGAGAAAGCTGGAGGTGAAGGATTTTAACATTGTTGAGGAGGCAAAAGGTGTTGGAAACGTTGTCGTTAAGACGTTTCCTGTGGAGATAACAGAAAGTTGAAGATACAATTGTACTGGGCAGGGAAAGGAACTTCGGTTATCCCCATAGATGGTGTTTATGGTCCTCTCATCTCTGCTATATCAGTTGATCCAAGTAAAAAAAATGCTAAACCAACTTCAAATCTTGCATTCTTTTATCTCATTTCTAACGAGAAAACTAACTCTTGTGCAAATAGATTTCGATCCACCACCTAGTATGAGTACTACTATCCATGTAGTTGTAGTGATGGCCAACCTTTTGATTCTGTTTCTCTTAATTCTTCTTGTTTTTATCTGCAAAAGAAATCGCTTGAGATCAACTACTCAAATGGAAAAAGGTACTCACAAATATTAGTAACAAAACCCTATGATATTCATCATTTAAGTGATTGACTTGCTTAATGGTTAGAGATTTGCTTTTTTTTTTCTCTCAGATTTAAAGAGTTTAGATCCTATGATTAATTCTTTCTCGTTGAAGCAAATCAAAACCGCTACAAACAACTTTGATTCCGCAAATAGTATTGGAGAAGGCGGTTTCGGTACTGTATACAAGGTAAAGATAATAGAAAAGATCACACAACTAAGAACAATGTTTATGGATAATTATGTCTTTTGTTATGATCACAGGGGAAGTTGTTAGATGGAACAATAATTGCGGTGAAGCAGCTCTCGACAGGATCAAAACAAGGGAACCGAGAGTTCTTGAATGAGATTGGAATGATCTCAGCTCTTCACCACCCAAATCTTGTCAAGCTATATGGATGTTGTGTTGAAGGAGATCAGCTTTTGCTAGTCTATGAGTTTGTGGAAAACAACAGCCTCGCTCGAGCATTGTTTGGTTAGCATTTAGCAAACACACTTAGCTCCCTAAAAGCACCATCCAAGATTTGAAGTTCAGTTATATTTTACAATGTTTTGGTCTCTTTCTTGATAAAGGTCCTCAAGAAACTCTGTTGAGGTTGGATTGGCCAACAAGGAGGAAGATCTGCATCGGTGTAGCGGAAGGACTAGCATATCTCCACGAGGAATCGAGGCTAAAGATTGTGCACAGAGACATCAAAGCCACTAACGTATTGCTGGATAAAGACTTGAATCCGAAAATATCAGACTTTGGTCTTGCCAAGCTTAATGAAGAGGACAACACTCACATTAGCACTAGAGTTGCTGGAACATTGTAAGTTAAGTCAATAATAAACATACCAATGAGAAAAAGTTATGTTATTGTTAAATTTTCTTTACACAACACAATTTTGCAACATTTTTGCAGCGGTTACATGGCTCCAGAGTATGCCATGAGAGGCCATTTGACGGATAAAGCTGATGTTTACAGCTTTGGAGTTGTAGCTCTAGAGATTGTTCATGGAAGAAGTAATAAGATAGACAAATCCAGTAACAACAACACTCTCTACCTTATTGATTGGGTAATAACAGTCTTTTACGTTACTAACTTTCTTAGAGCCAAGAAGAAAGATTCTCAACTTTCTGTTCTTGTTTCTTCAGGTGGAAGTTTTGAGGGAGCAGAATAATCTGTTGGAACTGGTGGATCCGAGACTAGGATCAGACTACAACAAAGAAGAAGCAATGGTCATGATCCAAGTCGTGATAATGTGTACAAGCCCGGATCCGAGTGACAGACCATTGATGTCTGAAGTGGTAAAGATGTTGGAAGGCAAGAAGATAGTGGAGATGGAGAAGCTTGAAGAAGCTTCAGTCCATAGAAAAACAAAGAGACTTGAGAGCATGAACACTATGAAGAAGTACTACGAAATGATAGGGAATGACGAGGCAAGTACTAGCATTAGTATGACCATGACTGATCAAAGTACTACACCAGAGCACTAATATACACATAAAGCAATTGTGTAAGTAACAGATCAAGATCAAACCCAAAAAACCTTCTGTAGAATTTCAGAAAACAATCTGAGTCTTTAGGTACAAGTCAGAGAGACAGAGAGAGAGAGAGAGAGAGAGAGAGAGAGAGAGAGAGAGAGAGAGAGAGAGAGAGAGAGAGAGAGAGAGAGAGAGAGAGAGAGAGAGAGAGAGAAAAGTGGAATTTGTTTTAAAGTGTTAAATAGACAAAAGCAGAGACTCCTAATGTGACTACTTACACACAAGATTTACATTTTTTGGTCTTTTCAAAATGTTCTTGATCTTTAATCAATTTTCTTCCACCAGGTTTGTAGGCTCGCTTAGGACATACTTAGGTAGCTCATATTTAGCACCTGCAGAGTAAGAACAAAAGTACTAGTCATGACTCATGAGTATGGAAGAAAATAGGAACCAAGAAGAACAATCACAAGATAAGCTTAAAAGATTTGAATTTCTGACCTCTCTCATCATAGCAGGTTGTGAGATCAGTGTCCTGAACAATGACCCCTGCGCTGTCCACGATTGCTTGTGCAAGAGATATGTCAGCTTCAGCAGCAGCACGTAGTGCGTCCCATATCTCTGCGATTACCAAGTTCAAGACACACACATAAGTTCAGTTGCAAACAACCAAAAAGAAAACACAAAGAATATCATTTTTCTGATAGAAAAATTCTATGATATCTCTGATCCCTCTCACTGATCACGCTAACACACTCTAAATGAAGTTTCCATGGCATCATCAAACTTTCTCTGTCGAGGAGAATGGTTGAAAAACTATAATTCTCGACCTCATGTAATGCATGTGAGAAAGAACAACAAAAGGGTCCTTAGCTCAGTGGTAGAGCGATTGACTGCAGATCAATAGGTCACCGGTTCGAATCCGGTAGGGCCCTTGAAACTATAATTATTTCACTCATTTTCAACATCTAATATCATCCCTTTTAACCAGTGTTCCACTTAAACCAACTCCTATTTCATAATCTTGTTTATGGTTACTCATCATTAACCAACATAAGGGTCCTTAGCTCAGTGGTAGAGCAATTGACTGCAGATCAATAGGTCACCGGTTCGAATCCGGTAGGGCCCTTGACAGTTCTTTTTTTTCCCTGGAACTAAATCAATAACACAATCATTCTTTCTGTAACTCATCTCTAGACAACAAAAGGGTTCTTAGCTCAGTGGTAGAGCAATTGACTGCAGATCAATAGGTCACCGGTTCGAACCCGGTAGAGCCCTTATAGTACTCTGTTTTTTCCCATCTCTCCCAACCACTAATAGTCTAATACCCCTTTTCTACTAATCCATCATCTCTTTTGCAATCAATGGTATAAACACGAAAGCACCACTCAAACAAACCAAAAGAGATAAGTATGTATCAAATTACCTTTCCTGCCACCATAGTGAGGAGCAGTGTCCCAAAACTCTTCTCTCATTTGCATAAGCTGAGCTTTAGTGATCGGTTGAGTATGCTTCCACGGTTTTGGCTTCCTAATTTTCTTCACTGCCCCTGCAACTGTTAACAAACAACATCTTATCAAATCTTCTGCCATACAAAAACACAGACAATCAGCCAATCATAATGATACGTATATGATATATGTAAATACACATCATCTGAACAACATCTTTGTATGGTCCAACTGAAAAAGCCTTGATCAAGATCACAATTTGACAGAAGACTAAACATCACAGAAACCAAACAGAGGAATAACCACAGGATTGGCATGAAATTTTGGAAATGAAAAATTGACCCTATCAGATTAGATAAAACCTAAACCCTGATTTCAATACTCAATTAGGCCTTTGAGGAAGGAACATTCCAACATATCGATTATACATCTAGGGTTTATATCTCATCACATCTAAAAATAGAAATTATAAAACTTGTATCTTCTCCAACGAAACAGAAAAAATGATATATTTCCGCCAAAAATCCAGCAAATTAAACTAAGAGAGATTCATTCACCTTCTTTTTGCGCATGTGTCGATCCAGCACAACCCATTGACCTTCTTCTTCTTCAACCCTTCCGAATAACAAAAATCTCCCGGAAAACAGACCAAAAATGATTCAGACAAAACTCCGAGTTTGTGTTTGTCGAAGCTTCATCGAAACCAATCAAAGTCTCAAACTTTCCTTGTCTTTCCTTTGGAGAAAGCAGATAGAAGAATCTAGGACACAAATAATTAGATGTCGGTAGAAAGAAGAAGAAGAAGATCAAGACCGAGTTGAAGATGACGATGAATCGGTGTTGATGATTGTGACATTATTGTGATGTTGTTGATTAATAAAGGTCTAAACTTTTTTTTTCCCCCATTTTTTTTTGGCCATAACGAAAAAGGAAAAGTGGTTTTCGCTTCGCTGTCTTCTCGATTAAAGGCACACCTTCAAAGCTTCTCTAAATCCAATGCGAGCCAATGTTGTTTCACCAATAACGTCTCGCCACGTCATCGTAATTACATTCTTTTGATTGAAGAAGAATCTATTCTTGTGTGTGCACTTTAATCTCTGATAATGATCATGAATTAATTAAGCTAATCATATGTCAGGTTGAGAAAACAATAGCTTAATCATCATCACTTTAAAAGTCCCTACTATATTTAAAGTAAAGGGAATCTCATAGACAATGATATATTACAAAATAAAAGAGTCCAAATTAATCAAGAATTTGAATGGAAAAAAATATACATTATCTTATAGAAACAAATCGAACTATGTCAACTCCAATGAGAAAAAAATAACAGGATTCCATGATGTTTGGTTTTACAACTATGCAATTTGTTTTTTTTTTTATAATAAATTACTAATATTCTCTCTAAAATGTATACTCCCTCCGTTTCAAATTAGTTGTCGTTTTGGCAAAATGTATCTGCAAATATTTGGACGTATCTGGACATGTTTTGCATTGCAGATACGTCCAAATATTTGCAGATACATTTTACCAAAACGACAACTAATTTGAAACGGAAGGAGTACTTAACAATTCTGCTATTTAACACTTCAATTTCTTATTTTAACAGATTTACCCATTCTTAAAAGCTTTCTTTAAAGTTTTAGTTTTAAAAGGTTTTACTAATTATTTTTTTAGTTAATCAGAGAATGTAAACATGGCATAGTGAATCTGAATCAGCTCATGATTAACTAAAAATGGCATTTGAACAAAGTTTGTTACTCTAAATCTTTAATAAGAGAATAATCTAAGATGAACAAAGAATAATAACAACCAGTGTTTTTAAAACCGGACCGACCCGGTGGTCGGACCGGGTTCAACCATGAACCGGAAGTATCTCCGGGTTGGGTTACTAATAAAACCCATAGATAGTTAGACCGGTTAAAACCCGAGTTCGACCAACAAAAAGTCAAAAACCAATGACCCATTGAACCATATTAAACCCGGTTTTCTAATTAAACAATAAAATTTTCTACTTTATTTGATAATTTTAACTTTTTCAGAATGTTTGGTTAAAATATATTATTCAAATATTATGAATTTTTATGAATTATTTGATATCAAAATTTATATATATTTATAAACTGTTTAAATATCATAGATATATTCATATATAACATCTATAAAATTATATGTATTATTTTAAAAAATCATTGAACCTGGTCGAACCGGGTTGAACCATATTAACCCATGATCCAAAATATTTCCAATTTGGTCACCGGTCCTGTTTTAAAAACATTGATAACAACCAAAGCTATAGACTAAATAAATCTTGGTCGAATTTCACCAAACCGCAGAACTATGTAACTCTTCTCTCCTAGAAGCCGAATAAAACTGTAGAGGCAACACCTTTCTTCACTTCTTTTGAAGTATAAGCATCCCTGCAAAGGCGATTCCACGAGTGCACCAACCAATGAGAAGCAATATCATTATACACAGATTCCATTTATTTATGTCGTAGCCATTCTTCATAAGCGATCCACATCGAGTAATCATCCATACTCCATAGTACCTGAACACACACAAAAAGCAAAACCATACATGAATCAAAGCTGTTTATAGGTTAAAGCTTTAGTTACTATTTTTGTTATCATTACTTTTGAGCATTTCCAATCACAAACGCCTCCAAAGCCCACTTTGGATAACATAAATTAGCAATGAACTTCATAGCTTGACTATTCTTCGGTTGAGTTGCAACAAGTGTTAAAACGACTGGAAGAAGAACAGAAAACTGCAATGAAAAAAAAACAAAAAGTCTGTCAGTTTAAACTAGTCAGAGAGTATATAAATAATTCATATTCCAAGTATAAACCAAAAATGAAAACTCACCAGCTGAGCAGAGCCTGGCTGGAGGAAGATAGCCAATGCATAAGCAATTCCAGTCACGCAATACACAAGGCAGACCAAAACAATATAGTTATCGAAAAACGTGGATCTCGGGTTGGTGAAGAAGTAGAACATGGAGAGATAAACCAATGGCTTGACAAGTGTGTTGAAGCAGTCTATCGTATCTTTAGCAAGGAAACAAGCAAAACTACTCATCCCTGAAGCACTTTCTCTCCAGTAATGTAACTTGTCTAGTGAGAATGACCTTAACGCTGCTATTTTGCAAAGAAGAGCTGACAGAAGAAACAAAAGAACCAGTAAGAAATATGAAGAGACTTGCTCAGAAGCTTTGTGTCTAGAGAATGAAGTTGCAAACTTACAAACGGCGATGATAGTGTAGATATAACCAGGTGCTCCAAAGCTATCATCACTTGCTTTGATCAGTGACCCTAAACAAGCTCCAGCTAGCAACAAGATCAAAAAGTCTGTAGCTTGTAATTTAGCTTCTCTCATTCGTTGCTTAGCTATCCTGAAATCAAGAACATTACTCCTCTTTATTCCAACCTCCAAGAACCAATTGATTGATCACAAGAATGTTAGAAGTATACCTTCCAAGGAAATATTTGTATTGCAGCCATATAGTAGGAGTTCTTCTGTAAGATAAGTCTCTGGACTTCAAGAAGTTATGCCGAATCTTATCACGGCGCAGCCTGAAATTACTCCTCACATCTCCCCAAAGCTCTCTGACAAACGTTTGCTCTGCATTACCGTTTGGAACATTCACAACGTCTGGATTCGCTTCAAGCTCAGCAGCATTACTGTTGTTGTTCCGCATATCTATTGGCACAGAGTACCCTTTGTGAAGCATCCACCTTTCAGGAAGCTCTTTGTAGCCAACATCAGAGTTCCCGTTTGATATCACAATCCCTTCCAAAACGTCTATGTAATAGTCAGGAGGATTGATACGTTCCGGCACATTGATTCCAAGTCCCGAGAAGTATTTTTCGACGTTGTTGACTGACCCGTGGTAAACAGTAAGGCCACCTTTCGCAAGAAGTACAAGATCATTGAACATTTTGAACAAAGTGTAACTGCAATCAAGAAAACATAACTTCATTGACACGTAAAGAAACATTTCCTCTAAAACCAAAGTTTGTTTTCAAGATTACTACATACCTTGGCTGGTGAACAACCATGCAGATATTGACTCCCTCTAGAGCTTCATGGCGAAGTGCTCTAAGAAGAAGCTGAGACGAAGCACTATCCAAGCCAGAAGTAGGTTCGTCCAGGAACAGAATCGAAGGCTCCATCACCATTTCCAAACCAACATTCACTCGTTTCCTCTGCCCTCCTGAGATCCCTCGCTTCTCTACAGTACCAACTAAAGAGCTTCTCACAGATTGTAGCCCCAAAGAGTCGATGATTCTCTCTACCACAAGAACTTTGTCAGCTTTCGATAGACCAGCAGGTAATCTACATTTAGCATGGAACCAGAGATTTTCCTCAACTGTCAAGTTCCCATGGACAACGTCGTCTTGTGGCACAAAACCAATGATCTTCTTGTATGAATGGATTGATAACTGCTTCCCGTTTATAAGTATCAAACCACTCAGTTTGCAACCAACTGCTTTCCCAGCCAAAGCAGAGAGAAGACTTGTCTTCCCTGCTCCTGACGGACCCATCACAGCAGTGATACGCCCTGGTTTCATGCTTCCAGTCACACATCTAAGCAGATGCTTACCGTTAGATTTCAAGGTGAGAGTTAAATCTGTGAAGGAAAGCTCCATGAGAGGCCTCTTCCTCATCTCAGAGTAAGTAGCCATGTTAACTATCCCTGAAAAGGTAAGGTTTCTATTCTCATGCTCCATGGCTTTCTCCTTCTCGATCGTGTCGTACGCATACTTGAAGATCTGGCTCTGTGACTTCTTGATCTTATGTCCTTTACCTACACTCTTTCTTGCTGGTTCATTGCTTTTAGCAGCTGCATCATCCTGGACCTCAAATGTAGATTTCGCAGCAGAGGAACTTGCAGGACTTGAGTCTAAATCTTCATCTACCTCAGAAGAGTCCCCACGAGCCAACATCTTGCGAGTGTCCCCATCATCATTAGATTTTTTACCTGAAAATGTCCGAGTTATCTGCGCACGGATCTCACTTACATGCTTTACAGCAGCACCTGTAGCAGCTTTCCATCTCTGATGAGCTTTCGCTTTCTTCACCGCTGCTTCCCTTGACTTCGCCTGCCTCCTCTCCCTCGTTGTTAGGATTTGATCAGAACAGTTGTATATAATGAGGAGAATAGTAATCACAGCAAACTGTCACAAAATACATTCAAAGCCACTCTCTCTTAGTGAAAAAGCTTCATCTTGGATAATTCATTATTATCACTAATGACAACTGAAAGAAAAAAGAAACTTACAATAACCATAACACCAAAGGCATGCATGTTCTGATTTGCTGTGTTGGGATTGCAAGAAGTCAACTTAAAGCAAGCTGCAAGAACAAGAAGTTATTAGTAGATGAAAATGGTTATGTGACAACAAACAATCATATGAATATGCAAAGAGACTTACGTTTCTCAGATGTAGACCCCATTCGGCAGTAGTGCCTGAATCAACATATAAAGTGTAACAATCATTAGCATAGTAAACAAAAGTTTTCAGGATAATTTGTCATGATGGAACAGAGTTTGAAGGGAAAAAAAAATGAATACCCACTATCACAAGGAACTTTCTGAGTAGTGGTCGGACAAAACGATCCAGCAGAACAGAATACTTCGCCGCTGCTTCTGATATCAGCCCATACATTTGCACCTCCACAAGTGTGGTTTGGTCGTCCTGGTGGTAACTGATAAGTATACCTATAGTGTTAAAAGTTCAACCATCTTATTCCACAATAATACCACATATGTCACATTAGTATCTTATACCTAAGATGAGATTAGATAAATAAAACTTACGGCTCACATATGCTTGTTTTCTTGTTTAGAGTAGCTAATGGGCAATGAGCACCAAGAGGGCAAGCTTTTTTCAAAACAGAACACAAATTTTATAAATAGTGTTAGACCATATAATATATGAAAGAAGCTTAGATACCAATGATAAGAGTTTCTGAATGACTTACGTATCATACAAGTGAGGCCACGGGGGCAGAAGAAGCCTTCACAGCAAGGCATACAGTTTTTTGTTCTCTCTGGAAAATCTTTAGAGTTTTGGAAGTCGACTTGTTCGGTTGGATCGACACTGCAGCTCCATCCAGGCTCACAACCAGAGACCCATGAAGTCAAGTTGCAATTCACATTCGGTTGCAAGTTGCTCGGGATACTCGATGTATTGAAGAAGGCATTAAAATGGAACTTCATCTCTGCTGCTGTGCAGATACGCTTACCCATATCACCTGTTTCCAAAACCACAAAGTCACAAATGTTGTACATAAAAATGCAAACTTTAGAGAATACACACAACAATATTTGATTCCTACAGAGTAAAAAAAGTCTGTACCTTGAGTTTTCTGAATGCAAGAAGAGACGAAATCCAAGTTGGTGGAGAAATTAAAAGCTCTATTCCAATCAGCATCCCTGAGATTGTGAGAAACATATCTCAAGACTTTTGTAAACTAAGAGAACACATTTCAACTAAAAGCACCTAAAAGTTAAAAGCTTTTATATCTAAGATCCAAGAAATCAAAAGTTTCACTGCAAGAAGATATAGTTTTGAGAGTAAGAAGACTAACGGGTCTTTGACGCAGAACTTGGCTCTTGTACCGAACTCGCGATAAAGATCAGCAGTGTTATTAGCGAGCCTACGGTAAACCACCTGTGTAAGGAGTGGAAGAACAGCTGGATTCTCGAACTCATTTGGGTCCTCAAATTGACCATAACCAACATAACAAACCAAGCAAAGAGCTAAGATCACCAATCTTAGATTAAATCCACGTTTGAGCCGATTTCGTCTGTTCACACTCATCTTGAGATTGATCAATAGCCTTACAAGAAGTCACAAAAGAGAATGAAGCCAAATCAGATGCAAAACTAACAAAAAAGTAAATTGATTTGTCAAAAAGAGAGGGCTTTTTCAGTTCTTTTAAACGGAATTTTTTTAGACATTGTGATTGGAAGAGAAACGTGAAGGAAGTTGGAGAAAACGATGGTGAAAATTAACTAAAATGTTGATCTTGCTTTGTGTTTGGCGATGAAACGTGACGAACAATGTGTGAAAGAAACGGCTCAAATCTTATTTTTTTCAAATGATTTTTAATCAATTCTTAAGCTTGATTTTGGATTTGGTTAGCAGAAAGCAACATTAGTTCCCTAATTTGTTCAAAATTAAGAACGAGAATTTAAGAACTCTAATTTTTAAGAATTTGAAAACCCAGAAACTCAGAGATCTTTTTTTTTTCCTTCTTTTAGATCACATTGAAATTCAGAACAAAACAGAGCAAGATTTCAATTTTTCCCTTCAGCTGCAGAGCTCAAAGCAACCAAAAGTAAAATTAGGATCAACGAAAAAAAAACGTACTTGTGGCTTTTTAAGGCATTTAGTTCATGAATTGGGAGCTGAGGAATCCATGAAAACTGAAGTTGCTTAGTTCTTGGAAAAGCTTGTTTTGAGGTTGTAATCTACAAAGCTTGAGATTTGCAAGTTTAATATGCCATGATTGACCTCGACAAGTAGAAGAAGGAGGAGGAGGAGGAAGAAGACGATTCAAGATAGTGCGTTGAATGATTCATCAGGACAAAGCACATATAGACCTAAGTTATAATTACAGTTAGCAAATTAAGAAAAGAGTAATAATCTTTACGGTTGATTAAGGAAACTATATATTATCTTCCTAATTTTTAGTCAAAACTTTCTGTAAGTATAATTCTTTGGTAGCATTTAATTTGACAAACAAAAATTCTTTGGTAGGTAGAGTCTAGAGATAACCCCTATAATTATGATTGTTTACTGTTGCATTTAAGTTAATACAAGTGATTTAACAAAATGTTACCGCTAAAAAAAATGTTTATCATAATTCATAAAGTCTTTCTGGCTGTAAGAATATTTTCTTTCTAAGTTTAGTCCGAATTTTCTGTAAGAATACTATACATAAGATTGTTTACTATTCAAAATGTTTTTTTCTTTCTGTAGAAAACTAAAGTCATTTTTGACATTGCATCTCCTTTTGGTCACCGTTTTTCCTTAGTCAATTAGAGATTGTAATCTTGTGACTTGACTAAAGGAACATGATTTGTTAGATATTAATTTTTCCATGACTATCATAATCGATAAAGAAAAATCTGGGTATATGTCATCATATGTTGAAAATTCGTTCATACATATGTTTCAATCATCTGGTCCCATAATATTTAACATTTTTGGGTCCAAATTTATAAGACAGATAAGGACAACAAAAACTGATATCTGCAATGCAAAACATCATGATTACTTCTATATGATATGCAATTTTGGCAAAACCAAAACTCTACAATCAATTTACTTCTGTGTATGTTTACCTCATAAACATTTTACAATATAGTGAAACACTGAAACTACATATGAAATTGGGAAAGTATGACTTACGAGTATATATGGCCCATAAATAAGCCACTTTAGCAGATCTCTTAGTTAGCCCATTAGTAAGCCCAAATCGTAGCCCCACCAAATTCATATGAAAACTATACTATTACATTATTCCTAGTGGTACCCATATGGCTACAAATATTCAATTTTCATAGTGTTTACGCAAATGACAATAAACACCCTTCGCGCATCTCGAGACCTCGCCCTAAACGAAGTCACAACGGCTGGTGTAAATACCATCTACTTTTAAGGGTAGTTTCGGTAAATGCATTTTGAAACTCCCAATGCTTCGCTTTGCTTTACTTTGCTGTGTCTTTGCCCATTTCCGTCATTTCACATTACGCTCTGTTCTTCTACACCTTCGTGTCCTCTCTCTTTCTCTCTGATCATTTCTCCTCCAGCTCTCATTTCCTCTTACTCTCTCTCTTTCTCTCTCTCCACTTTCTTTTTCTCCTCCTCGAGCTTTGGACGAATCTGTCTACTGCTTGTAATTCTTTTAAGAGAGTAAAGAACAGAGGAATCTAATTTGGTGAGTGTTTATGTTTTTTATCCCTTTTATCAGATGTTTGTTTGTTAAACTTTCATGTGGGTTTCTGGTGAATGATTCATTTCCATTATTGCGTTAATTTTTATTTTTTCCCATTTTAACTATTATTGCAATGGAAGGTTCATGTCGCTGGCCGTGGGCCTAATTTTTCCATTGATGTTAGCTAATAACAATAATGTCGAAGTTTTTTGCATTAATTGTGTTTGTTGAGTTTTATTTATATATAGTCGATTCTCAAAAAGGGTTTTAGGACTTTTACTTCTTTTTAAGCTAAACAAAAAAAGTTCAGATTTTTGTTCATTTCTCATCTCAGTTCTATGTTTTTCTCTCATTCTGGAAGTTGATTTGTAATTTGGTTTGGATTGTGATATGGTCTGCACTTTTAAGCAGAGGTTTGTCTGTCAGATTCAACAACTTTTCTTCCTTCAGATTTACTCTACGATGAAGTGAGAACTTCAAAAACAATCAAAGAGAAAGCAGAAGAAAAGCTTAGAACATTTACAAGGTACGACCTTTGACTTTCTTAGTTTGTTTGTATGAGCTTCTGAAATTTTTCAGACTTTTGCTTGAAAAATCTGAATCTACTTGTTATGTTCACATTGAAAATTTAAGTACTCATAATTAACATTCCTCTTCTTGTATAAGTTCTCTTGGTTAAAAACCAAATATTTCTGCTTGCAGATGAAAATGTCTTAAGCGTCTATTTGTAGATAAGAAATGCCTTGGGAGTCTGTTTGGTTTGCGTGTAGACCGCTGTTGCTAGAGCGATTAGAGTAGAGAAGCACAATGAGACATAGGTTGTGGGTCTTGTGTCTGCTCGTACTAAATGTGTTTGGTGGGTTTGTCAGGCAATGAGGTTGTCTTGTTGTTTGAAATGGTTAAAAATCAATTTTTACCCATACATTTGGTTTTAAGATTTGTACTGTTTTCATTTTTCAAAGTAGCACTGTAGTCTATAATGATTGTACTGGTATCACATTAGGGTTATGTTACATAGTTAATTCAGATTTGTTCTGTTTTTTAAATGTTTCTTCTGCATAAGTCATGTGTTTTTTGCAGAGATTATTTGGGTGCAATCTCTTTTATACTATTATTTGTTTGATTCTGTAGCAGCACATTTTGACTTAATAGTCCCCACAAATGAAAAAATAGATTGGTTTCATTCTTGAAAAAAATGTTATGCAGACAACTTGCTTCTTTTAAAATTCCTTTCTCTTAAAAAAATAGCATTTTCTGAGCATGATCACAAACAACTCTTGATGAATATAAAAAAGCAGAATCCACTGTATGATATGCATCTAAATCTTTAAATATATTTATGTATAGATCACTGCTAGTAAAGCATTCTGTTTTGTTTTTTACTCTGAGCTTTATTCATATACTTCTTCACATAAAGCAAGTCCTATTCGGAGAATATCACATACATAAAGAAGCCTATGGCCCCTTCATTAACGGTCCTTGATCCAAGTATTAAAGCTTGTTGCTCTTTTTTTCTTTATGTATCTCAACATTTATCATTACTACTCTCATTGATTCATCATTTCTCTCCTCTCCTTTGCTTTTTGGTGTGTCTTGTCTTATCTGTTACTCTGTTCTTGCTAAATCTACTTTGTGATGGATCTGCAGATGGAAACTGTGAAACCTATGGTTGTTGCTAAACTCAGACGCAAGTTTGCTAAAGTTCTCAACATCCACAAGCTAACGGGTGGTGTTGCTCCAGAAGAGGAAATGAAGAAGATAAAGTACGAAACCAAGAACAACAACAACGCGAATCTGTCTCAGTCTTTCTACAAGCTTGAGGAAGAGTATGAGAGAAGTCTGGCTTTGGAAGCTCTGCTTGCGAAGCTGTTCGCTACGGTTTCTTCCATCAAAGCCGGTTATGCGCAGTTACAGCATTCTCAGTCTCCATACGACGCAATCGGGATTCAAAAAGCAGACAACTTGGTCGTTTCCGAGCTGAAGACTCTGTCAGAGCTGAAACAGAGTTTCTTGAAGAAACAGAGTGATCCGAATCCGGAACGGACTCTGGTTCTCGCGGAGATTCAAGAGCTGAGGAGTCTGTTGAAAACGTATGAGATAATGGGGAAGAAGCTTGAGTCTCAGTATAAGCTCAAAGACTCAGAGATTCTGTTTCTAAGAGAGAAGCTTGAAGAATCGACGAAACAGAACAAGTTAACAGAGAAGAGATTAAACCAAAGCGGACAACTTTGCAATCCTCTAGACAATCTTCACCTCTCAGCGCTAAATCCAACCCATTTCATCACTTATCTACATCACACAGTCAAATCCACCAGAGGATTCGTCAAGATTATGATCGAGCAAATGAAAGCCGCCGGATGGGATATCTCCATGGCTGCTGATTCGATCCTTCCCGGTGTGTTGTATTACAAGCAAGATCACAAGTGTTTCACTGTCGAACACTTCGTCTCCAATGTGATGTTCGAGGCGTTTCATCTACCGTACTTCTCAAAAGACTCGAGAAGCTGCAGGAAACAGAGCAAAGCAGAGAGGGAGATGTTCTTCGAGAGGTTTATTGAGCTCAGGTCGATGAAAGCGAAGGATTATATAAAGGCGCGGCCTAAATCGAGATTCGCGAGGTTCTGCAGAATCAAGTACTTGCAGCTTATACATCCGAAGATGGAGCAAGCTTTCTTCGGGCATTTGCATTTGAGAAATCAGATTTCTGCCGGCGAATTCCCGGAGACGAGCTTGTTGTGCTCTGGGTTTCTGGAGATGGCGAAAAGGGTTTGGCTTTTGCATTGCTTGGGTTTCTCGTTTGAGTCTGAAGCTGAGATCTTTCGAGTGCCCAATGGCTGCAGATTCTCCGAAGTGTATATGAGATCCGTGGCGGAGGAAGCGTTTTTTCCGGTGACGGAGACTTCGACGGAGTCTGAGCCACGTGTCGCGTTCACGGTGGTTCCGGGATTTAGGATCGGAAAGACTTCGATACAGTGTGAGGTCTATCTCTCGCTGTCGTAATCGCCGTCCGATCAAAGATTTCAAACAGAGGACGGTGGTGTGGGGACGGAAGGGTGATTTGGTAATTTCAGGAAGTGGTGGGTTCTCATTTCTCAAGGGTGGTTTCGTAATTGGAGAAGTGATGGGGTATTTTTTGGAAAACGAAAAAGAATTGTGGGCCGTTGGATCTGTAGGAGGGAAGTAGTGTGATGTTTGTGTTAATGTTTACTCTGTCTTTTAAGTTTTGTCGATATTAGTGCAGAGGAAAACAGAGGGATCTCTTAGCTGTTGTCCATGGAATATTTTTCTCCTTTATTTTAATATAATATGTAAATATTTTTATGATTTTCTAATTTGTATTCTCTTTTTAGCCTACTTGGAGAATATAATAAAATATGGAGTAGAGCGTAGTATTGGAATGCTGAATTAGTTTATAAAAGATTGAAATGCAATAATGTTTTAAATGTTGGTAAGATTTTGTTTTTATTTACATGCATTCGCATTGGATTCATTCTAAAATGTATCGCTGGTCTATGAACCATCCAGCATTATGTCTCCCTGTCTTGTGTTGTCACATGCACATTAAAAATGCATAAATAGTCAATATAAGACTTATAAGTGTGAATAGGTCCTTATTTATCTGCTGGGATTTTGGGTTTTTGTTCAGTTTTAGTTTTAAAAGTTCTTATTTCTACTAATAATTACGAAAGAAATTAATCATATTGATATGAACATATGAACACGAAAAACACAACATTAACAAAAAAAACACATTGACGTGTTTGTTTATCGAACAAACTAAATTGTACAAAGTACAAACACAACACGTCGATCTTTTGTGGGATACCACAAAGGCGGTGCTATCAAAAAGTTCGTCGAAAAGAAGAGGATAATATTTTATTATGTTATAAATTTATTTATATTGGTATCTGGTGTGCATTTATTATATTTTCAAAAAATAAGCATAGTTTATACCGAAAATTAATGAGAGCGGATGGCTTCCCTCTGCCAAGAATCTAAAGATCGATTGACCAAATATAATGGTAGGGTTCGAAACTAAGCAGATGACTGTATAAAATCTTAGAAATTGTTTTGTCGGAAAGTCCTTTTTCACTTTAACGTTTTGGTGGTGCTTTAAATACTGGAGTATGGTCTCTTTAATTTTACAACCTCCATAATAGAGTAACTGTGAGCATCAGAAACGTAACATGCCTTTTTGCATCAGAAACGTACATTCATTTCTATTTTCTACCTTTCAAGTATAAATAAAACCAACTTTAAAAAAAAAAGACTGACTGAGCTTTTCTTTTTTTGCTCTGCTTATTAACGTAATTTTAAGACGAATTTAATTATTAAAATTTGGAATTTTACATGTTGATAAACAAACTTTAATACAGTTTGCCGAATTTTGAACCATTGATAAAAGTAAAATTTGCCAATAAGGCTCATTATGGTCTTAATAGATATTTGGCCCAGAATCATATCCAATATCTTACATTCCCACCAATGTTTGAGTGATGGGCCGGTTTACTTCCCGGTCAGGTCATAACTATCAAACTCGATCCACATAATCTAGCAAATACCGTAAATCAAACCGATTCGATTTCAATTTCAATGAAGCTAAGAGCTAAAAAATGGCCTATTGAGAGAAACATCTCTAGAGAGTTTCTTCACACCTTCCATTGCTCGAACTCAACGGAGCTCAACAGGAAGGAGCTTGCGTTTCTATGACCACCACCTCCGAATCTCTGAGAAACCACCGTCGTGTCTTCTTCTTCCCCAACACTCCTCAAACTTATCTTCACTTTGGTCTCATCCTCAAGCTCGGGAACTCTGTACACAACAGCTCCAACACCTCGTAACTTCAGATTCTTGCTCTTCTCCGCCAACTGATTCCCTAACTCGCTTCTCAGCTCCGCAATCTCATCTCCATTCACAGCCAAACACCGACCAAACTCTTCCTCACCTCCAAGAACAATCTCATAAGACTTCTCCAAAGCCTCTTGAATCAGCTTCCGTTTCCGACACAAACTCTCTCTCCCTCTGTTGATCACACTCTCATGATCCAACGAGAGCAGCTCCTCAAACAGCGACTGATTCTTATTGTAATCGTACTCAATCCCTAAATCCAAGATCCCACTGTGAAACGCTTTGCTCTCCGGTAGCTTCCATTTCCATATATCAGCGTCTTCGATGTACTCGAAAACACGTCTCATCCTCTTGAAATCATTCATCACCTCTCTGCTGCTGCAACTTTCTTCTTCTTCTTCAATGAGCTTCTGAGTGAAATAGTCATACGCAATCGTCGCGCCGCTTCTCTCCACATCCAAAACTTTCGTAACGTTGGAAGAGACATCGTCTCCGAGGGTCTCGATGGCGGTTTTGTGGTGGTCGAGGATCACGACGTGTTCGAGTTTGGGAGAGACTTGGTGGACGAAGCCAGGAGGGCCTGTGAAATCGAGAAGGTAGAGATGGCTGATTTCTTGGAGAGGAAGTTGGTTGATTGTGATCGGAGAATAGACTGTGTTGGGGAAGAAGAGCGAAGGGATTGATTTCGCTGACAAGTAGAGATGAGCGGCTAAAGCGGCGAAGACGCCGTCGTGGCAAGGGTAATGGTAGAGAACCGCCACTTTCTTCTGCATCATCATCTTCACTCCAAGATTATTCATTCCTGAATTAAAACAGTTTTTGAGAGGAGAAGAAAGAAAAAATCAAAACTTTTATATACAGAGCTGATCAATTATCGAAACAGATAACAAAAATCCAAAATTTCAAGGTGGGAATCTGTTTTCTTGTTAAGAGAATTTGACGGATTTGGGAAAGATTTAAGATTTGATGAAAGAAAATACCGAGCAAAGAAGAAGTAGCCGGGCAAGACAAAAACCTCTGAACTAGTAGCAAAAGAAAAAGAAAACAACAACCTGAAACTAAAGTAGGGTTCTCGCAAGTGTAAATGACGGAAACACCCTTACATTCCTCTTTTCCTGATTATGGTCTGTTTAGGTATCAAGCATCAACTTCATGTCTAGTCCAACAACGGATCTTGGTCTTGTTGTTTTGCTGGAAAATCCAGTCTTCCTTGGACTATGATCAATTTAAGAGATTATCATTGATTCGATAAGAATAAGATAAGAAGAGAACCAAATCTGAATTTCATCTTCTTATTTTTTATTTATTTAAATTTCATCTTCTTTCTAACAATAAATCATGCAATTTAGGTTGATTTCCTAACTTGCATAAAGATGGTGTTTTTGAGTTTGGTATATTTATTTACAACCAAAAAAAAAAGATGGTGAACAGATCCTAATTCAGAGAGGAATTAGATTTAGATAGAGATATAGGTAAACTATCTCATTATCTATAACCTATTCCATTATTATCTATAATCTATTACTAGTTTTTTATTTTATATAAGAGCGAATGACGCCTACTGAATGATTTAATTACTCACGATAAGTATTCTCGTTCAAGCAGAGTTTTGGTTTGAGAGGAGAAGCCATGACAGGTGAAAGAGTTTCAGCTAAGGAACTGGCAGAAGCTAAGAAGGCTCATGCAATCGAATTCATGAAATTTCTCGAGGAGTCGAAGAACGCGCCAATGTACTTGTGAGTGTTTCCATCTTCTTTCTAACTTAATTAATTATACATACCGTATTCTCTTATAACTTACTTGTATGTATTGATGATTTTGTTTATTTATTTATGCGTGCAGTTGTGATAGTTGGATTTATAGCGTGATCATGCAAGTTGTAATCATCGGCACTCTTATTCCCTTACACATTCATCTCCAAGAGAACAACGATTACTTCTACTTTGTAAGATACATGATGGGGATGCAATTTTTGTTCCTTATAGCCGAAATTGGATGCTTCAAACTACGGATTCAAGGTAGAGTCATGGGAAGTATCAGCCACATGTGTGGCGTTGTTGCCATCATCCTACACCTTCGTCTGATTTCTTCGGCTCTTGCTATGGGCATAGGCATACCACTTTCTCTGTGGATCCTTATTACCATCTTCTACACATGTATTGTGGCCTCCGTTGACTTCCCAGAGTTGACTTTAAATGATTTGATGTCAACTGTTTGATAATGGAAGTGTTCAAAGATGCCATGGTGTTCAATTGTTTGTGATTTTTATTACTTATAACTTGTTCAGCTTGGTTCAGCTTGTTGGTTTTCCTTTAATAATTCATTGTTATTATTACATCAAGCCTCATTATGGTTACAAATCAGTCTTCTTTGTCGTGGCGATGGACTAAAACCCTTAGAGCATGTTTATTGGTGTTATGTTATAGAGTCTCTTATTTTTAAGTTATATTAATAATTAATATTTTGTAGTGTGAACACAAAAGAAATATTAGTATTTAAATGGGAGTGTTTCTAAAACTAAGAAAAGTTATCCCAACATCTCTTATATAATAGACTTTGAGAGTACTTTTCTAAATTATAAGAGACTCTCAATTCAATATTAATATTTTTGTGTGTGTTCACACTTCAAACATTAACTATTAATATAAACTAGAGATAAGAGACTTTATAGCATAACACCAATAAACATGCTTTTACATTGACACTGACCAATGTAAACGTCTCTTTCAGTTAAATAAGCCCTATCTTCTGTCTTCAGCCACACTCCACAAAAATGGGCTTTGTTAAGGCCCAATACCTACGCACTAAATTGTAGCTCCCCCATTAAGCCGATTTTAGCGTAATTAATTAGTTTTGTTTGTAATTAAACGATTCAAAGTTCAAAACCTGGAACTTCAAGTCTTACTCTTGTGGTAATGTTCCTCTCCTAATTGTAGTGTATATAGTTTTGGTACATAACAATTTCGCCACGCATTTGGTAGATATGCTTAGGCCATTTATTTATGTTTCTCCTCTACTCACCAAATTGTAGTGGCGCGGATGTCAAAAGATGTGACACGGTCAAGTCAATTATACGCTCGCTTCTCAGGCCCCGTTTGTGTAAAGGGGACATGGGAAAATGACGAAATGACATCTTTTATTTCATCTCAGTTGCTTCGAAGCTTCATCATTGGAGGCTACCGCAATATTCCACATCTTTTCTCTATACAGAGAAATAATAATTTTAAAAAACCACTAAAAAAAAAAAGACAAATATAGATCATGTGGTTAAGTTCGGTTTTGGAGGAAGTAAACACTAATTAGATAACCTCCTCTTCCTCTAGAAAGTTCCAATTTTCTTCACATTTTCAGTAAAGCATTAATGTTAAATTGAAAATACATCACAACATTTCAATCAAAACACCATCATTGACTTCAACTCTTGGGACTAGGAAGCCGATATTATATTATCACACTTTATAAGACAAAATAAAGTTTTGTAATACTAAATTCTTATATATAATATAAATCTTGTTTGTATTGGGTGTTCATTTACTACATGTATCTCAAATTTTATAATGAGCGAGATTTTTCCATTTGCAGTTACCCAATTATATAATTAGGAAAGAAAATGATTTTCATTGAAAGTACACTTTTAACGTTTTGGTGGTGACTACTGACTTGTATGCGTTAATGTGACGTTGTCAAAACAGGGACGTGTCTAATCCTTCTTTTTTATCTCTACATAACAGCAACTTTTTTAGTTTCAGTCTGTTGTTTATCCTTTTCTAAGTAAAGTTTTAGAGTCCTCTGCAATTGGGCCAAATTGAGATGCAAAGCCCACTTAGCCAGTCCATCACTGATCCAACGGTCATCTTCTCCCCCTGCAAAGGACAAAATGAAAAGCACGAAAAGAGAGTAAGCAGAAAACCAGGAAAATCAAATTTGATTTTTTTCAAAGATTCTATATCCTTCAAACTTTAGGATTGAAGAAACGACAAAGGATCAATCCTAATATTTAGGCTCTTATCCAGAGACTGAAATCGACAGCTGTAGTTAGTAGGGTTTTATGTCCCTCTTATAAATGCATCCTTAACGAGTCTCTCTCTGCGTGCCACTCTCTCATTATTCAGTCCTTTGAAACTTAATGGCGGACCCTGAACAACCATTGGCGGACCGAAAAGCTAGCAGGAATCAAGAAATTGGTCATGCGAGAGCCACCGGTGATACTGCCGGAGGACCAAATTCCGCCGCCTGAGAACCAAATCCAAATTCCGCCGACTCAGAACGAAATGGAGCCGACTGAGGACCAACTGCTGCCGGCTGAGGACCAACTGCTGCCGCCTGAAAACACAGGAAGAGTCAACGTTAGAGCGATGGTTCGAGCACTTGAGGAGAAAAAAGAACCGCCGCCGCCGCCGCAGGATAACCAGACAGGAGGATCGTCCAAGGAGACGCCAACGGGAGCTTCCAATCAGCCGGATATCGATTCAGCCAAAGACGATGAGCCAAAGGGAGCTTCCGATAAGCCGGAGATCGATTCAGCCGAAGACGGTGAGCCAAAGGGAGATTCCGTTAAGCCAAAGGGAGCTTCCGATAAGCCGGAGATCGATTCAGCCGAAGACGGTGAGCCAAAGGGAGATTCCGTTAAGCCAAAGGGAGCTTCCGATAAGCCGGAGATCGATTCAGCCGAAGACGGTGAGCCAAAGGGAGATTCCGTTAAGCCAAAGGGAGCTTCCGATAAGCCGGAGATCGATTCAGCCGAAGACGGTGAGCCAAAGGGAGATTCCGTTAAGCCAAAGGGAGCTTCCGATAAGCCGGATATCGATTCAGCCGAAGACGGTGAGCCAAAGGGAGATTCCGTTAAGCCAAAGGGAGCTTCCGATAAGCCGGATATCGATTCAGCCGAAGACGGTGAGCCAAAGGGAGATTCCGTTAAGCCAAAGGGAGCTTCCGATAAGCCGGATATCGATTCAGCCGAAGACGATGAGCCACCGGGAGCTTCCAAACCCCCGACGTCGGTGACACAGAGCAGCGACTCGCCGGAGACACATGTCAGAGCCTCAGCAAAGCCAATAGGCCCAGGCCCAAGCCCATAATGTGTTTTTTATGGGCTTGCCTTTTGAATTTTATGTTAGTGCACTTTTTAGCAAACTTATCAAAATCAGATTCGGTCTTTTTTTTTAAATTATAATTTTTGTTGTTGTTTTCTTACCTTTGTAGTTTAAACCTTTAGTTAATTACAAAGTAAAAGTAGACGAAATGGTTTAGTTTTTCTTCTATATTCCAACTTTCCAAGGTTTAAACTTTTGCTTTAGACGATAAATAGAATTAGAAAAAAAAAATCATTTGCTTTTCACCATAGCTTATATCCACGATAGGCCCACACTATTTTAATCCAATGTGTTTTAATATTCTAATGTCGTAATTTTCTTTTGTTATTTGCCAGCACACTTTTTTTTAGGAAAAAAAAAACATTTTTGTAATCAAGACCAACATACAAATATGAAATATACAATGATACAAAGTTTGGTAACTATTAAGCTTCTACTCCATAAGGATGGTCACGAAATAGGTGAGTTGCATGGAAAATTTGGTAACTGACCACCAACTGATCAACGAAAACATATTTGACCAAGTTTGATCATGTTCTTCATATTACATGTTTCATCCTATGTTGTTTGACGTGTCTTTTGCATTCGATCTTTCTCATTCATAATAACAACAAGAATTGCTTCACGCTTTTGTTTAAGTACAAGAAACATTTTTCTCTTTAAACAGGTAGACGTTCATGTTTATTACATGGTTATGCTTGAATGTTCGTAATTTCGTATATAACCTTCTTCACATTACCCTCTTCCTTTTAAAAAAAATTAACGATTCCATCTCCCCCTCTTAAATCAATTTCTGGTATCTACTTCTTGTGAACATGAAATTTGTTCCCATATATAGTTGGTTCATTACTCCTACATTCCATCGTTTTCCAACGTTTTTTCTCAATCAATTTTTACACGTCTACCGAGTTTTTTTATTTATAATATCCTCACAATCACTTCAATCTACAAACCTTGTTCGTCTTGTTTATTCATGAAACAAAATTTGACTCACATTAAGTTTGGGAAATTTATGCTTACGTATGCTATAATATATATATATATATGAAGAAAGAAAAATACAAGTATACCCAACTACATATAATTTGAAATGCTCGTATATAACCCTAAAATCTGATTATTCCAATGTTTAGCAAACTTATCAAGCACATTGCGAAGATTCGGTCATTATTTTGTGGGTATTAACGATATTCTTGAGATTTTTGTTAGTATGTTACCCGTAAAGCTAAGCCAACTCGATTAATGATTGGGTCAAAAACAAAAACAGGAAACCACATTCTCAATTTCATCTTCTTTCTAACAATTAACAACATCATGCAAGCTAGGGTTTGGTTAGAGTTTAGGTAAAGATGGTGTTTTTGAGTTTGGTATAGATGGTGAATAGATCCTAATTCAGAGAGGAATTATATTTAGATAGAGATATAGGTAAACTATCTCATTATCTATAACCTATTCCATTATTATCTACAACCTATTACTAGTATATATATATATATATATATATATATATATATATATATAAGAGCGAATGACGCCTACTGAATGATTTAAGGGAATTACTCACAATAAGTATTCTCGTTAAAGCAGAGTTTTGGTTTGAGAGGAGAAGCCATGACAGGTGAAAGAGTTTCGGCTAAGGAAGTGGCAGAAGCTAAGGATAGAATGGATAGATATGCTCATGCAATCGAATTCATGAAATTTCTCGAGGAGACGAAGGACGAGCCCATGTCCTTGTGAGTGTTTCCATCTTCTTTCTAACTTCATTATACATATATACCGTATTCTCTTATAACCTACTTATATATTTATATTGATGATTTTGTTTATTTATTTATCCATGCGTGCAGTTCCGATAGTTGGATTTATAGCGTGATCATGCAAGTTATAATCATCGGCACTCTTATTCCCTTACACATTCATCTCCAAGAGAACAACGATTACTTCTACTTCGTAAGATACATAATGGGGATGCAAGTTTTGTTCCTTATAGCCGAAATTGGATGCTTCAAACAACGGCTTCAAGGTAGAGTCATGGGAAGTATCAGTCACATGTGTGGCGTTGTTGCCATCATCCTACACCTTCGTCTGATTTCTTGGGCTCTTGCTATGGGCATAGGCATACCACTTTCTCTGTGGACCTTTATTACCATCTTCGACACATGTTTTATGGCCTCCGTTGCGGATTATGTCCCAGATTTGACTTTAACTGTTTGATAATGGAAGTGTATCGAAATCAATTTAAATTTGCTGCTGGAGTCTATATTACAATGTCTAGTAGCAGTGTTTGTCTGCAAATTCAGATGTCTTCCAACAAATTCAAGAATAATTGCTCATGTTTGTATGCAAATTCAACAAATTCAGATAGATATGATTACAACAAATCAATAGAATCCTGTTCATAGCTTTCTGCATCAGAAGCATTCCAACTTGTGCGTGTGTTGGAATGGGATAAAAACTTACAAAAGTGGTGATAATGATATGATTCCTTTTCTATCTTTCCTTATTGAAATTTTGTTTAACTTAGCGCAAACTTGAGATCACATCTTATATAATGTTCATACATTAACCAATAGTGTTTAAACATTAAACCATGTGACCAATGTGTATTATTCAATAGACTTGTTGTAATACATCTCTAGTTTAATATTGTATGTACTAGCGGAAGAGTTTCCTCTCACCTTCTTCCATTGCTCCAACTCTATGGAAGCTTAACAGGAAGGAGACACTCCTCAAACATATTTTGAGTTTGGTCTCATCCTCAAGCTCGGGGATTTCAGATTCTTTCTCTTCTCAGCCAATTGATTCCCTAACTTGCTTCTAAGGTCCGGAATCTCATCTGCGTTTTTACAGCCAAACTTTTCGTCACCACCTCCAAGAACAATCTCATAGGACTTTTCCAGCGCCTCCTGAATCTGTTTATGTTTCCTAGACGACAAACTCACTTTCCTCCTGGTGTGTTTATGTCTTAAGACTCTTAGATAGCACCATCAACTTCATGTCTATAGTCCAACAACAGATATGGAGCTTGTTTTGCTGGATCAATCGATCGAAACTCTGTTCTTGTATGCATTATAACATCTGCATCAACATCATTCCCTTTCTTCAAGCTACTAATAACTTTACCGAGAATCTCCATCTTCCCACTCTCACGTAGCCTTTGCAGAAACCCTTCAAGCCTATCCCCGCGAGGCTTGTAGCCTTTGAAAACCATTTCCTCCAAGATAACCGCTGCTTCTTCGAACTGCAAACCATCGCAAAGCCCATCGAAAACTATCCTATAAGATAAGATATCTGGAACGCAACCTCTCCGAGGCATATCTTCAAACAAATAAGTCCCTTCTTTCCACTTCTTGATTCTAAACAAGGCACCGAGTATCACATTGTAGCTGATAACATCCGGTTTCAAACCCTTTTCAACCATTTCATCCAAAAGTCCATACGCTGATTCCAAATCATCCTCAACACAGAACCCGTTGATCAGTACATTGTAAGTCACTGTATCAAGCTTGCATCCTTTCTCTTCCATCTCTTCCAAGATCCCCGAGACCTCGTTTGATCTTCCAGCTTTGATAACAGAGCTAATCAACGTAGAGTAGATAGCTGAGTCTACTTTGATCTTTCCTTCACACGCCTCATCTTTCAGCTTAAACGCAAAACTCAATTCACCAACTTGACATAAAGCTTTGATCAACGATACGTAAATGTGAACAGTGGGAGAAACTCCATACACTTTTAACATATCGTGCTTCATCTTCATCGCTTCCTTCACCTTGAGATTCTTGCACAGCCCGTGAATCAGCGTCCCGAATGTTACGCCAGTGGGCTTCACCTTTCTCTTGACCATTTCGTCGAACAGCTTCAAGGCATCATCGAAACACCCGTTTTGAGAGTATCCATGGATCAGTATGTTGTACGTACAAGCGTCTGGCTTACCGAATTGATCAATGCTCGAGAGGATTTCTCTCGTTTTGTCGAAAGCTCCACACTTTATGAGCGCGCTCAAGAGAGAGTTGACGGATTTCAGAGTGGGCTTGCAACGGTATTGAGCCATTTCGTCGAACACTTGGAGCGCACGACTGGGCAATCTTCCACGGCCGTAGAAATTGAACACATTGCAGAATAGAATCTCCGTGGGGACGATCCGAGTATCGGTTTTGAGCTGGAGGAGGACTTGATCCAGCTCGTCAAACATCTTGGATTTGCCGAGTTTGGTGATGATGAGATCGTAGCAAAGAAGCGAGTATCGGAAGGGTTTTTTCGTCGGGTTCGTTGGTTCTGGATCAGGGTTTCGGAAAAGCTTGCTGGCGGCGGAGGGATCATTTTCGCGGCGGAGGAGAGAGGCGAGCCTGAAGGAAGAGATAGATTTCACGGCGGACATTGATTTCGCTTGGAAGTCGCAAAAAGGCTCTGTACTCTTTTTTGTTTTGGCGCGAAAGTCAAAAGTCTCTAAAGTTCCTATTGGTGAAGGGTCGTTTCGGTTAAGTAAAACCGTTCGAATTTTATTTAATTTCGTCGTGCCGATTAAAGTATTGGGCCGTTTAGAGCCCATTTAGGATCGTTGCGTATAATAAAAGTTAAGTTGAATGAAAAAGAAAGCCACCGAAGTCGATTTCGTTCGTGCGTAAGCTCTGAAACTGACTCTAGGTTTTAAATTTAAACAGCCGCCATGACAAATCTGGAGCAGCATGATCTTTTACTGACCACACAATCTTGGAACTCGGTAAGAGCATACACAGACCCGATCCCAATTGATATCCTTATAGATATATTCTCTCGAGTCCCTCCAAAGTCAATATTTAGGTTTCGTTGCTTATCTAAATTCTGGTCATCCACACTTGGACTTCCTTATTTCACTGATCTGTTCCTCACTAATTCTTTAGCTCGTCCACGGCTCTTGTTCGGCATCAAAGTTGATAAAGAGTTATTCTTCTTCTCTTCACCACAACCTCAAAATCCAGCTGACAACTCCACTCTTGTAGCCACCCGTTATAATAGGTGTTTTCTCAATTATCTTCCATCAGGCATCAGAACACCTCACCGTGGATTGGTCTCTCTTCATGAATGGGGAAGCGACGTGCATGTGATCTGTAACCCCGTCACGGGAGAATCCATAACCTTACCCGAAGTGAAAGCCAAGAGTGGTAATGGAAGAAGCTATGTTGGCTATGATCACATCAACAAACAATTCAAAGTCTTGTGTACCACGTATGGAGAACCTGATGGTCATTGGGTTTTGACATTGAGGAGTACTGGAAAACCTGTGTGGAGATCGATTGAATGTAGTCACCAACATCCCATGCTCACTGGAATATCCTTTCGTCATGAAATATGGATAAACGACGTTTTGTATTACGGAGCTCACTCTGGAAGATGTAATATGATAGTTTGCTTTGACTTTTGCTCTGAGAAATTCAGCTTTATTTGGATACATGAAGAAATGTCAGATGGGACTCTGATCAACTACAAAGGTAACTTAGGGTTATTAGTAAAACATGAGTATGGAGTTGTGTTGTGGGTTCTAGAAGAAGATGCTGGAAACCATAAATGGTCCAAAAGGATGAGCGTAGTGTTAAGCTCATTATACGATGAGGTCGGAATCCGTGCTCACGTTGTTGGAATGACCGGTGCATGTGAGATTGTGTTATTGCCGTACCGTCAATCAAGCCCTTTCCACCTATTCTATTTCAATATCGAAAGGAGCACTTTTACAAGGGTCAACTAACTGGGACCTGAAGAGATTTATAAGGATCCAAATTTCGCTCCTCGCATCTTTCTAGACTATGTCGAGAATATGAAGCTTTTGTAACTGTGTTCATCAACAGCTTCTTTACTTGAGAGACCTCTTTATGATATTGTTAAGTTTTGTTCTACATTCTCAAAACATGATCATCTTAGTTACGTTACGTTAGGGAATTCCTATTTTCTATTTGCTTTGTGTTTTAAGATTTAAAAGCGTTGACCCTGTTTCAGTTACGTGGATAACAAGAAAACATCATGTTCCCATCTTTTAACCATTTAAAACCACTGACACAAGGTTTCAAAACCAGCTGTAACTTCTAATTCTCTAAATAATTTCACATAAGATACACTTTTTGATGCATTACTTCAAAATATTACTGCCAAGTAGTACTGCTGAAGAAAGCTTAGTTGCTTCAATTTTTTTTTTTTTCCTAAGGGGATGTTGATTGAAAGCTTAATTACTTCTGTTTTTTCTCTATTTTTTTCCATTGGATTTTTTTTTTTCACTATTTTGCTATCCAACAGTTTTTGAGTGAAATGAAAAGCAAATTAAAATTGTATGTCGTTCACATTTATGTTTACATTTTAGAAGAAAACAAACGTTTTGAGTGAAATTTTGTATCTCAAAATTCCAACTCGATATTGGGTCAAAAAGTGGGGGCCACATAGAGCCCATTTAGGATCGTTGTGTATAATAAAAGTCAGTTTAAAATCGAGGAAAGAAGAAGAAAGCCGTCGAAGTCGATTTCGTTAGTGTATAAAGCTCTGAAAGCGACTCTAGGGCTTGAAACAGCTGCCATGAAAAATATGGAGCAGCAGGATCTATTATTGACCACACAATCTTCAAACTCGGTAAGAGAATACACAGACCCGATCCCATCTGATATCCTTATAGATATATTCTCTCGAGTCCCTGCAAAGTCAATAGCTAGGTTTCGTTGCGTATCTAAGTTATGGAGATCCATACCTAGCCTTCCTGGTTTCATTGAGCTGTTCCACACCAAGTCTTTAGCTCGTACACGTCTCTTGTTTGCCGTCAAAGTTGATAAAGAGTTATTCTTATTCTCTTCACCTCAACCTCATAATCCAGTACTTGAGAGCTCCACTCTTGTAGACACCCGTTATAATAAGTGTTTTCCCAATTACATTCCATCTGACATCAGACTATCTCTCGGTGGATTGGTCTCTCTTCGTGAATGGGAAAGCGAGGTGTGGGTGATCTATAACCCTCTCACGGGAGAGAGAGAGTCCATAGCCTTACCCGAAGTGGAATCTACAGGTTTTAAAAAATGTCTTTTTGGCTATGATCCAATCAACAAACAGTTCAAAGTCTTGTGTACGATCACCATGTATGGATAACCTGATAGTCATTGGGTTTCGACATTGAGAAGTACTACTGGAAAACGTTTGTGGAGATCCATTGAATGCAATCTCCGTTATTCTTTACGTAGTGGATTGCGCATAAAAGGTGAGATATGCATAAACGGTGTTTTGTATCACGGAGCTTACGTTGAAGGATCTTGCATGATAGTTTGCTTTGACTTTAGCTCTGAGAAGTTCATGAGTATCAAGTTGCATGGAGAAATTATTCATGGGATTTTGATCAACTACAAAGGTAACTTAGGGGTATTAGTAAGAGATGATCATCAAATTGTGTTGTGGGTTTTAGAAGATGCTGGAAACCATATATGGTGCAAAACAATAAGCGTACCGTTAAGCTTATACGACGACATCAGGAACTATCTTCACTTTGTTGGAATGACCGGTGCTGGTGAAATTGTGTTATCGCCGCACCGTGCTACAAACCCTTTCTACATTGTCTACTACAATATCGAGAGGAACACTTTTACAAGAGTCTATATTCAAGGATATGAAGAGCTTAATAAGGATCCAATTTCCACTCCTCGCATCTTTCTAGACTATGTTGAGAATATGAAGCTTTTGTAACTGTGTGTTCAACCGCTCATTACTTGAGAGACCTCTTTAAATTTATGATATTGTTCCTCTTAAGATTTTATCGATTTCAATTAACGCTATAATGCAGTTTAGTTTTTTGTTCTAAATTCTTAACACATGAATACATTATTAGTTTGGCAATTCAATTTCTATTGGCTTTCGAATTTGTTTTGTCTCTTTTTAGTTTAATCGCCGAGTCAAAATCAAACCGATTCATGGAATCAACGGAGAACCAAGAACACCTATAACTTGCTGTTCAAGGTACGTTTTACTCATTGGTATGCAAGTGGTAAAATTTTGGGCATGGTAATTGGTAAAGCACATAAAGGGGACAGGCACTTCCCCAATTAAAGCTTGTTTTTTATAATCAAAGTTGGTATATTTTACCATACCAAATCATCTCAATTTGGGATATTTTTATTTTAAAAAAAAAATCCTTTACTAATCAAACTTTAATATCTTAGTTAATAAATGAACCAATGGCTGATTTTTAAACTGTTTAGTGTTTTTAACAGTTTTAGAAATCCATAGAAATTAATCAAAACATAGTATGTTAAAACCCATTATGGATTGTGATAATCAATTAAAACCCAACAAACTACAACCAAATCCAAATCCATTAAAATTCAGTATCCAATAACACCGTCCGTTTAATATCTGAGAAAAGAAGAAGAAAGTCGTCCAAGTCGATAGCTATAGGTTTGAAAGTGACTCTAGGGTTTGAAACAGCTGCCATGGAGAATCTGGAGCAGCATGATCTATTATTGGCTACACAACCTTCAAACTCGGTAAGAGAATACTCAGACCCAATCCCATGTGATATCCTTATAGATATATTCTCTCGAGTCCCTGGATGGTCAATAGCTAGGTTTCGTTGCGTATCTAAATACTGGGGATCCATACTTCGCCGTCCTGATTTCACTGAGCTGTTCCTCACCAAGTCTTTAGCTCGTCCACGGATCTTGTTCGCCATGGAAGTTGGTAAAGAGTTGTTATTCTTCTCTTCACCTCAACCTCAAAATCCAGCTGACAACTCCACTCTTTTAGCCACCCGTTACAAGCGTTTTCCCAAAAAAATTCCATATGGCATCACACCACCTCTCTATGGATTATTACTTCTTCGTGGAGACGCACTGGTGTGTAACCCCTTCACCGGAGAGTCCATAACCTTACCCGAAATGAAGACGAGGACCTATATCGACAGAAGTTTTTTTGGCTATGATCCAATCAACAAACAATTCAAAGTGCTGTGTAAAACTTATGGATCACATGATAGTCATTGCGTTTTGACATTGGGGAGTAGTGGAAAAGATTCGTGGAGATATATTCAATCCAATCCCCACTATTCTTTATATGGTAGAACACGCATAAATGGTGAAATATGCATAAATGGTCTTTTGTATTATGAAGCTCAAGTTGAAGAATCTAAATGTATAATAGTTTCCTTTGATTTAAGCTCTGAGAAGTTCGGCTATATTAAGATAGATCAAGAAATACTAGGTGGGACTCTGATCAACTACAAAGGTAACTTAGGGGCACTAGTAAGACATGAGAATGAATTTGTGCTGTGGGTTCTAGAAGAAGATGCTGGAAACCATAAGTGGTGCAAACGAATAAGCGTACCGTTAAGCTTATTGGACGAGAACGGGAATTATCTTCACTTTGTTGGAATGGCCGGAGCAGGTGAAATTGTGTTTTTGCCACACCGTGCTAGAAGCCAATTCTTCTACATTGTCTACTACAATATCGAGAGGAAGACATTTACAAGAGTCATTATTCAAGGATTTGAAGAGCTTAAGGATCCATTTATCACTCCTCGCATCTTTCTAGACTATGTTGAGAATATGAGGCTTTTGTAACTGTGTGTTCAACCGCTTCATTACTTGAGAGACCTCTTTATGATTATTGGTCCTCTTAAGATTGTATCGATTTCATAGTACAGTTAAGTTTTTGTTCTAAATTCCCAAAACATGATCATCTTTATTATAAATCTGCTTTGTCTCATTACGCAAGAATATAAGATCATGTACTAAATGTCTTTGTTGTGTTTCGATTTTCTTGCTGTTCACGTAACTGAAACAGGGTCATCTTAAGGCATCAACACAACAATGAGAAAACTTTATTAAATAAAACAAAAACAGGGTGATTAAAGTTTTGGGCCTAGAAGAGCCCACTTAGGACAGAATAAAAGTCAGTTTAAAATCGAGGAAAGAAGAAGAAAGCCGTCCAAGTCGATTTCGTTTGTGTGGAAAGCTCTGAAAGCGACTCTAGGGTTTGAAACAGCTGCCATGGAAAACCTCGAGCAGCAGGATCTTTTATTGACCACACAATCTTCGAACTCGGAACCAATCCCATATGATCTCCTTTTAGATATATTCTCTCGAGTCCCTGGAAAGTCAATAGCTAGGTTTCGTTGCTTATCTAAATCATGGAGATCAAAACTTGGTCTTCCTTATTTCACTGAGCTGTTCCTCACCAAGTCTTTAGCTCTTCCAAGGATCTTGTTCGCCATGCAAGTTAATAAAGAGTTATTATTCTTCTCTTCACCTCAACCTCAAAATCCAGTTGACAACTCTTCTCTTGTAGCCACCCGTTACAAGCCGTTTCTCAACTATTATCCAGCCTACATTACACCACCTGTCCATGGATTGGTCTCTCTTCATCAGCGGGCAAGCAAGGAGTGGGTGATCTATATATAGCCCTCTCATGGGAGAGTCGATAATCTTACCCGAAGTGGAAGTCAAAGGTATTCAAGAAATGTTTTTTGGGTATGATCCAATCAACAAACAGTTCAAAGTGTTGTGTACAATATATGGAGCTCCTGATACTCATAGGGTTTTGACATTGAGGAGTAGTGGGAAACGTTTGTGGAGATCGATTGCATGCAACCATTATATTTCACGTAGAGGAATACGCTTAGAAGGTGAAACATGCATAAATGGTATTTTGTATTATGGAGCTCGCGTTATGGGATCTTGTATGATAGTTTGCTTTGACTTGAGTTCTGAGAAGTTAGACGTTATTGAGCTGCCTTACGAAATGTTACATGAAGGATTGAGACGTGGGACGACTCTGATCAACTACAAAGGTAACTTAGGGATATTGGTAATACATGGGCATGAAGTTGTGTTGTGGGTTCTTGAAGATGCTGGAAAACATAAATGGTCCAAAAGGATAAGCGCAACGTTAAGCTCATTATACGATGAGATCGGGAACAATCCTTACATTGTTGGAATGACTAGTGCAGGTGAATTTGTGTTATCGTCGTGCTATCAATCAATCCCTTTCCGCATTGTCTACTACAATATCGAGAGGATGACATTAACAAGAGTCAATATTCAGGGACTGGAAGAGATTAAGGATGATCCGAATCCCACTCCTCGCATCTTTCTAGACTATGTTGAGAATATGAAGCTTTTGTAACTGTGTTGCAACCGCTTCATTACTTGAGAGACCTCTTTATGATACAGTTGAGTTTTTGTTTCTAAATTACCAAAACATGATCATCTTAGACAAGGGAATTCCTATTTCTATTGGCTTTTAGACTTGCTTTGTCTTTTTATTATATGACTTAAAAACGTTGCCTTTGATCAATATTTCATATATTGCTTTTATCTTACATAAGATTTGTACCTTTGAAACTTTGGAGATTATTACAGTTTTGGATAAGAATTGTGAATGAATGCTTAAATTTATTTTTACCCAAACTGTGGAAGAATGTTTCAACTTTTATCTTTGGTTTTAAATCTAATAAAAAAGGAAACAAATCGTATAAAAGTCTGAATTTCACTTTTACACCACTTATAGATAGACACGTGTACGGTGTCCCAATTAGACTATTCTTTCAATTTCACAAACCTGTCACCAATTCCATATCTCACAGCTCCGTCACTTTTACCCTAAGTAGTAGTATCACTCTTTCACATTCCGCACGTTCGATTTTTTTTCGTTTTTTTCAGATTTCCCCAAAAAAAAAAACATCTCATCATTTCTCTTCTCTCTCTCTCTCTCTCATCTCTTCTCTTCTCTCTCTATCTCTATTTCCAGATCGAAGTACGCTCTCCTCACAAATGCCTTTGTCACGGTCCCTCCTTTCGCGGAGGATCTCGATTTCATTCAGGGACCAGCGAAAGACGACACCGGAAGCCGATTCCCACGAATCGCCGATGATGCTTCCGCCGCCGTCGGATATGGCTGGGCCATCGTCGTGGTCGGCGATGCTCCCTGAGTTACTGGGCGAGATCATACGCCGCGTGGAGGAGAGCGAGGACCAGTGGCCTCAACGTCGTGACGTCGTCGCTTGCGCCTGCGTCTCCAAGCAGTGGCGAGGGATTACTCAGGATATCGTTAGATCTCCCCAAAACTCCGGCAAAATCACTTTCCCTTCTTGCCTCAAATTGGTATGCTTTTTCATCTTCTTCTCGTGATTGATTGATTGATTACCTCTTTCAATCTCCTATTGTCGTCTTCTCAACCTCATTAATTAGATCTCTTTTCGCATTTTGGCTTCTATCGTTTGAGTTCTGTTTTCGGATTTTGATCACACCTTTTTGATTATTGGAAAGTTGGGTTTTCGTATTCTCTGATTAAGATTCGATTTTGGTGAAACATGTCTGCGAAATGGAGAATTTTTCGTTAAAATGTGAACTTTTTTTGCATAATCGTTACAGTTAGGGCAGTGATAAATAAAGTTTCCTTTCTCACTTAAGCTTAAGATGCGTTAAATTTACTCTACATCCTTTTTTTATTATATTCTCAACAAAGATGCTATTTGATTCTGTGTGTATAGATTTGATTCTCGCTTTCCTTTTCTTACGAGCTAATTGAGATTTGCAAATTGCAACTGAGATTTCTTAGTTTTTTCATCTGAGATGCAGCCAGGTCCCAGAGAACTTTCCAATCAGTGCTTGATAAAGAGGAACAAGAAGACATCAACTTTTTACTTGTACCTCGCTCTATCACCATGTGAGTAATTCGAAGATTTGCGTTTTGTAGCTGCATTCTTATCATTGAAAGTTGATTCTGTCAAAAATTGGAAAATTATGATGATGATGACTTTTATTAAAAGTCTAGGTAGGTATTCAAGTGTGAAAACGATTGAATTAGTGACGATCCTTCCTTCCTAGGCGTGTGATTAAAGTTAGTCTCAGTCTTGTTACCAATTTAATGCCTTTGAAAGAACTCCACCACCTAATTCTCTTAAATAACTGTTGACTATGTTGTTGACTTGTGTGATGATGAAGAAGATTCCACGCTGCAGTTTAAATATAGGAAATGATCGACTTGTCTTCGTCAAAGTTGAATGCATATTTGCAATTCATATAAATCATATGGTTAGATTCAATTTCTTATAGTTGGGTTTTAGTTTTGGAACAAGTTGAAGTAGTTTTTGATTATACTTCATTTAAGTTATCATCCTTCAGAGCTCTTTCTTGGCCTTAAACTGTTGGCTTCGTTTAAGTATATTTCAAACCTTGCTCTGCACCTGTAGGCTAATAAAAGGATCTTGCTCAGGATTTTTACACTTTGTTTTGTTTTTCTTGTGTTCACCAGCATTTACTGATAAGGGAAAGTTTCTTCTGGCGGCGCGGAGGTTCAGGACCGGTGCTTACACCGAGTACATCATATCACTTGATGCTGATGATTTCTCTCAGGGAAGCAATGCTTACGTTGGGAAATTAAGGTATTGCTCCTAGGCGTCCGTTCTTTTCAGAAGTTTTAAATTTGCTATTGTCACTCTTGGATTTGAAGACTTGAACCTCTCTTTAAAGGATAAAGATTCATGGTTTGTCTTTTGGGGAACCTTTGCAGATCGGATTTTCTTGGGACCAACTTTACAGTATACGATAGCCAACCGCCACACAACGGAGCTAAGCCTTCAAACGGCAAAGCCAGTCGCAGATTTACATCGAAGCAGATAAGCCCGCAAGTTCCAGCAGGAAACTTCGAAGTGGGTCATGTTTCTTATAAATTCAACCTCTTGAAATCAAGAGGTCCAAGAAGAATGGTGAGCACACTCCGTTGCCCATCCTCATCACCACCACCACCATCATCACCGTCGTCATCATCCGCTAGTCTTTGTTTTGACCAAAAGCCATGTGATGTCACCAAGATGATGAGAAAACCCAACAAGGACGGTTCTGGATTCACGATTCTAAAGAACAAAGCTCCGAGATGGCACGAGCACTTACAATGCTGGTGCCTCAACTTCCATGGACGAGTCACCGTTGCTTCGGTCAAGAACTTCCAGCTGGTTGCGACCGTTGACCAGAGTCAACCGAGCGGTAAAGGTGACGAAGAGACAGTGCTTCTTCAGTTTGGTAAAGTCGGAGATGACACATTCACCATGGATTATAGACAGCCTCTCTCTGCTTTTCAGGCTTTTGCTATCTGTCTTACAAGTTTCGGCACTAAACTTGCCTGCGAGTGAAACCAGCAAAAAGGTACCAAAAAAGGAGTTTTATTGTTCTTTGCAAAAAATGTAATGTTTTGATGTAATCATGTGTAAGTGTAAACACAGGTTCTGTATGTGGAAGGAGAAGCACATAATTATTTCTATATAAAAGGAAATGTAATTTAAAGATCCAAAATTAAAGTGCATCTCTTATGTCTTTACATCAAGTATGTGCAATAACTGTTGATTGATGGAATCAGTTTACAATATAATGAAAGAGATAGAGTCAGAGGCGTACTACAATCTAATAGTATTTCAATTATTGTCGGCTCCACAAAGTTTCCTTCACCTTCCACTGTTTTGCCCTGCAAACGCAAAACAAGATTTAAACTTTGACTTCAATATTCCAGAAGGTTTTAACTTTGAAAAGGTTTAAACTCTTTTATATATTGGTTCTTGATTACGCAGAGCAAAGGATAAGAGAAAACTGAGGTAACTTGCCTGGGATTTGATAACTTGGATTCCTTTCTCAAAGTTCTTCTTTAATTCAGGAGTATGTAGTGGTCCTAACAATGTCCCTTTTTCAAGAGGATCACCGATTTTGACTTGTTTGTATGAAGTAAGGAGCTGCTCAACTACTCTGTCATAAACACTCTCGTGCAAAAGCTTTCAAGACAGAAAAAACATTTAAAGCACTAAGGAAAAGAACCAAAAGCGGCTATGATGGGCTTAGATTATTTTGTACCAGCCTACGGCAACTTGTGCAACGTTGACCAGCGGTTCCAATGACTTGAGTTATATACTTATATACACTACATTTTTTTTTTCTGTTCAAAACTGTAAACAGATTACTTGTTGTCCAAGATACGTTTGCTCATTATAATTTCTCATATTCGTACTATTGGGCCTAATAGGGTCCATCTTCGGGATCACTTCCTAAATGCCATAAGTCACTTTCGTTCGTCTTAAGTCTAACCAAAGCATCTAGGGTTTCTTAATCGGCCATGAAAAGAAGAAGCAGAAGCAGAAGATGAATGTGTCGGACCCGATCCCACTGATCTCCTTATAGATATATTCTCTCGAGTCCCTGCAAAGTCAATATTTAGGTTTCGTTGCTTATCTAAATTCTGGAGATCCACACTTGGCCTTCCTTATTTCACTGAGCTTTTCCTCACCAAGTCCTTAGCTCGTCCACGGCTCTTGTTCGCCATCCAAGATGGTAAAGAGTTATTATTCTTCTCTTCACCTCAACCTCAAAATCCAGCTGACAACTCCACTCTTGTAGCCACCCCTTATAATATGAGTTTTCCCAGAAAATATCAAGTTGACATCAGAACAACTCTCAGTGGACAGGTCTTTCTTTATGAATGGAAAGAAAGGAGTGGCTGATTTGTAACCCCGTCACTGGGGAGTCCACTACCATAACCTTACCAGAAGTGAAAGCTAAGGGTAGTGTAAGACGTTGCTATGTTGGCTATGATCAGATCAACAAACAATTCAAAGTCTTGTGTACGACTTGGTCACATAATGAAGAAGCTAATCGGTTTTGACATTGGGGAGTAGTGGAAAACCTTTGTGGAGATCGATTGAATGCAATATCAATATTTCTAGGTGCATAAGGGAGCATACATAGCTGGTGAAATATGCATAAATGGTGTTGTGTATTGCGGAGCCCATTACATTGAAGGATCTTGTATGATGGTTTGCTTTGACTTTTGCTCTGAGAATTCAGCTTTATTAAGATAGATGAAGGAGTGCTACGTGGGACTCTGGTCAACTACAAAGGTAAGTTAGGGGTATTAGGAAAAGATGAGTATCAACTTGTGTTGTGGGTTCTTGAAGAAGATGCTGGAAAACATAAATGGTCCAAGAGTCTATGCGTACGGTCTCGCATAAGCTTATTCGAGAGGATCGGGGACAATTTTCACATTCTTGGAATGACTGGTGCAGGTGAAATTGTGTTTACAACGTACCGTCAATCAGACCGTTTCTACATTGTCTACTACAATATCGAGAGAACACTTTTACAAGAGTCAATATTCAGGGATTCGAACAGTTTAAGGATCCAAATATCACTCCTCGCACCTTTCTAGACTATGTAGAGAATATCAAGCTTTTGTAACTGTGTGTTCAACCGCTTCATTACTTGAGACCTCTTTATGATATTGTTCCTCTTAAGATTTTGATATTGTTTTCAACGTAATAACAAATAACAAATACAGCTAGTTTTTGCTCTAATTTCTCAACGCAATTGCTATTTTATAGGCTTTTAGAATTGCTTTGTCTTTTGAGTGTGTATAATCATCGATTAATATTTTAAGGTCGATCGTATATCAGGTTATAAACTACAACATTCCCAACCATCTCTATCTCAACAATATTCGTCATCAACTACGTATTCTAGGTCACGTTGAAATCTTTCTAACCAGATCTCTATCTCTCTACGAACACATTTGCATTCCAAAAATCTCCATATCGTACTGATTAATCAGCTAAAAGACTAAACAAGACAAAGCTTTTAAAATCTTACAAGACAAAGAAAATCCGACAGCCAATAGAAATAGGAATCCCTTACAACTAGGTCATTAAACTAACTAAGAAGTAAGATCCCATGATCGTGTGTTGAGAATTTAGAGCTAAAACTAGCTGAATATTATAAAGTTGAAATCAATGCAAATCTTAAGAGGAATAATATCATACGAGTTGAAATCCAAAATTTAATAGTCTTAGAGTTCTGAAGCCTTGAACATACTTACATAGGTGCGTAAGTATAAAAACTGTAGTAGAAAACGTAGAAAGGGTTTGACCGATGGTACACAATTTATTTTCACCCATACGGCATTCATCACACAACTTCTACGTTTATAAGATAAAAAAAGATGATTTACCAGTTATCAATTTTTTATAAGATAAAACTTAAAAGGATATGTTGTGCTCAAAAGTTTATTTTCAAAGGCATTAATCACACGACTCTACTAGCTAGGAGTATATTTTAGTGACTCGGAAGCACGACCATGCATTATTGCTTCCATGAAGCATCCCACTATAATAAAGTGTGTAAAAGGATGCCGTCGAAATTAAACAAAAAGCTAGTGAAAGTGACAAAATTATGTTTTCACACAGCTTGTCCTTTCTTCCCAAACTCTTCTTCCTGATAATAGACTTTTGTTATCATCTTATACGTCAACCAAATTATCAGCTTAACCATTTATGTATTTGTATGCATGTTTTTTCAGTTAATGCAGCCTTGTTACCTTTTTCATATTCTCTCGTTGTTTCTATTTCTGATAATGATTTTTTTTCAGAGTTTTCACACAAATAAAATAAGAAAGTAATAATGCTTAGTTATAAATCTATCATTTGTTATGGAAGCGTTAGTAAGGTATGTTATCTTTTGTCAATATAGGATGTATGCTAATTTCATATACGTTATCTAGAAGTTTTGTTTATTACCTAACACATATCGAAGATACCAAAAAAAAAAGATATTATTATCACTCATCCCAGCTGACTTCGGTAGATAAAGACATGCAACATTATCCGAATATTCCATTGATACATAGCGAAGAAAGATCCCTTTTTTATTTGAAACTGGAGCCGACCTGCCTAAAATAATTCATCTCATCACCTCACATGTATGACTTTGTCACTTTTACTAAATAATAATAGAGATGATAACAATAATTAGCATGACATGATCTTGTTAGCATCATATAGTGCTCTACTGTGTTATAATATTTCAAATTTTCCGTTTACAAATTAGATTGTTAGTTTTTCAAAACAATCATAACAAGGAAAAGAAAATTATAATCTACCAAGTTGTAATAGTGCTTGTATGATGCTAAATACTGATGATTTATTGGATAAATATCTATTAGTAATAAAAGTTGCATTTTTTTAAGCAAAACTACACAACTTTTATTTTTTTTGGATAAATATCTAGTAGTAATATCCAATCACGATAGTAAGCAGAATATCTAATAACGGTGATAAAGCGGTAATAATTAGATGGTCGGTTAAACTGATGGAATTTTGTCAACTTGATCACTTAAAGTTTAAAGTTAGGCTCAGAGAGATTCATCAATCTGCGTGCATGACACATGCTCTTCTCTGCTACATTCGCTCGCTTGAATTTGAGAAGAAGTACTATTTTACATTCGTATTAAGCATTTCGGGAACGATGGTTTTGTCGGTTTGTTCTCTAAAACGACTCCAACATTGTTACTGCACGTGTTATTACTTATTTGCTTCTTTAGACAAGTCAGACAAAACTGTAACTTTTTAGTCATTTGTTTTCCTACAAACTGTGATTTGGTAAGTCAGTACTCAATAAGTGAATTATGTTTTGACTATCCTTGATTAGAATATTCTGTTTCAATAGTTTGAAACCAAATCAACGAATAAATAAAAATTTAAGGAAAAATAATAAAAACGTTAAAAAATATTCAACAGTAAGCGAAGCATCACAGAGAATCTCTTTCTATATAAACGTAAGCCTTTTGTAATATCTCATTTGCTCATCTCTCTGAATCTGATCCCCCCCCCCACTGACTTTTTTCTCTCTCTGAACTGGTTAGCTTCTCTAGATTTACTTTTCTCCGAACTATTCGCTGATTTTTCTCATCTGTGTCTGTTAGTCTCAATTGACTGAAAGTTTCGTTTTTTTTTATCTCAAATTTCCGATTTCATCGGCGAAATCTCAGTCAGCTGTCTACAGATCTTCTGTTTTTGATTTTGATTTATCTGTTTTTTTCTCAGACGGCGAAAATGGCGAATCGGAAACTAGAGAAGATGGCATCAATTGATGTTCATCTTCGTCAACTGGTTCCTGGCAAAGTTAGTGAAGACGACAAACTTGTCGAGTACGATGCTCTGCTTCTAGATCGGTTCCTCGATATTCTTCAGGACTTGCACGGTGAAGATCTCCGAGAAACTGTACGTTTTTTCTTCTTCTGAATTCCCGATTTGATCACTTATAAGTTATAACCCATTTTGGCAAAGATCTTGTGATGAATTTGAATAAAGGTCTAAACTTTATCATAGGTTAGATTAGGATTTTAAATTTTAGTCAAAGAAAGATTTAAACTTTTCGTCAGTTTACAGATTTGTGACTTTTATTAAATTGAAAGATTTGAACTTTTTGTCAGTATACAAATTTGGACTTTTATTGAATTGAAAGATTTAAACTTTGATTTGCAAATTTTGTGTGTTTGTTGTTGTATAGGTTCAAGAGCTTTATGAGCATTCAGCAGAGTACGAAGGGAAGCATGATCCAAAGAAGCTAGAGGAGCTAGGGAGTGTGCTGACGAGCTTAGATCCAGGAGACTCCATTGTTATCGCCAAAGCTTTCTCCCACATGCTTAACTTAGCCAATCTGGCCGAGGAAGTGCAGATTGCTTATCGCCGTAGGATCAAGAAACTGAAGAAAGGTGATTTCGTTGATGAGAGCTCTGCTACCACTGAATCTGACCTTGAAGAGACTTTCAAAAAGCTTGTTGGTGATCTCAACAAGTCCCCTGAAGAGATCTTTGATGCTCTCAAGAACCAGACTGTGGATTTGGTTTTGACTGCTCATCCTACTCAGTCTGTGAGAAGATCATTGCTTCAGAAACATGGGAGGTTAGTCATTTCTTCACTTAGCCTCTCTTCTCATTGGATCAAACTTTTGGTGTTAAAGCCATCTTCTTTGTGTGGATTTCAGGATAAGAGACTGTCTTGCTCAGCTATACGCTAAGGACATTACTCCTGATGACAAGCAAGAGCTCGATGAGGCTCTACAAAGAGAGGTAAAAAAAGCTTATTGGCTTCTTCTTCATGACTGAATTTGAGATTCTAATTGAAACTTTTGGACTGTAGATTCAAGCTGCATTCAGAACAGATGAGATCAAAAGAACACCACCGACGCCACAAGATGAGATGAGAGCAGGGATGAGTTACTTCCATGAAACTATCTGGAAAGGTGTTCCCAAGTTTCTGCGCCGTGTAGACACGGCTCTCAAGAACATAGGGATCGAGGAACGTGTTCCTTACAACGCTCCATTGATTCAGTTCTCTTCCTGGATGGGTGGTGATCGTGATGGTAATCCAAGGGTTACACCTGAAGTCACTAGAGATGTGTGCTTGCTAGCTAGAATGATGGCTGCTACTATGTACTTTAACCAAATCGAAGATCTCATGTTTGAGGTATGATTCCAGTTCTTTGTCAAGTTAAGGTCTTCTCATTTGTCTATATCTCATTTGTCCTGCTTCTTTTGGTAGTTGTCTATGTGGCGTTGCACTGACGAGCTGCGTGTGAGAGCTGATGAGCTTCACGCAAATGCCAGGAAAGATGCTGCAAAACATTACATAGGTAAAGAAAAAAGGAACCGTTTTCATGTCTACAAGCTTTGTGCTCCAAAATCTAAACCGTTTCTCTGTCTTGATTGCAGAGTTTTGGAAGTCGATACCTCCGACAGAGCCATACCGTGTGATTCTCGGTCATGTAAGGGACAAGCTTTACCACACACGTGAACGCGCTCGTCAACTGCTCAGCAATTCAGTCTCTGACGTCCCTGAAGAGGCTACTTTCACCAACTTGGAAGAGGTAAAAACTTTGCAAGTAGAGAATCCTTTAATTCTCTGTTTCGGTTTGGTAACTAAACCGATGTTTCATTTGCGTAGTTCTTGGAGCCGCTTGAGCTGTGTTACCGATCGCTATGTGCATGTGGTGACCGTCCAATAGCTGATGGAAGCCTTCTTGATTTCTTGAGGCAAGTCTCAACCTTTGGCCTCTCTCTTGTGCGGCTTGACATAAGGCAAGAATCTGACCGCCACACGGACGTATTGGATGCTATCACCAACCATTTAGACATCGGATCATACAGAGAATGGTCTGAAGAACGCCGCCAAGAATGGCTTCTCTCTGAGCTAAGTGGCAAACGTCCGCTTTTCGGTTCCGATCTCCCCAAAACCGAAGAGATCGCTGACGTTCTCGACACGTTCCATGTCATAGCCGAGCTACCAGCAGACAGCTTTGGCGCTTACATTATCTCCATGGCAACAGCTCCTTCTGATGTACTAGCCGTCGAGCTTCTACAGCGCGAGTGCCACGTGAAACGGCCTTTGAGAGTTGTCCCGCTCTTTGAGAAGCTAGCGGATCTCGAAGCAGCTCCTGCAGCGGTTGCTAGGCTCTTCTCCGTTGACTGGTACAAGAACCGGATCAACGGTAAGCAAGAGGTTATGATCGGTTACTCTGATTCAGGGAAAGACGCTGGACGTTTATCCGCCGCTTGGCAGCTATACAAGGCTCAAGAAGAACTTGTCAAGGTTGCTAAAGAGTACGGTGTGAAGCTGACGATGTTTCACGGACGTGGTGGCACGGTGGGAAGAGGAGGAGGACCGACTCATCTTGCTATCTTGTCTCAGCCTCCGGATACTATCAACGGCTCTCTCCGTGTCACTGTTCAAGGTGAAGTCATCGAGCAGTCGTTTGGTGAAGAGCATCTATGCTTCAGAACGCTTCAGCGTTTCACCGCAGCTACACTCGAGCACGGTATGCATCCTCCTGTCTCTCCTAAACCGGAATGGCGCACATTGCTCGATGAAATGGCGGTCGTTGCAACCGAGGAGTACCGGTCCGTTGTGTTCCAAGAACCTCGCTTCGTCGAGTACTTCCGCCTCGTAAGTCTTTCTCATTCACTTTGGAATCTTGAAAATACTTTCTTGAGACTCAAAAAGAATCTTTCAGGCTACACCGGAGCTAGAGTATGGGCGTATGAACATTGGAAGCAGACCTTCGAAGAGGAAGCCAAGCGGAGGAATTGAGTCTCTCCGTGCGATTCCATGGATCTTTGCTTGGACTCAAACAAGATTCCATCTTCCTGTGTGGCTTGGATTCGGAGCAGCGATTAGGCACGTGGTGGAGAAGGACGTCAAGAACCTACACATGCTTCAGGATATGTACCAACACTGGCCTTTCTTCAGAGTCACCATTGATCTGATCGAGATGGTGTTCGCTAAAGGAGATCCTGGTATCGCTGCCTTGTACGACAAGCTTCTTGTTTCAGAGGAGCTATGGCCTTTTGGTGACAAACTCAGAGCTAACTTCGAAGAAACCAAGAAACTCGTCCTCCAGGTACAAAACAAGAAACAGAGCATTTCTTGATTTCTTTCTTGTTGATTCTCAAGATTTTTGTTCTGAATCGTGTTTGCTGTTTTTTGTAGACTGCTGGACACAAGGATCTTCTTGAAGGAGATCCTTACTTGAAACAGAGACTGAGACTTCGTGATTCTTACATCACCACTCTCAATGTCTGTCAAGCTTACACATTGAAGAGGATCCGTGATCCGAGTTACAACGTGACTCTACGGCCTCACATCTCCAAGGAGATTGCGGAGTCGAGCAAGTCTGCACAAGAACTCGTCGAGCTTAACCCGACGAGCGAGTACGCGCCTGGACTTGAAGATACACTCATCTTGACCATGAAAGGTATCGCTGCTGGTCTTCAAAACACCGGTTAAGCTCATGATAAGATGATGAATCTCTCTCTAGTCACGATTTTTATCTTTTCTCTCTACACATTCGAAAAATAATAAACTATGCGGTTGGATTTCTGATTTGTTTATGTATCCACCGTCAAAATGTTGTGTGAATTCTTCGAGATCATATGAACACATGCTCCAGAGAATCTTTTTTCTTGTTTGTTTGTCTCTTACGTAACCTTCAAATTTACCATTCTGTTTGGTTTAACTCTGCTTTAAACATTTCGGTTTGGCTTGCCATGAATTATCCGACTAACGGTTCTTGTTCCCACTGTAATGGACATCGTTGTACACACAACTACACACATGTCTGTGCTGAGAAAGTGTATGTGGTCCCGAAAAAACGGCAGACATGTTTGCGGAAAGAGGCCGTTGAAGAAGGAAAGCGGTGCGGAGAAAACGACACGGTGTTTAAGTCTCGTGTATGGACACGGCATGCGTTTTTAGAATTCGGTAACGCCCCAACGGCTCTATTAATTGCGGGAATTTATAGTGTACATGTACGGTGTACCAGTTTTTTTCCCAATGTATGCTAATAATAAGTACGTTTTAGTTTAACTCTCGAATGTCAAAAAGTTCACACTATTAAGTTCAAAAAGTCGCTGAGTGTTAATCACGCGCCTCCACTGATTTTCCAAAAATGAAATTGAGAAATATTTGATATATTTATAGTAAATAGGCTTTTTGTGATATTTTACTCAATAATCGCTAAAAGTTGAAGACGACCAAAGATATATTATCCACAAAAGCAAAATAATAGAAAAGGATAAAAATACGTGTCTATTAACCACGAATATAGGGCACCGACTACTGCCGGCGCAGTATAGCACCGGCCACCGGCTAACGACCATAAAGTTCTTAACCTTCCAACTTTTTTTCATTTTTATATATTGTAGATTGAGTTTTTAAGTATTATTTTTGGGCGTTATGTTAATAATTATTTTCTCCTTTAACAAGAACTTATAATAGTTTAAAACTGATTATAAAAACAAGATTCTCTGTTCCTTTCGATCCCTTGATGAAAGGGCAATTAACACATAAGAACAAAGCAATTAAACAGTCGCTTGCATTACAAACCAAATCAATCTCTAATTAATCCGTATCTCCTTTTTGTATATGGTGACGACTTTTAAGTATTTTAAAATCCAACTTTCAAATCAGTCACCTATCTCTCTTTTCTTTGGTCGAAATTTAAATAAACTATAACAGTGAAGTAGTGTTAGTAGTTCACTATAAAATTGTAATCAAATTGCAGACTCATCATTTCTTTCCACAGTGTGTGACTTTGGGTTGATCAATGTATGAAAGCAAGAGCAATAACTTGGTGCAAAATGGATAAAAAATTATATATTTTCTTTTATTGATGAAAATGTTTAGTAAAAGAGGAGAATTGAAATGACAAGATGGTTTCACTAAGCCCTAATAAACACTGAAAATGAAGAATCCAAATCTTCCTCTTTCGCCCTTGTACAAGCCCCTTCTTCACTTTTACATCCAAACTTCTCTTATGTACACACAGTAATCTCCAACTAGTAACATCTCTCAAGACCTAAACAAGTGAAGCTAAAAGGAGAAGAAGAAGGAGCCAATGGGATCTCAATCTGCAGAGAAAAATGAATGAAGGAAGGGAAGAAGAAGACACAAGACACAGATACAGATACAGATCACAGGGCGATGAAGAGGGGAATGAATGAACAAATCTTAAAGATCTGATACTCTACACTAATTGGGTTCCACCTGGTAATGAAGCATCTTATGAAGTTAAAAGTGAGATTATTGAGAAGTTTCTTAATGAGGTTGCAGAGGTGAACAAGAAGTGTAGTTTTTTAACCGCTATAGTGTCTCACAGAGTACTCCAATACTTCTCTACTTGGACATACAATCTCCTTAACCCGAGTACCGTTCTTGTATATCTTAACTGTTGGCACAACTCTCACATTCTCTGCATTACCTATCGAAGGACATTTATCGATATCCACCTAACCAAAAAGGTTTACAAAATTAGAATCTAATCAATTCCCATGGAGAGTCATATGGAATGTTTTGAGTCATGTAACTTTACCTTGAGGAAGTGTATAGATGGGTAACGAGTACATAGTGAGTCCACAAATGGAGATATCTGCTTGCATTGATGATCAGAGGCTGTTGAGAAATGGATAACCGAAACTCCTGCATTCGAATATTAGATCAATGCTCCGATCAAGAAAATTATAAACAGTGTAAAAAGCAGACAAGCATTTTTATTTACCTGGTAGATTCATGGCAGCTTTAAACTGTTCACGACTGTAAACTTCCTCAACCTCACCACCAAATTCCATATTCGAAACTTCTTCTCCGCGAGATTTCTTCAACGCAACTTGAGCATGAAACAAAGACTCAGCAACTTCCTTGTCGTTAGGTAGTTCCCTTCTCAAGGCTTCATAATCACTCACTGCAGCTCCCCATCTTTCCATCTACACTTGAAACAGAGAGAGAGAGCTCAAGCACCAACTTAACAAGCCAAAAACAAATCGATAGAGCGGTTTTCTTTTAAGTACCTTGCAGTTTAAGGCAGCTCGCCGAAGAAGTGGCTTTGTATAACTTGGTTGGAAACGCAACGCTTGATTACAATCTTCAATCGAACGTTCCCACATTCCAAGTTTAAACCAACAAGCCGCTCTGTTACAATACAGAATCGCGTTGCACGGATCTAGCCTAAGCCCTTCTGAATAAGCAGAGCTTGCCTCCGTGTATCTCTCTGATTTATAAAGATCGTTACCACGGACGCGAGCCCTAGCAACAACTGTAACAGTATTGTGTAACATAGCAACTTCGTTGCTTCTTGGATCGATTTGGCTAGCTTTCTCAGCAGATATAACTGCATTTTCAAACCTGCAAGAATTCATCATCTGCTCTTTACCCCCACACTTTTTCTAACTGATGTCATTTCAATATTTGAAAGAAAAAAAAAAGGTTTCTCTAGGTCTCACCTTCCTAACGCCATATCCATTTGAGCTTTGACAAAATATGTATAAGCTTCAAAAACCATACCACAAAACCGAGCCTGCGAACAAGATACCGGGAACGGCTCTACTTTCGGAACTTCTAACAGCTTCGATTGTGCATCTTCAAGCCGGTGAAGTTTCAACAGTGCTTCCACTTTACACATACCAAGCTGTATAGTAGATTTAAGACCGTAAGAAAGTAAAAAAAAAAAAAAATGAATCTTGATTGATTCCATCAAAACATTATATAATCTTGAAGAGTCTTACATGAGGAGAGAAATCGGCTCCAGAGACAATAGCAGCATCTACTTCCATCAAAACCGCCTTCCAATCACCGACTTTTCTAGCATTTCCGCATTTGCTCGTATGTTTCTCCACTGCTTCAAGCTTCTTCAACTCCATATGATCTGATGCTTTTCCAAGAAAACAAAGATGCTTCCTTGCACTATTAACCTCACCTAATCTGTAACCATGTAATCAAGACACACAAAACGTATCAGCAAAAGCAACAGCTTTATCTTCTTCATCACTGCAACAGGGAACTTACCTAATAAGCAATAAGGCCAAACGGTGATGAGCTCTTGCATAGTTAGGATCCGATCTCACAGCGTCTTCACATTCTTTCACAGCTTCACCGATACGAGCCAAACCGGTTAATGCAGCGGCTCGATTGCTGCGGTACGCGGCGTTTGCCGGCGATAAAGCGATTGCTCTGTCGTAACACTTCAGAGCCTCATTGAACAATCCCTTTCTGTACATTTCGTTTCCCACTCTCTTTACTTCCTCTGCATCCGAACCTAAAACCGCTCTCCTCCATAGATTCTCCGCCGCCGCGACGGGGCTACTACTTCCGCCACCGACAGTTACCGGCGAGGAACTCGATACGTGTCTCGGAGATCCTAATCCGGTGGTGGTGGTCGGTTTCGCCGGAGATATAGAGCTTCCTCCGCCTCGCATTATGCTTCCGTGTCCGTAAGTCCCCGTTCCAGATCCGAGAACGTCGCTTCTCGAGCGGCTTTGCGTCATTCCCGTGATTTGGATCTTCCCGGAGGGGCAGATGTTTCCGGTGGGAAGTACATTCGCCGCCGTGGCTGGAGAAGTGGCGGAGCTTTGACTGGCGGAGGAGACGAGTGGTTGTGAATTAGAAGTCGTGCCCGAGTCCGATCTGGATTGACTCGTTGTTCTCAGATTCCCACTCGACCCGGATTGACTACCGCGAACCGAATCGGATCTCCCGATAACCGGAGCATGTCTAATTCGACCGGTTACAGATCCGGAGGAGCTAGAGCTGCTACTACTTGTGGTGGTGGTTGTTGTGGTGGTGGTGAGTCCACGTGGCTGATAACGAAGCGGGGAAACCGGCGAACCGAGATCTAGCTCCCGGAAATCCGGTTTATTGACTTCGGTGGTCAATGAATCGCGGAGACGATCGGCGAGAGTGTCAGATTCAGGATTCGGTTTACCTGACTGTGACATTTTCCTCTTAATTTTTTTACCGGCGAATGAAGAAAAGAGGAATCAGTGGAGAATCGAGGTGTCTCGGTATTAGCACTTAGGGTTTACACTCCGGGGAGGGAGATTAAGAGCAATGGGCCGTCAATGGAGACGGCGAGGAGTGGAGATGGAGGAGACGAATCTAGGAATAGATACTCTGAACAAAGGCATCGACGGGAAAGGGAAAGAGGAAGAGAGATGGGGATCTCGTGAATTAAAAGGGTGAAGCAAAGAATGAATGTGAGTGCCTAGAGAGAGAAAGTGACTTCGAGAAGAGAGAAGGTTCACAGAAGAAGAGGAGTGAAGATGGAGAAGCAGAGAGGGGATGCGAATATTAAACAATTAAATAATACAGAGAAAGAAAAAAAAGATAGGTGAGAAAAAAGGAAAGTCATTAATTAATTTCCTTTGACAAGGAAAATACAAATCAGAAAGCGGAGTTGGTAATAATAAATTAGAAAATTTGACAGGATTGAATTAACGAACTTTAAAGTTATGGGTAAAATTCTGTAACATATTCCAAATGAAATAGCAACAGAAAATATAATATTATAATATTACGATAAAGAACAAATTTTGGAAGCAAAGTAAATTAATATCATATTTAAAAATTAACAGAATTGTACTCTCTTTTTTAACTTTTGAAGTTATGGGCAAAATTCTACAACATAGTGCCAACCGAATAACCAGAATTTTCAGAAAAGGTGTGTTGGCTTTTAAATAATCTAGAATTAGCAATAATTGAAATATAAGTATTTTATATTAAAAAGATAGGTGTTTGAGACTTTGAGTAAAATGATTAAGAAATAATAAATGTTGTGCAGAAATAACACTTGTTGTTCACCTGCTGCTTCACGAGACATGTTTTCATTTTTTTGCTTTATCGTTTAACCCTGAAAAGCAAAATTATAATAATATTGTAAATTGTTCGTATAATTGTAAATAATCTATTTTTGTCAACATTGTAAACAATTATACTTAAAAAACTAGGGTTTGACCCGCGCCCTGCACGGGGTGATGATTTCTGAATTTATATTTTTATTAAAATACTTCATCCGTTTCAAATTAGTTGTCATTTTGGCAAAATGTATCTGCAAATATTTGGACGTATCTAGACATGTTTTGCATTGCAGATACATTGTAGATACATTTTACCAAAATGACAACTAATTTGAAATGGAGGGAGTATGTTTTTTTGGTAATTTATTAAAAGATGTTTATTTAAATATCCCAAAATTTATGCGACGGATTTTTAATCTTTGTTAGATTATTGTCCTCATTTATTCGTTTATAATATGAAAATTAAGCATTTTAAACTATTTTAAAAAACGGTAAATAGATTAAAGCCATATATTAAATATGATAGATTTAAGCGAGATACATGAAACTCAAATGACTACACTATAATAAGTTAGTTTAAAGAACAAAAAAGTGAAAATAAAACATTATTCTTTACAAAAATGTATACTGTATTTCATAAAATAAGAAGTCTTAGCTGTGTGCACACGGATTAGAATTATTTATTTTTTCTTTGAAAACTAAAACACGGATTAAAATCATTTTTTTCTTTCTTTCAAAACTAAAACATGCTTCATTATAATTTCAAAACAATTTAACCAATAAGAAGACAATATGCATGATCTAAATTGTTAAAATAACAAAAATATAATTAACTTTATATTGAAAGTTGAAACAGATAGAATAATATTTAAATTTTTAATCAAACTAAATTTATAAAAATAATTTTTTATTCAATTTTATTATAGAATTTAATTAAAACCATATTAAATAGAATAAAAATAATAATTTACCTTTAAATACCTACTAAATGAGGTTATATACTAAACAATTTACATTATTTTGTTTTTAAAAATTCAAATCATAACATATACAAAAAAGCTTTAGATTTTCTTTATTAGTTTTTTTATATTGTGATTCGTATTATTTCATAAAATAAAGTTGAACAAAGATGATAGGAAATATATAATGATTTTTAAAAAATGATTATGATAGAATTCAATTGAATTTCATATCTTCCTTATTTACTTATTTTCGTAATTGTCAATTAAGGAAAGAAAATAATAATAAAGGGATGGTAAGCATAATATGCAATGGCAAAATTTGTAATTTCTCTAGTAAAACTTGTCTTAATTAGAAATTGGATTGAGAATGAACCTGGTGATAACACATCAGCGCACTCTTGTTAATAACACAATGGACAAAGGTTATTTAGTTAGTGTTTTCTCTTTAATATATCAGGGATCTGCTAACTTCGCTTTCGGTACTGTTCGATTTTTCTTCGTACTTTGGCGCTTACAAGTTACAACACCAAAATACCCACTCGCGATCCGTGGGAAGTGACGTATACGCTCCTAGACAATCGATAACTACTGTGTTCTGTCCTAAAACTGATTGACTACCGCAAAGATGTAAAAATAAGGCATTTTTTATAAATAAAACCCTTTGACTCTTGTTTTATTTCTTGTTAGTTAATTTAAACTGATTATAGCGAATAAGAGGGAGAGATGTCAAAACTTATGAACTGGCAGTAATTGAAAGCTAGTTAGGTGCCAAATAGCCCTGGGCACGGAGCAAATACCAGGGTAAAAACAGGTATCCGTGATCCGATCCGATCCGTCCGGATATCTAATTTTCAGATCCGATTCGATCCGAAAATTTTCGGATATCCGAAAATCCGGATATTTGTAACTTTGTTTAATATCCGCGGATTATCCGCTCCGATCCGTTTGATCCGGATATCCGTAACTTTGTTCAATATCCGTGAATTATCCGCTCCGTAAATATTAAAAAAATATATTCTTATTTAAAAAATCAGAAAAATCAATTTTTAACACAAAAATATAATTTTAACTAAAAAACTATTAGTATTTTTTTTAGTGTTTAAATAATCAGTTTGATGAATATAGATTTATAAAATTTAGATATATATATAAAATTATCCAATTTATATATGTAATTTTATATATATAGATATATCTATATGTATAACGGAGCGGATCGGATATCCGGCTTTTAAAATTTTAGTATTTGTGATTTGCTCCGGTTTTAACGGATATTAACTTTTAGTATTTGCTTTGCTTTGTAAAATTACGGTTATCCGGATTTTTCGGATCGAATCGGAACGATAACGGATCGAAGCAAATATAACGGATAATTTGCCCAGACCTAGTGCCAAATGCCGTGAAAAGCCAAATTATGGGTCAAATACATTTTATCACAAAATAATGTACATATTACTTCTTTACTTTTACAACAAAACCCACTTTGTTATTGAATTAGATGAATAAGGTCATTGTTGTATTTACAACTAAATGAAAACAAAGAGCTTTTATTACAAGTCTTACACACAAAGCAATACTCTTTAAGGTTCCTTGTACGAAGTTTAACAATTTAACACAAAACCTACGAATGGGTTCTCAATGTTTCAAAATCAATCAACTTAACTAATTTATGATATTACACTTATTGAAAGATTGATTCGTTGTGGAGTGAAAAAACTGCACGGCTCTAGATATATGAGAATTAGTCTTAAATCTTCTGGTTATCAAGTAAACAAAAATGGGTGACTGAGAATCACATAATATATACGAGGAAAAAGCAAGAGAGCAATGCAAAATAGAAAAGTTAATAAATAAAGAAGCTACATACAGATTTGGGTATGATAGGGAAATCAATAATCACATCAACGTAATAAGTTACCTCCTCGTAGTTTGCACTCATCTCGATTGGCTTCTTTCGCACGAGATTTCTTTCTTCTTCTGGTTTCCTCGTTCCTTTTTTATTCTATCCTTACAGACACTTCCGTAGACCCCAATTTTACGCTTACATTACTACATATATATCCACCTATCTAAATGGCTCAGGATATACATTTGATTTGCATTTTAATCTAAATTTATAAAATTGCATATGGATCGGAATGTTATACATGTATATTTGAGCTAATAAACTAAATGTTCATGCTTCAACGCCCTTTTCGAAGATTAAGCTTACAAGCATTGATATATATACACTGTTAAGTATGAAAAAATAAACATAACAATACTTTGTGACAAAGATATCTACATCAGTATAGAGTACTCATTGCACATTTTCAACAGCTGTTTAACATGGGTTTGCACTTTTAAAATCTGGCCATTTTATACGAAACTAAATATCCGGTTATTAAAGTGTAATATGTCGACTAACAAGAGAAGAACGTTTGAGTCAGTTATACGTATGCGAAAAGTATATAGCTTAATTGATAATGGAGCGGTTATAACTTGGGGAGTGGTATAGTGGGTTTGGTATACCGACACTTTGCATAATACATTGTGTGTTTTTTATCCCCATAAAAAACATTTTCATATAAAAGCCATTTTTTTATCAAGCATAGAATATTATGTAATCCCCAAAGAAAAAAATAATGTATGTTATTTATACTTCTTTTCCTGTAAACCACACACTTAAACTAAAGACAATGTTATATTAAGCGATGCTTTAATTACATAATCCCCAAACGTATGTATATTTACTGAACCTTGTTGTACTAAGCATATAATATACCGACATCGTGCGTTATACTTCATATGCTTCGAACCACATGTTTTTTATATGCGTATATTTTGTAAATATGCCTGTATGTATAAAATAGATGGTGGTTTCTTTTGGAGCAAGTGAAGTGTTTAGAGAAAAAGAAAGAAGAAAAAAAGTTGAGAGTTTCATTAAAGCTAATACTTAATTCAAAAGCCTCCCTTTGATCTTATATATTCTTCAGTCTTCGTTGACACTTGCGACAATCTCCGAGTCAAAACCCATGAACAGTGATAAACATGGATGTTGACATCTTTTTCATACAAAAGAGGTATTCGCGTAACACATCAAACTTTTCATTTGTGGGTTGGAGTTATGAATATTTATATCGCCAATTAAGGCTTAGCTGTTGTGATTAATTATGGCGTCAATTCATAATTTAGCATAAAGCTGTCGTCAAATATAGACTTTGTAGGGATGGGAAAAAAGGCATAGTGATAGAGTCTTTTATGGATGGACTCAGAGTAAGTGTTCTATGAATCTTGAATCCAACTTAAAAATTTCCTTTAAATGTAAGTGTTCTATAAATCTTGAAATGTTCACTGTCTATGGCTATTATAACTACAATACGAATTGGTTAGGAGAAAAGGGGTCATATCATAATTCGTATACATCTTCTTGGATTTTATATGGCTGAAAGTGAGATGCTAAGAGTTAGGGTAGACTTAGGGTGCTGATATTTTCAAATTTCATAATAAATGATTAATTATTTTAAAGTTGTAATCTGACCAAATCTATCTATATTTTTTCATGCTAAGATATTAAAGTCAAGAGTATATATAGTTTTGCATGTTAAGAACTGAAATCGAATCTGATACCAAAACATTACGGTAGTAAACCGAGTAAATGTTTTTACACCGATTAAATAAGACTTGGAAGTATATATATAGTAAGATGGTAAACGCAAACATAGATTTGGTCAAAGATGACGTTTGTCCTTCAAGATGGCGTCAGAGACTCAGAGTAAGCATCATCACTGGTTTTCTGAGATAGATGTGATTACGCTGCACACTGGCATATACACAGTGAATCCAATTAACGCATCATACGGTGAAAAAGAGGATTTACACGTATACTTTTCAGTTAATTTTGATTTGTATTCACATAAAAATATATATCTCATTTTAAAAAAATTAAAATCGGAAATCCCAATAACTCAATCTGAACCGAAACCAATAAGTAGATGTGTAATGTATTATGAATATATATATATATATATATACAAGTTAAAAATCGAAAATCAAATCAGTCAGGCACTGAAATTTTTAAGATTCTTTTGTATTTTAAAATTAGTGAAAGATATGTGTATATCACTATATCCGCACAATAATGCAAACACAAAAAGGGACGATAAAATTGTAAAAACAAAAGAAAAAATGGAAAAATGAAAAGTTCCAACTTCCAAAAGAAGTGAAACTGAGACATCGTCCCAAAGAGGAAGCTATAGAGAACCAGAAACGAAGAAATTCAGAAAGCCCAAATGGTTTTATACTTTTATTCACTCGTATTAGAATGTTTCCATCTTTATCTTCCCTCAAATCTTGATCATCTGTACGGATACGATTTTCTTTTCTTCCCTTTTATATTTTTTTACGAATACTAAATTATTACTGTTATTCATTCAGAGGCTAATCATGTAATGAATGCTCGTTAGATTCAGCACATGATAGTACACAGAGGTCGAGCCACCCACGTGGAACATAATGACAAAATCCATCCAATTTCATCTTTTCAGTTCATCACTTTATGAGTAAAAGAATACTATTTATTTTTCATTGTCTTCTTTTCATACATACATTATTTGTTAATTTACTCGGATTGTGAAACTATGAGATTTCAAAATTTTGACATTTTGCCGCCATTAAACTACTAAAGTAAGGGTCTGACTGGTTTAACCGCTGCGGTTGCGGTTGCGGGAGTTTGCGGCTGCGGGAGTTTGCGGAAGCGGGAGTTTGCGATTAAAAGCTGTTTGTACGACTGGTATAGCAATTCATAGCGGTTGCGTTTGCGGGATATTTTTGACTGGTTAGCCAGCGGGTGCAAGAGCGGTTTAACCAAAAGTTACTAAAATAAAAATAATATATAATTATTCAAAACATTTATAACCATATTAATAATTTTTTTTTTGAAATATATTTTTTGATGAATTTTTAATTTGAAAACTACCCTTTTTTTTTGGTTTTGAAAAATACACTTTTTATATGTAAAATGATTATTCCTAATTTAATAAAAACGAAATTCAAATAAGAAATATAAAATATTAATATTTGATAATAATTTTGTATCATTTTAACATCCTAATTACCTGTTTAGTTTTTTTTAAACAATTTAATAAAAATATAAGATTGTTTATATAAAGTTTAAATGGGGTGAGATTAAAGTTGTTTATGCAAAGTTTCAAAAATATTTAAATTTTTCAAAAGATAAACATTAAAAATGAAAGATATATTTCTCCACTTTTAAATTTTTAATAATTTATAAACTTTAAATATATGTAAAGTTTTAATTTATTTAAAGTTTCATTTGGTTTGAATGTGTATGAGGTTAAGTTGTTTATATAAAGATCCAAAATATTAAAATTTGTTTCAGTTTAACATATACTATATTTATTTGAAAAAAAACTTATTAGTTTATTATTTTTTTAAATTTTCGTTTATAATTTGTAATTATTTATTATTTTTTTGTTTAAATCACGTCAAAACATACTTTTTACATTTTAAAAGTGTATTTTTCAAAACAGAAAAAATTTAGGGTATTTTCGAAATTTTTAAACATAATTATGGTATTTTTCAAAAAAATATACCCTTATTCCAAATTTGGAGATATTATGTTTTTTTTTTTTTTTTTCAAACCGCAACCGCCCGCAACCGCAAACGCTTGCGGAAAGGAGCTTTTGATTTTCAGCGATATAGAGCGGTACAGAGTGGTATAGAGCGGTTGAAAGCGGTTGTCGTGATTGTTATAAAACGCTAAGAACCGCTACGAACCGCAAACGCTGCGTTTGCGGGTGGTAGCGGGAGAACCAATCATCACCTAAGTATTACTGCTAAGTTGATGACTTAAAGCTAACGTGAGCAACACATGACATAGAAAACCAAACATACTGATGAAACAGCAACCTCAGATACTATTTGTATGATTGTATCCGTTTACAATAAACAGCAACCTTAGGTTTTCTTTTGATCCAATTATTGTAAACCTTTTTTTACATTAATGAAGTATAAACTATTGATCTCTAGTTTTTCTTCAAATTTTTAAATTTCTGTTGTTCTATTACTTGTCAGTTTATCGAGCTTATTTTTGAGTTTAATTTGTGAAATTTTAAGTATGTCAAAACATAATCAAAATAATTTAGTTTTGAGTTTAATTTGTAGTTTCTTTTACTTAGATTATCTTGTTATAAAAAAATACCTTAGAACCAGCTAAGTAGAAGAAAATGACTCCTACCTAGAAGTTCATGATTATCATCCAAAGCTGTTACCGAGTATCACCAGGATGTTGTGCAGGTGCATCTCCGGAATACCATAGAGTATCCAGAGGACACAATTTACCGCCAACAAAGGGCTAGCGCAACACTTAATTACCCATATTGTTTGCATATATCTCATGCAGTTTGTAAAAAGTAATATATGATAAATAAACTCAGTTTTTATAGCTAAATGCATTTTTATATGAAACATAAAAGTAATGTATCAGCAGATAAACTATTTCTGACTAGAACACATTGAAACATTTTAACTATTGAATATTTTTTTTAGTTTTTCTTAAAACAATTTAAGACAAAATTTAAGCAAAAATTAAGCAAAATTTAAGCCAAACAAAAGCAGAAATTAAAAAAATGAATATAAGATGTTCAAGTTACTTTTCGAACTAAATTGAAATCATTATCTTAATTTCTTCCTCTTGATTAAAAAAGTTTCGTGTGGATTTGGATATATGATAATTAGTGAATACAAACAAGTTTGGATGAACATATATATGATCTAAGATGGTTTTCGAGTATGGTTTTGAATCTTGTATCGTTCTTTTGTGTTTTTGAACGTGACTGGAAAATTGGAAATGATACTAAAAAGTTATGGGTAAACAAGTCGATGCTAAACATTGTTGGACTCTTTTATGTGGAAGCTTTAAAACTTACGGCTACTGTGTCGTAGATACTGTCTTCTTAAAGACCACTTTTGGTAACACTCAAATTCTAGAATTTGGGACATTCAAATATATCATTAGATGATTTAAGCAAAACAATTATTTATTCGATTACCCTCTAACCACTCATACAATTTATATAGAGAGAGAAAAAAAGAGAGACAATTTACAACAAGAAAATTGAAACGATTCTAGCCTAATGAATCATCTGATGGCAAAGTCGGGCTTTTCGAGCACCTTTCTTGCTTGTGAAGTTCCAACATCCTCTTCTCCGGATTACAAAGACCTGCACCAGTTACATATTCTACGATCAAATGGTTGTATTTGTATAGTTTGCTCACATTACTACTACTACGATCAAGTCCACAAGGGGAATCATCTGTTTTGTTACCGTAAACCGCAAGAAAAGATAAATACAGAACCTGAGCATTTAGGGATGTCCCAAACAGCAACAGAGGAAGACGAACATTCTGGTTCGCAAAGGATGTGATGATTCTCGTGGTTAACGTTCATTGCTAGCATCCACGCACCTATTGTCACGTCCTCATTGTTAAACATCCTGAAACTGAAGTTTGCAGACAAAAAATCATCTATCCTTCTTTTTAGTTTTTACTGATTACACTATGATCTCTTGTTCTAGTTATGAAACAGAACTCGCCTGTTATTCTTGAGAGCAACCAAAGTTGCCACAACATCAGCAGAGAGAGCATAGATTGGACCATAAGCATGAAGAAAGTATTCTTTTCCTAGCAGATGAGAAAACGGTTCATACCTGAAAAAATCCAAAAAAAAAACATATTACTTCTTGTCTTCTTCATCGTTAAGCTCTGCGGTTTTATCTTAACCATTTGAGCTTAGGATCTGTGAGAACTGGGCCCTTCTTCAAGCATCCTAAGTACGTCTGAGAGTGACTCCTCTCTTTCGCCAATAGCAAAGATAGCCGATCTGCGGAAACAAGAACAACACCAAGTTCATACAGATTCCTGAAGAGACAAAGATCAATCATAAGAGATAATCAATCAATTCACCTGGCCTCAAGTATATATCATCGTCAGCTTTGACATAGAACTCAGAATCATAAAGAGCGTATGCAGCTTTGAAGAATGCCAAACTATAGGATAAAGAAGTAACAAAGATTTTTTTAATTGAATCAAACAGAGAAAAAAAAAACAGAGAAAGAAGCAGAATCATCACTCTCACTAACGTTTTGTAAGGAAGCTTACTATACTCCTCTTCGATATCTATCAGTACAAAGTCATCATATTCTGAGATTTCTCTTCTCAGCTCTGCCATTTTTCGCTCGTTTTTCGTTTTTCCTATCACAAATCTTATAGCCAATCCCGTAGACTCTTCCAAGCTGCAAAGAACAGAGCTTTTGAGTGAAATAAGCAAACACAATCAGATCCAAGAGTATCTAATTCAATCAATACCGTCGAAGACCTTCTGGATTTGACGGCATCCATGTCTTCCTAAGTGCTTGTCTCCGGCCAGCAGATCCGAATCCGGTTTGGATACCGACGAATCCCATAACCTTGTGTCTCTTCCTTACGCTTTTGCCGCCAACGACATTTCTAATTCCGGAGACGTCCCAAACGACTCGAACCGTCTTCGGAGGAGCGTTCGTGAGGCAATTACGTCCGGTTAATCGGAGACCCGGGAGGAGAATCACGGCGAGTCCAAATGTGAATCCGGCGATTCCGATTGCTAGGGAAGTTAATACGATAAGAGCCGTCGATCGGCGCGCCGCGAGTGATGGCCGCGCGTGGAATAGCTTTCGAGGAGATTGCATTGTCGCAACTCGCAAAGCAGCTCGATCTTCCGTTAATGGCGTCGTCACGGTCTCTTTTGTTTTCCCTCCGGTCGAATTAATCGTATCTTGAGCTGGAAGGTAAGTTAATACATGAAAACGACAACAACTGCATCAATAAATCTGTGAACCTGTAACTACACGCCGTTTACAATTATGAAGAAACAGAGTGCTTTTTTTTTCTAGCGTTACGATGACGTGGACAGATTAGTGGCTTATTGTGAATTTTAACCAATCATATTTGTACACGTCAGGATAGTGCTCGTTTCATTGGTACTTAAAAAAAGAAAGAAAAAGAAGTCGTCAATGGCGTCGTCGTTGTGTCACCACCGCTATTGTAACCCAATCAGTCTCACTCCCTTCACCAGCACTAAGCTCCATTGCTCTTCTTCTTCTTCATCTCCGAGACGATCTTCTCTTCTCGTGAATCGACGATCCTTCTCTGTCTCTGCAACTATGGCTTCATCTACTAAGAAGGTAACTAATCGTAATCGATTTCGTCCTATGCCAAACAATCCTGCAACTCTCTTTACAATCCGAGGTTTTTTTTCTCTGTGTGTGTGTCGTGCTTTAGGTTTTGATTCCCGTTGCGCATGGTACGGAGCCGTTTGAAGCAGTGGTGATGATCGATGTGCTGCGACGAGGCGGGGCGGATGTAACTGTGGCGTCCGTCGAGAATCAGATTGGCGTTGACGCATGCCACGGAATCAAAATGGTCGCCGATACTCTTCTCTCTGACATTACCGACTCCGTTTTCGACCTTATCATGCTCCCTGTAAGTCTCTGATCTCTCCGCCAATCTGTCACGAGTCTGGATCCATCTAGTTTCTGAGTAGATGTCTATCCATTTCGAAATTTGATAGCTAAGATTTGTTTTTTTTTGGTGATATAATTGGTGAAGGGAGGACTTCCCGGCGGTGAGACTCTGAAGAATTGTAAACCTTTAGAGAATATGGTGAAGAAACAGGACGCTGATGGACGGATTAACGCTGCTATCTGCTGTGCTCCGGCATTGGCGCTTGGTACTTGGGGTCTACTTGAGGGTAAAAAAGTATGTAGGCAAAGAAAATTTCTTCCTTTCGAGTTTCGAGTTTGGATTTGCGGTGTAGAAACTCAGAGATCTTCCTCGCAGGCAACTGGTTACCCAGTTTTCATGGAGAAACTAGCAGCAACCTGTGCAACAGCTGTTGAGTCAAGAGTGGAGATTGATGGGAGGATAGTGACCAGTAGAGGTCCTGGAACCACTATGGAGTTCTCTGTCACGCTTGTTGAGCAACTGTTTGGGAAAGATAAAGCTGCTGAAGTCTCTGCACCTTTGGTATGTCTCGTCTCTTGACTCTTCTATCAACCTCACTTAGGTATCCAAATTAGAGACTGGCAGATCTTAGGGAACAATTATGGTTTTAGATGAATATTGAATGATTAAGTAGCTGTTTCTAATTTGATGCTCTTCTACCTCACTAGTGCTGTGATTTCCTTGAATATGAGGTGGTTAATGGCTGAGTTTGCAAGAATTAGTTCCGCTGTCCAGTGCTCATTGACTATTATTGGGAGATTACAGGAAATTGAAAGCTATAGGATTCAAGAACTTCATAGTTGCACTAGGAAAACAACTATTCTTTGGTAGCATAGTCTTGATTTCATGGTATCCTCTAAGACTCGCTTCTTCTCCTTTTGGCGTCAGTTGATACGTACCAACCCTGGTGATGAGTACACTGTTACCGAGCTTAACCAAATCAACTGGTCGTTTGACAGTACCCCACAGGTAACTTTCAATTGCCTGTCCACTTGGTTTACACCCTTAACATTTGCATATAATTTCGTACACTGAGAGGCAATGGTTTCCCCTTTCAGATACTTGTACCCATTGCAGATGGCTCGGAGGAAATGGAAGCTGTTGGTATCATTGATGTCCTGAGGCGTGCAAAGGCGAATGTTGTCGTTGCTGCACTTGGTAACAGTTTGGAAGTTACAGCTTCTCGTAAAGTCAAGCTAGTGGCAGATGTGCTTCTCGACGAGGCTGAAAAGAACTCATACGATCTGATTGTGTTGCCTGTGAGTAGCTAACTTCTTCAAATGACGAAAGAATAGTGTCAAGCAAGTTGAATTAATTAACAACTAACATTATGAACTTTGTTTAATTCACAGGGTGGTCTTGGTGGTGCTGAAGCGTTTGCAAGTTCAGAGAAGCTAGTGAATATATTAAAGAAGCAGGCGGAATCAAACAAACCATACGGAGCAATGTGTGCCTCTCCTGCCCTGGTCCTTGAGCCACATGGTTTACTCAAGGTACTAAATCACGATAACACACACATTGGTAGCTAATCGTCGAGACTCAGATGCATAAAGACAACTACTATATTTGTGATGTGATGGAATATTCTGTAATCATCACAAATGGATGTTTTGTATAGGGTAAGAAGGCGACAGCGTTTCCAGCAATGTGCAACAAATTGTCGGACCAAAGTCACATCGAGCATAGAGTTTTGGTAGACGGCAATCTCATAACGAGCAGGGGTCCAGGAACCTCGTTGGAGTTTGCATTAGCGATAGTCGAGAAGTTTTACGGGCGCGAGAAAGGACTTCAGCTCGCAAAGGCAACACTTGTGTAAACAGAGCGATGTGAGTCTCTTTAAGTAAGAAAAAGGCTTTAGTATCTTTGTTGTAGTGAGCTTCGTGCTGAGTGTGATGCTTAATAATGTTTTATAAATAAACGAGGTTACTCTGCTTTTATCAGAAAGTGTTTTCCATTTTTATCTTCTTTTGATTACAAGTTTTTGAATATAAGAAAGTAAATCACAAAAACAAATTGAATTATGCCTGAAGATTAGTTATCATTAACCTAGCTTCTTGTTCTGTAACATCTATACCACAAGATGAAGAATCCAAGGACTCTGTACCCGACGATGAAGCTTGCCATGATACCAAGATTACTCCATTTCTGAGACTCCTTGAGGTCTTGCTGCTTTAAGAACACGTCTCCTCGATACTCGTTGATCATCAGGCATTCGAATGGATACTTGAAGAGGCTGAGATAATGCATGAACTCCCAGTAAACCGGGATCCTATCTTTCGCGATGAAGTAACCAGAAAAGAGGAAGAAAGATCCCATGAGACCTGAGATCACTGATGTCCCCATTATAAAGTTTGGGACGAGAGCACTGAAACATGCAACGAAAGAGTTTGACATGAGAAGAACGATCCAGATCACCAACGAGAAGTAGAGGAACCCGTCAAGCTCTCTTCTGAGACCGACCAGCCAGTAAACCGGTGTAGCAAAGAACATGCTTATGATCAACAGGAAGGGAATGAAGATGAGAGTATCCGCTAAAACGTAAGACAAAACTCTGTAAGCTCTTCTTGATGTCTCTCTCATCAAGATTCTTCTGTCTTGCAAGAAAATCGGAAGTCCCTCTGTTGTGGAAGATAGCAGGAAAGTGAGGGTAAAGGCGAAAAACCCGGTTCGCAAGACTTTGGCTTCTTGCTTTTGATTTCCGACGTTCAAGTAAATCGACCCGAGTATTAGACCGGCTATGGAGGCTTGTAAAGCTCTGGTTGTGAACAGTTGTTTGGTTCTGAAGATGTTCTTGCAAGATCTTTGCCCTAGTATACGCACTTCCTCTACCACGGAGTTGCTGTGAGAATCAGACTGATGAAACTCTCCTCCTGCTTTAGTGTAGCAACTCTTCCATGTTTTGCTATGACCATAACACGAGATCTCTCTGCAACTCTGAGTTATGATCGGTTCAAGAGTCGCTGCAATGTCGATCGCGTACTCCAAGACATTCACACGGCGAGGAATCTGGTGGCCGGAGAACTTAATCTTCTGTTGAAGGCTACTAACCGATCCGTTTTGAACGACCAGGCCATTAGAGAGCAAGACTATCCGGTTTATCTGCTCAAGTATGCGATAACCGGGCTGGTGAATCGTCAGAACAATGGTCTTGCCTTGCTTAACCGTCATATCTTTGAGAAGCATCACAACTTGAAGAGCCGAAGCAGAGTCCAAACCAGAAGTTGGCTCATCAATCAGTATAACATTTGGATCATGAACAAGCTCTACTCCAATAGAAACCCTTCTTCTCTCTCCCCCAGAGATCCCAGATCTTGATCCTTCTCCGATCCTCGACTCCGCAACATGTTCGAGACCGAGTTCTTGAATCAGCTTCTTCACCTTCGCAGCCGCTTCTTTCCTGTTTGTCTTCAGCCTAAGGAGTGCGCTGTACGTCAGTGTTTCTTGCACCGTAAGAAACGGAAACAGAGCATCTTCTTGCGGCACAAACCCTGAAACCCTCCTGTACTCAGGACCATCCATTGGCATACCATTGACAAGAACCTGCCCTGAGACTTTCCCTTGAGAAACTTTTCCGGCGAGAATCTCTAGCAACGTTGTTTTCCCGGCGCCACTAGGACCTGCGATCGCGGTGATCTCTGCGGATCTTGCATCACAAGAAACATCCTTTAAGATAACTTTTTCTTCCTTGTCATTCAACAAACCACATAAGTTAGAAAATTTTGGAGTGTTTCCGCATAATCTATACGATAGATTCTTGGTTTCTAGTCTGTATAAGATTTTCCGGCCACCGGGAATGGGAGCTTTCACCGGTAACTCCATTTAAGAAAGAAAGAAGGAAAAAGAAAGCATCAAACTTTGAGAGATAATAGAGAAACTAACAAAATGAGCAAAAGAGTGTGAGATTAAGCGAAGAATAAATGGTAGAGAAGATGAACTAACACACCAAACTTTTAAGGAACCTCCTTTATTATTTCAAGCATTCAAAAGCTTAAGACTTTTATAGTTTTCTCTCATTGCCTTCCATGAAAACCGAAACGCATTGACTAAGAGTAAACAAATCAAAGATTTTTAATATTCGAAGCTTAAAATGTTTTTGACCGTTTAGTTTGTTTCTTAAACAATATTAATGTATAGTTAGATAAAATAAACTCATATACAGATGTAGATTTTATGTGCTACCTTGTGTATGTTTTTTTATTACTAATTGTTCATGAAATTAGAGAAACTTTTATATATTTTTTGTTTATTTCTTTAATTGATTTTTGGAATTGTGAAGAGGTGCAAGAAAAAATGAATTAGTTAAAGAGATTGGTTTCTTCTGGAGATTCTCAAATTCGGGTGAGCTGAAAGTTTGACTGTAAAACGTTAGTCTTGTTGGTGAACTTGTTTTAGCTAATTTCATTAAGAAACTCAGTTTGGTGGTTATACACCTACAAATTTAAATTACGTGTTTCGAAACTTCTGCCTCACTTAGAGGGTTTGGGCACAGGTAGAATTTGGTGTTTAATTAAGCAACAATCCCCTAAGAAAACTCGCTAATTTGACTATTTTAGGATACTTTTAAATCCCCTAAACAATAGATATCTAACTTCATCTTGATATTTTTCCGTTAATTTCTCCTTATTTTAATGACGGATGGATTCAATAGTAGATGGGTGTCGATAAGATTGATATACTTTAATAATGCGTCACAAAAGTCCGGGATTTTACATATTTTGTTTAACGAACAAATTCTGATGAGAAGATGGGTGTAGATTGTTATTTGAGATGATAATGGGTCGATTTTGAATTCAGTTATAACTTTAAGGACACGAATACAATACTTTTACTTCAGCAGTAACGGCGGTAAACCAAAATCATTTCCACAATAAAATTCTCTGCAAATTAAAAGCCTTGGATTTCAAGTTTTAGGGTTTTACATTTCGCTAAGCCTCTCGAATCTCGAATAGCTTCAAATGGCGACGCAGTCAATCTCTCGCTCCATCCTTCGCCGGCCGGCGAAATCCCTTTCCGGGATTTTCACTCGTTGCTTCTCTTCGTCATCTCCTCTCGCCAAATCCCGATCTGCGTCCTCGTTGCTGCACCGTTCCCGTCCACTCGTTGCCGGATTCTCCTCCAGATTCGTCCCTACCGGTGTGTTTCCGGCTAGAGATCTGTCGACGCAAGCTACTTCGTCTTCAGTGAACGACCCGAACCGTAATTCATCGGATGACGCGACTGTGCTCGATGGTTGTGATTTCGAGCATTGGCTTGTCGTCATGGAAGATCCTGAAGACCATCTCAGTAGAGACGAAATCATTGATTCCTACATCAAAACCCTAGCCCAAGTTGTTGGCAGGTATATTCTAAAATCTTTTGCATTCCCGCAATGTGCTATAAATCTGTTTCTAGGGTTTTAGAGTGTTAGACTCATTTGTGCCATTTCAGTGAAGAAGAAGCAATAATGAAAATCTACACTGTTTCTCATCGACTCTACTATGCTTTTGGAGCACTTGTGTCAGAAGATGTTTCTCTTAAGCTCAAAGGTAAGCTAGCTTGTCTTCTCCTTTGCTTTGAGTTGTGCAAATTCTTAAATTTGTTGATCTGTGAAATCCAGATTTGCCCAAGGTAAAATGGGTTCTTCCTGATTCCTACTTGGATGTGAAAAACAAAGACTAGGGAGGTAAGTTGAATTGTTAGGGACATCAATATTCTGTTTTTTTTTTTTTTAAGTTAAACTTTTGATGGAGTTTCTTGATGACTCTTTTGCAGGAGAACCTTTCATTAATGGAAAGGCTGTTCCTTATGACCCAAAGTATCATGATGAGGGGTTAAAGATGCATACTAGACCATATGAATGGAGTAGGCACCAGAAGTACAGTGGTCCACCACCACAGCCGCAACCAAACATGAGTCCGAGCTACCAGGGACAACTTATCACCACCGAACATAACATAAAAGGTGGTGGAATGCAGCAGGAGCCTTGCTTGCCCAATGGAGTTTTAAGGTGTTTAAGTAGTTAAAGCGTTCTTGGAGTTTCCTGTTTAGGAGCTCTATTCAATAAGGAGCTGAAACTATTGTGGTTCAGTGTTCTTCTCCAGTTGTATCACTCTGGTTTGTGTAAGAGAGAGTGAGAGTTAGTCTAAATAACTTCTGCATAAGTGTGGACGTAGCACTCGTTACTAGTTCGTTTTCATTCATAGCTAATTTTTAATAATTTAACATATATGAATATTTTTGGATGTTTATAGTGTCTATATCATCACTTTTCATTTTAAATATTTGCACTTATAGTTTTCGGTTTACACTTTGATATACAATATTGTTAACAAACCTATTGTATCGATCATAATGTGTGTGTGGTGCATGATATACGAAAAGAACTGAAAACAACTCTTTACTCTGTTGTATAGATGTAGTTGATGATTGTTGTGATTTCTTACGTTCTTATTTGACTGATTTCAGGCTGTATAGGGATTTGAAGACCAGCTTAATTCTCACCACCATGAAAAGTTGAGAGTTAAAAACAATGAAAGAAGAAGTCGACAAAACTTTTATCGCCACTTACAAAATTCCAAGAAGATAAGTTAGCATAGATAGAATAGAAGTAGCCAAAGGTTCCACTTCTTGCCTAAACCACACGTTCAAGTAGACCCCAAGTCACGCGAAAAGTCTTCTTGCCCAAGTTACACGTTCAAGTAGACCCCAAGTCACTCGAAAAGTATTCTTGCCCAAGTCACACGTTGCATTACAAGATAATATGTGAAGTTTGAAGTCAGTGGACAATCTTCATTGTTATTCATCTCTGAACTTCTTCTGAGCACTGAAAAAATATATCTCAAGGTGGTAAGGTCTTTAAGCTCTAATCTATAATGACATTAGAAAAATAAAAATACGCAATCTTGTCTAGTTNTGGATTTGACGGCATCCATGTCTTCCTAAGTGCTTGTCTCCGGCCAGCAGATCCGAATCCGGTTTGGATACCGACGAATCCCATAACCTTGTGTCTCTTCCTTACGCTTTTGCCGCCAACGACATTTCTAATTCCGGAGACGTCCCAAACGACTCGAACCGTCTTCGGAGGAGCGTTCGTGAGGCAATTACGTCCGGTTAATCGGAGACCCGGGAGGAGAATCACGGCGAGTCCAAATGTGAATCCGGCGATTCCGATTGCTAGGGAAGTTAATACGATAAGAGCCGTCGATCGGCGCGCCGCGAGTGATGGCCGCGCGTGGAATAGCTTTCGAGGAGATTGCATTGTCGCAACTCGCAAAGCAGCTCGATCTTCCGTTAATGGCGTCGTCACGGTCTCTTTTGTTTTCCCTCCGGTCGAATTAATCGTATCTTGAGCTGGAAGGTAAGTTAATACATGAAAACGACAACAACTGCATCAATAAATCTGTGAACCTGTAACTACACGCCGTTTACAATTATGAAGAAACAGAGTGCTTTTTTTTTCTAGCGTTACGATGACGTGGACAGATTAGTGGCTTATTGTGAATTTTAACCAATCATATTTGTACACGTCAGGATAGTGCTCGTTTCATTGGTACTTAAAAAAAGAAAGAAAAAGAAGTCGTCAATGGCGTCGTCGTTGTGTCACCACCGCTATTGTAACCCAATCAGTCTCACTCCCTTCACCAGCACTAAGCTCCATTGCTCTTCTTCTTCTTCATCTCCGAGACGATCTTCTCTTCTCGTGAATCGACGATCCTTCTCTGTCTCTGCAACTATGGCTTCATCTACTAAGAAGGTAACTAATCGTAATCGATTTCGTCCTATGCCAAACAATCCTGCAACTCTCTTTACAATCCGAGGTTTTTTTTCTCTGTGTGTGTGTCGTGCTTTAGGTTTTGATTCCCGTTGCGCATGGTACGGAGCCGTTTGAAGCAGTGGTGATGATCGATGTGCTGCGACGAGGCGGGGCGGATGTAACTGTGGCGTCCGTCGAGAATCAGATTGGCGTTGACGCATGCCACGGAATCAAAATGGTCGCCGATACTCTTCTCTCTGACATTACCGACTCCGTTTTCGACCTTATCATGCTCCCTGTAAGTCTCTGATCTCTCCGCCAATCTGTCACGAGTCTGGATCCATCTAGTTTCTGAGTAGATGTCTATCCATTTCGAAATTTGATAGCTAAGATTTGTTTTTTTTTGGTGATATAATTGGTGAAGGGAGGACTTCCCGGCGGTGAGACTCTGAAGAATTGTAAACCTTTAGAGAATATGGTGAAGAAACAGGACGCTGATGGACGGATTAACGCTGCTATCTGCTGTGCTCCGGCATTGGCGCTTGGTACTTGGGGTCTACTTGAGGGTAAAAAAGTATGTAGGCAAAGAAAATTTCTTCCTTTCGAGTTTCGAGTTTGGATTTGCGGTGTAGAAACTCAGAGATCTTCCTCGCAGGCAACTGGTTACCCAGTTTTCATGGAGAAACTAGCAGCAACCTGTGCAACAGCTGTTGAGTCAAGAGTGGAGATTGATGGGAGGATAGTGACCAGTAGAGGTCCTGGAACCACTATGGAGTTCTCTGTCACGCTTGTTGAGCAACTGTTTGGGAAAGATAAAGCTGCTGAAGTCTCTGCACCTTTGGTATGTCTCGTCTCTTGACTCTTCTATCAACCTCACTTAGGTATCCAAATTAGAGACTGGCAGATCTTAGGGAACAATTATGGTTTTAGATGAATATTGAATGATTAAGTAGCTGTTTCTAATTTGATGCTCTTCTACCTCACTAGTGCTGTGATTTCCTTGAATATGAGGTGGTTAATGGCTGAGTTTGCAAGAATTAGTTCCGCTGTCCAGTGCTCATTGACTATTATTGGGAGATTACAGGAAATTGAAAGCTATAGGATTCAAGAACTTCATAGTTGCACTAGGAAAACAACTATTCTTTGGTAGCATAGTCTTGATTTCATGGTATCCTCTAAGACTCGCTTCTTCTCCTTTTGGCGTCAGTTGATACGTACCAACCCTGGTGATGAGTACACTGTTACCGAGCTTAACCAAATCAACTGGTCGTTTGACAGTACCCCACAGGTAACTTTCAATTGCCTGTCCACTTGGTTTACACCCTTAACATTTGCATATAATTTCGTACACTGAGAGGCAATGGTTTCCCCTTTCAGATACTTGTACCCATTGCAGATGGCTCGGAGGAAATGGAAGCTGTTGGTATCATTGATGTCCTGAGGCGTGCAAAGGCGAATGTTGTCGTTGCTGCACTTGGTAACAGTTTGGAAGTTACAGCTTCTCGTAAAGTCAAGCTAGTGGCAGATGTGCTTCTCGACGAGGCTGAAAAGAACTCATACGATCTGATTGTGTTGCCTGTGAGTAGCTAACTTCTTCAAATGACGAAAGAATAGTGTCAAGCAAGTTGAATTAATTAACAACTAACATTATGAACTTTGTTTAATTCACAGGGTGGTCTTGGTGGTGCTGAAGCGTTTGCAAGTTCAGAGAAGCTAGTGAATATATTAAAGAAGCAGGCGGAATCAAACAAACCATACGGAGCAATGTGTGCCTCTCCTGCCCTGGTCCTTGAGCCACATGGTTTACTCAAGGTACTAAATCACGATAACACACACATTGGTAGCTAATCGTCGAGACTCAGATGCATAAAGACAACTACTATATTTGTGATGTGATGGAATATTCTGTAATCATCACAAATGGATGTTTTGTATAGGGTAAGAAGGCGACAGCGTTTCCAGCAATGTGCAACAAATTGTCGGACCAAAGTCACATCGAGCATAGAGTTTTGGTAGACGGCAATCTCATAACGAGCAGGGGTCCAGGAACCTCGTTGGAGTTTGCATTAGCGATAGTCGAGAAGTTTTACGGGCGCGAGAAAGGACTTCAGCTCGCAAAGGCAACACTTGTGTAAACAGAGCGATGTGAGTCTCTTTAAGTAAGAAAAAGGCTTTAGTATCTTTGTTGTAGTGAGCTTCGTGCTGAGTGTGATGCTTAATAATGTTTTATAAATAAACGAGGTTACTCTGCTTTTATCAGAAAGTGTTTTCCATTTTTATCTTCTTTTGATTACAAGTTTTTGAATATAAGAAAGTAAATCACAAAAACAAATTGAATTATGCCTGAAGATTAGTTATCATTAACCTAGCTTCTTGTTCTGTAACATCTATACCACAAGATGAAGAATCCAAGGACTCTGTACCCGACGATGAAGCTTGCCATGATACCAAGATTACTCCATTTCTGAGACTCCTTGAGGTCTTGCTGCTTTAAGAACACGTCTCCTCGATACTCGTTGATCATCAGGCATTCGAATGGATACTTGAAGAGGCTGAGATAATGCATGAACTCCCAGTAAACCGGGATCCTATCTTTCGCGATGAAGTAACCAGAAAAGAGGAAGAAAGATCCCATGAGACCTGAGATCACTGATGTCCCCATTATAAAGTTTGGGACGAGAGCACTGAAACATGCAACGAAAGAGTTTGACATGAGAAGAACGATCCAGATCACCAACGAGAAGTAGAGGAACCCGTCAAGCTCTCTTCTGAGACCGACCAGCCAGTAAACCGGTGTAGCAAAGAACATGCTTATGATCAACAGGAAGGGAATGAAGATGAGAGTATCCGCTAAAACGTAAGACAAAACTCTGTAAGCTCTTCTTGATGTCTCTCTCATCAAGATTCTTCTGTCTTGCAAGAAAATCGGAAGTCCCTCTGTTGTGGAAGATAGCAGGAAAGTGAGGGTAAAGGCGAAAAACCCGGTTCGCAAGACTTTGGCTTCTTGCTTTTGATTTCCGACGTTCAAGTAAATCGACCCGAGTATTAGACCGGCTATGGAGGCTTGTAAAGCTCTGGTTGTGAACAGTTGTTTGGTTCTGAAGATGTTCTTGCAAGATCTTTGCCCTAGTATACGCACTTCCTCTACCACGGAGTTGCTGTGAGAATCAGACTGATGAAACTCTCCTCCTGCTTTAGTGTAGCAACTCTTCCATGTTTTGCTATGACCATAACACGAGATCTCTCTGCAACTCTGAGTTATGATCGGTTCAAGAGTCGCTGCAATGTCGATCGCGTACTCCAAGACATTCACACGGCGAGGAATCTGGTGGCCGGAGAACTTAATCTTCTGTTGAAGGCTACTAACCGATCCGTTTTGAACGACCAGGCCATTAGAGAGCAAGACTATCCGGTTTATCTGCTCAAGTATGCGATAACCGGGCTGGTGAATCGTCAGAACAATGGTCTTGCCTTGCTTAACCGTCATATCTTTGAGAAGCATCACAACTTGAAGAGCCGAAGCAGAGTCCAAACCAGAAGTTGGCTCATCAATCAGTATAACATTTGGATCATGAACAAGCTCTACTCCAATAGAAACCCTTCTTCTCTCTCCCCCAGAGATCCCAGATCTTGATCCTTCTCCGATCCTCGACTCCGCAACATGTTCGAGACCGAGTTCTTGAATCAGCTTCTTCACCTTCGCAGCCGCTTCTTTCCTGTTTGTCTTCAGCCTAAGGAGTGCGCTGTACGTCAGTGTTTCTTGCACCGTAAGAAACGGAAACAGAGCATCTTCTTGCGGCACAAACCCTGAAACCCTCCTGTACTCAGGACCATCCATTGGCATACCATTGACAAGAACCTGCCCTGAGACTTTCCCTTGAGAAACTTTTCCGGCGAGAATCTCTAGCAACGTTGTTTTCCCGGCGCCACTAGGACCTGCGATCGCGGTGATCTCTGCGGATCTTGCATCACAAGAAACATCCTTTAAGATAACTTTTTCTTCCTTGTCATTCAACAAACCACATAAGTTAGAAAATTTTGGAGTGTTTCCGCATAATCTATACGATAGATTCTTGGTTTCTAGTCTGTATAAGATTTTCCGGCCACCGGGAATGGGAGCTTTCACCGGTAACTCCATTTAAGAAAGAAAGAAGGAAAAAGAAAGCATCAAACTTTGAGAGATAATAGAGAAACTAACAAAATGAGCAAAAGAGTGTGAGATTAAGCGAAGAATAAATGGTAGAGAAGATGAACTAACACACCAAACTTTTAAGGAACCTCCTTTATTATTTCAAGCATTCAAAAGCTTAAGACTTTTATAGTTTTCTCTCATTGCCTTCCATGAAAACCGAAACGCATTGACTAAGAGTAAACAAATCAAAGATTTTTAATATTCGAAGCTTAAAATGTTTTTGACCGTTTAGTTTGTTTCTTAAACAATATTAATGTATAGTTAGATAAAATAAACTCATATACAGATGTAGATTTTATGTGCTACCTTGTGTATGTTTTTTTATTACTAATTGTTCATGAAATTAGAGAAACTTTTATATATTTTTTGTTTATTTCTTTAATTGATTTTTGGAATTGTGAAGAGGTGCAAGAAAAAATGAATTAGTTAAAGAGATTGGTTTCTTCTGGAGATTCTCAAATTCGGGTGAGCTGAAAGTTTGACTGTAAAACGTTAGTCTTGTTGGTGAACTTGTTTTAGCTAATTTCATTAAGAAACTCAGTTTGGTGGTTATACACCTACAAATTTAAATTACGTGTTTCGAAACTTCTGCCTCACTTAGAGGGTTTGGGCACAGGTAGAATTTGGTGTTTAATTAAGCAACAATCCCCTAAGAAAACTCGCTAATTTGACTATTTTAGGATACTTTTAAATCCCCTAAACAATAGATATCTAACTTCATCTTGATATTTTTCCGTTAATTTCTCCTTATTTTAATGACGGATGGATTCAATAGTAGATGGGTGTCGATAAGATTGATATACTTTAATAATGCGTCACAAAAGTCCGGGATTTTACATATTTTGTTTAACGAACAAATTCTGATGAGAAGATGGGTGTAGATTGTTATTTGAGATGATAATGGGTCGATTTTGAATTCAGTTATAACTTTAAGGACACGAATACAATACTTTTACTTCAGCAGTAACGGCGGTAAACCAAAATCATTTCCACAATAAAATTCTCTGCAAATTAAAAGCCTTGGATTTCAAGTTTTAGGGTTTTACATTTCGCTAAGCCTCTCGAATCTCGAATAGCTTCAAATGGCGACGCAGTCAATCTCTCGCTCCATCCTTCGCCGGCCGGCGAAATCCCTTTCCGGGATTTTCACTCGTTGCTTCTCTTCGTCATCTCCTCTCGCCAAATCCCGATCTGCGTCCTCGTTGCTGCACCGTTCCCGTCCACTCGTTGCCGGATTCTCCTCCAGATTCGTCCCTACCGGTGTGTTTCCGGCTAGAGATCTGTCGACGCAAGCTACTTCGTCTTCAGTGAACGACCCGAACCGTAATTCATCGGATGACGCGACTGTGCTCGATGGTTGTGATTTCGAGCATTGGCTTGTCGTCATGGAAGATCCTGAAGACCATCTCAGTAGAGACGAAATCATTGATTCCTACATCAAAACCCTAGCCCAAGTTGTTGGCAGGTATATTCTAAAATCTTTTGCATTCCCGCAATGTGCTATAAATCTGTTTCTAGGGTTTTAGAGTGTTAGACTCATTTGTGCCATTTCAGTGAAGAAGAAGCAATAATGAAAATCTACACTGTTTCTCATCGACTCTACTATGCTTTTGGAGCACTTGTGTCAGAAGATGTTTCTCTTAAGCTCAAAGGTAAGCTAGCTTGTCTTCTCCTTTGCTTTGAGTTGTGCAAATTCTTAAATTTGTTGATCTGTGAAATCCAGATTTGCCCAAGGTAAAATGGGTTCTTCCTGATTCCTACTTGGATGTGAAAAACAAAGACTAGGGAGGTAAGTTGAATTGTTAGGGACATCAATATTCTGTTTTTTTTTTTTTTAAGTTAAACTTTTGATGGAGTTTCTTGATGACTCTTTTGCAGGAGAACCTTTCATTAATGGAAAGGCTGTTCCTTATGACCCAAAGTATCATGATGAGGGGTTAAAGATGCATACTAGACCATATGAATGGAGTAGGCACCAGAAGTACAGTGGTCCACCACCACAGCCGCAACCAAACATGAGTCCGAGCTACCAGGGACAACTTATCACCACCGAACATAACATAAAAGGTGGTGGAATGCAGCAGGAGCCTTGCTTGCCCAATGGAGTTTTAAGGTGTTTAAGTAGTTAAAGCGTTCTTGGAGTTTCCTGTTTAGGAGCTCTATTCAATAAGGAGCTGAAACTATTGTGGTTCAGTGTTCTTCTCCAGTTGTATCACTCTGGTTTGTGTAAGAGAGAGTGAGAGTTAGTCTAAATAACTTCTGCATAAGTGTGGACGTAGCACTCGTTACTAGTTCGTTTTCATTCATAGCTAATTTTTAATAATTTAACATATATGAATATTTTTGGATGTTTATAGTGTCTATATCATCACTTTTCATTTTAAATATTTGCACTTATAGTTTTCGGTTTACACTTTGATATACAATATTGTTAACAAACCTATTGTATCGATCATAATGTGTGTGTGGTGCATGATATACGAAAAGAACTGAAAACAACTCTTTACTCTGTTGTATAGATGTAGTTGATGATTGTTGTGATTTCTTACGTTCTTATTTGACTGATTTCAGGCTGTATAGGGATTTGAAGACCAGCTTAATTCTCACCACCATGAAAAGTTGAGAGTTAAAAACAATGAAAGAAGAAGTCGACAAAACTTTTATCGCCACTTACAAAATTCCAAGAAGATAAGTTAGCATAGATAGAATAGAAGTAGCCAAAGGTTCCACTTCTTGCCTAAACCACACGTTCAAGTAGACCCCAAGTCACGCGAAAAGTCTTCTTGCCCAAGTTACACGTTCAAGTAGACCCCAAGTCACTCGAAAAGTATTCTTGCCCAAGTCACACGTTGCATTACAAGATAATATGTGAAGTTTGAAGTCAGTGGACAATCTTCATTGTTATTCATCTCTGAACTTCTTCTGAGCACTGAAAAAATATATCTCAAGGTGGTAAGGTCTTTAAGCTCTAATCTATAATGACATTAGAAAAATAAAAATACGCAATCTTGTCTAGTTACTAATTCAGATTTTTTTTTTTTTTTAAATACAGAGAAGTAAAGATGAGAAGCTGGTGGTGGGTTAAGGAGAAGAAGAAGCAGATGGCTTTGTTGCTGATAATAGCAACGATGATTCTCCAGTTCCAAATGAAAGGATGTGTTGGCTGTGTGGAAACCGAACGGATGGGTTTGTTGCAGCTCAAGTCGTATCTCATCTCTCTTCGTAGTGTCAAAGATGGAAGTATTCTCGATTCATGGAGTGATGATGATCCTAAGAGTGACTGCTGCAACTGGGAGAGAGTAAAGTGCAGTGACGCTATCGGTGGCCACATCGTCGATCTCTCACTTGGCTTTATCTTTGTCTGGAATATGAATCAAACTAGGTTGTTCAATATTTCTTTGCTCCATAGCTTCCCTCAACTCAAAACCCTTAACTTTTCATCGAATCAGTTCGGTCACTTTTTCGATCCCATCCTTGGTACGTACTCTTACCTCTTTTCAAGGAAGCCACCTCTAGACTGTTTCAGTTGATCTCCCATTGTCTTAATATTTTATTTACGGTTTCAGGTTATAAGAGTTTTCAGAGACTTGAGAACCTGGAGTCCCTTGATTTGTTTGGCAATCTTTTCAAACACAGTGTTCTCCCTTTTGTAAGTGCAGCAAGGTCGCTCAGGTATCTAAAGCTCCGTTACAATTCACTGCAAGGTGTCTTTCCTTTAAATGGTAATCCTTAATTCGTAGAATCAGGATTCTAAGGACCTGATTTTCTTAATTTCTCACAACTAAACGTTCGTGGGCCCATAATAGTTTAATATTGTCTACAAAGCTTCCTGGCTTTGGTGTGGCATAACTTGCAAACATGGCCGAATTAAGAGTGCTCAATTTGCACTAGAGGGAGGATACTTATATTGGAGACATGCATTGGTGTGCAGGTTTAAACAATTTCAGGGAACTGGAAGAACTGGATCTAAGTGTCAATGGTATACAAGACTTCGAGGCCGGTGGAGGTGAGAAGAAGAACAAAAACAAGAGAGTTATAATCGATATTCTTGTTGGCTTATAACATCGCTATTGATTTAATAATATGCTGGTGCAGGGTTAAGAAATACGAAGCTGAAAACATTATATCTTAACAACAACAGATTCTCAGAAACTGACCGACTTAAAGGTAAGTCGGGTAGCATGAATTTTACTATATAACAAATATGATTTTAGCCAAGTACAGCATGTGTATATTATCCAGTCATAAAATATTTATCTTTTGGGACCAGCAGGCTTAGAATATTTTGTAGAGTTAGAATTCTTGAGCTTGGCACACAGTCAATTGAACAACACTTGATCTATTCAAGGTAAATAAGTAAAAATTTCTTGCAAGAAATTGCATATCTAGCAAGAAATTGCATATCTAGCAAGAGAAAATAATAATAATGATAATCGCGTTGGTGCAGTTCTCAAAGATATGCCAAAGTTGCAAGAACTGAATTTAGGCAACAATAACTTCTCCGACTTAGACAGCCTAGGTAAGATGGTTCTTCAACTTGTCTTACTAAATCATCTAGGTCGGTAACTGAAATCTAATACAATACACATTCGTTACTACTACTCCTAAGTCCTGATAGAGCATACGAGAAATATTATTTATATATAAATTCTGTATTTATCTGTTTCTATATATCGTTTCTAATTGCAGGTTCAGTGCTTCCTTGCTCTTTACGAGTATTAGATCTTACATTTAACAACATGTCTTGGACCCAAGAAGGTGAATTGTTACAAATCATTTGATCTCTTCTAACCTCTCATTCATTTATTACATTTTTCTTCTATCATCAAATTCATTACAGCTTCCTCCAACTGAACTTTTCGATGGATGTAATTATTTTCTTACGGTTTCAGGGTATAAGAGCTTTCAGAGACTTGAGAACCTGGAGTCCCTTGATTTGTGGGGAAATTTTTTCAGCAGCAGTGTTCTCTCATTTCTAAGTGCAGCAAAGTCGCTCAGGATTCTAAATCTTGGTAGCAATAAGCTGGAAGGTGTCTTCCCTCCAAATGGTAATCCTTAATTCGTAGAATCAGGATTCAACCGAAGAACAGTACTTCGAAAAGCTTTGACACCGCCAGTATACGTGTTTTTTGAATTTACTCCCTCTGTCCCATATTATGTATCTGAAAAAAATGGATGTATCTGGTTGGAATTCCATCAAGATACATCCACTTTTTTTCAGACATATTTTGCCCAACTGCTTATAATATGGGATAGAGGGAGTATCATTTATATGAGCTACGGAAAAATGGGACATGTACTTTCTCGTGTACTTGATGATAATTCTTCCAACGTTTGTGGATAATAGTTTAATATTGTCTATTAAGAGGGAGGAGACTAATATTGGAGACATGCATTGGTGTGCAGGTTTGAACAATTTCAGGAACTTGGAAGAACTGGATCTAAGTTGGAATAAAATACACGACTTCGAGGGTGGTGAAGGTGAGAAGAAGAACAAAAACAAAAGAGGAAGATATTCTTGTTGGCTCGCTTACGATTGATTAGTGTCTTGGTGCAGGGATTCACACACCGAAGCTGAGAACATTAGATCTTAGGAACAACATATTATCAGAAGCTGACCGACTTAAAGGTAAGTCGGGTAGCAAGAACTTTAATTACCATACAGTATTTGATCTTTAGCCCAACATATTCGTTTGCTCATCTAGATGAAGCTGATAAATAATGTTTGCTTAAGAGCAAAAATGAACAACATTTAAATGGATATAAAATATGCAAATGAGAAATATACTTCAAAAAATATTTACATAAAAAATATTCTTAGATTTAGCTGTTTTGGCCTGAAAAGGTGTGATTCCACTTTTCTGCGGGAATCATCATGATATTGCATTTTCAGAGGAAATTGTGTTTTATGTCAAAATCTTAAAACTCTGTTTTCAGCCAAAACTAAGAAATCGTAAAATCATATTTATTCGCCAAAATCGCGATATTGTGTATTTTCCTCCGAAACCGTAAAATCATATTTTCCGCCAAAATTGTAAAATCACATTTTTCTACTTCAATATTATTTTCGATCGAATGCTAATATGTTAAAAAATATATAGTTTAGATAAAAAGAATATGATTAGATAAAATATGGATAATTTTATCCTTTTTGATTAAAAAATCTAGATAAACCATATAAATAAATAAATGTATAATACATATCATCTAGCTAAACCATTTGAATAAAGATAAAAAATAACAAATATCATCCAAATGCTCTGAATGAACATTTGGAAGGATCATCTGGATTCTGATGAAGAAATGACGAGAGCCCTACTAATACCACATACTAGGGTTTGACCCGCGCCCTGCACGGGGTGATGATTTCTAAAGTTGTATTTTTATTAAAAATGTCTATTTAACTATCTTAAAAATTTATGCGTTAGTTATTGTATTTGTTTATAATGTGAAAATTAAACATTTTAAACCATTTTTTGAAAAAGGTAAACAAATTAAAGCTTTGACCGTATTGCCATATATTAAATTAATATATTTAAGTGAGATACATAAAACTCAATTTACAATATAATAAAATTTAAAAACCAAAAAAAATCTGAAAATAAAATGTTATTGTTTAAAAAAAATTATACCTCATGTATTTTATATGATAAGAAGTTTAGATATGTGCGCACAGATTATAACTAATGTTTTTCTTCTTTTAAAATTAAAACATATTTTATTATAATTCCAAAACAATCCAACCAATAAGAAAACAATATGCATAATCCAAATTATCAAATCAACAAAAATATAATTAATTTTATATTGAAAGTTAAAATAAATGGAGTAATATTCAAATTTTTGATCAAATAAAAAATATATAAAAATAATTATTTTATTCGATTTAATTATACGATTTAACTAAAAACTATATTAAATTAAATAAAAATTACATTTAAATACCTACTAAATGAGGTTTCCTACTCATAACACTGCACATCATTTTTTTTAATAATATATATCTACACATTTATACAACAACATATCCAATATGGAAATTTCTACCAGTTTAAGTGATTATGGTGTTTTTAAAAATTTAAATCATAGCATATACATAAAAAAAATTCGATTTTCTTTGTTATATTTTTAATATTGTGATTCAAATTGTTTTATAAATACAGTTAAACAAAGATGATAGGAGATATGTAATGATTTTTAAAGAAATTATTATTATGATACAATTAAATTGAATATCATATCATATTTCCTTATTTATTAATTTTCTGTATGTACCAATTAAGGAAAGAGAATAATATTTTATTTTATTAATATTTCATTAAATGGTTAGTCAAATTAAATTTATAATGTCTCTAACCAAAATAATATGAATGGCACTACTACATGTAATTAGTCTAGTAATCTTTGGGTTAATTAAAACTTACCTTGAGAATGAACCTAATGATGACACCTCAGCATGGCATTTTTGTTAATACCACATGACACAAAGGTTTATTTTATAGTGTTTTCTCTTTTAATATATTAGGGATGTTTTTGGGATCTCCAGGTTTAAAACATCTTGTAAACTTAGTAGTCTTGAAGTTGGCAAGCAATAAATTTAACCATACTCGATCTATTCAAGGTAAAGTAAGTAGAATATTCTTGCAGGTATCGACTAACGTCTTAAAGTAGGAACAACTGGATCTAAAATATTTTTGGTGCAGTACTCAAAGATATGCCAAAGTTGCAACAACTGGATCTAAGCTACAATGAATTCACCGACTTAGACAGCCTAGGTAAGATGATGGTTCTTTAACTTGTCTTACACTCTTACTATATCATCTAGGTCGTCGGTTAGTGAAATATAATAGTTTGGTTTGCTGAATATATTCGTTATTACTCGCTACTCCTAATAGAGCATACGAGAATTATGTATTTATAAATTCTGTATTTATATATTTCTATCGTTTCTAATTGCAGGTTCAGTGCTTCCTTCCTCTTTACAAGTATTAAATCTTGCCTATAACCAATTGTCTTGTACCCACGAAGGTGAATTGTTACAAATCATTATATTTTTCTCATTGCCTGCTCCAAACAATAACGACACAGTTTGTTCCAACCGAATTTTCCATGGATATCATTATTATTTTTTCTTTGTTAATTAAAGTGAGACTAATTCTCTCATTCTGAACAATTTCAGGCTACTCAAAGCTTTGCGGATTGACGAATCTTCGAGAGCTGGATTTAAGAAGCAATGATCTCACAAGTATGCCTTACTGTTTGGGTAACTTGAGCCGTCTTCGAACTCTTGTGCTATCTCACAACCAATTGGATGGAAACCTGTCTGCCTTTGTGTCTGGTCTACAACCAGAGCTTGAGTACTTGACGCTTTCTGGTAATAACTTCAACGGTTCATTCTTGTTCAACTCACTGGTCAATCAAACAAGGCTCACAGTATTCAAAGTATCATCAAAAGTTGGTAACATCCAAGCTGAGGCAGAAAGCCCGTGGGTTCCAATGTTTCAGTTGAAGATGCTAGTGTTACAAAATTTCATTCTTGGCAGCACAATTCCTGGCTTTCTTTTTCATCAGCATGACTTGTCTTATGTTGATCTCTCACATAACAAGTTGACCACGGGACTATTTGCGAGGTGGCTTGTGCAAAACAACACAAGATTGCAGGCTCTTGTTCTGAATAACAATCTGTTGACAGAGCTTCAGCTACCTAGGCTTGTCATCATGGCTTAAAATTTCTCGACATCTCGAGTAACATGATATATGGTTCAATTCAAGAAGACATATGGATTGCCTTTCCTAAGCTGGTGTATATGAACTTTTCTTCGAATCAGTTTCATGGAACCATTCCATCTTCTATAGGTGAGATGAAAGGTCTAGAATGGTTGGACATGTCTTCCAACGATCTATCTGGGCAGCTACCTACAACTTTTTGGAGTGGCTGCTACTCACTGGGAACTCTAAGGCTCTCCAACAACAAACTCCAAGGGAAATATTTCCAGAGCATGCATCTCACTCGTTTAACTGAGCTACATCTTGATGGAAACAACTTCAGTGGGAGTATTGGAGAGGGATTGGTTGAATTCAAAGGAACCTAGCTTCTAGACTTATCAGATAATAAGTTTTCCGGCATGGTTCCACTTTGGATGGGTAACTGTCGAGTCTTTGGTACTACATGAGGGGAAATCAGCTAAGAGGTCCTTTCCCTCATCAACTACTACAAAGTGTACAACTTATGATACTTGGACATCTCACACAATAGCTTCTCTGGATCCATATCGAGGAATCTGGATTTTTCATCTCTCCGACAATTAAGACTACAAAACAACGGTTTTTGGGGATCAATTCCGAACACTTTATTCAAGGGTGAGATGTTTCAAGTACTTGATTTGAGGAACAACAATTTTTCAGGAAGATTCCCAACACTATTGGCGAGGGGTCTACTTTACGTGTTCTTCTTCTGGAAATAACAGCTTTCAAGGTCATATCCCTGCGACAATATGTCAGACTGCAATTGGTATCCTGGATTTATCTCATAACAAGTTTAATGGTGTTATACCATCATGTTTGGCTAACATGTCTTTTGGTAGAACCCATAATGCGCGAGCGGAAACCAATTCCTGATTTTAAAACCTATATTCTCGCTAAATTGGAGATATACAACAGCTCTTTCCCTCAATAACCAACTAGAGTCTGGTTTCGACTTCCATGTAACAACCATTGGTGGATTTTTTAACGAAAGGCAGATATGAAGAATGTCGAGGTATATTGTTGATCATATGTATGGTCTGGATTTGTCGAGCAACCAATTATCTGGTGAGATTCCAGTTGAGATTGGAGATCTTGAGGGCTTCAAATCTTTGAATCTTTCAAGCAACCGCCTCACAGGCTCCATACCATACAGCATTTCAAAGCTCAAGGACTTGGAGAGTCTGGATCTATCCAACAATGAACTATCTGGAAACATCCCTCCGTGCTAGCCGACCTCGACAGTTTGGGATACTTCAATGTCTCTTGCAACAGTCTCTCCGGTGAAATACCTTCCAATGGCCATCTTCTAACCTTTGATGAAAGGAGTTACATAGGCAATGCTCATCTCTGTGGACGTCCTACCAATATCAGTTGCAACCCCACGAGAGCTCCAGAGGAAAGTGCCAATGAGGAAGAAGATGATGAAGTGATAGACATGGAGTGGTTTTACTGGACTTGTGGTGCAGTCTACATCTCCACATGCCTGGCCGTGTTTGTGTTTCTCTGCATAGACACACGTTGGTCTCAAGAATGGTTTTACCGTGTAGATCTCTTCATTCATCACCTTCAACGCTTCAAGCGTTCTGCTTTCCGCAACTGATCATGTGTGGTTCAGCTTATGAGGTACACTACCTTATACACCTCTTTGATGGAATGTTTTCATGTGTGATGTTATTTGTGCTGTGCTATGCTTTAAATTAAGACAATATTCTATATGTATTGCCTAAACTATAATAATCCCACTGAGCTACATATTCAGTTACAGGGTCTTTCCAATAATTGCCTATGCGGTAGATTCAAGTAGTAATGTTTAATTATGAAGAACATGAAACTAGAATAGTGAAGATGTACCTGACTTTCTCTGCCAACCAAGTTCTTTTTTAGTGTGTCTGCTTTATACTCTGTTGTTGCTGCTTCTGGGTGAGTATGGTTTAGACACTTCTTTAGCTTTCCTCGGGTTTCTGGTTGGCAACGTTAGTTATTGGTTCTTCTCAAAACCTCGAGTCTTCTTATTTCAGTATTTAGTGGGACAAGAAGTAAAGAGAACAGCTCTATAAGACTAGGAGTTCGAAAAGAGTTAATCAAAATCCATTGATCCCATGGCAAAAAGACCAAATCTTGTTAAAACATCATTTCCTCGCAGGTTTTTGGCGGCTTGGATCTGATCACCAAGTGAGACGTCTCCTCTTCTTCTCTCTTTCCTTATCAGTTCCAAGTCTAGCTTCTCCAGTTTAGAAGCAACCGATACTACTCTGTCCTTTCCAATAGCGATTTTACCAAGACTTGTTTTCTTCTTGTGAATCTGAGAACATATTCAAACCAAAAGACCAACATCAAATGAGTTTCTTGATTTTTTATCTGAGGAATCAAAGGAATAGTTTTCTTTTCATTGTTCTTATTACCTTTGTGAGTCTCTTCTTCAGTTTAGAACGTGAAGCAGTGGTTGCATTCTCCTTCTTCAGCTTTGGTTTCCGAATCTTTCCTTCTCTTTGCTCTCGCACTTTGCCTTCTTTCTTCCTTTCTGCAACTCTCCTCCTCTTCTCTGTCCTGGCTTGTGCAGCTTCTTCTGCTCTTTGTTTATGACCCAAAGTATCATGATGAGTGGTTAAAGATGCATACTAGACCGTATGAATGGAGTAGGCACCAAGGTAGAAGCATGGACAAACGCATTGATAGAAGCATGCATTTCGAGAGGCGAAGAGAAAATTTTAAGGGAAACCAGAACTACAGTGGTACACCACCACAGCCGCAACCAAACAAGATTCCGAGCTACCAGGGACAATGTATCACCACCGAACATAACATAAAAGGTGGTGGAATGCAGCAGGAGCCTTGCTTGCCCAATGGACTTTTAAAGTGTTTAAGTAGTTAAAGCGTTCTTGGGGTGTCATGTGCAGGAGCTCTTTTCAATAAGGAGCTGAAACTATTTTGGTTCAGTGTTCTTCTACAGTTGTGTCTCTCTGGTTTGTGTAAGAGAGAGTGAGAGTTTAGTCTAAGTAACTTCTGCATAAGTGTGAACGTAGCACTCGTTATCTGATTGAGTTTTAATCTTTTGAGTAAAATATTTCAACTTACTAGTTCGTTTTCATTTATAGCTAATTTAACATATATGTTTTTTTTTGGATATTCACGTGTCTATATCATCAATTCATCATCACTTTTCATTCTAAATATTTCCACTTACAGTTTTCGGTTTAAATTTTGATATACAATATTGTTACCAAACCTATTGTATCCATCATAATGTGTTTGTAGTGCATGATATACGATAGAACTGAAAACATCTCTTTACTCTATTGTATAGATGGAGTTGATGATTGTTCTGATTTCCTACGTTCTTATAGTTGACTAATTTCAGGCTGTATAGGGAATTGAAGATCAGCTTTATTCTCACCACCGTGAAAAGTTGAGAGTTAAAAAACAATAAAAGAAGAATTTAACTCTAAATCTATAATGAGACCAAATCCTGGATCTAAACTATATATTCAAGTTTATCAAATTAATAATAACTCTCACCACGATGAAAACAGAAATTTTGGTTTCACCAAAAAAAAAACAGAAACTTTGGTCAAACAAATTTATTGCCACCTGCAAAGATCGAAGAAAACAAATTAAGAAGCCAGCGGTCCCACTTCTTACCTAAACCACATGTTCAAGTAGACCCCAATCACTGGAAAAGTCTTGCCCAAATCACATGTTCCATGAAATTACAAGAAAGTATATGAAGTTTTAAGTCAAGAGTCAATCTTCATTGTTTTTCATCTTGTTCTTCTGAGCACTGCAAAATAAATCTATCTCAAAGTGGTAAGGTCTTTAAGCTTAGCTCTAACCTATAATGACATGAAAAAAAGAAAGATAATCTGTCTGGTTTCTCTAATTAAGTTTTATTAGATACAGAGAAGTAAAGATGAGAAGCTGGTGGTGGGTTAAGGAGAAGAAGAAGCAGATGGCTTTGTTGTTGATAATAGCAACGATGATTCTCCAATTCCAAATGAAAGGATGTGTTGGCTGTGTGGAAAGTGAACGGATGGGTTTGTTGCAGCTCAAGTCGTATCTCAGCTCTCTTCCTGGTTTCGGAGAAGGAAGTATTCTCAATTCATGGAGTGATGATGATCCTAAGAGTGACTGCTGCAACTGGGGGGGAGTAAAGTGCAGTGACGCTATCGGTGGCCACATCGTCGATCTCTCACTTAATTATCTCACATACAGCTGGAGTTTCGATCAAGCTTGGGGGTTAAATCTTTCTCTGCTCCATAGCTTCCCTCAACTCAAAACCTTCGACTTTTCAGATAATTGGTTCACTCACTTGTTTGATCCCATCCATGGTACGTTCTTACCTCTTTTCAAGGAAGTCACCTCTATTCTGTTTCAGTTTATCTCCCATTGTCTTAATAGTTTTTTACGGTTTCAGGTTATAAAATACAGAATATATATAGTAAGAATGATAAATTGTGTTTGTGCAGCACTCAAAGATATGCCAAAGTTGCAAGAACTGGATCTAAGCGGCAATGAATTCACCGACTTAGACAGCCTAGGTAAGATGGCTCTTAAACTTGTCTTACTAAATACACTTATCTACGGTTAGTGAAATATGATAGCTTGGTTTGCTGAATATATTCGTTATTACTCCTCCTAATAGAGCATGCCAGATTTCTGTATTTATCTATTTTTCTATCGTTTCTAATTGCAGGTTTGTGCTTCCTTCCTCTTTACAAGTATTAAATCTTAATATAACCAACTGTCTGCCCACGAAGGTGAATTGATACAAATCATTTAATCTCTTGAACCTCTCATTCATTCATTATATTTTTCTCATTGCTTGCTCCAACTGGTTTTTTCGATGGATGTAATTATTTTTGTTTCTTTGTTAACGTGAGACCAATTCTCTCATTTGAATAATTTCAGGCTACTCAAAGCTTTGCGGATTGAGGAATCTTCCGAGAGCTGGATTTAAGGAAGAATGCTTTGACAAGTATGCCTAATTGTCTGGGTAACTTAAGCCGTCTTCGAACTCTTGAACTATCGAACAACCAATTGAATGGAAACCTGTCTGCCTTTGTGTCTGGTCTACCACCAGAGCTTGAGTACTTGTCGCTTCTTGATAATAACTTCAATGGTTCATTCTTGTTCAACTCACTGGTCAATCAAACAAGGCTCACAGTATTAAGACTATCATCAAAAGTTGGTACGATCCAAGCTCAGGCAGAAAGCCCGTGGGTTCCACTGTTTCAGTTGAAGATGCTAGTTACACAATTTCATTCTTGGCACAATTCCTGGCTTTCTTTTTCATCAGCATGACTTGTCTTATGTTGATCTCTCACATAACAAGTTGACCGGACCATTTCCAAGGTGGCTTGTGCAGAATAACACAAGATTGGAGGTCTTTCTCTGAATAACAAATGTTGACAGAGCTTCAGCTACCTAGGCTTGTTCATGGGTTACAGTTTCTCGACATCTCGAGTAACATGATATATGGTTCAATTCAAGAAGACATATGGATTGTCTTTCCTAAGCTGGTTTATGAACTTTTCTTCGAATCAGTTTCATGGAACCATTCCATCTTCTATGGGCGAGATGAAAAGTCTAGAACGTTAGACATGTCTTCTAACGATCTATCTGGGCAGCTACCTAAAACTTTTTGAGTGGCTGCTACTCACTGAAATTTCTAAAGCTCTCCAACAACCAATTCCAAGGGAAATATTTCCAGAGCATGCAAATCTCACTAGTTTTCGACTTATATCTGGATGGAAACAATTTTAGTGGGAGTATTGGAGAGGGATTGTTGAATTCAAAGGAACTAGAGATTCTAGACTTATCAGATAATAAGTTTTCCGGCATGGTTCCACTTTGGATGGGCAGACTGTCAAGCATTTTCTACTTAACATGAGGGGAAATCAGCTAAAGGTCCTTTCCCTCATCACTACTGAGTCTACAACTAAAGGTATGGACATGTCACACAATAGCTTCTCTGGATCTATACCAAGGGATGTGGATTTTTCATATTTCCCGAAGAATTAAGACTACAAAACAACGATTTTATGGGATCGATTCCGGCACTTTATTCAAGCTGAGTTCAAAAGTACTTGATTTGAGAACAACAATTTTTCAGGAAAGATTCCCAACACTATTGGCGAGATGTCTACTTTACGTGTTCTTCTTCTGCGGAAATAACAGCTTAGAAAGTCATATCCCTGAGCAAATATGTCAGCTGAGTGAAATTGGTATCCTGGATTTATCTCATAACAAGTTTAGTGGTGTTATACCATCATGTTTGGGTAACATGTCTTTTGGTACAACAATATATGGCGATAGCGAGTCATGGAAACCAACTTACTTACACCAAACATTCGATTCTTGCAAAATTGGAGTTATACATCAGCTCTAGATGTCACTAATGATTCCAGTATGGATTTGCAATCATATCAACCGTTGTGGATTTTTTAACGAAAAGCAGATATGAAGCATATCAAGGTGATATTCTTAGTATATGTATGGTCTGGATTTGTCGAGCAACCGATTATCTGGTGAGATTCCAGTTGAGATTGGAGATCTGGTGAACATACGATGTTTGAATTTTTCAAGCAACCGCCTCACAGGCTCCATACCATATAACATTTCAAAGCTCAAGGACTTGGAGAGTCTGGATCTATCCAACAATAAGCTGTATGGAAACATCCCTTCCGTGCTAGCCGACCTCAACAGTTTGGGATACTTCAATGTCTCTTTCAACAATTTCTCTGGTGAAATCCCTTTCAAAGGCCATCTTGTAACCTTTGACAATAGGAGTTACATAGGCAATGCTCATCTCTGTGGAGATCCTACCAATATCAGTTGCAACCCCACGAGAGTTCCAGAGGCAAATGCATCAATGCAGGCCAAGAGGAAGAAGAAGATGAAGTGATAGACATGGAGTGGTTTTATTGGACTTGTGGTGCAGTCTACATCTCCACATGCTTGGCCTTGTTTGCGTTTCTCTGCATAGACACACGTTGGTCTCAAGAATGGTTCTACCGTGTAGATCTCTTCATTCATCACCTTCAACGCTTCAAGGGTTCTGCTCTCCGCAACTGATCATGTGTGGTTCAGCTTAAGAGGTACACTACCTTATACACCTCTTTGATGGAATGTTTCTATGTGTGATGTTATTTGTGTTGTGTTATGCTTTAAATCAAGACAATATTCTATATGTCCAGTGATGGTAATGTATTGCCTAAACTGTAATAATCCCACTGAGCTACATATTCAGTTACAGGGTCTTTCCAATAATTACTTATGCGGTAGATTCTAGTAGCAATGTTTAATTATGAAGAACATGAAACTAGAATAGTGAAGATGTACCTGACTTTCGTGTCTTCTTCTCCAAACCTCGAGTCTTCTTATTTCAGTATTTAGTGGGACAAGAAGTAAAGAGAACAGCTCTATAAGACTAGGAGTTCGAAAAGAGTTAATCAAAATCCATTGATCCCATGGCAAAAAGACCAAATCTTGTTAAAACATCATTTCCTCGTAGGTTTTTGGCGGCTTGGATCTGATCAGCAAGTGAGACATCTCCTCTTCTTCTCTCTTTCCTTATCAATTCCAAGTCCAGCTTCTCCAGTTTAGAAGCAACCGAAACTACCCTGTCCTTTCCAATAGCGATCTTACCAAGACTTGTTTTCTTCTTGTGAATCTGAGAACATACATATTCAAACCAAAAGAGCAAAATATCAAATGAGTTTCTTGATTTTTCATCTTAGGAATCAAAGGAATAGTTTTTTTTTTTTTCATTGTTCTTAATACCTTTGTGAGTCGCTTCTTCAGTTTAGAACGTGAAGCAGTGGTTGCATTCTCCTTCTTCAGCTTAGGTTTACGAATTCTGATGAGAAGATGGGTGTCGATTGTTATTTTAGATGATAATGGGTCGATTTTAGATGATAATGGGTCGATTTTACTATATAACAAATATGATTTTAGCCAAGTACAGTATGTGTATATTATCTAATCATATCATAACACATTTGTTTTTAGTATCCCCAGGTTTAGAACATCTTGTAGAGTTACAAGTCTTGAGCTTGTCACACAATCAATTGAACAACACTCGATCTATTCAAGGTAAATGAGTAAAAACTTCTTGCAAGAAATTGCATACATAGTAAGAGAAAAAAAAAATGATAATTGCGTTGGTGCAGTACTCAAAGATATGCCAAAGTTGCAAGAACTAAATCTAAACAACAATAATTTCACAGACTTAGACAGCCTAGGTAAGATGGTTCTTCAACTTGTCTTACTAAATCATCTTGGTCGGTTAGTGAAATATAATACAATACATATGAGAAATATTATTTATATATAAATTGTAATTATCTGTTTCTATCGTTCTAATTGCAGGTTCAGTGCTTCCTTCCTCTTTACAAGTATTAATTCTTGCCTATAATCACTTGTCTTGTACCCACGAAGGTGAAATGTTACAAATCATCTATTCGTTATATTTTTCTCATTGCCTGCTCCAAACAATAAAGATTCACAGTTTGCTCCAACTGAATTTTGCGATAGGATGTAATTATTTGTGTTTCTTTGTTAATTAAAGTGAGACCAGTTCTCTCATTCTGAAGAATTTCAGGCTACTCAAAGCTTTGCGGATTGACGAATCTTCGAGAGCTGGATTTAAGAGACAATGATCTCACAAGTATGCCTTACTGTTTGGGTAGCTTAAGCCATCTTCGGACTCTTGAGCTATCTAACAACCAATTGGATGGAAACCTGTCTGCCTTTGTGTCTGGTCTACAACCAGAGCTTGAGTACTTGTCGCTTTCTGGTAATAACTTCAACGGTTCATTCTTGTTCAACTCGCTGGTCAATCACACAAGGCTCACAGTATTCAAAGTATCATCAAAAGTTGGTAACATCCAAGCTGAGGCAGAAAGCCCGTGGGTTCCAATGTTTCAGTTGAAGATGCTAGAGTTGCAAAATTTCATCCTTGGAAACACAATTCCTGGGTTTCTTTTTCATCAGCATGACTTGTTCTATGTTAATCTCTCACATAACAAGTTGACTGGGATATTTCCAACTTGGCTTGTGAGAATAACACAAGATTGCAAGTGATTTTTTCTGGATAATAATATGTTGACAGAGCTTCAGCTACCTAGGCTTGTTCATGGCTTACAATTTCTCGACATCTCCGAGTAACATGATACATGGTTCAATTCAAGAAGACGTAGGGATTGTCTTTCCTAAGATGGTGTACATGAACTTTGCTTCGAATCAGTTTCATGGAACCATTCCATCTTCTATGGGCGAGATGAAAAGTCTAGGCTGTCTAGACATGTCCTCCAACGGTTTATCATGGCAGCTACCTAAAACATTTTTGAGTGGCTGCTACTCATTGCAACTTCTAAAGGGAAAATATTTCCAGAGCATGCAAATCTCACTGGTTTACTTTACTTATATCTGGATGGAAACAATTTTAGTGGGAGTATAGGAGAGGGATTGTTGAATTCAAAGGAACTAGAGATTCTAGACTTGTCATATAATAAGTTTTCCGGCATGGTTCCGCTTTGGATGGGAAGACTGTCAAGAATTTTCTACCTAAACATGAGGGGAAATCAGCTAAGAGGCACTTTCCCTCATCATCTACTACAAAGTCCACTACGGCCTACAGTTTTGGACATGTCACACAATAGCTTCTCTGGAGCTATACCAATGAATGTGAGTTTTTCATCTCTCCAACAATTAAGACTACAGAACAACGATTTTTGGGGATCAGTTCCGGGCAGTTTATTCAAGGCTGAGAGATTACAAGTAGTTGATTTGAGGAACAACAATTTTTCAGGAAAGATTCCCAACACTATTGGCGATGGGTCTACTGTACGTGTTCTTCTTCTGGGAAATAACAGCTTACAATTTCATATCCCTGGAAATATGTCAGACTGCAATTGGTATCCTGGATTTATCTCATAACAAGTTCAATGGTGTTATACCATCATGTTTGGGTAACATGTCTTTTGGTAGACAGGAAACCAAATTCATTATCGTAAAAACTATATCCTCGCTAGATTGGATATATACAACAGCTCTTTACATCGATAACGACCTAAGGTTTGGTTTCAACACCCCTGTAAAAAACGTTGTGGATTTTTTAACGAAAGGCAGATATGAAGAATACGAAGGTGATATTGTTGATCATATGTATATGTATGGTCTGGATTTGTCGAGCAACCAATTATCTGGTGAGATTCCAGTTGAGATTGGAGATCTGAAGTACATCAAATCTTTGAATCTTTCAAGCAACCGCCTCACAGGCTCCATACCATATAAGCATTTCAAAGCTCCATAACTTGGAGAGTCTGGATCTATCCAACAATGAACTATCTGGAAACATCCCTTCCGTGCTAGCCGACCTCGACAGTTTGGGATACTTCAATGTCTCTTGCAACAATCTCTCCGGTGAAATACCTTCCAAAGGCCATCTTGTAACCTTTGACGAAAGGAGTTACATAGGCAATGCTCATCTCTGTGGACGTCCTACCAATATCAGTTGCAACCCCACAAGAGCTCCAGAGGAAAGTGACAATGAGGAAGAAGAACATGTGAAGTGATAGACATGGAGTGGTTTTACTGGACTTGTGGTGCAGTCTACATCTCCACATGCCTGGCCTTGTTTGCGTTTCTCTGCATAGACACACGTTGGTCTCAAGAATGGTTTACCGTGTAGATCTCTTCATTCATCACCTTCAACGCTTCAAGCGTTCTGCTCTCCGCAACTGATCATGTGTGGTTCAGCTTATAAGGTACACTGCCTTATACACCTCTTTGATGGAATGTTTCTATGTGTGATGTTATTTGTGTTGTGCTATGCTTTTATATTGAAGACAATATTCTATATGTCCAGTGATGGTAATGTATTGCCTAAACTGTAATAATCCAACTGAGCTACATATTCAGTTACAGGGCCTTTCCAATAATTGCTTATGCGGTAGATTCAAGTAGTAATGTTTAATTATGAAGAACATGAAACTAGAATAGTGAAGATGTACCTGACTTTCGTGTCTTCTTCTCCAAACCTCGAGTCTTCTTATTTCAGTATTTAGTGGACAAGAAGTAAAGAGAACAGCTCTATAAGACTAGGAGTTCGAAAAGAGTTAATCAAAATCCATTGATCCCATGGCAAAAAGACCAAATCTTGTTAAAACATCATTTCCTCGTAGGTTTTTGGCGGCTTGGATCTGATCCGCAAGTGAGACATCTCCTCTTCTTCTCTCTTTCCTTATCAATTCCAAGTCCAGCTTCTCCAGTTTAGAAGCAACCGAAACTACCCTGTCCTTTCCAATAGCGATCTTACCAAGACTTGTTTTCTTCTTGTGAATCTGAGAACATGCATATTCAAACCAAAAGAGCAAAATATCAAATGAGTTTCTTGATTTTTCATCTTAGGAATCAAAGGAATAGTTTTTTTTTTCATTTTTCTTACCTTTGTGAGTCGCTTCTTCAGTATAGAACGTGAAGCAGTGGTTGCATTCTCCTTCTTCAGCTTTGGTTTCCGAATCTTTCCTTCTCTTTGCTCTCGCACTTTGCCTTCTTTCTTTCTTTCTGCAACTCTCCTCATCTTCTCTGTCTTGGCTTGTGCAGCTTCTTCTGCTCTTTGTTCCTTTGTTCTTGCTCTTTCTTCAGCCAACTGAGAAAATATCTCTTGTTTAGCATTTTCGTAGCTGTCCCAGTCGAGTTCTAGCTCGCCACTTCCTCCTTTCCTTGCAGCGTCTGCAATGTTTTCTGACCATAATGACATGAACTTCTCCTTTAATCGCTTTGATTTTGACCTTTCTGCCCAAACTTGTTTCACTGCAGCTCTTATCTTCTCCTTGGTTTCATCACTGCAATAAACAAACTTAGCTTATATGCTTCACTGTATTGTATCCACACTTTATGTAAACAGTGAAGCTACCTGTGTGGTTGTTGATGCTCAGACATTTTCTTCCGAACCTGAAAGATGTTGAAGAGAAATTAAAAAGTTTGAACAATCAAAAATAACAATAACATGTACAGACAAATTGTCACTGAATTTGCATGAATCTTACTTGACTTCACCTTGGGATTTCTCAAAGCTTCGATTGTTCTCTGCTTGATTCGTCTTCGAGTGTCTGTTAACAAGTTGAATCAAACTCACTTCACAATCCCTCCTCAAAGAAACGATTTTTAAATAGCTAAAAAAACACATCTCTTTCTCTCTCTCTCTCTCACTCTACCTTCACTGTGTGTCTTTCCTTTGTTCCATGGTACTTTTCCTCTATTTGCTAATCCAATCTTCCTTCTCCTCTCCTCTTCTTTACTGAGATTATCAGCTTCAGTATCTTTCTCCATAGCCTTGACTTCCAAAAGACTTGGATTCACTTCTTTGCTCTGAATCTCAAACACACTGTACAGTGACCGTACAGTAGCAACAGATTTTAACTCCAATCGTCTGATAGAATTCAAAGAAGCAACTGAATTTGACAGTCTCAAGGTGATTGGTTCTTTGAGATTAGCTGGGAAACACCAAACGCATCGAATTGGGTATTTCATCTCCATCGATAGCCCTCTGCCCAAAAAAAACAGTATCTGCAGATTAAAATCTTCGAATTCGAATCAAAATAGGTCGAAGAAATTCAACAAACCAGTATCCGAATGATAAATCATTGAATCTCTATACAAATCCAATCAAGCCACATAAAATTCAACCAACATTTCACCATATTGGAAGTAATTATTGTTCTTCTCTTTGATTTCACAGATAATTTCAAATCACAATATGAAATGAAGTGAGAGCTCAGGGAAAACAGATAGCAATTAAACACTCACAAATGTAGCGACATTCCAGCATGGAGATGAAGTGGAGAAGAATTTTCAAAAAATTATGAAATTCTACGCTCAATTTACGGTTTTCTCTAACGCTAAGGTACTTTTCCGGCGAGAGCCATTGATAATGAAGAAGAGTGCGGAGAGAGAGAGAGAGAGAGAAGCGGGAGAAACAGATAAGGGTGATGAAGGAACAATATTGGGCCTTAAATGGGCCTCGTTCTCATCTATTCATACCTTAACCTACTTAATTCAGCTCAAAAAGCCCATTATATGCTTATAAAAATAACATACAGTATCTCCTTCCCTCTTCTCTCTCTCTCGATAGATTTTCGCTGTAACCCTTGTTTCGTGTACCGTTCTCTCTGGCTCAATTAGGGTTAAGGATTTTAGGCGAAAGGTACCATTCTGCAGAGAAACTTTCGATCATGGATATGATGAAGAAGCGAAGGCTCGATGAGAATGGCATGGGGATTCTAAACGATGGAATCAACGGCGCCGTTTCGAATCGATTGATGCCACAGGACGTGAGGAAGATTATCGAGCGGTTCTCTTCCGATCAGCTTCTCGATATCTTGCAGGAGGCAGCTGTACGGCATCCGGATGTTCTCGAATTCGTCCGATCAACCGCCGATTCCGATATCTCTCAGAGGAAGCTCTTCATCCGCGGCCTCGCGGCGGACACCACGACGGAAGGTCTGCGTTCGCTTTTCTCTAATTACGGGGATCTCGAGGAGGCAATCGTGATTCTCGACAAGGTGACTGCGAAGTCGAAAGGGTATGGTTTCGTGACGTTCAAGCACGTCGACGGAGCTCTTCTCGCTCTGAAGGAGCCGTCTAAGAAGATTGATGGCCGCGTGACGGTGACGCAGCTCGCTGCTGCTGGGAATCAAGGCGCGACGGCTCATGTCTCGGATATATCGATGAGGAAGATCTATGTGGCGAACGTTCCGTTTGACATGCCTGCGGATAGGCTATTGAATCAGTTTCTGGCTTATGGAGATATCGAGGAAGGTCCTTTGGGATTCGATAAAGTCACTGGTAAATCAAGGGGATTTGCGTTGTTTGTGTACAAGACTTCGGAAGGTGCTCAAGCGGCACTTGCTGATCCTATGAAGGTGATTGATGGAAAGCATTTGCAGTGTAAGTTGGCTATAGACGGTAAGAAAGGAAAGCCACCAGGTCAAAATGGTGCTGGTCCTGGACATGGTCACGGTGATGGAATGGGTATGGTGCCTCCTCCTGGACCTTATAATGCAACTGGTGGGCCTGGTGGATTGGGTGCTTACAGTGGGTACTCAGGAGGACCACCGCCGCATCACATGAACTCCGCACCTTCTTCGATGGCTAATGCTGGAACAGGTGTCTATGGAGTTACGGGATATAATGGTCATTACAGTGGATATGGTCCAGGATCTGGAAATTATGGTCCAGGATCAATGGGCGGTGGTTATGCTGGACCTGGTGGTGGAAGTGGGCCGTATAGAATGCCACCGAGTTCGATGTCCGGCGGTGGTTATCCTGAGAGTGGGCACTATGGGCATTCATCAGCTGCATCATATCCTGGACAGCATCAGCCTGTTGGTTCTTCCCCGGTGCCTAGAGTTCCTCTTGGAGGAATGTACCAAAACGGTCCACCAAATTACTGAACGGTGAGATGGTTTTTCCTTGTATCGAGTCATTGTTTTTGCTTTGTTGCATCATGGTCTTTGCATTTTGTCATATTCTTCACTTGTTTTTGCCTGTTGCTGTGCCTAGTTTTGTTTGCTAGATATTCTCTGGTTGGTTTTTTCTTTGCTGTGCTGCCTTTGGTTTTTTGCTTGCTCTCAGTGATATTCGCTCCTTGATGCAATGCCGAAGTAAATAAGTAGTCTTTTATGTTGTGCCTAAATTCTCTGTATTTACTTTTTACTCACAGCAGAGAACTGGTGAATCTGTGCAAACTATAATAATTTTAAGCACTAGCCATTGTTTTCTCTCTTCATCTGCTTTCATTTTTCATTTATAAATATCAAAAGATGTTAGTCTGTGTGCAATCATCATCACAACATGGCATTACTCGGGAATTCTTGTGTTTCTGCTTAAAGTTTAATATTTCTTATGTAGTGACTGGTTTGTTAATGCTAATGAATGACGAAATTGAGCTGTGAATGGATGTTTGATTCAGGTTGGTGACAGGGTCGAAGATGCTTTTTGTGCTTAATGGTGATTACAGCCTCTTTAAAATCTCTGGGTTGATGAATGTATTGCTGCTTTGATCTGAATGTGTCTTGGCCTCTGAATGCCTAGTTGCTCTATGACCTGTTAGACTAGGATATCTTCCTGTATTTTTTTCTTTCTTTCATAGACATAGTTGGCAGATTGGTTTTGTTTGTCAGATTAGCAACTTTTTAAATAATATTGGTGTATTTTTCCTTTCCTGCTTAACTTTGCCTAACTCTTCTGAAACATAGACACAAGGCTTTTACTTGTTTGTGATCTTTGAGAACATTCGTTTGGGTTCTTCTACCTATCTACACAGAATCCTTTGCTTGACACTATATAAAGTGGTAGAAGAAGATTTGCTTTGTGAATCATGTCTTACTGGTTGATTCATAGGATCATTTTTTTTTAATTCGCCGTTCCTCGAAGAAGACTTGTGAAACACTATTGTCTACTGATGTCGAAACCAGACATGATAGGACTTCTTGTTATCTTATTATGTTGCCAATTGTTTGACGAAGACTCTGCTTAAGATGATAACATATCTATGTGATTCTTTGTGGTACATTTACCAATTGAAGATAGTTACTTTGCAGGATCGTTTTGAGGTTTTTTGTCAGAGATTTTAGACTTTTTGTCCTTTTCTGGAAACGGGTTTGTCGTATTGGACAGTTTTTGCTTTTCTGGCCTCATTTTAAGAGGATTTTGTCAAAATATTCTCTTTAAGACAAAGACCTTGATCTGATCTCGTTTTTTGTCCACAAACAGACTACTTTTTGTCATTGCTAGGAATCATTTGCTCACACTAACTTGTGGCCACTTTTTATTTTATTTTTACTCGTTGCTCTTTCCATTTTTACTGGGCGATTTTGCCGGTGCGATCGAGGAGGTTCGGCAATATGACTTTGGGATGCGTGAGAAGAACGACGGCGAAATCATTTATTTATAACATGTAAACTTATGAGATGTGTATCGTTACACTTTGTACTACTAATATATAAAGCCCAAACACTCAAAAGTGGGCGTATCTAATACTAATAAAGCAGAAGTTACCTCATGACTTATATGAATCTAATACTAATAAAGAAGTATTAATAAAGCAGAAGTTACCTCATGGCTTATATGAATGATACGTGTCCTTTTTGATTTTTAATTTTTTATTTCGTTGTTTTTTCTTTTTATAATTTCTTTTTCTTTATTCTCCTGAACTTTATCTTCCACGATCTCAAAAACCGCTTTCATCCCACGATTTTCAAACTTATAAATCAAAATTTGCCATGAGTTTCTCTCATTGAAACGTTTCCGATGATTTCATACTCTTAACTTCCTCTTCTTTCGAAATATTCATTTGAGGTTTTAGCAATCAAATTCAAATCTTAAAATCCACTTTCCGATGACATCGCCAGTGATTAAGCAAGAGAATGCTACTTCCGTGGAGGAATTCAACACGTCAGTGACAGCGCTGGTGAGAAGAAGCTTGCAGGAAAGGGATGAAAACCGAAGAAAGTTTAGGAAGTGATGGAGAAGAAGCCTGTTGCTGCGGCAACTCCGAAGAGGTATGATAAATCTAGATCTAGCTTTTTATTGGTTGTTTTCTGGCTTATATCATTCCTGGATTCTATTATGAGATTAGAGATTGATTTGTTTTGTTGTTGTTTTATATGTTGTGATTCAGATGATCAAGGATGCTATTGTTAGGTTGAAGACTTGAAGGAGAGAACTGGATCTAGCCAATACGAGATTCAGAAGTTTCATCAGAATAAGCATAACGAGTTCTTTCCTACTGTCCTACATTCAGGAATTTGTTGTATAGAGAAAATTAGCAGAAATAAGATTAGGGGTTTCAATTGGATGCCAATGTTATCAAATCGATTTTTTTTTTCTTTGGTTGGTAGTGGTTCTGGTTTTGAGAAGAACAAGGGAAAGATAGAAAGAAGGGTGATTTTGGTGAATAATAGTATTGGGCCACTAAATTAAGTAAATGACAGTATGGGCTTCGAAATTAAATCCTGACACACACGCGCTGAAAAATTACAGAAGGGGCACTGTACTTTGGGCGGGAAAAATAAAGAGAAGCTTCTTTTGTTATGAAGAGCCAAGCCGTTTATTATCTATTTTAGCCGATGTAAACGTCACATCAAAGATGGAGTCGGATTATCAACATCACCAAACAAGGTTTCCCACATTGGACCTCTCTCCTTCTTCGTCAAATCCTTTTTGCTTCGACCTTTACTTGATTTCTGTTTCTTCTTCTTCTTCTTAGAACACTCTCCACCTTGTAGTAGACCACAATTCAAACCAGTGACTTCTGCAAAATCAGATAGTCCGTATCTAACTGGTTTTCATGAAAAGACCCACCAAAGCTCATAATTCTTTTTGATAACCAACTGTCTTGACAAAAGATAATGGACGAACATAACCGAGAAAATATGGCCTCCCATTCTCATAACATTCTTGAACTGGGACTCCCTCAGAATCTTGATATATTCTTTGTCAAGAGTTGTCTTAATAATTTCCACCCATCTAAGGGTGAAGTAATTGTTGATTCTTTTTCTACCGGTTGGTTCGAAACCAGTCTGAAATAGTTTCTCTGACAATCCCATCTCTTCCATTGTCTTTCTGAAGAGATCTATAAAAATAGTTAAGAGAACTTTGTAAAATTAGAGAATCTTACATCGACATAGAAATAGTCTGAAATCCCAAAAATGAATACTATATCAAACAAAAAAACTAAAAATCATACTTCCCTATTCTCATCTATTCATAAACTCCTAAATAGACAGAACAAAAGGACATTAAAATGGTATGAGAGACAAGAAAAAACTTGAATTTTGGACTTTTATCTCCTGAAGATTATCAAATCATTGTTCGAAAGACACAGTATAACTTAGATACTAAACAGAGAAGAGAAATCGTATATATTGAAGGTGAAACAATATTTATGAACATAAAGCAAATCGAAATCAAACCTCAACAATCTCAAGACCAAGTGAAGGAGAATCGGATAGAAATCTCTACAATTATAACCTCCACAGTTCCGAACACAAGCGACAAAGATCGGAAGAAGAAACAAATTTTCTCTCCAAAGCGAACACAATCGAAAAAACAATCCCTAATTGAAAAGCAATTTTGTATAATTATAATTTTATTACATATATTAAATATATGTCAGCTTAGTCTTAGTTGAAGTGGAGCCGTAAGCCGAGCTCCATAATAAGTTAGTGACAAACGAGGTTAGAATTGTAAATATTGTATAATATATGCAGTGTATCGTAGCTAAACGTTTACTATTGATAGTTCCTTAATATTGACTTTTTTTATGTATATCTACTGCTATTTCGCTAGAAAGAATACGAGATTGTCGTGAAAATAAAAAGTAATAAATATTTTTTATTAACTTTTCTTACTTTAACTATAATAATAGGATTTAAATTAATCATCTTTAACGTGGAATTCTTTTACCCATTTATAAACTTCGTGGAATCTTTAACCTGGAAATTAAAATATAAGGTTTTTTGGACATGCATCTTACTGGTTTTAAAATATAATGTTTTATTTGCAATTTAGTTTTCAATTGAATGAAATACACACAGTATTAAGTTTTTTTATTGTGAAACCATTATGTTTTGTTCTTTACAAAATATGAAAATATTATCAAATGTTCATGCCGATGCATAGCACAGGCCAAATACTAGTTTTTAACCAATTTCGGTTTAATCGAGTAAATCAAAGCTTTATGATTATCTTTCTTGAGATCTTTACAAATATCTACAACATATCTGGTTAATTTTGAAATTATCAAGTATCCATAAGGTTCAAAATACAAATCATATACTAAAAGATATTTTTCCTTTTGAGATCAGATTACCATTACACCAAATGTTTTTTATTTTATTTTTTTACAACAATCAAACCCCAAAATGCAAAAAAAGAAAAACAATAAAAGAAAGAAAAAGACCTGGTGGAAGCATTAAAGCAAAGAGAGTCATCATATATCTCAGCAACTATCCTCGAGTGTCTCGCCAGCTTCACCACATAATTTAAAAGCATCTCTCTCAAATCTCAATCTCCTTCTTCTTCTTCCTCAGATTCATAAACCCTAGATTTCATCCGAAAATGTTCAGATCTATGCTCGTCCGCTCTACTTCCTCGGCGAAGCAGTCGCTTCTCCGCCGCAGCTTCTCTTCCGAGTCCGTCCCCCAGCGAAAAGTCGCCATCCTTGGCGCCGCCGGTGGAATTGGTCAGCCTCTTGCTCTCCTCATGAAGCTCAACCCTCTTGTCTCCAGTCTATCCCTCTACGATATCGCAAACACACCTGGAGTCGCCGCTGATGTCGGTCACATCAACACCAGATCTGAGGTATACACCATCTCTCGATCCCTTTTTGAACTTCAATTGCTAGATTTGGATTAAGATTCAATAATTGCCAACTATCTGCTCATCTAGTTGCCAATTAGGCTTGAATTTTCAAAATTGTTAGGCAATGCTATGCTTGAGATCTCCCCATTTGCTGCAAATTGTTCTCATTTCCCTCGAGATATCTCTTACTTGTAGCATTTATTGTTGTAACTCATAGGTTGTTGGATACATGGGAGATGAAAATTTGGCCAAAGCTCTTGAAGGAGCTGACCTCGTTATCATCCCAGCTGGTGTACCGAGGAAGCCTGGCATGACCCGTGATGATCTTTTCAACATTAATGCTGGAATTGTGAAGAATCTGTGCACTGCCATCGCCAAGTACTGCCCACATGTAAGCTTTAGGTGTAAAAAAGTCTCATTTTGTGCTACTAGATTTGGGTTTCTATCGAAAGGACTGACCTTTTGGAGCTACTCTCTTGTTGAATCAGGCACTCATTAACATGATCAGCAACCCTGTGAACTCCACTGTTCCAATTGCAGCAGAGATTTTCAAGAAGGCTGGTATGTACGATGAGAAGAAATTGTTTGGTGTAACCACTCTCGACGTTGTTAGGGCCAAGACTTTCTACGCTGGAAAGGCAAACGTCCCTGTTGCAGGTTTGTGTGAACGTCTTTTCCTCTTTCGTACTCTGAAAAATTGAATGACAAGCCTGAGGCTTTAATTTGAATGCTTGTTGTGTCTGCAGAAGTTAATGTTCCCGTGATTGGTGGTCATGCCGGAGTTACAATTCTCCCACTCTTCTCTCAGGTGACCTCTCACTTCCTCTTTACCTTAGACTGTCGTTGAATGTCTTATTTGATCTCACTTGTTTGACTCAAGTTACTCTGCTTGTACACATGTAGGCCACTCCTCAAGCCAACTTGTCAGGTGACGTACTCACCGCCCTCACCAAGCGTACCCAAGATGGAGGTACAGAAGTCGTGGAGGCAAAAGCAGGAAAAGGCTCAGCTACATTGTCAATGGCGTAAGTACTGTTTTCACTTCTTGAATTTGTAATTATTCTCCATCTACTCTTGATTCTTACACTCTGTAGTTTGATAATTGTCACAGTTATGCTGGAGCGCTATTCGCTGATGCGTGCTTGAAGGGACTCAACGGAGTTCCAGATGTAGTGGAATGCTCATACGTGCAGTCCACAATCACTGAGCTTCCTTTCTTTGCCTCAAAGGTGATTCTCAGAACTTAGTACCAATCAAACACACAATCTGCATCCTACGGTGTCATGACTCGGTAGATTAATGTGAATGGTTTGATTATATGATGGTTTAGGTGAGGTTGGGGAAGAACGGTGTGGAGGAGGTTCTTGATTTGGGGCCACTCTCAGACTTCGAGAAGGAAGGCTTGGAAGCATTGAAGCCAGAGCTCAAGTCTTCAATCGAGAAGGGTGTTAAGTTTGCCAACCAATAATTAAACCGGTTATTTTTCCAATTCTTCCGGTAATAATAAAAAATCCATGTTTGGGTTGTTCTTTGGTACATTCCCAACGACAAAGATGATAAATCTGTAACATTTTAAAGTTATGATTATTTCTTCCTTTTGGAACAGTGAGACTTTTTTGCATAAACACGAGATCACAAGTGTGGTTGGTTCTTATTGATTCTGCCTTTGTGAAACCTTCTTTTTGATTTTACAGTTCTTCTTTAACAAGCTAATAACACAATGACATTTTAACAAGCTAATAAGATTTGGTATCTGGAATTCTAGAGACATTCGGTGCGTATCCTCTTTTTCCTTTGTGGTGGTTATTGTGGTTACAATTACTGTTACAGGTACATTAAAGTGACAATAATGTATTCTCTCTTAATTGATAACCTGGCACATGCAGACTCATCATCCATATCAAACATTCGTCTTTCCGTTTGCACTAAAATTGCAAAACAGAATATTGGATTCACCTTCGTCCTTTCTACACCCTTTTTCTCGTAATCCCTAACATGCCTCGATATATGATTATCAACATTTATTCCTTACTATACTTTATCGATTAGATTTGTGTAGGATCCTGATAGTAATTAACAACTTTTAAGTGCGTTTTATTTGGATTATTTTGTGTGGATTGTATATGTTTTGGTGCTTAAGTTTTTCGACATGTCTTTTACTTTGTACTTTACTTTGTGCATAATTTGTCAAAATACCGTTACTTCTTCTACTTTTACCAAACACCAATATTTTATATATGCTAATTTATCATTTTATCGGTTTATCCTCATAATTAGTAGATCAAATTTAATAGAAAAATGAAAATACAATTGTTGATTAAAAACCAAGTCTGAATGTTGCAGAACAATTATATATTTTTGTTTTACATGTGCTTTTATCCTTTCAGAAAAGTGATATTTAAAAAAAAAGAATTATTCCACAGTGTTTTTGGAAATGTTCAATCTGTCTTACTTTCTTGTTTTCAACACTGGAAATGAAATTTGTTATGTTTGCGATTCTACAACAAACCATTTTTACCATTTTACCATTCATGAAGCTTCACGACTAAAGGGTAATTTCGCGCACATAGTTAATGTCTCTAACAATTTTTTTTAATAATAGCTTATTCTTCGACCCTGAATTTCTTTTCATCGTGGTGTTCTGTCTTATAGTACCATGCATGCAGAATAAGCTGCACTACTCCTACTAATGCCCCAAATCCATTTGCAATCGGTAACAACAACAAAAGTACTCAAGTAAGCGAATCTATACACTGAAAGTAAATAAAGATTATCTATAAATTTTACCTAATTAAACACGTCTAGCCTCAGGAAGGCATACGTAAACCACGAGATTCCATTTAGCAAAGTGGCCACTGAGAATAGAAGGGCATGAGCTTTAAGCTATTGGTCTTTAGCACCCGACTCTGCATGTTTAAAACACGTAAAAGTAATACAAAAATCATTTAAAAAATGAAAGAATTACTATAATGGTCAAAGGACCTATGTAACAGTGATGACAGCCAGAAAAGCTCCGGCCAAGGTAGACCTCTCCTCGTGTGTGTGGAACCCTAATATACAAGAAGTGGTTGAGGCTATGGGTGTCAAAATGGATAAACCATCCAATCCAACCCATTATCCTAATGGATTGAATGCTAATGGATCATGGGTTAATCCAATCCATTTATGAAATAGGTTGGTTTGACCCATTATCCATTTAATTAAATGATTTTAATGGGTTAATGAATGAATGAGTTAATGGATGATCCATAAACAAATATAGCTAAAATTCTGTATATTAAGACAAATATAACTAAAATAAAATTTGTAAACATCACAAAAATTTAAAATGAACAATAAAAAAAGATTTGTGGCTAAAACTCCAAATTCACAAAAAAGAAAAAAAATATTAATCATTCTAATATTTGTGATGTATGAATGTATGATTCAATCATTCAAGTATCCATATAATTTCTCATGATCCATTGACCATTGTATATCACTTATTTCTCATAGTTCCTCTCCTTTTCAATCAACAAAAGTCCTCACAAAACAAGCAAAGTCCAAGCCAATCTGGTCATCAAAACAAATATGGTAGTCTGGTCATTACCAAACTAGGAGAATGAGCAAAATGCAAGAAGTCCAATAATAACCAAATAAACCAAAATCAAAGTGAACAGCAAAAGTTTAGCTTAAAACGAGAAACATCATCAAGCTTAAATATTCACAGCAATAGCTTAAAACGATGATATAAGACTTCTTTTGCCTTTAGACTAATCAAGGCCACTATATAAAACTTCAACCTCACGTAAGTTCTGAAATTGAACAAAATCATACTTACTACACAGGACACAATACTCATCATACTCATCAAGAACATACCAAGTCTATATCACATGATTCACATCTAAATAGTAAGTATCATCAAAAGCCACAGACGAAAAAAACTGAAAACAGGAAAGGCATACATACCCCAACAGTCCTCGCAAAGTCCTCACAAAGCAAGCAAAGTCCAAGACAATCTGCTCATCAAAACAAAATGTTAATCTGGTCATTACCAAAGTACGAGAATGAGCAAAATGCAAGAAGTCCAACAATAACAGCAGGAGATTAACCAAAGAACCAAAATCAACATTTGCAGGTTAAAACGACTCATGTCATTTGCAGGTTAAAATCAACATTTGATGTACCACTAGTTGCTGTATGCACATAACTCTTGAAGCATTTAGTACAAGTAGCTTTTCCTTCACCATTCTCATCTTTCTCTAAGCTAAAGGAGTTCCACACAGTAGATGTCTTACTTCTTTTCACACTGCTAGCAGAAACTAGTTCAGTTCTATAGCGTGATGTACCTGTTGATGATTGCAAAAGACCACTGTCAAGATATTCTTCATTCTCCATTGGTCTAGATTCTGGAATTGACGTATTAGATCAATCCTTGCTTGTCGATCCTCTCAATTTCCTGTTTTTTACACAAACAAATTTCAGTTTAAAACAATGACTACAATTCCAGCTGCATAAAGCTACAAACTCCATTGCTCAGATCAAACCAAATGATAGAGAGAAAGAGCAGATTCACACAATTTTGAAAATGCCTCAAGCTCTTGTAGTGTAAATGCCTTAAGCTCTGAGAGATGAAAAATTACATAATTCACACAATTTTGTAATTACCCAGAACGAAAAATACAGAGGGCTCTTCACACAATTTTGGATTCAGTCATCTCTAATATGTGATGTAGATTCAGTCATTTTGGATATGTGAAAAAAAAACACTAAATCCTGCTAATAAGAATCCTAACTCAGGAGTCCGAGACAAGAGCCAAAATACCTGAGAATTCGAGTTTCTTCTGTGAATTTGTGAATTTGTGAGCTCTGAATAAGATCAAATCAAGTAAATTGAAAAAAGATGGAAAGGGACGAAAGAGAGAGAGAGACGAGAGACGAGAGTTAAGAGATGAAGAAACTTTTTCTTCTTTTGTTTATTAAAACATTTTTTTTATCCAGAATTAGTTTAATAAATTGGGTCAACCATTTATCCAGCCCAATATAAACCAAACTATTTTTATCCAATTCAACTAATCGATTATCCATTTGATCCATAAACCCATTTGTATCCAAATTTTCAATCCATTTGAATCAATGGGTAAGATGGATTGGGTCAATCTATGAATTTGGATCCATTTTGACACCCCTAGTTGAGGCTGCTACAAAGAGAATCTGGACTACCATCGTTGTAGCCACAATACGGATATAGGAACACAAGATAGAAAAATTGATTCTTGTGCGCAATCATTCGAAATATTATATATAGCCTTCGGAATACGATACATATATATGTCGGTCATTCTTTTATAACGCATACATAATACTAATGTATTTGAAGTTAAATTATTTTTGACTACAACTCTATTGAGACATTACAACTATTTCCACACAAAAGAAAAAATAAAATAAGCAAACAATAAGCAAAACAAACACAAAACAAAAGCATAAAAGAAGGGAAAAAAACGAAAAACAAAAGTAAACGCGCGAGAGAGGGATTATTAAATGGCAAATACTTCAGAAAATTTGTAAAAGAATATTATCTTTGTCTATATCAAATGATTTTATTTTATTTTGGCTCTGAATAAATTAAAATTACCATCAACCAAAAAGAATATCAAATGTAAAACAACAGATTCACCGGCTAAGCCGTAAATTAAGTAGAAGAAAATATTAATTATACCATATATGATTTAGATGAATAGTAGAAGCTGATAACGAAATAGAAAAGCATTAAGGCCAGTCCCACGAAAAACTTTTGGTTAATTCATATCTCAAAATACGAATATGATTCATATATGAACTAAGTTTTCTGTTAATCCATACTTAAACTGTAATTTTAAAAAGAAAAAAACACGATATTGAATTTTAACAGCTAAATGCATCCATTTTTGTAAAGCATAAAAATAATGAATCTGAAGATGAAATGGAGCCCATTTTGTGATATTTATTTGTTCAGTATCATTATTTCAAGGATGTGCCAATATGGCACCAAGTACAGCATTATCATATAAATTCGTATGCATACGGTTTCCAATCAATGTAAAAAAATGATGTCAAAAGAAAAAACGAAACGAAATAATAAGGTTTTATTAATTTTGCTGAAATTATATACAAGTTTTAGGACATGGTCGGTGTACAATGGAGAAGTGGTTGGAATGAAATTGATAATATGGACAATAAAGTGAAAGAAGATAAAGACAAATCATAGGCATTTAAAATTTTTACTTGTCTCCTTGAATTACCTATGTTATTCTTCTCTGTAAATTGTTTCTCATGAAACACTAAGAAGCAAGCCACAATTGTCGATTTACTTATACAGTGTATATATTTTTATTGTTTTACTAAGAATACATCTCTATGGCTCATGAGTAGCCAGGTACAACTTGTATCCCTTTCTCTACAGACAATTTATATCACTTTCTCTTTCACCTTGAAACTTATTAAGCATCGACTATCGGACTATACAATTGATATTTTCGAAAATGATTCTATCGGATCCTATGCAGATAGAGATGGTGAAACCTTGAAACCAATACAATTTTGATTTGAGGAAAAGTAACGTTTTTGTTATTTTCAAAAGAAATACGTGGAAGTAACAACGTACGATGGAAGATAATTTTTGTAATCAATATCAACTTAAAATGCTTGGACACTACTTAAGATATACATTCATTTGTCTACCAGAATCGAGTTTTCTAACTTTTGGATATGAAATCAGAAATTTTAGTTTAGAAATGATATAAAGGTGCAGCAATGAGATATTTTTATAACCAGACACACTCTCTTCCTCACCATCCCAAACCCCAAAATCGTTTTTTTTACCGTCGCTGTAAATTTCGTCAAACTCAACATCTCTCTCTCTCTCTCTCTCTCTCTCTCTCTCTCTCTCTTCATCTGTTTGGTCTACTTCTTGAATTCTCAGAAAGAGAGGCAAGAATTGGAAAAAAAAAAACCAAAGAAGAGAAATTCAGATATGGGTTAGCTTCAAGATTCGGTTACGTCTTCGTCTTCATCTTCCTGGTCAGTCAACTAGTATTGTGGATTTGGTCAGGGTTAGGGTTTGATAAGACGGAGAGGCAATAAGTGGAAATTAGATGCATTGAACTGAAACAAGTGACTCTGGATTCCTCGGCGGCTAACGACCGCCGTTGTCGCCGCCGCCGTAATCCTTCCACCACCAACCAAGACGACGACGACGACCTCGAGTTTCCTCATTACGCTACAGCAACGGTGGATGAAGAACCTAACCACCACCACCGTATGATAGATTCTCCGTCCCCGATGAGACACCAATCGGCGTTTTCGGCGGCGGATAACGGCGGTTGCGGCGAGATCGTGGAGGTGCAAGGAGGTCACATTGTTCGGTCAACCGGAAGAAAAGACAGACACAGCAAAGTCTGCACGGCCAAAGGACCACGTGACCGGCGCGTGAGGCTCTCAGCTCCGACGGCGATTCAATTCTACGACGTTCAAGACAGACTCGGCTTCGATCGACCAAGCAAAGCCGTCGATTGGCTTATCAAAAAAGCTAAATCCGCCATTGACGACCTCGCCGAGCTTCCTCCTTGGAATCCCGTCGATACCCTCCGTCTCGCGGCGGCAAACGCCAAACCCAGAAGATCCAAAACCTTAATTTCTCCGCCTGCTTCGAGAATTCGCGGCGCTTCCGTGTCCGGAGAAACAGAGCATCATCACCAGTCGAGTTTTCTTCCGGCGTCAATGGACTCTGATTCGATAGCTGACACTATAAAGTCGTTTTTCCCGGTCGTTTCAAAGGAAGCTCCTCCGCCGCCGCAGATTATACAACAGAGCTATCATCATCAGCCACCGGCGTCGGATTTTCACTCACGAGCCAATTCACAAAACCAAGATCTTCGTCTCTCGCTTCAATCTCTACAAAATGGTCCGCCTTTTGCCAATCAAACAGAGCCTATTCTCTTCTCCGGCCAGAGCAATCCGTTAGGGTATGAATCGTCGCCGGCGAGCTGGGATCAGCAACAGAATCACCACCACCAGTCACCGGAATTCGGAAAGATACAGAGAATGGTGTCGTGGAACAACAACGGAACAGCTGATTCCACCGGAGCCGGAGGAGGAGGAGGATTTGTGTTTGCTTCTCCGGCGACAACAACGACGTCGTATCAGCCAGTTTATGGCCAAAGTCAGGTTTTTTCTCAGAGGGGTCCCCTTCAGTCCATTAACACACCTATGATTCGTGCTTGGTTTGATCCTCACCATCACCATCATCACCAGTCCATTGCCACTGACGATCTTCATCATCATCATACTTACCAATCAGCGATTCCAGGCATTGCGTTTGCTCCAAGTGGTGAATTCTCTGGTTTTCGTATACCAGCACGGTTTCATGGCGAACAAGATGATCACGGCGGCGACAAACCGTCGTCTGCTTCATCTGATTCTCGCCATTAAACAAGATCCAAAACACAAAGATTGTGCAACACAAATGGTTTCTGTTCCACATTTCAGGTTTGATCTTTTGAAAACACTATCTGAAAGTCTTGTTCTTTACAATGTTAAAACCATTCATCAAAATTGATAAACTTTTGCTTGGAATAGGGAATGTGATCAACATTGTTCTGCTGGATCTTCTTCTTGTAAAGTCCAAGCCTTTACCAATTTGATGTTCATCTTGTATCAATTAGATAACAACTTTCTGTAAGCTAAGTTATGTTTTAGCGATGTTAAAGCTCAAGCCACGCTAGCTCTCTAACGTCCTGTTTTTGTTGTATCCTGATTCTGAAGCACATTTGTTCTTCTTCTTGTTTGTTGTATTAAATAAATTGTTTATGCTCTTTGTGTTGAGGAAACCTTTAACCCCACTTGAAGCTAAAGTCTCAATCTTTTTCCCTTTATTCCCATGTGGTTTTTTTTATGCTTTCCTCAAGAAATATCTCTCTTGTTTCTTTTTTGACAAACCCAAAGTTGAACAGTGATCTCTATCCATCTTACTGTTGGGTTTAGGATTCATTCTCACTGTTTGATATTTTGAATATGTAATTTTCATGGTTGTAGACAAACTTTGTTTTGACATGCAAAGGGAATTTGGAACAATCATTGCTCTTGTGTTTTCCTAATGTCGTCTTTTGGACCCATAGATGAAGAGTCGTTTTCAATGGGCAGAGTTCGCATGTGTTGCTTCTTCTGGAATTTAGAATTTAGAATTTAGAGTGATGAGTTTTATTGCCAAGATAAAAGAGCAAAGATTATTTTCTTTTCTTTTTTTGAGTTGGCTAGTTGAAGGTAAACAATTTATGAGAAAGAAGAGCAAAAGAGTGATTGATGTCTAGTGTCAATAATGTCATCTTCTTTTAAGAAGGCTGTAGGAGATCCACCAAACTTGAGTGTGATGTACAGTCTTTAATGAGTAAAAAAGGATGGGACATGAGATTAATACATGGAGACACCCATGTTGGTCTAAATGGAGAATGGAAAGTTGAAAGAAGAGGCAAGTCTTTTTCTATTAAGATAAATATGATGAAATTATCTCCTACTTGGAAAAATGGTTATTCATGGAGAAGAATCTATAAAGAAGCAACACTTTACATGTGATGTGATAAGATGAGATGAGATGGAAGTAGCGGCTAGACATCCTAAAGTTCATTTGCAGCAAAAAAAGAAGAAAGCTTCAATCGTCACCAAAGACTGATAAAGCTCATGATGAATATAGTTATGTGAGATATTAATCAAGTATAAGCCTCTATTTTGTGGGTTAACTAAAAAAGAAAAAGACATGAACAAGAATTATATAAGAAAAGGATGGAACCAAAATGGGAAAAAAGGTTGTCAGCTTTAAGAGAATGGTCCCCTCTCTCTTTCTCTTTCTATCTCTTGTCAGATCTCAAGGTTACAGCTGTTCATTCCATTCCTTTCCAGTTTCCATACACAGTGGGACATTTTTCAGATTGAGAATATTTCAAAAGAAGGAAAATAATTTGCAAAACTTGATTGTGGGCTATCTATGGTGATTTTAAAGCCAGATCTTATAAGTGTGCATCTTTCTTCAATGAATCATACTTTTGTGATCATTAAAGTTACAACTTTTTTTTGTCATCTCCATAAAAGTGAGATTTATCTTTTTTTCACTTGTTAACACTTCAAAGTTAACAACGATATTTCTTCACAAAAATCAAGTTCTAACCGGATTTTGGTTACTTTGGAGACAAATTTTAACGAATTGATGAGACAAAGAATTAAGGACTCGGCCCAATAGAAAATCATAAAAGAGATTTAAGCCTTTGGACCATTATTTTGGGTCTTAAAAACAAAAATTTCAAAACAAATCCCAATCTTATTTGCTCCCGGCGGGGCTCGAACCCGCGACCTTCGGCTCATAAGACCAACGCTCTAACCAACTGAGCTACGGGAGCTTGACAATAACATAAATCTTCAAACAAAAATAAACCAAACGTTTTAATGTAATTGTAAGATTGAACCATACTTTGTTGTTGAATTGGATTTTAGAATATGTCACGAATAGAAATTTCAGATTTATACAGCATCACTCAGCAATAGACAATCATCAGTTGATTAAGTTTTATCTTATTTTTTTTTTATTTTATACAAAAAGTTAAAATAAATTTCATCTTATCAAGACAATCATCAGTTGATTAAGTTTCATTATTTCAGTTGATCTCTAGTCTCTACATTCTTTTGCAATAATAAGTTCAGGAGAGGAAAATATACAGAAGAAACAAGAAAGATGATAATATTAGCTTTAATAAGAATCTGTTTCAAACACTGAAACACATCATCACTGACAAATCTCTGAAACTTAACATAAGTTTTTACAATCTCGAATCCACAAGATAAAACAGAGAAGAAAAAAAAAACGAAACACGCGAGAACAAGCTCACTCATGTCAACAAACCTTTGAACAAGAGAGAATCTCTACGACCAGCCAAACCAGTAATCAAGAATATAGACCAGCCCCAAGGACAATGGGTAAAGCGAGTAAGCTATGAAACATGTCCAAAGAGGATACGTTGTGCGGAAACTAGCGAAGCTTCCCATCACCAGACAGACGATGAGAATCACCAACACTTCCGATGAGAAGTTCCATGTTAGTCCTCGAACGTACACGATTGCTAAGAACACTGAGAGACACAGAATGTTGTTCATTGTCACTCCGCCACATAGCTGCAAACACAAACAAAAACAAACAAACATCAAGAAACGGTCTTAGTCAAGTATAATGAGAGACAGAAAGATGGTTTCATTGATAATAAACGGACCTCAGAGAAAGTTAAGGAGGCGGTTCTGATCTTTTTCCGGGAGGCGAAGATGATGGCAGAGACAGCTTCACTTGAGTTGGTGGCTAATGGCAAAGCGATGAAGGAGATGAAGAAAGATGGGATCCCTGTGGCTGCGGAGAAGTTGTTCACCGTGTCAACTAAAGGATCAGCAAATGCAGCAGCAATAGCAGCTCCCAACAGTAGCAACAGAGCTGCTTTAATGGTGACCCACTTTGGGTCTGCAACCTCTCCTGATTCCTCATCATTCTCACCATTTTCATTATCTCCCAACAAAGCATGCTCTCTCTTTGTTTGCTGCAGACACAGAAAAAGAGACAAAGATCAAAACTTTGTGAGCCCCAAATGTGTTCAAATAGGGTTTGTTTCAACAGTCTCTCTTACCGTATGGAAAGTGTCAAGGAACTTCATCGTTCGAGGTCCGGCATCAGGACCAGAATGTCCAGAAGCTCCCATTGCCTGGAGAAGCCAATGCTTAATCCCACGGACAAACTCTTCTTGATCAACTTGCTCGTCAAGAGTCTTATCGAAATCTTGGAGAAGTTTTCCCACAGCATCATCCTTGTCAAAATCTATATCCTCAAAGCTGATCCCAATGATAAGAGCCTTTAGCTCAGCTGCTGATAAGTGTCCGTCCTTGTTTGCATCAATTGTCTCAAACAACCTAACAAATAAACAGATAAAAACTTGAGCACAAAGAAGAAACAGACCCAAAAAAACAACAATTTGCTCTCTCTCTCTCTATGACTTACTTTCGAATGACATGTTCATCAGGCTGACCTTCATCATCAAGAAGCCTTCCCAAAGCATGTTGTTTCAAATGCTTTAGGATTCCTGATATAACATGCTTGTGCTTCGCAAAAGCGAGACGTCTCCTTTGGATCCAAGGTTGGAAGACCTAGATTTCGATCACCACACAAGGAAGAACAATCTCATAAATAAACAAGATGGAGAAATCTCATCAGTCTAGTGACTACTTCTCAAGAACTTTAGTTTATGTTTTACCTGATATACACAGTAAGAGATCAACATTGAAACGGAGAGGATAAGAGCAACCAAGACGGACAAATGTCTTCCAGATGTTGAACTCAACATCTGTGGAAGCTGGACAATGACAAACGGAATAACCGATATAGCCATGATTCTTGCAGCATAGCTCGTCCAAATATCAACAGTCACACCAGAATCTACACACACAGAAGAAGTACACAACAATCAATTTTCATTTCTCTTTAACTTGTGTATTCATCAAAGATTACAGCTTAGACAAAAGAAGAATCATGAAAGTATAAGACGCTTTCTCTCGTTACCTTTAAGGTGGAAGCCTTTAGTGTCTTGGTTGTTCACAGCAACTGAATCATGAAGGTCACACTTGCCAACAACTGTGCAAGTTCCCCAGATTACAGTGAGAAGCATAACGGTGGAGCCAGCGAGCAATCCCATCCCCACAGAGACTTGGCTTTGCGCAGTTGTTGCGTCTCCAGAAAGTCCAGACACTGAAAGTCCAAATTAACAAGCAAAGATCAAAACTTTACCAAAAAAAGATAAGATTTGACTAAAAAGTGGAAGGTGACACGTTATGTGTTCATCGGTTACCATCAAAGCATCATCATCGATCATCATTCGCAGAATATAACAAAGATTCACTTTTTCGTTTCAAAATATCAAAATCAAACAGTAAGAACTAAGAACAAAGGATCGCCTTTTTCTCTTTTCCTCCATAATTCGCAATTCAAGGGAAAGCATGAGAATTTATAGATCGAATCACACGAAATCTCGAGATCTAAATTTCAAATTTTTCATTAAAAAAAAAAAACATTTCACCTACCCATAATGAGCATAGCGTCAGGAAGAGCTCCGAGCATCGGAAGAAACAAACCACCGACGATTCCAGGGCCAAGGATCTCGAGAAGAAGCTCACTTCCGGCAGATAGATACGTCGCGGCCGTGAACATGAGAAACCCGTAAACCAGAATCAGAAACACGTTTCCGAGCGCTGTCTTAGTACACGGCATGAATCCGTACGTCTGTTCACAAGCTTCCTCCTTCTCTTCAGCCGGAGGAGCCGAAACCACCGTCTTGATGATCGATTCGGAGCGGAGGTTTCCACCGTCGATTCCATCGGAGATGAGACCGGTCGAAGATGGCTGTACGGCGACGAATCGAGCGTACGTCGATGTAGTGATGAACAAAAGGAAGAGAAGAGAGATGAGGGATCTGAATCTCATGATTGATGTATTGAAATCAGAGGACAACGTTCATAGAGAGTTAGTGGATGAGTTTGTATATATACACATATAGAGTATATGTATCGTTAGAGCATTGATTGACGGATAATAAAGTTTGTGTCTTTTGTGTGTATAAATCGTGTGTGGCAGTTTTGAAGGGACGATGACGATTTGATTTACCGGGGATGAAGCTTACGAGTGAGGAGGATGAAGATAAGAGGGTGTTTTTACCATTTTAACCCTATCATTTCGTTTTCAAACTGCGTATTGAAATAGCAAAATCGACATATCGTGGTCATTTTACCGGATTGATTTGCTTCTATATACAGCACAGAATAATTTTAGGAAAAATACAAATATACTTGTTAATGTAAAGTTATTACTCCATTAATAAATTTAAAAATTTGTCCACTTCGAAAAGTAAAAGATGACAAAGTATTTATTTATTGACAAAATAAAAGTCTTTTGGAACTAGGACTACTACTATTTCCTACATTAATGGCCTTCCTCAAATTCAACAATGAATTGTTCAGCTTTTTATTTATTTCTGTGTATTTTTGGCATTGTTGTAGTATAAGAACTCAATCCACTAAAATGATATGTGACCTCAAAATGTGATAACAGATAAGGCCTTAATTGGTAGAGCTTTTAGAAGAGCATTAAGCTCTTTTTCATCCAATCAACTTTTTTTAAAAGAGCATTTAGGAGAGCATTTAGAAACTGCTACTGCTCCCAAACTGCTCTTCCCTCCCTGCTCTGAAAGGAGCATTTCCAAAGCATTGAGCTCAAAAATATTTAAAAAATCTTAAATAAATTATAATAAATTATATTTAATTTATTTATTTTGGTAAAAAAATGAAACTATATTTATATCAAATTTACAATTTTATAATTTCGTAAATTAACATTAACAATAATGTATTATTCATAAAATAAATATTTAATGACATAAAAATTAAATAAATATAATTTAAATATGAAATAGTTACTAAATATTTTTTAAAAAATAAAAAACAATCTTATGTTATTAATGAAAATATATATGATGTATTAAAATAAATATCAATATACATATTAAATAATTTCACAAAAAAATAATAATAAAAAGGCTCACAGCTCTACCAATCATATAAATTAAGAACATGCAGTTTCAAGAGCTTAATGCTCTTCTAAATACTCACCCTGCTTATGCTCCTTAAGCCTAATGCTCTTCTAACTGCTTTGCCAATCAAGGCCTAAGATTATAATAAATTCAGCCGGATTCGCGATTTAGTGGATAGAAAGGTTTATATTTTTAAATAAGTTTTTGTTTTAACTTTTGATCTCTAACACGAGATATCAAATGTAAAAATTATTAATCACTTATATATAGTGATAAAAGAGAGAATATTCTGTTATTTTCTATATTTAAGAAAAAGAATATTCTGTTTTTTAATCTTTTCTTTTTTTGCTCAAAGAAGAATAATCTTTTTTTTTTATGAATGATTATGTGTCTGCTATAATCTTTTCAATAATATAAAAAGAAAAAAAATTCAAGACAAAGAAACAACAGGACGTAACTTAACTTGAAAAACTTTTGGGTCGATTTAAAAGATATTTTAGTGTAAGAACGAGCTGAGAAAGAAAAAGTAGGTAAGGATAATTTGGGAACTGAACATGTAGCAGAGAAACGTTCGTGAATCACATTATTACCGGGTTTGTTTACGCGGCCACACGTGTAATATCAAGCTGATCTCAAGGACATAATCACAAAATTAGTCAACATTTGCCGACATCGTAGATACCATAAAAAACAAATCAACAAATCCGAATCAGTTTATTTATTTATTTTAGAAACAGAGCAAACAGAAAAAAGATAAATATTTGGTTTTCAGAGTGCTACACATGTGGCATACCATAGATGGAAACGTTTTGGAACTGTAGCATCTTCTCTTCCAGCAGAAACTAAATAAAATAAAAGTTACATAACATTGCTAGCTTCAATGGCATAGTCGATTTGAAATAGCCCTCCCTTGACGAGAAAATGTGTTGGACTCCTTGTGATCATACTCAGTCCTTGGAACAAAACCAATGATGAAAATATATAAACTAACCAATTGAAATACTAAACAAGACAAAGCTTAAAATTTGGAGATAAAAACACTTACATAAGTTTCAAATTCTCAACGTAGCCTAGAAAGGTGGAAGCGATCCTACACGTAAACCCTTCAAGACCTTGGATCCGAAAACTTGTGAACCTGTTGCTCTCGAGGTTGTAGTAATAAAGGTAAAATGGAAATGAGTCATCTAGACACTGAGATGACAACACAACTTCACCCCTACTGGTCATTCCAACAATGTCTAATTCGGTAGCGTCGCCGCCCAACAAACGAGGTAATGTGTAGATGACCATGGACCATTTACGTTTCCCAGCATCTTCTAGGACACATAACTCAAGACGTGCCGGAAGCGTCTCTTTAAACTGAAGCGCGCCCAATTTACCCTTGTAGTTGATTAGCTGACACCGAGAAGTCAGAACTGTGGCTTCATCATCATCGTTTATGCTGATAAAGCTAAAGTTCTCAAACCTAACGTCAAAACAGACTATCATGGAAACCTTCAGCCCAAGTTCCACCACGGCTGTGTAATACAAAACACCATCTATGCATATTTCATTAGATCTGGGATAGTGCGGTTTGCCTTGGACTGTTCTCCACAAATGTTTTCCGTTCTCCAATGTCATAATCTGATGATCCTCGGGCCTGCTTGGGACACTATCGTGCTGGATGCACAATACTTTGAACTGCTTGTCAATGGGATCATATCCTAAAACAGGTGATACCCAGGTATTTATACTCTCGGACTCCACTTGGGGTAAGGATAACGATTCTCCCGTGGCGGGGTTACAAATAACAATGCCAACATGTCTTCCCGTATCTTGGCGACAGATGAATCCACCAAGAGGAGAACCAAAACTAGCTGAGAATTCTCTAAGAGAATAATGGTTAGCATGATAACGAGTGAGCACAAGAGTTGACTTGCGAGCTGTATTCTGAGGGCTGAGGTGAAGAGAAGAAGAGTATCTTTCCCTCAGCTTGGAAGGCGAACAAGAGCAGCTGTGGACGAGTCCAAGACATTGTGAGGAACAGCTCCTTGAAATCCCGACGGCCGATTATGGATCTCCATTGTTTGGATACGCTACGACAACTTGCTATAGTCCTCGCCGGAACTCGAAACAAGATATCCATGACCAGATCGATCGGGATTCCTAAGAACGGATCTTCGAGAGTTTTCATGGTCACCCTACAATTGCTTCAAAAAGATTAGACGAATGAGCAACAAGATATTCCTACTTTTATTATTCTTGAAGCAGCAGCAGTAATTAAAATCTCTAAGACTAGATAAGCGTCTAAAATCCAGTATTTATAAAGGAGTTGCGTGGAGAAAAAGAAATCTACCTCTAATAACAAACCAGCAAATAATATAATTGTCAACATTCGCATGGTAGTATTATACTATTATGGTAATATAGACTTATCATAACGAAGTTATTTCTGCTTTTTTACCAAAAAAAGTTATTTCTGCTTTTGCCATTTTCATTTTTTTTTGGTGGGTGCATGCATGAAGAATGTGTCTTAGTTTAAAACTTCGTAAATTAATAAACACGATAAATTAATAAATTTTTTTGGTCCCGAGTTGGGCTGATGTAAAATATAACATAATTCGATAAGATAATAAGATAATAACTTTTTTTGAACTCCTATGTAAAATATGGTCCCAATAATATCATAAATTAATAATTAATTTTATTTATTTATATATATATATCTAAAATATCTAAATACTAAAATATGAATCTCTCACACACCAAACATATATGGAAACTAAAAACAAAAAAGGAATTTAAATAATATGGCAAGTATGAGAAAATGTGAATAATAAAGTAAATATAGAAACATTAGAAAAAAAGTTAAGAAAATATACATAGAAAGGAAACTTCTGATTTATTATTGAATTTTCTTTTAAAAAAATATTTTTAGTCAAAATCTATATATTAGTAAAATATTAAAGTCCCGACATTATTAATTTATAGAGTTTCTACTGCATATTCTTTTCGGTTCGACTAGGTTCGTGTTTGAAAAATCGGTTTTTACAGTTAATTTTCCATATATAATTCCTTTCGGTTAAATTTGAAGATTTGATTGGGCCTAACTTTGGGCCCAATTCTGAACGAGTATTGCGTGCTTCTTTCTTCCCCAGCGAAAGGGTTTCGAACAAATTTCTGTCGTTCGTTGCCGGAGATTTTCCCATCGCCGGTAATTGCTCAGTCGTCAGAAGTTCGATTCAACCAGAGGCTTCCATAGAAACACTCTTGAAGTGAATTGAATTGAGAAAAACCCGCTTAGAACACCGTATTCCTACTCTTCTTAGTCCTCCTCCTCCTCCTGACCCTCTATCTGAGCAATCTCGATTCGGTGATTCTCGTCGAAATTGCTATAATTCGATGTTCACAGTTTTATCATAGCTGCTGGGTATTGTTTGACACGGAGATTCCGGGATAAGGCAATGAGAAAGGTGAAAATCGAAGAGCAGCATGATGAGATTATCGATGACGTCAAACCTGAGCTTCGTCGCGTGGTTAGCTCCGATGTCGTCGTCAAAGATAGGAAGCTCAATAGAACTCTCCTCTGCGTGGCGAAACCGTCTTACCTCCTGGGTCTCGGGCCAAGAACTAGACGAAGCGACTACCTCCAACGATTGCCAAATATCCTCTCTGATCTGCTTCGCCATAAAAACTGGAGCGAGGCAAGCAAATTACTCAGCGTTCTGATGCAAGGGACGATGAGAGATGGTTCTCCGAAGATGAATCGCCTCAAATACGAGGTTTTTGCTTTTTTTTTTATCTCCTCCAAAGATTTGATCATGTAGTTAGTGCTTGCTTGTTCTCTGCTCAATACGAAGGTTTGTGTCTCTGCAGGCTCAAATAAAGATTGTGAGATACTTGAAACCTAGCAAAAACTATGCCGTGGAGATTGGAAAAGTTTATGATACTTGGATTGGGAAGATTGGTAAACAGCACAAAGAGGTCTCCTTTTTTAGATTCTTGATTGTGTTTAGCTCATTAGTGGACACTGGACAGTGTAGCATTCTCTGATTGAGGCTAACATTTTGGTTCGTGATCATTTGAACAGGAGAGGCTCTTGGTATGGTTCGAGCAAATTTGCCATTTTATCGATCATGGGATGGATGATGAGGCCCAAAGTGCTGCAACCAGGTAAAATTGACATCTCAATGCACATGTGATCTCGTTCTTGATTTCTTGAATTAGGTTTGTTGATTTCTCTTGTTTCTTTTTGGTAGCATGATGCAGAACCGTGATATGGGAATGCTTCCAAGGTCCAATCTATGTATAGGAATCACATTGTTCAGACTGTGGTGTCGTAAGTTCCAGGCGGTGTTACAGCCTCGAGAGGTTGCAGACTGCAGCGAAAGCGAAAGCGTATCTAATAAGTCGGAGTCGAGGCCTGATATGATGATGGTTGAGTGTTCAGTGAAGAACGAGTCTGCTTACTCTGTGGAGGAGTCCGAGGGCTCTGTTGTAAACGACTCGGAGTCTTCTTCGGTCATGAAGGGGAAGGTGAAACTGGAGAAGGTCAAGGTGGAGAGTTCTTTGCAGTATGACAATCCAATACAACGACACTCTGCTACCTCTGAAGAAAACGAAGACGATTTGCAAGCTATAGATTCATTAGATCCCGCTCTTATCGAAATTCTTGGTTAGTTTACTTTGAGAGCGTTCTTTACCCTAAATTATGATCAGTTCTGTTGATTTCATGGCTTCTTCTTTCTGTTAGAGGACATGGATCCATGGTTGCTTCCTTTGGCACCGCCAAAAGATGAGGATTGCTATAGAAATATAGTCAATGATAGTTATTATAAAGAAGCGGTGAGATATTTGCGGCTTGCTTTGCAGTCTCCCCGTGATGTATCTTTAGCTGCAATACATCCACTTGTACAGGTAAAACATTTTTGCATATTTGACTCAGAAATATTTGAATGTCTCACATGTTTCTCTCTCTTTCCAGCTTCTGTTAATTGGAGGTCATACAGATGAAGCGATGAAAGTAGTCGAAAATATGTGCAACAAAGTGCATCACATCAAACCTTTCAGGTACAGAAAGCTCTATCTCTCTCTCTCTCTCAGATATGGAAACAGAGGAATTTCTGAAGTTGAGTTTTGTTTCTTTGGCTCAATTGTAGGATGAAGGCGGCTATGATGGAGAAGTTTCACCCTGAGAGCGACAAGCTCGCAAAATCCTACGAAGACATCTTAAAGATTGATCCTATCTGCGCAACTACCCTGAAGAAGCTTATTGTAATGAGCGTAGAAGGTACTTAGGAGATCAAGACCTTTTAGTCTTTTAAGACCTTTGATCGTCTCTAATAACAACGTTTGCTTTTTTTACTTGCTTGCAGTTGGTTATAGCAGAGAGTCTCTAATCGAAATGATAGCATTGCATGTGGAGTTTTCTTTCCCTGAGCCTGAAATCTGGAAAGAGTTTGCCGATTGCTTGATTTTCTTCTTCGATAATCTTGATGAAGACCGAATGTCGGTATGCCTAGACGGAGCTGGAGAAGAACGGAATCAACAAACGTATTCTGTTCGATACAATCCGACACCAAGAATGTTCACCGATGAATCATGGACCCTTCGGGCTCAGGGGTGGCTTCACCGCCATTTCTTACTGGAAATGCTCGAGACAGAGAGAAAAAGAGGTATATACAGCTTTATATTACAACAGAAATCAAGCCATATTTGGTAATCTTAATGTTTATTTCTTTGTTGATATTTTTCAGAAGATTGGAACATGATGACTTACAAAGCGGCATGTGCAAGTCATATCTACGGACAAGAGTTTGGTTATGTTACAAAAGCGTACGGTCTGTTGGAGAATAATTGCAACGACAGGAGTTTGGTCAACGAACTTCGAAAGCACAGACGGATTTGGAACATGATTTACAACCCTTTGCAATAGTTTTTACCAAAAGGTGTAGAATTATTCCCATTTTTAGTTCGCTAAATTTTGATTGTAATTTATTATTTGTAAGATTCTATTTTGATGTAATATACTTATATACGTGGCCTACTAACTTTGGGGTCTTATAAGATTCACAAATTTTGGAAATAGAAAATGTTAGATTGTATGAGTTCGAGTGATAAATTCTTTCAGATATTGTTTTTGTCAGGAAATATGATTTGAATAGTGCGTTGTGATGTGGTTTTCATTATTCTGAAAATTTGAAAACAGTAATATAAGGCACGAGTTGTAAAATGTCTTTGATAGATCATAAAATGCCTAAGCAATTGACCAAAAAACATGAAAAGAATTACAAAGAAAACCTAGAAAAATAACATTAGCCTGTACATTTTTTTCATTGTAACGTCGTAGCCAAGAAACCAAATTAAAAAGATGACAGTTTTTGACCATTCACACATATTATGTGCACAAAACAAAAAAGTACAAATTTACAGAATTTTTTTTCTGGAGCTGAAAACAAACCCAAACTCTGTTTTCTTCTCTTCTTTTAAGTCTCCTTTTTATATAAATATATTTATATATATATAAACCCGATAGATAAAAAAGGCCATTCTTCTTTCTTCCTATTATACCTTTCTCTTCTCCATCACCAATGCCTCTGATTTACAGATTGGGCAAACGTTCTTCACAACCAGCCATTTCTCCAAGCACTCTGCATGATACTCGTGCCCGCAATCCAAAGTCGCAATCTTTTCTTCGTTCTTGAAGCTTTCCTGCAAAACACATTGAGAGAGAACTCTTTAGAGCTCTAAATCCAAGCCTTTGCAGCCATTAAAAAAGCTTTCATCTTTGGCTAATTTTTTTACCTGACATATAGTGCAAGGCTCAGTTTCTACATCTTTGGTTCGTGGAGACGACGGCTCTTTTTCAAGGTTGATTCCTAAACATGTTCTTGTTTTCAGATGATTCTTCACATCTTCCTCTGGCAAACCAGTGTTTACAGTCCCAATTCGCTCACTCAACGCAAGAAGCTCCTGTTCAAATCCCCAGTTTTCAAAATCAGATCACAGACAATAGCATTGTGGATTCTCAAGCTCATGCTAAAGCCAAGTAATGGTGGGATCACCTCGTAAGACATTTCCTCAATGTCCAATCGCATATCTCGATGATGATCAATGTTATTATTTCCAGAACCGCCAAGGAAGTCTCCAAACTCCAATATCGCAACTTCCTACACACACATTGAGAGAAACATACAAATGAGGCCAAGGAAGTTACATCATCAGGCATCACTGTTAAATGAGGCAAAGAAAGTTACATCATCAGGCATCACTCTAAGCCGAGGAACTCCACCACGGTGTTGTCTAAGAGTAGCTACAGGTACAGAATCATCTCGCTGATGATGCTGGTATATTCGACCGGTTTGTTGAACTGGACCCATCTCTGAACCTGAAGGACCACTATTCATGGTGGTCTGAGGAGCAAAGCTCCCAGGAGGAACTCTGAATGAGGCCGGAGAAGCCATGTGAGGGTATAACGTAGTGCTCTGGCCTCTCACTCCTTGTACACCAGGAGGTGCAGGGTGATGATGATGACTATAATAGTCCCTCGGGTTTAATGGAGAAGGATACATGAACGCTGTAGGGTTTCTGCTACTAGACTCGACAATGTTACTACCTAAAAGACCATTCAAAGATCACTTAACTAAGATTTGTATATAAAGAAACTGAGAGTAGGGGTGTGTAGGTAGGTACCGTGCATGTAAGGCGAGTGAGGCCAAAACGAAGGTGAAGCATCAGATCTTCCATGGTGTTGATCATACCAGATAGAGCCAGGAGGTGGGAAAGGATGATGACCTGGATAGCTCCCTTGAATGAAGCTGTTTGGAGCATGAGGAGGAGGAAGAACAGGGTTCATTGTTGTAACAGCTCCTCCTGGTCTGTTCCTAGCGCCTCCAAAAGGCGCTGCTGTCTCTGGTGCATTGAACGGAGTTGCTAAAGTACTTAAATACTGAGGATTTACAAGCATCCCTTCTGCGTTTTTTCTCTTATATGCTCCTCTTGTGTGATCCATAAAATGAGCATTCCTCTCGTATTCATGATCAGAACTTACTCCCACTACACCATGACTGCTGGAAGACGGTAGCTGACTTGGAGGAGCTTGAAATGCAACATAAGGAACATAGAAATTCGTTGGAGCACGCTGATGATGATGAGGAGGAGGTTGGTGGTGGTGGTACTGAGGAAGACCATAGAACATTGCAGAGTTGTCGTAATTAGGGTCTTGAAGAGAATGAGCTTCTACTAAATTAGGAACGTTTGTAACCATGGCAGGGATGTTATGATGATTATGATTATGGTCAGGTGGTTGTTGTGGAAAGCTGCCTAGAAGGATGCAAGGCTCTGGTTGGAGAGAGGCTTGAGATTGCTGCTGCTCCATTTCTATATCGACCGTTCTATTTCTTTGTCCCATTTCGCTTGCTGCATATGCCCTCTGATACACAGAAACATCAGCAACCATAACAAAGTAAGATACTGAAAGTTTTGATCCATTAGAACCAACCAATGCAACATTATCACATCTCCAAACTAAGCTATTACATTCAATGGCACTATTGTTATGTCAAAACATTTGCATTTGCATTCTCAAAACTCATTGGAACAATAAAAACACTGAACATTTTAGCTGCAGAAACTAAGAACAATTTTTTCAAATGGTGAAAAGAAAGATCAAAACTTTCATACATTTGCAAAAAAGATGAAACTAGCCCACAATGCCTAACTAAAATCAGAACAAAAGCAAAATTGCTGAGAAGAGAGAAAAAAAGCTCTGACCTTGAGAACATTAAGATTGTAAAGATGAAAAAGCTTGGAGAATTTTTTCAATGGGGGCTGCAACGAGCTACAAAAGACAAAGACTTGTAATTTTTCGGAGAATCGAAAACCGAAACTCCCTGCAAAAGATGGTAAAAAACAGAGTTAGATAAATCAAACAATCTAGATGATCAAATGAGATTAAAATCATCAAACCAAACTAACCCAGAACAATGCAATATATTCAGATAATGTTCATGACAATAAAATTAAACAATTCAATCAAAAAAAAAAAAACCAACTTTTTTATCAGGGGCAAAGAAACTGGGAAATCAAACAAGCTTCAGAGACCCGATTATCGAGATGATTAAAAGAGATAATTACCTGATTTTGGAGGTTTAATCAGGGAGAGAGAGATCCAAGGGAAGAAGAGAGAAAGAGGAGGTGAGGGAGAGAGGGAGAGAGAGAGAGAGAGAGAGAAGGACGTCGGTTTCTTGATTCTAATTTCTTTTCGCACGGTGACGGAAGGTTTTTATTTTTTTTCGCATTTATCTTTTTTATTCTCTTCTCATTCCCATTTTATTTTCCTATTTTTTTCATTGGTTTCTCTTTTTTCTTCGTTTAATACTTTTTTTTTCATTGCAGCATACTGTTTTTTTTTTATTCTAATTAAAAAGTCCTAATTATAGACCCTAAACGACGCCGTAATCTCACATTGTTACATCTCGACTTTAATTAGTACAAACTTTTAATCTCAGAATTTTAGTCTTTAGTCTTTACTGAAGCATGCCAACAAGGACTTAAAGTTCATTTATTAGGTAAGTTATAATTTATAACAGTTTGATTATAAAGGATTCTGTTTAAATAAAATGATCCAAAATTGAGAGGACTTGGTATTATATTTAATGAACTTTTATAGCTTTTTCCGGTGACGTGTATAAGTTTAAAGTTTGTGAAATGTATTCTGAATAAGTATTATTTTCTGGATTAGATAGATTTTGAGCAAAGTTATTAATTGTTTGGTTTTCTTAAAAACAAGCTTTGGGGAAGTGTCCCCATGTGCTTTCTTTGTTGAACCAGCTTGCCACCTAATTATGCCCAAATATTAATTTAGAATTCATGGCTACACAACTCTGTGAACAATCTAAACTGTACAACCACATCTCATCCAAGAAACTAAAACTCAAATGCGCTGTGATCATCTGATTGACCAGCGTTACTTGTGTTTTGTAATACACTAAAGATTACTTTGTTGGAAGAGTATTGGGAAAAATAAAAAAAGGTATCGGCTTCAGTTACTCTTAACATTGGATTTCCATTTCCATTCCACCAATTTTATATGCCTAATGTTTTATTAATTAGAGTTGATTGATATGTGATTTGAATAGGATAAGGACATGTAACTTGGTGTGTGGTCGATGTGTCATTTCTACGTTTAAGTCTGATATGTCGTTGACAAAACAAATGTTGTATAGATAGTAAAATGATGAAATTGATTAAAATGATGGAATAATCGGCCGAAACGTTAAGAAAAAAATAGAGGCCAAATTTTTACCATAAAACAATAAAAGAAAAAAGAATTGAAAGTGAAATAATTTTTAAAAAGAATTGAATTGAAAGTGTAATACTTAAATTTGATATTGACATCTTTTATGTATCTATATTGTGAAATGCGAGCTTCAAAAATGATTCTCCAAATAAATCAAATTTTAGTTTAAGATAAAAGAACTACCACATAATTTATTGCATAATCTGTCTGTTCCTTTGAACAAAAAAAAAAATCTGTCTGTTCCAAATATTTATATATTTTTCTGTTGTTGTAACAAGGGTGATTTATCTATAAAATATAAACACAAATGATAGGCGTGAAAACTTGACTAGCATCTAAAAAAGCAATGAAATGACAATCGTGCTTTCAAAAAGGTAAGAACGCGGTAAACAATCTACTGTCAATAATCCAAATTAATAAAGATAAATGTGGGACTAGCTAGAGTTATATACACAGAAGAATATACATATGTTTGTTCAATGTTAATACCTAAAATTAAACGATTCGAGAGAGCATAAGTTGACCGAATAATCGTACTTCGAGCTAAGATATGCGTTTGACTTTTTCGTCAAACATACACTTAAATCCATGACATCGTTCTTAGTGTATCGAAAATTGACATGCAAATAATATAACTCGAAATAATCGTCCTATGTAATTCTTTTTTTTTTTGGGTTTTCATTGTCATTTCATTTGTATAGTAATATCTTATGTACTGATTAAATTATAATACTATTTGCTATATTATGGAAGAATTTCATAACTACCACTTCAATAGTACCATTTTCCAAAAATATGATTACGATCGAGCTTGCTATTTTAAATTTTACACTATTCAAGTAGTATTTGTTTACCACTATACCTGAAGTAGCCATACAGATTCTAATTAAAATACAACGATACACGTATGTGTTGGGGACCAATATAAAAAAAAAAAGGTCACACATTTATAACAAAATCCATATTATCTCTATCCAAATAAAAAAGGGCACAGATATATAACAAAATCCAAATAGATCATATTATCTATTTGGGATTCAACATTGCTTCCAACTGTAGAGTTTGGATCAGATTCTTTCTACTGTCGTAAACCCACGAAGAGAATATGCTCTCAGCTCTTTTATTCTTTTTCATTTATTCTTTTTCTTATCGACTGTATTTCGTAGTGAGGTATTTACGAACCAACTGGATCACACATATGGTGCCTAACGTTAATCTAAGTTATAAAATAATGGAAATTCATTTAACAAAACAAACTCTTATACTTATACAGTATATCTCATTTTGTGTTTGGACTAAAGCAATTATATTAGATGAGAAAAAATAAGGTAACAACATCGTTTCAAAGGCTGCCCAAAGATATCATTATGTTATCTTATCATGGCTTCCCAAAACGTATAGTTAAACACGACTTTATTCCACCAACGATTTTGATTCTTCCGATTGGAGAATTTGAGATTTTTGTTGGTTTCTTGAAGTTAGGGTTTTGTATTTTACAACCGTCCCACTTCTTTATATGTAGTGGAAAATAAGCTCTCGAATCTTGAATGTATTACTCTTGCGTGTGTGATTTCAATATTTCATCAACGGTCACAACAAAAACGCAGCGTTTAAATAATGGGCTGACTGGAGGATTATGGGCCTGTGATGACGATGTATTATTGGTTTTCTGGCTGAAGATTGATAGAAAGTATCGCAAGGGATCATTTTATGTTTTTTTTGAAAAATGAATACAACTTCAAAAAAGAAATGGGACCGATGTTCGTGATTATTTCTGAGTATATCATGTAACAAATTGTTAAAATACAACTAAAAAAGGATGCTGGTTACTTCTGAGAAAGACAAATTCTGAATGCATTTTCACTTCTATTTCGTTGAAGCAAAATAAGAGCTTAAATAGTGACCAACAAAAAGTATACGTTATATATTTTATATTAAATTATTTAATAAACAAATCATGACCTTATTTAATACAATTGGTATATGCATACTATGTTTCAGTGTTTTAGTTGTACGTGTGTATAAAGACGATCCTAAAACGAATGTAAGTAAGAATAATAACTCGTTGTGGGTGACTTTGTGATATTTCAAAAAAAGTGGTTACTTGTTTGTAAATTTGTCTTTCTACTTTTTCAGTTTTTCGTTTGGATGCTTTCAAAAAGTCATAATTTCTTCATTTTCCTACTTGGGATTTGACCTATGCCACTGTTTTCTGTCATCTGTTAAAGTGGAAAGTCTGTTGAGATTTGTCTGTTAGTTAACTGTGTTTCTCTTTTAGTAAGGTGATTTGGTAGCAACAAATAGTAAATGTAATGAGTTTTATTGGAAGCTACCCACTATTTTACATCCTACAATAACCCGTAACTAACGGTCACATGTTATGGAATCATTTTGTGCAATATTCCCAAAAGTGATTTTTGTGTATCCAAACTGTCACATTATCAGATTTCACGAGACCTACTATGCGCGAGTAAACTATTCAGAGTATGTTTGGTTATTACATTTGATAGTAAAATATTGAAGTTGAATAAATGCATATAAACAATTATTGTTTTGGTCTTACGAGAGATCTCTGCAATCAAGAACCGGTTCAATCTAGTTAGTTCCACGTTACTACTTTTTTTTGTTAATTTTATATACTAATCCAACATGATTCAACGTATTTTACGTGTAATGTTATCGAAATAGAAATTATTATTTTATTTAGAATGCTTCTAGGAAAGTCAGCATAATCGCAATCAAATCACAAATAATTATGTTCTTTCTTTTGGATTAAATACAAATTATAATTAAAAATTTGGCTATCATAATGTTCTTCCTTGTTGTTTTTCTCTCATCCCCTTTTCTTCACCATAATCATGACTTCTTCTATGCCAAATTAAAAGAAAAACATCATCATCACATCAACAGAGGAATCTCATTATTTCAGGAGGATCAGTAAAAAAACACAAAAGGGTTCAAGATAAGAATCATCTGTACGGGATAGTGTTATCAGAAAAAACACAGTTAATCAGTGTAATTAGGAGAATTTTTTAGCATTCTTGTCGGACATTACTAGCTACGGCTCGAGCCCAAAACTTGATCTGATCCTTCATTTCTTTCCTTGAATCCTTAGGAACCCTAGGCGGTGTAGCCACTCCCGTTGAGACACGTGGCTCGATCAAATGATCATCATAACAACCTTTCAGCTTTTGAATATCTTTGGTTGTCTCTATGCTGCTTAACGTTTTACGCAGCGTTTTGGGACTTGCGCTTCCATGTTTGACCATAAAAGTTTCTTCTGATCTCGAGTTTCTTGGTGGTCTTTGACTAATTTGATTGCTTGAAACCTGCACCAAGATTCAAAACTTTAGAAATGTTTTTTCAGAATTTTCCAAAACCATAATGAATTTATAAATCATTTACCTTTGGAACATCATTCGAGCTAGCGAGGGCTTTGCGGATCAAGAACCCCATTCTTGAATCGCTTTCTTGATCTTCAAGTTCGTCTTCTTCTCTTCTTATGTTACTTGGCATCGTTTGAGTTCTCTGCAAGCCAACTTTGATACTACTACTATCTCCTGTTATGTTCCTTTCACTAACCCCTTTGTCTCGAACCATATTTCTCTTCTTATGTAAGATACGCTCACTCGTCGGTTCTAGAATCCTAATCTTCTCAGAGAACTGCCGCGTCAACTTATTGATCATCTTCTTGGCCTCACAATCAACCTTTCTTTTTTCCATCCGAGGCGGCAAAGAAGGAGCTCGGATCAAACAACGCACAGTGGAAGCATCTTGTATCTTCCCTGGAGCAGAACGAGATCCGGATTTGGGAAGAAGCTGCACATGTTCCTTCTTCTGCAAGAAAGACTCAACTTCTCTTGGTTCTTGAACCCTAATATTTTCAGAGAGCTGCTTTGTCTCTGATCCGCCTTCTCCTGTATCTTTAGAAGGTGCTCTGATCAAACATTTCCCCGTGGATGCTTCCAAATTCTTCCTCGGATTCAAATCTTCCATTGTTTCAGGAGAAGTCAAAGAAGAGGAAGAAGATGAAGGGTAAGGATCTGAGTGACAATACCTTAAGACTCTTGATCTCCTGGTGAATAAGTTCTCAAAGAACCAGTACTCTTCAAGAAGATCATCAATAAGTAGGGATTCACTTGAACTTGCAAGATCCATTTCCTTTTCAGGCAAGAGGTTACGAAAGAAAGAAGGAAGTTAAAAAGAAGAAGACAAGAGATTCTAAAAAGAGAGAAGTTGTGTGTTTATAACAAATATTGAGTCTTCTGATTTTCCCTTGTGGGGTTGTTTGTTCATATCTGTGTTGTTTAGTAAACATCCAATGTATTTGAAGCATCGATTCTGGAGATTTATCTGGGAGTGCCCACATGGGCAGCCTTTCTTCCATTATTTTCTTCATAATATTTTATTATATTTTTGTGGAGTGAATATTTTGGGTTTTGCATAGAGTATTCCAGCTAAAAATAATGTTGAAATTGGAAGTTATTCCATGATAGAATATTAACAAGTGTAGAACAATAGAGACAAATATAAACAGATAAAGTATAAGGTATATATGGAGACTTATGGTAAAGTAGAGGTATCTAAGTGGATAATAAAACAAATAAATTTGGCAACTACTAAGATAAATAATGTTCAACAAAGCTATGATTACTTAACGGATGACATAATAATTAATCACTGTCAGGACACTCCACAAGCCATGTGATTTTCTCTATTTCAATACATTTTATTTTGTCCATTTTCTAATTACATACATTAATCAGAATATATATAGTAGAATTGTAGAAACATAGTAGCCTAATACTTTTATCAAAAGAAACATAGTAGCCTAATACTACAAAGATTTATAAACACGAATCGTGGAGAACAAATACGAATATTTTTCTTTACGAAAAATACAGAGATTTTAATATTTATAAGTATAATAATCAGTAGAGAAAGAAAAAAACAATAATCACGAGTTCTGGATCTCCGTCAAATGGCCGCAATGTTATCAGTTTATGTATATGTGCATGACAAGTGGTTCAATTACTGATAAGAACCAAAATATATAATATTTAATATGAACTCAATAATGAATTATTTCATGGCGTTGATTTGTTTTGTTTTGTATGTAATCACGTGGATGTTAAAAAATTGACGAATTATATAAGATACTCCACTATTTGGTCAATTTGTCTTTTTTCGCTATAAAATTTATTAATCGCCTAATGGCCCTATCTTTTGCGTGTTGCAAAATCAAAGCATTAATTGACACAATCCGTCGTTTTTCAAAGATAGATCGATCCCGAAAAAATTGTGAAAATGAAGAATGTTTCATAATAATCCTACTTGCACGCATTTATAAGACTAACAATCTCAAGCTGTAAACAATGATATAACATTGTATAGTGTCACTTTGACATTAAATACTTCAAAAAGAAATTTAGTTTGTGCTTTTCTCCTCCCACTAGGTAAGGCAAGTCTTTGAACTTTATTTGCTCTATGGAACTTTCAGCAATAAAGGTGTTTCTACTTTCTATTTCTGTGAGCTAGTCTTTGATCACTTCTTATCCAAAACATAGTCTTTGGATCACTTGTGAATCTTGTGATATTTAAATAAAAAGTTTAAAACCTATTTATACATAAAAAAAAAAAAAAAAAAACTCAGCAGTGTAAAATGTTTGAGAAAAACCGTTGGAAAACGATGGAATGTAACGAAACAACTATGGGAACAAATTTCATGTTCACAAGAAGAAGATACCAAAAAAATATTTAAGAGGAGATGGAATCGTTAAATTTTGTAAAAAGGAAGAGGGTAATGTGAAGAAGCTTATATAAGACCATTCAAGCATAACCATGGAATAACATGAACGTCTACCTATTTAAAGAGAAAAAAACGTTTTCTTATAAGTTAAACAAAAACGTGAAGTCTTCAATTCTTGTTGTTGTTGAAATGTTAAATTTATTAATCAACAAAAATGGTTATATACAACTATACAAGTCTCGAATGAAAGAATCATATCGTAAAATAATTACAAACTTAGAGATCTAGTAGCTATATTCGATCTTCAATGCACTCCTCTCGCTTGAAACCACCTTGGAGAAAGTTTAAATTCAACATACGTTGTCTCTTATTGAGTCATTACCGAGTCTAAGTATAGTGTTCTGGTCGACTTTGGAGAATTTTTGTATAGTTAGTCTAAAGTTTTTGTCGCCTTGACCGATTATGTGCCACAAAACCCCCTCTTGTTGTTTCCGAGATGGAAATTGCATCAGTGTTATTATGAATAAAAAAGATCGAATGCAAAAGACACTTCAAACAACATAGGATGAAATATGTAATATGAAGAACATGATATCAAACTTGGTCAAATATGTATTCGTTGATCAGTGGTGGTCAGTTACCAAATTTTCCATGTAACTCACCTATTTCGTGACCATCCTTACGGAGTAGAAGCTTAATGTTGTATCGACTCCAAAAGTTGTAGAACTTTGTATTTGTATGTTGGTCTTGATTACAGAGATGTTTTTCTCTATAAAAAAGTGTGGTGGCAAATAATAAAAGAAAACATACTGGCTTAAAATACTGTGGGCTTTCGAACAAATATGTGGGCCTGTTGTGAATATAAGATATGGTGAAAAGCAAATGAATTTTCGTTTTTAATTCCATTTATCGTCTAAAGCAAATGTTTAAACCTTGCTATTGAAGGTAATTCAAACCATTTCGTCTACTTTTTCTTCGTAAGCAACAAAAGACCATACAAATTATGCTACAGAAGTGAAAAAGATAACAAAACTTTACATTTCATTGAGGTGACTACTGATTTCATAGTCGTTTATGTAAATCTTTTCATGTAAAAGCGTAATCACCTAAATTTACGCTCAATAATATATCTATATCATTTGCGATTTTTCTTATGATTTGCCACACGTCTATCAGCGAGAAAATTATATGTAAAGTTATTTTATACTTAAAAGAACGAAAAAGTAGTACATAAATTTGGCAGAAAAATGACATGTGATTAAAAGACGAGAATACGTTACACTGCATCTATTCCAAACTTCCACGGATTCTCGTTGGCACAAGCTAGTCCATTGAGCATATGTCATGTGTTCTCTAACCCTTGTTTTTCTGGCAAATTGCCATATCAACTTAGCTACGGTTATGAATCTTATGATCACGTGGCATTTGGCCGTGCAACTGTTGCAGATTCTTACTTGCTTGATTAAAACATGAATATTTTTTTATAGGAATTTGTTTGTATGTTAGAGAGGATTATGGAAGGATGTGAAAAATGATATAGAAATACATACTTTTGACAACATACCAAAATTGAATATGTGCGCTAAGTTGATATGGCTCTCGGAACATTACTAGCACAGATGATTAATGGTTGATTTCTTAAATGACAATTGAATCTGTGCGCTAAAAATAACCCCAATCCATTAATCAAGGTGTGAAGACATAAGTAGGTGTTATGTGTCGACTGTTGACCGAGTCATTAAGGAAGATTGAAAAACACACATACAATAATTAAAGTAGTTAACGAAACTAAATTTATTAAATAGTACAAAATATTTAGGACCTCACGGTCTCAGTCAGTCAGTCTCTTCTCCTGCCGTCAAATTTAATTTCGTCTTTTCAAAAAAAACAAGAAATATTGACGGTGGCCCCACAGTCCTTAGAATTGCGGTTAACCGACGGGGACTCGTTTTCTCTCTCCTTGTCTAGTCCGTTAGTCTTAAGCCACGCGTCTATTTCCCCACGTGGCATGAGAGATCGAGAAAAAAATTCAGACATTAACTATTTTAAAAATGTGAGGTGGGACCCAAGTTTTGGATTTTTTAGCGGAAGGACGGCTACTTTGGCTTATGTCACCGGAAATGAGTCAAACGCATAACGCTCTTTCAAGCGATTCCATGAAACGGCTACGAGTGACGAAGGCAGTGGGACCCTGAGACGTGAGCCCTCACGCGTTCCCATTAAAACGCGGTTCCTGAGCCGCGCGTCCTCGTGATTTTTGCCACGTTTCCAGAATTTCTCAACTTTTGATCCGCCGCTGCTACATTGTATCTGCTCAATTTAATTTAAAGGTGTTCGTGATTTCCAGATTCTAATGCCAAAATCTGCGTCTCTTTAATAAGCTTTTATGATCTCCTTAGTCGTTTCGTCGGTTACCAATTTTCTTTCCACTATACATGTATCTTCTACGAAAACTTTAACTTGGTAACACATCCAAGCTAATTTGCAGTTCAGCTTTGGTAAAACAGATATTCTACCATAATAAATCTGTGATGCTACACATTGTGAGGATTGACAAAGATTACTTGACAGAAATAAATCTGAATTTATCCCTAATGATTTGATGTTAAAATTTATCTGCGCATATATGTTTAAAGATGTAAAAATTACATTATACTTTCAAGGTTTATGATCGATATCATTTTGAGATTTTATTTTGTTTCATAAAGATTTTTTTTTTTTTTTTTTTTGTATTTTTATAAAAAAAACAGATAAATCAAACCAAAAATGATACAATTATGTTTAACATTATATCATAAGATAATAAACTGAATATATTTTGTCCATTGTACTTTTATTTCAATTAAGATCGGATCTACATGGTGATACGAAATCCGTATTAAAGTATAAAATCCGATAGTTTTGTTCGATACAATAATTGTTTTTGTCGCCATATTAGACAGTTTTTTTTATAAAATAAACTTTTATTTTATCGCCGTATCCGACAAATTTGGTTGTCATGATAACCTTTTCGGTGTTGACGAATCTAATTTTTTAGTTATAGATTTATAATGATTGTTTTTGTTGTCGTGTCCGTCAATTTTGTTTGATATAATAAGTTTGCTTTCGGCGTATCCGACAGTTTTGTTCGATCAAAAAAGTTTATTTTGTCGTTGTATCCAATTATTTTACAATTTTTTGGTGTTGTATCCAACATGTTTGTTCGATATAGTAAACTTTCTTTTTGTCGCCGTATCTAACATTTTTTTGTTTGTATTCGGTAATAATAATATTATCGCCGACAATTTTGTTCGAGATAGTAGTTTTTTTTTTAATCGTCGTTCCATATTATAGTTTCAAACCTCCGCCACTGGCTTCAATATTCATCTTTTCAAAATAATCTTGCAAATGGTACATGTGTTTTTTTTTCTCTTTCAGAAATGGCGACACCCAAATCAAACACAATTACTGGAAATCATATACTCCATATGGAAGTGTTGTTGTAGTTTTTCCATAGATTATTAGAGATAAGTGAAACATAATCTCAAGTTGTCATAAAAACATGAAACATTGTCTCAGCCAAATTGCATTCTAGTTCTAGATTCTGAATAGCCAGTAACGTTGAACGGATTGTGATTTTGTGCAGTAAACATGTGTGAAGATAAATCAAGGAAAAAAATCAACTTCGAGGTAAAAAATAAGATTCTTTGCAGGAAAAGCAGTAAACACGTGGGGAAACATAAGTGGATAATTACAAAAAGAGAACCCAAAAAAACCGGTTCATTGTAAGAGAAGAAGTACAGAGTAATTAAACCAATCTAAAATGGCTTTGCCTTTGACTGTTCACAGGAAAGCGCAGCGTTCGCTTTTACTCTCCCTATAAAAAGAAGCCTCATTTTCTTCATCACCACCACAACTCCTTCACCGATCTTCTCGTTTCTTTCTCCATTTTCCCAAAATTTCGATAACCATGAGGAGAAGGGGTGCGAAACTCGAACCGGTTGAGACCTCCAATGCGGATGAGATTCGTTACAGAGGCGTGAGGAAACGTCCATGGGGACGATACGCGGCGGAGATCCGAGATCCGGTTAGGAAAACTCGGGTCTGGCTCGGGACGTTCGACACGGCTCACCAAGCGGCGTGTGCTTACGACGCTGCGGCGCGTGAGTTTCGAGGCGCCAAGGCTAAGACCAATTTCCCGACGCCTCTCGAGCTTCATGAGAAACTGGCGTTCATAGGCGGCAGTTACGGTTACGGTTACGGTTACGCTCGTAGTCCTAGTCACAGCAGCACCCTCGATCCCGCCTATCGTACGGCTGCGCGAGTGGTGACACCTCCACATCTCGAGCTCAGCTTAGGCCGCGGCGGCGGCGGCGGCGGCAGACGCCCGCGTTATCAGATTCCGGTTGCGCGTCCTGTTTACTACTATAACAGTAACATGAAGGCGTTTCCGGCGGCGGCGGCGACGTGTGGGGTCCAGAGCGAGTCTGATTCGTCTTCGGTCCTTGATTTTGAGGGTGAAGCTGCCAAGAAATGTCAGCCGTTAAATCTGGATCTTAACTTAGCTCCTCCAAGTCCAACGGAATAGGCTGTGAGGTTTCTTCTGTCGATGGTCGTTATCTATAGTCGCGTTTTACAATTAAGAGAAACAGCGTTTGTTTCTCCTAGACGCTCCGTAGCTTTTGTTTTTCTGTCTAAAAAAGTAAAAACTTATATTGTCTGTTTTTTAGTAAAAAATCGGCGTAGCTTAAATAACATGGAACAAGTCGTTATGTAATATGTACAAATTATTGTCAACGTAACAAAAATATATGTAATGATCGTCTCTTTTTTTACTTTTGCAACTGATTCTCAAAATACTTAAAAGTGTCAATCAAAAATACCGTAAACGAACCTTGAATCTTGTCCAAAACTTTGCTTCTCTTCATGTTTGTACGATGGCCCAAAAGAGGCCCATACGTAAGAGTTGACCAAAGACAATAATCTACTAACTCCACCTTTGACTTTCACTTCTTGTGGACTTCCTCTTAAGCTTCTTCTCAATCTTGAAACGGCATAGCTTAAATAACATGGAAAAGTAAAGATCTGTAATGATTATCAAGTAACATGGAATAATATCTACAAATTATTATCAACGTAACAAAAGATATGAAATGATCCTCTCTATTATTCTTTTGCAACTGATTCTCAACATACTTCAAGTGTCAATCAAAATCGTAAACGAACTTGAATCTTGTCCAAAACTTTGCTTATGCTTTTTCTCGTTGGTGGTGCAAGTGGCAGATAAAACGATGTCCTCTTGATGCATAACATATATAAGGATATCATAAAAAAAGGGTGAATATCTTCTCATAGGAAGATTTTGGCACCTCTTGTGACATAAAAAAAACAAACGCTTAAGTACAAGAAACAAAGTATGAGATTCAAATGAGGAGAAGAGTCAAACTCATTAATCTACAAAATTGCAAAACAATAAAACGAAAAACATACCACAAAACTTTGGAAGGAGCTACCGTCTCATATTGCCTCAACAAAAGAACTTTCGCGCTCGTCACAAACTTTGGAAATCTGAGAAGTTACACAGATTGCCTCATAATCTCAACTATCTACAAAATACAACTCAATTCTAGATGCACAAACTTCTCACATTGTATAAACTCAAAACTATGATACTGCATGAAATATATCTAATGATCTCTTTGCGAATGCAATCACGATCACGATCTTCCTTGCGAATACGATCACGATCTTCCTTGTGATCCATCGTATTTTTCGGGGAGTTTGCTTAGAATATCTCGGGACGGGATTCGAAGAAATTGTACCTTGCGATCACAATCACGATCTTCGTGATCTATTGTAATTTTCGGGGAAATAGAAAATCGATTCAATTATTTGAGAAAAGATCGAATAGAGAGATCTTTATCACTACGGAAAGAAAATCAATTCGATTACTTGAGGAAAGATCGATTACTTGAGGAAGAAAGATATGATATGAAATAAAACATAGGTTTAGCTTACAAGGGGATAATGCAAATGACTATATTGCCTTTGCTCTTGGGGGAGAACTAACGGTTTTCTTTTGATTACACATATCCGTTAAATTCAATTAAGCCAAACCGGCCGGTTCAAATAGATTTGTGGTTCAAATTATTTAATCACAATATTCGAATCTTTTCATTTTTACAACAATTTGGAATTGTTTTGTTACTTTACATTTTCTTTTATCACTGGTTTTTACACTTATGGTTTTATAACGCATCGTCTTTCTTTTATGGATTGGAATATAGATAACAAAACTTTATTCATGGGTAGTAAATTGACTCTCTTTGTCAACTTCATACTTTTATATTTCAAGTTAACTTGTCGATTTCAATTCAAAGTCGTGCATTTTTAAAGTATGCTTGTTAAAAACAACTTGAACACAAAAACATTTTCATCAAATATAACAAACAAACTGTGGAATAAAAACGTTTCGAATATATATAGTACTGCCTTTTTCCCCCTTCTTTCAACTGGCCCTTAATATACCATACCAATTATACAAACTTTTGATTTATTTAGCACTGTGTTAGTCAAAAGATCTAAAACGTTTTCAAAAATTACAAACAAACACGGGAATAAAAACATTTCGAAAATATACAGTATTTGTCGAAGTTTCATTCCCGAATCTGGATGGAAGGAAAAGGAAAAAAAGTCAAACAGCTATTGGTGACAAGATTGTATCGCAGATCTCCCCTTCATCGATCGATTCCATTGATTGACGATTTGTGATTGAATGGAGCTAGAATGTTATCCACAACAAATGTTTTGATCTTCAGTGGAGTGATGAGAGACAAAGCGTTTTCCCTAAAACTATATATATTCACGTCAGTTCAATGTCATCTGATTTGCTTCTTAAAGTCCTAGAGTTGATAGGAAGGTAAATTCGTTTTCCTTCCTGATCCGATGGATTTGCTTCCTATAACCAATCTTTGGGAACACCAAATGATTCTGTCATTGTTTTTGCTATAAACATATTCATTTTGAAGCATTTATGGTTGCAGGGACTTGGAATGTCTTGTAATTGTATCGCATGCTAGTTTCTTGTCTTGTTGAAAACTCTCTAGTTGCATTAGCTGTCTTTGCAATGAATCTTATAATGCGCGTTGGTATTTAAATGGTGCTACAAAGCAGTGGGGGCTTTGGCCAGCTGCTGTGATTGAAATGAGAGAAAAAAAACAACAAAAATTTAGATATTGTAAATAATCTATGTACAGAGAGAATCAGCAAACAAGACCTGAACTCGGTGAGGAGCAGGTTTTAAGACAGGAGCGAACCACACAAACTCTCCGCACAATTCGTATGTGGTGAAATCCTGGGCGGCGAGATAAATCTTGCGAATATCAAAGGAAATCTCGGCAGACCAAAGCTCAAAACTCTCGGGACCTTGAGGCTGTGCGTTCCAGAATATGACAATGTTGCCAGCAGAGTTGAGGCAGAGTTTTGTGATACCAGAACTGACCAGATTGGGTCGCAGCTTTTGTAATTTGACTTCACTCCAATACAGCTCATGTGGAAACGCCCACAGGATTCTCCCGCCAGGACCAGGACGGAATAACACGAACCCAAAGACACCATCGTCAAAGACACACCACTCGTCTCTGCCTCCTCCTGGATACGAATCGAATATTCCATCTGTCGAAAAAAGCAGATTTACTTGGTGAGAAGGACAAGTCTTGCCCATCCTTATCCACCGCGTAAACCTTGAGCTCCTCGTCTTCGTCTATCACCACGCTATGTTGGATATTGAGGGGCATCTTGGGCGTGGACACAGACAACAAGTCCCAAGTTTTGGTCTTTCTGTCGTATATCTCTGCCCAGTTCGAGGAATCGGAACCGGAATCATCCCGGAGACCTCCAAACACGTATATCTTGCCGTCTATCAGGTGTGCCGATGCGGAAGCACGAGCCATCTTCATGGACGGCCTCGAGCACATTGTGCGCTCGTAACAATCGAAAAACGATACATCCGAAGTGGGCTCGCCGTTGACGAGTCCACCGATAACGTAGACCCCAGAACCCAACGTCACGAAAGAGGATGATGATTCTGGAAGAGCCTGATGCACCGGGAGAGCTATCAGGCGCCCTTGCAATGGGTGGAAGACGAACCAGCGTGGGTTTCTTTCAGGAGAGATGCGCAAACATACGTAGAGCCATGCCTCGACGCAGCCAATAGTATATCTCAAGCGCCGGAGCTCTCGGGAAGCTACGAGAGACCGGTATCTCTTGGAGGCCATAGCTAACGCCGCCAGGTCCAATCTCGAGACTTGAGCCAGGCAGCTCAGAGCCACCGCATCTGGCAACGAACATAACCCAGACGACGACGACGATACCTTCCTCCTTTTATTCTCCGATTCCAATTGACTACATCCCCGAATCGCACATCTCCCCTTCATCGATTCCATTGATTAACGATTTCTGAAATAAGCAAATAACAAAAATATGAAAATAAGGAGAGAGACACTTTCTCGTTGCTCTCTCTACTTCTCTTTCGATTCTTCTATCTACCCTTTCTAGTAACAGGCATGTCTTCGTGTTTTGTTTTAGGAGATTGCCTTTTTTTTCTTTCTCAGTTTCCCTTTCTAACCAGGAATTACCTTTTATCTACTTGTTAGTACGACAAATTAGTTTGTCTCTGGGATAATAGACAAGGATATGAGGACGAAGAATTTGAGGGTTCATTTGCCAAATAGGTCTGATTGAAATGGTAAGGAGTGATTACATATATTGGCAATCCCTTAATTATACAATTAAGAGTATGCTTCCTCTCGAAATAAAAAAAACAAGGAAGGATCCGAAGGAATAATAAAAGATGAGCCAAATAAAAAGAACTTAAAAATGCTGAAAAATGAGTGAATAATCATTGTCTCTATGATGTTCTTTTCTTCTCTGTAACGTGTAAAATTCTTCTTGTGGCTATAAGTTGTTTTATGCTCAGTTTCAAGAATCAGAAGGGCTTTATCGTTTTCCTCTTTTTCTTTTCTGAATCCTACTTTGAAACGAGAAATTGGTCTTGTTTATTTGTAGCAAGTTCCGTCAAAGTTAATGAGTAGTAATGGAAATCAAAATTTAGGGAGGTTCTGTAATAAAATTAGGGTGTTATCTGTAATTTATAATCATGTAGGGGATGTTTGTAAAACAAAACTGTAACTGTGGGCTGCATATGTAATAAACAAAAATACACCAAGTTGTGGTAAAGTAGACAAAAATACAGGAACCAAATGCTTTGGTACCTTTTTGTTTAGTTTTGTCAAACTCAAACTCAAAAATTTGAAAATAATTCATGATTGATGATATTGTTGAGTTATCTCTATGTGTTACATCCATAACTTAACTTAAATACAAGCGTAATTCATGTTATCTAAATCAACTAACACCAAATTTTGTTAGTAGATTTTAAAAACATGATTGAATAACAATGAATTATAATTGGATTTAAACTCTATTAGAAACCATAAACCAATAAGACCCCCTAACTGTCTCGATTTTGGTCCAATAAGACCATAAAGCCAAATAAGAAAACAAAACTTGGTGATCTTCCAAAGACTCTTCCGATTACCAAGCCAAAAATCTTCACTCTCAATGAAAAATATAGCATGCAATGTTAAGAAAAAACAACTCAATCTTACATGTACAAATTTCTCACATTGCATAGACTCAAAACTACATGAAATATAGCTAAACATCAATTTTAAGCTATTTTCCACAATAAACACAAGTTTTACTCTTTCTAATATTCGTAAAGGAAATAAATTCGATTACTTGTGGAAAGAGATGATCTAGGTTTAGTTTATAAATGGATACTATAAAATAACTTATATTGCTCTTGCTTGGGGGAGAACAACGTTTTTCTTTTCTAGTTAAATGCAATTAAGCCAAACCAGAAAAGAACTTTAAATTATTTACATTCGATCTCCTATGAATTTTTTAAATAATTTGAATTGTATTATTTAACCACAATATTCGGATCCTTTAATTTTTACTACAACTAGGAATTGGTTTTTACTTTACATTTTCTTTTATCAGTGGTTTTTACATTTTTAACTCGTTCTTTGATGGAATATAGATTAACAAAAGCAAAAATTATCAAAACTTATTCATGGTTATACATCTACTCTCTTTGTCAACTTCATACTTTTATATCTACAAGTTATCTTGTCGATTTCAATTCAAAGTCGTGCATTATTCATGGTTATACATTTTCATCAAGAATAACAAACAAACTGTGGAAAACCCTTTAACAAAAAAAAAAAAAAAAAAACTGTGGAATAAAAACGTTTCGAAAATACACCTTACGGATATAGTACCAATTAATATAAGCTTAATAAAAGACAAATAAGATATTATAGATTTATATGGATTGTATAGATATCCCTAAATCTCCGTTGACATTGTATTTATATAAGCTTACGACATATTCATAACCTATTTGTCTTTTCATAATACAAGAAAATGCAGAAGAAATTACAATTCTCCCAACGAATGTAACCGTTAATCCGTTCAAATTCATAGGAGATCGAAGCTAGTTGCTACCATTTCTAAGTAAAAAATGAATAGTAACTCTCTTTGACCGACAATATTTTAAAGCTAATTGCTATTACTAAATCTAGTAATCTACTACTAATTGGTAACAGAGCAACGCGTGTTTGTCTTCGTACGTGGTAAGTAAGAAGATAACGAAGAGAATCACATATTTCAGACCATTTAGTTACACAATGATTCGATTAAGTTAAGAGAATTTCAACGAACAAGGACATTATAAAAATCTCTCTCTTTCGTTCTCTTGTTCCTTTTCTGATAAATGATGTATTAGTAACGGGAACCCTAAAAACAGGCAAGAACCAGTCTTTTTTCCCCAATTACAAAGATCCAAAAACAGTCTGAAAAACCCATTACAAATTGGCACACAACATAATCTCTGAATTGCAAAGAACAATGCCGTTATTACCGAAACCCTGAAAACGTATGATTTGAGAAGAAATGGGCACCGTTTTTAAGTAATGGCAAGATCAAGAATGAGATCTAAACTCAAAACACGGTGATGAAACAAGAGTTTCTCTATTTGTAGCTCTGCGACGCCTCTAAAACGAGCTTGTCCATGAATTGGTACTTGTTGTCAAATCCCCAGCCAGGATTACTCTGCATAGCCACCAAGTTTCAAAGAAAAAAACATCAATACATAGCTCTCTAGAGATGTTTGTTATCTGATAAAAGAGAGTGACGTTAGATGATGGTTACAGAAATCAAACCTTAAGAGAAAGAGCTGCACGATCTGCAAATCGTTTCACGGAATCAGGTGCGCTCTTGGGAATCGTCATAGCAATTCTGTCGAGCTCTTCGTTCTGTGTCTTGGCAGTTACTCTATCAGGACCACTGTAGTGATCAACAGTCTCTATTATAAGGGGAGCTTGCGTCATCACTTCATCAATTGCTTCCTGCAAAAAAAGTGATAAAAAATCAATCAAGTGACCAAATGATACAAAAATATTGCAGACTGAATATGATTTACCTCCCATTCTGCTTGATCCTTGATACCCTCGTACGCCACTATGAAAGGCTTCACTTTCTCAAGGCACTCACGCGGAGACATTGGTGGCTTCTCATCAATGTCCGGATTCGATCCAAAGTCCGGCATCAAGTACTCAGGCTCACACTCAATCTACAAAGCCAAAACAGAGAGAGAGTGATACTTAAAGAATCAACATCCGTTTTAATGCAAAGCCAAACAACAACAAAAGTCACTTTCTCCATCTCTCTTTTAGCTGAAAGACCAATTTCACAATGAGATAACAAAACCTCAAAGGCTGTTCTAAACCTCAAACAACTTGTAAACTTCAACAGCCACCACAACCAATTATCCAGATCAAATGTTGTATCAATACTAACGATATTGCTTCGAGTGAATTCAGTATTCCTAATACCATTTCAAAGTTTCAGTTTTCAGCATTCTCTGCATCAAGTTGTAAGCTTTTCTGGACAAATCATTAGAGAAGAAGAAGAGAGAAAGCTTACCATCATATTGGTATCATTAGCAGTAGAAGGCAAAGACTTTTTTCGCATACATCCTCAAATTCTTCTGCTAACGTCTTCATCATTTCGGTTCCCATTTTCTGAGCAAACTTCTCTCCATCAGCAGAATCTCCAACGGAGTTTCATCTCTGGGTGGTCGAGCCCGCTGACGCTGCTGCGATTGTGATCGCTGATATTGCTGATATGGCTGAGGGCGTCGAATGTGGCGGTTATCTTCATGTTGGATTGGAGCAGATTCCACAGGAGGCTTTCCTCGTCCAGCTCCACTTCCTGGATTGGATTGGAATTCGTTTCCCAACGCATTGAATATGTTGTTAGGTGGAGCGGCTTGTCCAGATCCAAACTCTGATGGTGGTACCGAAGTTTCTCCCTTAATCTCCTGAAGCTTCACAAATACAGGCGGCGTCGGCGAGTGCGGTTGCGGTTGCGGTTGCTCTTCTCCACTAAATTGGGGACGGGGACTTCCCTGAGATTCATCCCTGGGCGGTGGTTGTGAACGCGGCTGCTGCTGCGATTGAAAATGCGGCTGAGACTGTTGCGGTGGTGGAAGCGATGGATGGCGAGGAGGTTCAGGAGCGAAAGGTGTAACAGGGTCGGATCCGACGGATCCTCTTCCACGGCCAACGCTAGGAGAATCCGGTCTAGCAGAATCCTTTGTTCGTTGTTAGCCTTTTCCGATTCACGATTGATACCGAATTGTCCCCTTCGAGCTGCCGGAAATCCTCCATCCCCACCGGAGAATCCGGAACCGCGACCACGGCCACGGCCAGCGCCGTCGGAGGAGAAATGAGATGTTGGTTGGATGAGAAATGGAGTCTGCTTGACTATTGATGCAAGAGCTCAGAGTAAAGCCATACATTTTATACGGTCAAAGAGAGTTATTCATTTTTGGCTTAAAAATGGTAGCAACTAGCTTCATCGATTGGTGATAAGATTGTATCGCACATCTCCCCTTCATCGATTCCATTGATTAACGATTTGTGATTGAATTCTCCGACGAAGATATAAATGTAAGAGAACCACGACAATTTCGTCTATACAAGAGTAACATTTTATTTCAGTATTTATTTAATCCTTTATCATCATTAAATAACAATCATGCTTGTATATATTATATATATACATACTCAAGCTCAAAAGTCACAGATGCGTATGCATGAAGATTTTGTATACGCGAAATATATATATATATATATACACTCAAGCTCACAAATCACAAATTCGTATGCAGAATTATATGCATGAAGATTTTGTATAACGGTCTCTTCAAGAAAACAAAAATTATAAAGTGAGTATATACTCCAATATACTCATATTCAGATTCGGATATACACTTCCTCGTTCATTTCCCACAATGGTTAAAGTTAACGTAAGTTCAAACGCCACCGCAACTTCGCTGCCCGAAACCGCATTTGTGACCGCATCGACCACAATTATGATCATCACTTGATCATGTCTCCAAGAATATTCCGACAATGCTTCTTGCAGCAATGCAAGAGGCTCTTCCCGTTGTTGGCTTTCACGCCATTGAAAATGTTGTAACTCGACATTTCGCTCCTTTCTTGATCTACTTGTAGTGGGAAACTAGTAGCCTGGTTTTGGATGAAATTGTCACATTTGAAAGAATCGAGGGAGTTTCGTCAAGAATGTAAACCTCTGGGTCATCTTCGTCAATAACTTCATCAGGTAAAACCAAGTGGGGATTAGAGATTGTTGCTATTAGGATATAGAGGATTGATGAGAGAAGTGAGGTGGGTTTAATGAAAGTATTAGGGATCTTCACAATGACCATTTTGTTTTAAGTAAAAAACTAGCCAATGAGAGTTTGGCTTTAGAACAGAGAAGAAGCAAGGAAAGGAAAGAATGGGATCTTAAGGGAAGATCTGTGTCCTTGCAAATGAAGGGTATTGTAAAGCAGCAAACACATTATTGAAATTCTGATTTAAATTTATTTAAAAGAATTTGACTTTGTTAGACAATTATTTAAATGAATTGGTTATTCCTCAAATCTAGGCTAATTGTTGTCTAGATTAAGTCATACAATGTTGGATCTCATTGGTGAAGAAAAGTTTTTCGATGGAATAGTAAAATAAAAGTTTTTCTAGGTTTTCCATGCATTTAGATCGTAATGGAAAAATTCGATTTACATGACGAATCTTGCGTGTCAACCATTTTCTTTACTACCTATTTTCTGCCACTAGAGCAATTCATTTTCTTTTATACATCACTTTATTGATTGATACTTTTTTCAAATAGTACCGTCAAGACACAAAATATTACCAAAATCTAATCTCTTCTACCATAAGATGTATGCATGACTCTTATTACCGTGGAATGTGAACTTCAAAATATTACGTGGAATGTGAACTTCAAAATATTACCTCAAACCACCACAGAGATGAAGTTTCACGCAAATCAGAATCAACCTGCCAATAGTAGAGCAAAACAACTAAGTTTATTCATTCTTCTGAACCAGCTAATTTACAAAAAGTTTCCAAAACTGCCTTCATCAACCATCAGCCCCATTGAGAGCAAATTATTCAACGAAGCTAATGATTACACATTAATTTTGAGGAGCTTTAAATTTGTTTGTAAACCTTGCTCCTATAGTCCTTGCTCTTTGAAAGCATGATTTTTCATCATGCCTTATAGATTCACAGCTACAAAAAAACGAGAAAGCCAGAGAATGTTAGATGATATGTTAGAGGGCGATGATATAGTAGTTACGAAAATATTTGTTAAGAAAAAACAACTCAATACTAATGCACAGATCTCTCACATTGCATAAACTCAAAACTACATGAAATATAGCTAACCATCAATTTTAACTTATTTTCCATAATAAACACAAGTTTTTCATATTCGTAGCCTTTTTTTATGCAACCATTTTCTTATGTAACACAACCATTCTTTTTTATCTGCCTATTTTTTTATTTTCTTTTCTTATTTCCTTCATGGAATAATCGCAAGAAATAACCCATATTCCTATATATTTGGAATTGAGAGGCAATACCATTTGATTCCAATTTGTAGCATGTTATAGGGGGTTAATGTTTTATGAAACTAACTAAACAAGGGGGAAAAAACGAATTTCAATCTGATAAAGAACCGCTCCAGTAAAAAGTTCTTTCACTTGAACTCTTTGTAGCACCAAATGTTATCTCAAAATAAAGCCGGATTTGTTTAATTATGATTGTTCCATTATCTTCGAAGAATCATCCAAACAATACAAGAAAACGGAGAACAGAAAGAAGTTGCTATCAGCGAACAGCGATGCTGAAAAGTGATCCGAGAGAGATTTTTAAAATTGATGCAAAATGGACAGGTTTGCGCCCTTTGTATTAGGAAGTCTCTTTGAGATTGCTTTAGAAAGAGACCTGAACCAAAACTCAGAGTGTAAGAATCTTTCAATGCTCCTTGATCTCTTTAATTCCCTTAAATCCCCTCCATCTCATTAACAAATGGTCTTTGCTTTTGCTATACCATGTAATTTAGATGAGAAGAAAACTGAAAATATGGATGGATACGTTGGTTTCCACGCTGCTCTACGGAATTGTTACAGTCGTTTTGTGAGGAATCTAGCGAAAGAGTGTAAGCAATTAGTAAGACACCATCTTGATTCAGTGACCAGTCCATATTCCATGGCTTGCTATGAGAATGGCTACCACCAAGGAGGAGCTTTTTGCTCTTATTACAAACCGAAACAAACCTCAGGTGGTTCGTGATGAGCCAATGAAAGACCAAGAAACATGAGAGAAATAAATAACATCAATAACTCTCAAAATACCCTTAGTAGAGCACACCAGCAGCTATCTTGTTTTACAAGAAACAAGAAAAAAATCCTAACTTAGAACTTTAGAAGTCATTAAAAAAAACAAGAAAGATACCAATCCAGCAACACAACACAACGCAACAGACACAAGTCAGAAAGGGCTATAAGACATGTAAAGCGAGGACATACACAAGAGATTGGATTAGCTACAAGAACCAAAGAAGCTACGGAGGATGTACGAGATACCTTCTCATTATACCCTTCTGAGTTGTGAATCACTTCTGGTTCCATCCCTACAAATGTCTTGTCATTTTTATATAATATTAGCAAATGCAGCGTAAATAGTTGTATAATAAGTTAATAACACCAAACCATCGCAGGGGAAAACATGAGTTATGACACAAAATTTTCGACATGTTCGGACATCCAAATCACTAGACAATGGAAAAAACACGCACAAATTCTGTAATGTAGTACATGGGGGAATTGAAGATGCACAAAGTCACTGCGATGAAAAGGTTCCATTGGCATATTAAGATACGCACCTTCCTCCTTGATATTGTCCGGGTTAATTGGGCAGACACACCAAAGTCCGCAACCTGATACGTGTGAAACAAGTAGGAGATCAGTTTTGCAACTAAACCACTCGGAAATAAAAGAGACTGAATAACTTCATGAATGAAAATACCTTAGGGTCACCATTCTCCGTCAACAAAATATTAGCGGCTGCAAAAATAGGAAGGAAAAAGATAAAGTTCTAAATATATGAATGAATGAGTAACAACAACACATGATAATAACTTGTAGAAGCATCATCTAAAGACGTATCCCTGCTGGTATATTAGTCAGTCCTTATAGGACACGATGTCATAATAATGCTAATCAGATTCTCCTAGACCAAGGCTGGAATGAGATGCTATTTTATCACAAAAATTATGGTTTTTCCAATTGATATCAACAAACGCAACCCTCAATTTCGTTCTAGCAAGAAATGTCAACATAATAGTGGGTCAGACAAATGGTATTGTTGTATGATAAAAGAATACCCCAAAGACGCTCATCATTTCCACAACAATCTTAAAACCTCATGTTCGCAGAGTTTCGATTTCTCCGAGTTGTGATGTGAATGTGTATGTTTGTAAGTTTAGACATTTTTTGTGAATCATTACGGCTTCAAGTGAACTACTGTGAGATCAAAGTCTCAACTTTTATTTATTTATTTTTGTTTCATCTAAATTACCAACAAAAAGAAAAGGCTACACAACATTATCAAAAAGCCTTTTCAACGAAATATCTTCTTCTTGCTCACCAACATGGGATTTTCCATCTCCATGAAATCATTAGTACGTAGCTGGAAGCTGTGTCCGTCCAGAGAGTACGGTTCCTTCAGAATCTTTTTCCTCGTCAAATTCTTCCGTGTGACAGACACAGAGTAAGCAGAGGATGTGGTTGGATTCGTGGTGGTTGTGACACGACATAGGAGCCGTATTCTCATGGCTTTGACTGATGGGAATGAATATTCTCATGCATGGCTTTTTGGTTACTTTCTGGACAAGGAATCAGACAAGAAGGAGGAGCTCGTATGGTGATGTTTTCCATTGTCTTCCTTTCCTAGCAAACCAAAATTGCCATTAAAATCATCATTGTGATTCTTCTCAGCCGGCTGAGGCTGAGAAGAGAAACTGCAATGGAAGTTCATAAAGAATCTGGCGAGAAACACACATCTACGATCTCTGGTAAAGCCATTTTCTTGCTCTCTCTGTTGACAATGTGTTGGTTTGATTTAATTCCAATGAGCTGATCTTGATCTTGGATACAATTTTTTTCAGATGATCAAATGAGCAACATACCAAAAGACAGTGATCTCTACCATACAAAACAGAAAGAAGCTAAACGCAGATTTGAGATGTAAGTTCGGATTCTCAGAACTCTATTGTGTAAACTTGAATGATGTTCGTTGTGTTTATGTGCATATCTTTTCTCCAGCTTGGTTGAGCTCGAGAAGAAACTCGCTTCACATTTCTCGAGGCCTCGGATTGGAAACAGATGATGAAAACTTATTCTGGTTTTTGTAGTCTAGATTTTGGGGTTCGAGTTCCACTTGTAGAAGCACCATCAAAAGATGTGTACCTGCTGGTAGACTACAAAGAAGAACTCTAATCACACATACTAGTTGCTAGAACAGCAAGACAAGACCAAGGCAGCGCACGCAGACTTGTTTTATAAGAAGTATCAAAAGAAGAGAGAGAATATACCCCGGAGCTTGGATCACGAAAGATTGAAAAAGACTGAGAGCTTCTCGGAGATCTTATGACAACAGTTCCGGAACCACTGAGGTCATCCTGAAAATTCAGAATAAGAAGTATGATAATCCAGTGTACGTAATACTCCAAGAGTAAAAAGAACTTATACCAAACCGAAGATGGTTAACCAAGTAACTTGAAAACAAGATCATTATATATTTGAGAAGTTTTCTGTGCAATGTTTGATAAAAAGAATGGTACATGTGAGATATGGACTGCATCTAAACAAACAAGAGGCAAAGGATCTTACTTCTTCTTCAAAGTCATGACCTTTGGTTGGTGATGTGTCCAGAAAAAGGCTGATTATTTAAAGCATGGTATCTGCATCCATGACATTTGTAAAAGCTTCGTCCAGGATGACTCCTTGTGAAGACCAAACACACACCTCCACAGCGGCAATTCCTTGCTGGATAATCTTGCTTGCTGCCTTGAATATTGACACTTTTGCTCTATGAGGGATCCTTTAGCCTTTATCTTCAAGGGGAGTGTTAATGTAACCTCGCCTTAGAAACCGATCCATCACAGAAGTAGGCTACTGACAAATAAGCAAAAGAAACATGTTAATATTACATATATCAGCATATTCTTTTACGTATTTAATAGTGATTACAATCAACGAATGTTGAATTATCTCATTGTGTGAAATATGTGCACTCCAAAAAATCTTTCTTCAAACTTGATCATCACCGTCGGGTTCCATTGACAGAATTTCACAAAAGAATAGAGATTCGTTCTTCGAAACAAGAAAAAGTATTTTTCCTGAAAGGATGAAAACGTTTTGGCTTTTGTTTATTCGAAATTGAGGACGTGACAATATCCAACTAAGGTGGGAAGAAAATGAATTTACCGCCGTCGGATATGACAAACGATTTTCAATTGAATCCAACGGCTTGGAACTTATCTCAATTCATAGATAGCTTTGTTACCGATAAAAATAAGCAAATAACAAAAAATATGAAAATAAGGAGAGAGACTACACGAGAGACAAGACTTCAAGAACTTGTCTTCTGCTATTATCTTCCCTTTCTCGTTACACTAACGGGCATGTCTTGGTGTTTCCAACTTGTTTTAGGAGATTGCCTTTTCCTCCCTTTCGCTTTCTAACTAGGAATGACCTTTTACTACAAGGAAATGAGGAAGAAGGTTGATGACTTTTGCCATTTGATTGTTAAAAGAAAGAAACAAAAATTATTTAGTCAAATAGGTCCGATTGAAATGGTAAAGAGTGATTACATATATTGGCAAGTCGTTAATTATACAACTAAGAGTATGCTTCCTCTCGAAATAAAAAAACAAGGAAGGAATAATAAAAGATGAGCCAAAAGAAAGAACTTAAAATTTATAAATATAATCATCCATCTTCTGCTGAAAAATTATACACATAAAATACCAAAATTCAATGCATCAATCAATCAATGTAAAGACACACACACAAACACCATTCTTATCTTCTGTCCGAGTCTCAACTTGGGTTAAGATCACGCGACGTTTGCCCTAGCCATCTGCAACACACAAATAGAGTTGTCAAAATCTGGTTTTCCATTGTTTAAGCTCCGAATTCAGGAAAAGTTGTAATGCTTATCATCAGCCATACCTTGAGAATAAGAATCTTCCAAGTGGGCTAACGTTGGTATTGGAAGTAAACTCTTTGCTTGCTTGCTTGCTTTTGTTTTCTGCATCATTGTTCATTGTCTTACCGAACACACGCATCGCCATGTCTTGCACTTCTTTCACCGACACTTCCTTTGTACTGTATCAAGAGATTTTCCGAGCTTCATTAGATCAAAGTATCCCATTCACAATAAGATCAAAGTCTTCTTTCACAGTTTCGCATACCTTCCCAACTGTTCAATCAGTTTGGCAACAAAAGCTTCACAAGAACCAGGCTTTTCGCGTTCCATCTTCACTAAGGATCTAGATACTCTATGTCCAACAGATCCTTTTGAGTCGTCACCCCCAAGAGCCTACATCATTTGCAGCTTCAAACTCAACAACGAAACCTTTTTTTTCCTCAAAATGGATAACAGCTCTTAACTCACTAAGAGAAGAATGAAGCTAAATGTTCGTAGATATATCGGAGTTTCACCTCTTTTAGGGACGGTAAGAGCAATAGTGACAACGATGCAGACAATGATGCCAAGTTGGAGTCATCTTCATCATCATCACTCACTTGTTGTGATCTTACTAGTGGTTTTTGTTTATCAGAATGATCGCGGGAATTTCTGCAAGGTAACAATGTTCATGTCAGAAAAAACCAGACAAACCCTGTGACCACCAGAAGCTTAGTATATATATATATACACAAACACACTAACCTCGAGTAATCAGAATTCTCTGTCGCTTGTTCCCTTCTTTTGTTAACCTTACCATTACCAAGTCTTTCCCTCGCGTTCGCTCTTCTGAAACCGGCTTCAAGTGCTACCTTTGCCTGAAAGAAGAATGGAAGTAAATTGTAGGAATGAGTAACAACACATGAGAATAACTTGTAATTTCTTTCATACAGCCTCAAAAAGATTAATAACCTCTGCAAGATTTGCTAAGCTATCTTCTGAGGCACTGGAACTTCTTTCTTGAAGCCCTAGTCTAGATTTTGGGGTTCGAGGTGATCCAGAATCATCATTCTGCCCACGGACAACAACAGTTCCACTTGTAGAAGCATCATCAAAAGATGTATACCTGCTGGTAGACTACACATAAGAGCTGGAATCAGACATACTAGTTGTTGGAAAGCAGAGCACGCATACTTGTTTTATAAGAAATATCAAAAAGAGAGAGAGAGAGAGAGAGAGAGAGAGAGAGAGAGAGAGAGAGAGAGAGAGAGAGAGAGAGAGAGAGAGAGAGAGAATTTTCGATACCCCAGAGCTTGGATCACGGAAGATTGATGATGACTGAGAGCTTCTCGGAGATCTTATGACAACAGTTCCGGAACCACTGAGGTCATCCTGAAAATTCAGAAGGAGAAGTATGAGAATCAAACCGAAAATGGTTAACCAAGTAACTTGAAAACAACAGATCATTATATGTTTGAGAAGTTTTCTTCAAAGTCGTGAGATATGGACTGCATCTAAGCACACAAGAGTCAAAAGGATCTTACTTCTTCTTCAAAGTCGTGCTGATAAGAATCTCTTTTAAAAGTTCCTTCAGAGATTTCGGGGACTGCAGAACCAGAAGAGGAAGACAACTGACCACCACTGGCTCGTGATGTTTTAACTTCTTGGCGCCTTTCCCTAGCTTGTGGAGGTTTCAAAGCACGAACAGTTCCAGCACCCTGAGAACCGCCGATGCTAAAGTCCCACCCGGCATTTTTGACAGTTTTCCCCTGAAAACTGCAGCTACAAGTTCTTAACATGATGATTAACAATAAATAGAGAGAAAAATCCCAAGAGTAGACCATTTATCATACCTAGTTCCAGAAGTTCCTTGGCCTCTCTCATCTCTAATCACTCTAACAGTACCAGAAGATTCAACCGGAGATTTTGGACCATTCGGTGTAATATCTTCATCCTCCTTCACTTGATATTTTGGCCGCTCCCTTCAAACAACAAAAAAGACAGCATTAGTATCGTCCTGGTCTGTACTTTCTTTTAGCATAAAGCAGATAATAGACAAACTAGAACCACAAACCAACGCTATTTACATGAAAAAACATCACACCTTATTTTTTCAAGAAGTTTCGGGCTTTTCCTAGCATTCTTTATAAATCTATGTTTGAGAAGTTCTTTCGCACTTGGTCTCTGAAATTATAAGGAAGAGTTGTGTGAGAGATCTTGGCATGCCACTGCTGGCAATAACAGAGACTGCACTACAAGTACCTCAGCAGGAGCCTTTTTCAAGCAAAACGAAACAAATTCCTTCAAAGGACGTGAAAAATGCTCATCTAACTGCAGGGGAAATACAAAAAGTTAAATAACTAGCTCGTTAAAGGTGACTTAGCAATCAAGACATATACAGTCAACTATGCATTGCAACCATCTAACAAGCCTTTCTCGTGCCAAAAATAAAATCAGAAATATGAAACCTGAGGAGGGCTTTCCCGGGGAATGATAAACAGCACTCTCATAGGATGAAGGTCAGCAAGGGGAGGTTCTCCTTTTGCCATCTCAATCATTGTTATTCCGAGAGACCATATGTCTGCCTGGAAAAGATACCAATCCAGCAACACAACAGAAAAAACTTAGAAAGGGCTTTGAAACAAGTAAAGCGAGGACATACACAAGAGATTGGGTCTGTTGGGTTAGCTAGAAGAGCCAAAGAAGCTACAGCGGATGGACGAGATACCTTCTCATTATACCCTTCAGAGTTCTGAATAACTTCTGGTGCCATCCAAAATGGCGTTCCTACAAATGTCTGTCATTTTTATATTATTAGCAAATGCAGCCCAAGTAGTTGTATGATAACATCACAGGGGAAAACATGTTCACAGGACCACCTATGACACAGAATTTTTAACATGATCGAACATCTGAATAATTAGACAATGTATAAACATGCACAAAATTTTGTGACGTAGTACATGGGAATTGAAGCTGCAGAAAGCCACAGATATAAGGGTAACAAAGTGAACAGGTCTATTTAAGAGAATTCTAATTCCTGGAACAGTACACACAATAAAGAAGATCCATTAGCATATTAAGATACGCACCTTCCTCCTTGATATTGTCCGGGTTAATTGAGCAGACACACCAAAGTCCGCAACCTGATACGTGTGAAAGACGTTAGAAATCAGTTTTGCAACTAAACCACTCGGAAATTAAAGAGACTGAAGAGTTTAATGAATGAACATCAATACCTTAACATCACCATTCTCAGTCAACAATATATTAGCGGCTGCAAAAATAGGAAGGAGTAATTGTCATGTAATAAGCAATGAGAACATAATTGGATCACAGAAAATTCATAAGATATTAGCAGAGAAAACCTTTGATATCTCTGTGGATCTTTCCCTCAGTGTGGAGATATTCAACAGCATGAAGTAGATCGCGGGTAATAGAAGCAATCGAAATTTCATCCAACGGATGACCTGGTTGAAGCTGCACTCGAAGTAATATTTTAAGAGATTATAATTTGCACCGACGTAAAATAAAGTTAGAATAAGAGCTCACCAAAAAAATGAAAAAATTCAACTCAGTAAAAAGTGAAATAACATACAAGGTCAGCAACTGAGCCACCAGCCATATACTCCATGATGATCCATAACTTGGTCTGGTGAAGGTAAGAACCATAGTATTCGGTAATATATGGGCAGCGGCATTGTGATAATACTGAAATTTCCTGCGGTTAATAACAAAACGTGAACACGACAGTCTTGCTATGCTAATAGTAACCAAAAACAATTAACATCATCAATCCAAGAGATACCTTCTGTATATCCTCAATCTCGTCTTCTCTGTCAGATACGGAGTAAAATGGCTAGTTAGTAAAGGGCATTGAACATTGTTATATTCTTGAAACTAAGATAGGGCTATTTACAGAGAAATTCAAATATAAAGTAATGCCATTGAGACTTGCATCCAAGGAGCAATATATAAGATTGTGAAAACATATAAAAAAGGCAGATACTTACGATTCTTCCAGATCGATAACTTTAATGGCAACCGTTTTGTTAAGTTCCGTATCAAACCTGATAAGCAGAGGCAACAAGTCAGCATTCGAACAAGGCAAACAGAACTGTTCTTAGTCAGTCCTTACAATTCATGATAAAAAAATTAATGCTTATCAAATTTTACAGTCCACAAAAAAATCTGCTTTTTCCAATTGATATCAACAAACTCAGCTCTCACATTACATCTCATGAACCTAAGACCCCTTTTCAGCATTATGTCTACATTCACCAAAGTGTCCTGTGGCACTCACTACTCCCACAAAAGGCTTCTCCTTCTGATCAAGAATATAATAAACTACTGGAAATTCTTAAGAAGTCAGAAATGTATCAGATAATTACGCTTTGTAGACATCACCAAACGATCCTCTCCCGATTAACTCAAACTGGCTAAATCTGGTTCCAGCTGCCTCTTGCAAACCAGCAACATCATCCATCTTCACAACAACAAAAATTCACCTGCCAAACACTTCTCTGTATCAATCAATTTGCCGATTACCATTTACCACAGAATCTCACTCTAAATTTCTCGAATTGGGTCAACCCTTCAGGTATTGTACAGCGCATTCCCTAACTAAAAAACAAAAATTTCTGGACCAACGACAAAAAAACTGAGATCTGTTACTAAAAATCTGAGCCTATAATCGATGCAAGCAGAGAAACGAAGAAGAAATGAGAGAAGTGATAGCTGACCGAGACTGTAGGATGAGAAATTAAGCACATAGGCGTAATTGAAACACTTAAATTGGACTTTTTTTCAATTCGATCAATCATTTAAGAAAAAAAAGTCCAAAAATTTATTCGATTGAGATGTCAAATTTGGAGAAATTCAAAGGATCGCATTCAGATTATTTACCAGATAGTTAGACGAAGAAGAAGAAGACGCGCAGATATATATACCGATCTTCTTCTTTTTTATTTCCTCCTCAGTCTTCGTTTTCTAATTACCTTAATCTCACTCCAATGCTCTCTCTCTCTCCCTCCCTGCCTGTGTCTCGAGCACCAAGAGAGATCGAGAAGAAGAACTGCTCTCTCGATTATGGAGTTTCGTCGATTTGATTATTCAATTCTCATTTTCCTTTATTTTACTTCTGTTTTTTTATTTTCCTTAAAAATGAAAAAAAAAAAAAAAAACAAACAAACCCGATTTACTATCCGTCTGAAGATAAACGACCCGATTCGAATTATCGCGCCGTATAATTTAAAGTAGACCCAATAAGACAGGCCCATTACAATTAATGTTTTGAGAATAGATGTCGTGTCGTGGTGAAACAAATGTTGGTGTTTTGTGTTCTGTAATGGCGATAAATCAGTCTGATTGCTTGTCTGTGAAGCTAACTTTTTTTTATACCAAAGTTATGTTTTTCCTCTCAAATATTTAACCATGTCGCTGAACTCTCCATGACCTCCTTTGGGAATTAATATATTTTCATATGGTGTGTATATTCATTATATCTTTTCGAATTCTTTCCCATAAAGTTCTTTTTCTTAGGAAAACAAAACAAGCAAATAAATATTTAAAGAACACAGAGAAAATTTGATTATGGACATTTGATGATCTTCTTTTTCACATCAGCATCATCATTCACAACTCTTTGAGGTTCCATCGCATGACACTCCCTGCAAGCCGACACCACTACCTTTAGAATCCTCCTCCACCACTTCATCAGCTTACTACCTCTTCTCTCCTCCGCCTTCTTCTTCTTATTCTTCCTCGCCATCTTCTTCTTCCTTCCACCGACCTTAATCCCTCCTCCGTTACTTCTCACCGACCCTTCTCTTTTAAACACCGGAGTTATATGCTGCCACCCCCGTGAATACGACCCGTAAAGCTGCGCCGTAATGATCTCTGTCGCCTTCTTCCTCTTGCATTGCTTCGGGAAATACGAATTCTTGTTTACGGTTTTACCATTGTTCGTCAGCGGTTTCCTCCTTAAATCCAATATTGACGATGGTTTGCGATGATTCTGATGATATTCATTGCTCATGCGGCAAGTCCCGGACCTTATGCTCCGAATCTTCTCCGACCGAGAACCAAAGCAAGTTAAATTAGTCTCTTCACCGTCACGGCCGTTACTTGAATTCGTGATCTTGAAGACGTTGCAAGTGATTGTTCTTGGAGTGTATGACGTTGGGCTGCTACTATCACTGCTTCGGCTACTCGTACTGTTGCTCCGGTCAGTGTTTTCGCTGGTGGTACGTGACACCGAACGGGTCGTCGGAAAAGTGTGCGGTAATAGACGGCCGTTGAGAAAAAGGTGATCAGCCGGAGAATTTTCCGAGTGTGATAGCGAAGAAGGAGTCAACGATCCAAACTCGAAGTCTGAGGACGCTGACGTCGTCGTCTCCGGGATGATCTCGCCGGAGTTTTGGTTGTTTTCCCGGTCATCCTCCATTTGCAAAACGGTATGAATGTGTTTAGTTGTGTTTCATTTGTTGTGTTTATATAGGGAGGAGTTTGAAGTAGGACACGTGGCGAAATGGTACGGCAGTCAAAGACTTTGGCAGCTCAGATTGATGTGGGGGCAACAGAAGAATGAGATCCAAGTGAAGACGTAATGGTATATGGTGTTCGTGTCATGATTTTGTCTAAAGTGTTTTAGATCCCTAAACGATCCCACATGTTCCTCTCTTTACATTTTTAATTACGAGGCATTATCTATCTCTTTGTTTTCCTATAACTTTTTTTTTTTTGGTTTTTTTGTAGATAGTTATAGGAATGAATTTCTTATAGATATTGAAAACATTTTTTGTATAGAAATTGTTATCTTTTTCGATTAGATTTTGTATATTTCATATTGTTTTAAACTTTGAAAGTTTTCTCAGGTAAGACCGTAGCCCGTAGGAGACACGGTTTTCCCAAAATACTCTAAAGTTTCCAGCAGAAAGCAACGGTAGCTTTATGTGCAAGCAAAAAAGGCAAATAAAAGAAGATTAAAATCAAAATTATATTGGTAACCTAATGGTATTATAAGCAAATGGAATCTATTAGTGCATATAATAAGATTTAGACCTTTGTGGTCTAGACCGATATATGTTTCATTATTAGTTTTTCAAATCTTGATTAATACATTTAGTGATATTTTAAAAATGTTCGATACTAATACACATACACTGATACACATACCATTACCAAATACAAGAAGATTAAAATCGAACAAAATTTTAAGACATAGATCTCACTAAGTGGCTGTTTGTCTCCCATTCCCATTCGGGTCTTTCTTTAGGACACACATCACTGGCCCATTCTCTAGGGATTAGCTAGGGACCACTAACTATCATTAACAACCCATGCTTAATAATCTTATACTGTACTACTTTCTTTTTATCTTACACTCTTCGATTTTGCGTAACGTTTAATGAACATCAGACGTATTATGATTCGGTAAATTGTTTAACAAAAAAATGATTCGGTAAATTGGCAGAACAGAACTTATGTCTAGTCTACGCCTGTGAAAGATTTGACAACTTCGAGTCAAAGATGCAATTTAATTTTCTAAAGAGTTGTAATCACAGAAATTTACTAACTGAGAGGAAAAAAAAAGTCCTAAATCTTTTCGATAATATGTATGGTTTTCTATTTCTTAATGACATAAGCCCATCATAGCTTTGGGCTCTTTTCGATCTACGTTGTGTCTAAATTCAGTGAAATTTAATACACTCAGCTTACTATGTTTGATACCATTCATCCATGAATATTTCCAGTTACTTGTGCTCCAATTTGTATGAAATCATCTCAAACTAGACAAGGAAACGAAGCTTATCGTGTCACAGCTCTATATAGTCCGATTACATTTCATGAGTAGTTTTTCTTTTCCCTTTTGGTAATTGTCACTCAAGTCTGAATATGTATCACAATGAGAGGATGTTGATAGTTATTAATATCATAGTCTTTATAATCCTATCAAGTATCAAGTGATGGACTTTGGAAGGTTTGCTTCTATCATAATCTACTCTCAACGATGTACTTATAATGATCGTTGATTATTCAAACCTTGTAATATCTACGTGTAGTTTTTATGTCAATCCAAGAAGCCGTCGAATAAATGACTAAGGCCATGTAAAGATGCGAAAATCCTGCGGCAAAGCTATGAGATAATATCTTAATCTCATTCTTGGTTCTGAAACTTGAGTGACCGTGGTGGCTTTTGATTAGTCTCCTGTGATTTTGGATTATTTGTCACACTCCTTACTCGTATCTGTATATTCAAAACCTTAACCAATTAGCATTACACTTAAAGTAGGCAAGAGTAGTAATACACATCATGAGCCACATTTTTGAAACATACAAGACACTAGAGAGTCTTAGTATTTGCGGATAACAAAGAGAGTACTAGAGAGTGGTAGTTATTTTTCTCTATACCATGAGTCAGTATCATGACTCAAAGTCTTAGCTCACAACTCAGATTCTAATAAACTTTAGATGACAGAAGAGAGAGAGCAAGACATCTTCTCTATCTAATCTGTGGTCGCTTGAATGATGAGTTTGTCATAGGAAGTGTCATCTCTACCCTTGATCTTTCTTGATTCTGTATCACCTGACCGGTGATTCCTCTCCGACCACCACTGGAACCTTCTCCAAACGTTTCACCAGAGCTCTTCCTCCGCCTCTCATTGTGTCCAGCTAACCGCCTCCGGCAACTTCTTTTAGCTTCATCAAACTCTGGGAGCTCATGAAACCTGTTTCAAACCATTCAAAAGTTCCAACAAGTGCCTTTGTAATAAAAACTCAGCAAAAGTGTAAACGTTTGTGATACCTGCTGCATTGTTGACAAAAGCGTTGGCTAATACCGGCGAGAAAGACAGAAGATGCCTTTGCATGAACTTCACACACTTTGTGTCTCCGGTGATACGGTTTAGCATCTTTCATATCAGCTGTGCATCTATCTACTTGGCAAAGCCGCGATGATGAGCCACTAGAGCCTCTGACTCTATCCATCACTCCTTTCCTCTTCTCTTCTTCTCCATCCGTATCACTCTCCATTTCTTCTTCCACAAGGTAAGACACACTACTACCCTTTTGTTTCAAATAGCCTCGTCCTTGTGTTCTTTTACCCTCCATTTTTTTCCGAAAGAAAATTTTAAAAAACTTTAGTTTGTAGTATCTTGGTGGAGAATTGGTGTTATGTGAGGAATAGTTCTTGGAGGAAAGAAACTCTGGTAGGTTAAGAAATGTTGAGGAATGGGACTTGGTGATATTGTTGACGAAATTGAAGCATTTTTGAAGTGTTTAAAAGGTGAAGTAAAGTATGGAGATGGACCACTGTGTTCTTGTACGCTTCTCTGATGGAATAAGTGCATGATTACGTTGATGTGCTAGCTCAAGAAAATTAAAAGAAAAAAAAAGTTGGAAAAGAAAGAAAAAGAGATTGGTAATAATGTAGTATATGATTTTCATGTTGATGTACTATATATAAAAAAAATAAAAATGTTGGAAATCTATAAAAAATGTACTTAAAATTAATCTTCGAGTACTCTCCGATTTGTTTCCGACTTTTGAGAAAATCGCTAGAAGGAGACGGAGCGCCCTAGTACCGCCTAACGAGTTTTAGAACACAGGATAGAAGTATGACAAGTAAATATCACTTTTCCAATCTGAAATCTTGGTTCAAATTGAAGTCTTTTTTTATGTAGAAATCATTGATTGCCTTATGAAGGGAAGTCTTTATTGGCCTGCCACTGTATATATGCAATATATAGTACTGAAAGTCCATAATTTACACATGGTCCTAACTCATCATATAACAATGTTTTGTTCTTTAGGAAGACAACAAATGTCCTTGTAATAAATTGATGTGACTCTTTAATTGCTTCAAACAGAAGTTCCTACTTTGCTATACTCATATTGGGAAATGGATTCATCATAAACTTAAGGTTTGATCTCTTGTTGGTTTTACATTGGATAGTGTTTTAGATTTGGGGTATTTGATGTCCTAAGCATGGATATTATCTATGTATGGACCAGGACAAACAAACAGTCTAGATGCTTTTATACGATCAAACCCTTTTGATTTCTTTTTTTTTGTTAGTATTTATCACCTTTGCTTATATTAAGATTCGATGAAGAAGTGGGGAGTTACAGATATAAGATATTGAAAGATGGAGAAATAGATTAATGAGCAATAGACATCAATAAACAATTTAGGACAGATTTGTTTTGAGTTGTAAGGTTATTCTTTTAGCTGTTTTCTTTTTTTTCTTGTAAATATTTGAGCTGTTTTGAGTTCTACGGTTATTCTTTTAGCTGTTTTCACGATAAAAGTAATAATGTCTTTCACTTTATACACTCTTATTTGTTTTGGATAAGCAATCACTGACAGATTCCATTACATCATAACTCTGAACACAGAGTCACTGAAACAATCGAGCGTAACTTTGAATCTTTAAGTTAAGCAGCTGAAGAAGTAACAGAAAGCAAACAGATAAACTCTTTTACAGCTTTACTAAAACTGTATCATTTTCCTTAAATTTTACAGTTGTTTCCTTGTTTTTTTCCTCGTGAAATTGATTTTACGGCCACTGGGATACTAGAATTAGTGGGTGGTGAAAGAGACAGGACACAAAGGTTTCACATGCCACCTTGTACTCTCTCTGACGCAACTTAGCCTTTTGGCTTTGCAAAAACTGCATTTGTTGTTTTTACATAAACTGAATAAACTTGTCCCTACTAGTGAAATATGGAGTTTCCAGTTTGGTTTGGTTCGGGAAGATCATTGGGCTAGGATTAAAATTTATTTTGTTTGATTATTAAACCATGATCAGACATAAATACAACAAATAAACAAAATATATGTCTAATTGATAATTCATTGATTAAATCAACATGGTTAAAATTTGTTTACTCCATTCGGCTTAAAAATGTAGACAAATGATTGGTTGGTTTTTGGTTTGGTGAATTTTGCTTAAATGTGGACTATGATTGTTCTTGTGTCATATCTCCCTTACTTTAGATGGACTGTGAATGTGTCAGAAGAAACTTATATAACCAATGGATAATAAGTAGTAACTAACAACAATGATTCATCAAGCTTTTTTTGTAGTCGATGTTGGAAATCGAAATCTTGTATCAGGGTAAAGAAAAGTGATGCTCTTGAAATGTTCTTAAGTAAAACGTTGATATTCGGAGTTTTGGACTACATAACAAAAAGAATGATAACTATTAAAAAAATAAAAATGGAACAAGAAAACAAAGATTCCAAACCACGAAAAGAAGATTTGGTTACATATGATCCACGAAAAGAAGAATATATGACACATTAAGTCTTTCTTCATTTTTTTGTTCTTTCAATATATCTCAGTCATAAAACTCCATGGTTGATACTAATTTTTATTTGTTCGTATTCAAACTTTTAAATTGTTCTATCTTTTTATATATTCATATTCTGCATTACGTCTTTCGTTCCTCCGCGTCGCTCTTTTTACGTTAGCAAACAAAACGGACGTAACTATCCGCAAGGACCGACCGTAGCCACACTCCAATAACAAAAGATGCCTTTGATGTTCGAATCCAAATTATGATTTGTCGAGATCAGTAATTGACTTATAACGAAATTATATTATGCCACGTTTCAAGATTTGTCTGGATTTTAATATTTTATCTCGGTTTTAAAGGAGAAGAAGTTATGCTTGTTCAAGACATAATACTATAATCTGATTTTCTAGGGTTTCGTAGTGTGATATACACGAACTACATCTAAAACCCTAAAAAGTAGATATAAAAATATTATACTACATGAGTTTTTATTGACCGTCGAATACGAAAATGAAAATTTGATATCTGTATAGATTTTGAATTTCTCTCATACTGATGTTATATGAACCGGATTAAACCGTGAGTTATTCCTTTTTTTTGTTGGTCGGGAAACCTTGAGTTATTCAAAACGACGAAAACTCAAATATCTGATCTGATCCTTATAATCGAAACTGGTCCAAAAACAGTTTAGTCAATCGTAACATCACTAGTTGACATAACTTTACTAATCTTCAACATTACTCTAGCTAGCATCTCTCGGTATATGCTTATGAAAACAAAGTTTTGTACAATAGTACTAACAATATATTTTGCATCGATTCCTGCTGAGTGCAAAAAAAGCGATATGTTATTACTTTCTTCCTTTCTTTCGATCACACGAGGAACAAGATTTGTCTCGTCGTTTATGGGAATTTCAACGAGAACCAATCTTTCTTTCTTCATATCTTCTCCAAAGATTCTCTGTTTCAACAATGCGATCCAGCTATAGCTCTTGTTTTACACAAAACCATATCCATTTCCTTTTCATTTCTTACGTCATAAATATTTCTACTCTTTGACAAAAAAAAGTAGAAGCAAAAATCCCAAAAAAACCAAAGGCATTTGGTTCCTCCACTTTTTGTTATTTTACCAGTTGGTCCCTGTACGTTTGTTTATTACACATACACCCCAAAGCTTCGTTTATCACCAATATCCCGTATATAAGATTATAAATTACAGTTAAACTCCTAATTTTCTTACAGAACCTCCTAAAATTAAAATTGTACAGATTTCCCCTACCCCATGTCTTTGGTTGTTACATATATTTGCAAAACTCATTAAATTTTACTATACTTCAAAATTCAAATAAGAAAGATCAATTTCTTGAAAAAAAAAAGAGAGAAGAAAATGATAAAAGCCTCTTGAAATTGGGCATAAGAACAACATCCACAAGAAGAATTTTACGAGTTACAGAGAAGAAGAGAGCATCATAGAGACAATGATCATTCATTTTTCATTATAGAGAACGAGCCACCGTTTTGAATTCAGTCAAGCAAGACTGAAGAATCTTCTGGCGTTTCTGAAGCTGTTGACGTTCGTTTTGCAGCACATCAATAGCTCCAGGTGCAACAAACATGTCCATGAACTTATCATCATTCACTGCAAACAGATCCAATCCAAGTGCAACAACTAGCTTGTCTCGGCTGCAACACAAAACACAAACAAAACGAAACTCAAATCAATTCAATTCTTTAACAGAGAGAAATAGAGATTTTTTTCATAATCAATAGACTCACCAAGGTGTTAGAAAACCTGAGTTTAGAGTCGATGTTACGCTTCTTTCGACAAGAACTTCTCTTATTCTAGCAAAATGCTGTGCAGCTGATGAACATATCTCAGTGTAAGCAGAGCTCGATTTCATCCCATTGTTATCCGTGTTACCAAACATAAGCCCACCACCGTTTTGAAGCCTAAGCGGCTCTATGTTCCTGCTGTTTCCCACCATCCTCGCCATTCTTTTTCTGGCTCCACCTCCGTCAGGACCATTCCCGATCTCTTTCTTCACCAAACCATACACTATCTCACACGGTTGGTCTGGTGATGGAGTCTCAGGGACTGTTATGTGGGTTTCTCCTCCTTTCCCTGGTGTTGTCTCCTGGCCATTGCTCTTCTCAGGAGGAATGTTTTCTTGATATTTCATTGGCTCATCACGGCCACTATCAGAGAGCTCGAAGCAGAACGAACCACCTGAGGCTTGGTTAGGTTTGTAGTAAGAGCCGAAAGCTCCTCCTTGGTGGTAGCTGTTCTCGTAGCAGGCCATGGAATATGGACTAGTCACTGAATCAAGATGGTGTCTCACTAATTGCTTACACTCTTTTGCAAGATTCCTCACAAATCGACTGTAACAATTCCGTAGAGCAGCGTGGAAACCAACGTATCCGTCCATATTTTCAGTTTTCTTCTCATCTGCAATACATGAATACCAAAACCAAAGACCATTTGTTAATGAATTGCAGGAGATTTAAGAGATCAAGGAGCATTGAAAGGTTTCTTACACTCTGAGTTTTGGTTGAGGTCTCTTTCTAGAGCAATCTCAAAGAGACTTCCTAATACAAAGGCAAGCCTGTCGCAGGCTGTGTCAAGAAGAGGAGCGAGCCATGACCGTGCAGCTGTTCGAGCAATCTCTGCAGAAGCTTCTGTTACTCCTCTACCACCTCCACGCCCAGCATGAGCAAGCAGAATGTTTGCTACCTGTTCATTTCATGCCATGTGTTCAATTTTGCAAATGTCTATGAAAAGTTTAATAATGTTTTTGTTTACTGAGATATATG